ATAATTCAACAGCTTGTCATCATTAGCTACAGTTATATTTTGATTTTGAGCGCTAGAATAGTAAGGGGCTGTTCACATGAGACCGGTTGCCTATGTTTAACAAAGCGTAAAACGCACTTTGAGGTATTGAAAAGAGTCTTTTTTAAACCAAACAATCACATGCTATTGTTTGGATGATAACAGTGACCTCTCTATATATATGGAGTAGTAACTTGGTTGCTAAAAGTAAAGCCAAATATGGCGTAAATTAAAGGAGCTATTGTAGGACACCCCAGTCTTCCTACGTGGGCGGTCAAGTATTTTTTTCATTGTTTTGATCGGGAGTGATGACTTTGAAACCTCAGATTTTTGTGGTTTTCTTCATTTTAAAAGAATAAGAATGGAAACAAAGTTGATTTTTTTATGGCAATCTGTTTCTCTGCATCTACCTTATCTGACTACTGTATTTTCCTACCATTTCCCACTCTTTCCCACTTTTCCCATTGAGTACAAGTACGCTTCAAACTTTTGCTTTACCTTGTAATTTTGACCCAGTATTACCCTCTAGTTTCACAACTGGATGTATAGGTCACTGCGACACTCCTTTTTTTCAACTATCGCTCTCCGAATCTTTATCCCCTCGTGTGCCTTATCTCAGCCACAATATTTTTTCTATATAACTTGCTTTTACATCATTTTTACTGTTTCATTCTAAGTTGCTGTGGAGCGATTTAAAGTAATTAATCTGCTATTACTTTTTTTCACGTTTGCATGGTATGCAAAGATGTTTTGTCTCCATGAGGTCCGGAATTTTCTTTGTCTCTAGTTTTCATTTGATTTGTAGCTATGATTACAATAGTGCATATGCCAATAGGCTCCTGACCGACGCATGGGCTGACTAAAGGAACGAAGTCTGAAAACGGGTAATATGGATACAGACGAAACCTGCTGTAATCGTAAATGTGTGGCGTAGTTTTGGAGGTACAGTGCGTATAGAAAAAAAATAGTGTAAAATTGTTAAACTATATATCAATTTGAAAACTTACATAAAATTTGTTCCAACTGTTTCTTTGTAAGACGCGATTAGACCTCGTTGACATTGCCGGAGGTGTCAGAGTATATGTCGGAATTCACAGGTCTATATAGGTATATGTACTCTGTTTGTATGTTCTATGCTGTGCGTGTATAAATCTGTACACAGTATAACGCTAAATATTTGCATAATCGATCGACGCTATATAGCCTGAATATACAGCTGGCTTCAAGGCGCATCGTCGACATACATTGAAACAATTCCCAGCTACTAAACTTGTGCCAGAAGTGCCGGTTTAATCGCTAAAATTGTTCGGCATTCGGTAGGTTTGTCGCCAAACAATACGATCGTACTGACATCGACTATAGGTGTTTTTCTAAAGAAGATTAAGGAATTTTGCGATATTCGGAAATTTGAAATCGCCTGCATTGATATATATGTTTAATATATGGTTTTAAAGTTGCAATCGAAGTCTAAATGATGCTTGAAATTAAAGTTAGCAATAGGGCGCTCTAGTCAGTGATGCCTAACAAAATATAATAGCATCATGTTGGTGAATCATGTCGTAAATATACAATCATGCAGTATAGAGTTTGGGCAATAATAACACAAGTTCTACTTCTAAAAGCGTTTAATTGCAAATTCTAGAGATTCTATGGTATTATTTGTCGCCCTCGCAAACAAGGCCATACTCCATAGCTAGACGTGTAGACGCTTATTTCTCATTTGGGGGTTGCATGTTTAAACAGCGTGAGTAAAAAAATGACGCTAATCTATATGCAAATTGCCGCATAGCTGTTCTAATTTCACAAAGGTTACCTGAAGTGGTCATTAATCCAAAAATAGGAGTTATCTTTAGAGAGACGATGACATTGAACAGTCAACTGCGTTTGTGTTTGACAAAGATTACCTGGATCGATGAGTTAGAAGTTCTTGAGTGACATGTTTTACTCAGATTATTATATTCTTTTGCACGGCTGATCTTCATTAAGAGCGATTGTTTTGCTATTAAAATTTTTGAACATTACTACAGGGTGTATAAAAAAGTACACCCTATTGAAATAATAGCGATAACAGAAACTCTATAATTGTGGATAAATAAAATATAATTCAACAGCTTGTCATCATTAGCTACAGTTATATTTTGATTTTGAGCGCTAGAATAGTAAGGGGCTGTTCACATGAGACCGGTTGCCTATGTTTAACAAAGCGTAAAACGCACTTTGAGGTATTGAAAAGAGTCTTTTTTAAACCAAACAATCACATGCTATTGTTTGGATGATAACAGTGACCTCTCTATATATATGGAGTAGTAACTTGGTTGCTAAAAGTAAAGCCAAATATGGCGTAAATTAAAGGAGCTATTGTAGGACACCCCAGTCTTCCTACGTGGGCGGTCAAGTATTTTTTTCATTGTTTTGATCGGGAGTAATGACTTTGAAACCTCAGATTTTTGTGGTTTTCTTCATTTTAAAAGAATAAGAATGGAAACAAAGTTGATTTTTTTATGGCAATCTGTTTCTCTGCATCTACCTTATCTGACTACTGTATTTTCCTACTATTTCCCACTATTTCCCACTTTTCCCATTGAGTACAAGTACGCTTCAAACTTTTGCTTTACCTTGTAATTTTGACCCAGTATTAAGACACTCATAGTCCTTTATTTTTGCCAATCGTGGTAGCACGGGGCAGTTTTTAAAGCTTTTCTTCCTGCATGAAACGTTCGTATAAAAATGCCATATTTTTAGTTGAATTTTGAATCTCGTATGTTTCGGATAATTTCTTTGCAAATTATTGTTTTTATGGAAGACAGCTTAATACATATCTTTTCTCTTAAAACTGAGATAAGGTAACATTTTATTTGTATTTTTGAGTGTATTCTGTTATTTGCGAAAACGTCAACAACCCACACTCACTTCTCTTGAGATATTGCTCCTTCCTTAGCAAATTTAAAAAATATCCAAACACAGAGCATCAGCAGTTAACTTTAATTAAAAATTCTACCATTTCCCGCTAAAAATATCAAAAAATAGCCAAAATAAACATGAATTCAGTTTGACCGTGCATCTAAGAGGACTGGGGTGTCCTCCAATAGCTCCTTCAATTTCCGCCATCCTTGGCTTCACTTGAACATTAGCGAAATGAGCGAAGTTACTATTCCATCTATATATAGAGCTCACTGGATGAAAACACGACTGCCAGTCCAGAATCATGTTATATTTACTCATTTCAATACCTCAAAATCCTGTTAACGTTCGTTAAATCTCGGAAACTGGGCTCATGTGAACAGCCCCTTAGTTAAAGAAACGAATCATAATTATAACAAAAAATTGCGGTGCATGCGTCACAAGTGAAAACCTAACTTCGCCATTACACGGCATTAATATCTGTTTTTGAAAAGATCAGAACTAATTTGTGGAAAAATAGGTTGTCGGGTTGAAGTACTCCAGAAATAGTTGTTTACAAAATTGTCTTACAATTGGCCATACACAATAATTTTATCTAAAATACGCATCCGGTTGAAATCTCCTAACTTGAATGTCTTATAGGGGTGATAATCCTTTAGAACTAAAGCCTGGTTTCCATTTAATCAGCCGTAATTAGCCATTTCCCAATCGAGCAGGATACTGAGTCTAATCGCGAACCCCAAAGCAGCTATGGACTGTTTGGAGGGACAGAAAATATAAGTCTGAAATTATTTGTCCCTGCAAAGAGTCCATAGAAGCAAAGAAGGGGTGACAATCCCAGGGAAGTAAGAAAGGGATGATAATCTTGGACAAATGTGGAAGGGGCGGTAAACCCCTGGAGGTAAAGAAGGGGTAATAATTGCTGTGAAGAGCTGTAAGAATTTAATGAAATATGTTTACATAAAATATATCGAGTCTATGGGCCAGAACTAAGGCAAGGCTTGGGTGATTATTGCGTGTTAATTAATATGAGGTCAGTCGACCAATCAGAGGCCAGAATTTTCAATAATCGCTTTAGTTTGTAGTCCTACAAATTATATGACTAGGTTACCTAAAGGCAGTATTGCTGCCTATACTCTTATAGAAATAGCATGCGCAAAATACTTGCTTGTTAAAAATTCATACCATGGTTACGCAAATTATAGTCAAATGTTATACGACACTTCAAATTACAATAGATCAAAGGTCAAATTCCAAATGCGCGAGGTATTTGTGAAACTAAAACCCTAAGGCTTTAGCCCCTTAAATGAAACAATCAAAGAACTAACTTAAAAGTTAAATACTTATACATGCTTTAGTTACGCCACACAGGTTTACCCCAATGATAAAAGTAAAAGAAAATATGTTTCAAACCTTTTAAAAAAATCGAAATGACAAAGCTATAAAACAAGTGACAGTCAAATGTTATACGACACCTTAAAATCACAATAGATTAAAGTTCAAATTCCAAACGCGCAAGTATTTGTAAAAGACCAAAAGCACAAGACTCCAATTGCCAAGTAACGGTATGGTTCACCACGTCGCTTTTGGTGTCCGTTTATACAACAGTGATGCGTCATGCGAGCACAATCTCACGGCTAACTCAGTGTCTGCCTCACTGGTCTGCCTTCCAAAAACAATTTGAATTTGAAACACTGACCGTATAAAGCATGGAGTCGTTTTATAGTATACCCGACCGCATTGCATTGTGGTAGGAGATCTTTTACCACAATGCAGTGCGCTATTTCGTAAATTTGCTTCCCCTACTACATAAATTAGGGACTGCTGCCTTGCTCGGTCGCTCAGGCGACCTCGCTGCGGCAGCAACGGCAGCAAATATGCCTTTCGTGCGTGCGATCAGCCTTAAATGCGCCCTAGTTAAAATGTATAATAAATAAAATACAGAGTATGAGATTAATTATATAGTTCTATTAGTCATATCTGTACATTTTGTCCAGATGTGTATGATATTACGGGGATCAATCGCACAATAGATCAGACAGCTGCATTAAAAATTGAATTTACTTTTTTTACGTTTTCAGTTCATACACGTCGGACTGATCGTCACCCGTATCATCGCACTTATAATATTTCTCCATTTCGACACGAAGTGTCTAATCATTGAACACGGATCATCTCTCGATTGTGAGCAAGAAGGACTTTTAGATGACTCAGAATCTTGGATGTTTGCCTGGTTTATTTTGTCAATGGCATCTGCAATCTTCATTATTATCATTGTTTTGGTCGATAAAGAGTTCCATTTCGTAAAATCGAAAGCACGTAAAGTATGCAAGAAGGGCTCGTTCTGGTCGCTTACAGTTTTAGGCTTGCTAACAGTGGCATACTACAGTGTTAGAGTTGGTAAAAGCCCATCAAAGAATAAGCATATATCAATTGCATTGATATTTTGGCCGATCGCAATGTACTTTGTTGTGATATTTTTGAACTATACGCCGCGTGTACGTTTCGATAAAGACAAGCGCGGCGGTCGTTGTCCTGAAGATTGTTGCCAGTGTTGTACACATTGTATAGATATGCCACGTGAATGTCTTCCTGAAAATTGTTGTAATGGTGACACTGAATGTTGTCGTTGTACATGTTGTAGAGGTCGTACATGTTGTAGAGGTTGTACACGGTCCACATGTTGTACATGTTGTACATGTTCTGCATGTTATACATTTTGCAAAAATTTTGGTCCTTTCTTTATTTACTGGACCTCTCTCATTGTGTTTTCCATTGAAATAGCCTGCATTTGGCTTGCTATCGCACTTGACACCGCATATGATGTGGCACCACTAATGGAAAGTTCCTATCGGGACGAGTCTAGCAGAGGGATTGTTATTTTACTCCTTGGTTTCAGAGTGAGCTACCACACACGGTTGCTGTTTTTCTTTTGGGAAAAGATGTTTCATGGCGATAAGGACCTTTTTTCTGAGCCTTGTCCAAAATTATTGTCACGTTGTAAGCCAAGAGAAGAGCCAAGAGAGAACCCAGGAGACGAGCCAACACCACAACCCAATTCGATAGCAATGGAAAAATTTAATGAGAACTCGGTAAGTGATATACAGGAGTTCAGGAGAACTCTGAAATTATATAGGACTTCTAGAAATGCTACAAATGCAGCTGTGTACAGAAGTGATTGCGATGAACATAAATTTAGGAATTTGATTCTAAATGCTTAAAAAATTATTTGTATAAAAAATTACACAATGAGCTCGTGTCGTCTTACTTACGACGCCTTCAAATGAGGCATTTTCAGGGCTTCTCGCTGACATGAAAGCAGCGAGAACGTGATAGCTGTTTGAAAGCTTCTACGAAGCTGCAATATTAGCGTAATTAATTTCTCGTAGCTTATTTCAAACAAAATAGGGAGATTTAGTCCGAGGACACGAATGTCAAAGACGACGTGAAAATGGGAAATAAATGGCGTGGCATTTAGATTTATCTCCTTAATTGAGTAGCGACGTCGAGTTAACCTCGTAGGTCGTTTACTCCCTGTTAGCTAACAACGAGAGGGAACCGAGCTGTAGGATAACGGCCATATTTCAACCAGGTGGTCATTTTTAGTAGATCTAAACTGTGCAGCCCGATACCACAGGACAGTATCGTATTGTAAGCTTTCCACCTCGACCTTAAGCTAATCCTAATTGGTTAGAATTTATTCTTTCGTCAAATGTGTTTGTATTTTAGTTATATTAGTTGTTCTGAATATTTACACCCCTTTTGAAAATTAGAATCTTTTGTGCATAATGTGTTTAAAAATAGTTGATCTTATCTTTTCTAACAAGAGCCTACTAGTACAGCAAAATCGAAGGAGTCAAATTCGGTGAAACCAAACAGGCAAGCACCACCAGTACCACAAAAAAACGACCCTGCACCCGCAAACAAAGCAGAGTAACTATTTGCAGCCAGCTGACGCCGGAATCACGACATCAAGGGAAATTCTTTATTTTAACCTACCAGCTTTTGATATTTTTGATCCAAGTAAAGATTTTGTAATCAAATTTGCACAAAAATAACGTTCTACTTCAAGTTATTTCCTTACAACTTTCTCGTTAATGATTTATCGCGTTTTCACTTGGAATAAATTTACGATTGTAACTATTAATATATTTTATTTTAAGCGTGAAATATGTTCCCTTTCAAGGCCGTAGCTAGACCGCTTAATTGGGGGGGTGTATATTCATATATTCATGTTTGTATACCGTAGGAACAATAGCATACAAAAGAAATCATTCGGGCATAAGACGAATATATGAATATGCACCCCCCCAATTAAGCTTCTAGCTACGGCCCTGTTCCCTTTTCTTATTAAACAGACACTTCATTCATTATAACGGGAACTTTGCAGGTAGGATAATATGCAGGGACGTTAGACGTAAAAAATATCATGTAAAATAGTAAGGAAAATCGTTTCCAGAGGATCTTTAATTAAAGTGACTCATACCACATGCAAGACAGCAGAGGAAAACTATGCACCTAGTATCGATACAAATTTTAGGGGGAGTGCACAATATAGTATTACAATAAGGTAATAATAGGTAATATTGGGAATAGTAGACCACTTTTTGTATGACGTCTTTGTATGGTAAACCAATGGCATTAAAAGACAGAGACTATACCGCCATGATACAATATAATAAGCGTTAAATAATTTTGTATTAATTAATAAGATTCATGTTTTCCCAATTTTTGTATCACATCATGTCGATTAATGTAATAGCTAGAACGAAAAGGAGTGCAATCAATGCCAAAATCAAACGAGTATTTATAATGTTTACTGTGTTTATATCGGACGATGGATGCGCATATCCAACGCGGCAAATGAAGGGAATTATGCTAATTGCTGATTTTCTTTTAATTACATCCGTTCCGCACACAATGAAGCTGCATTGGAAGTAGAATTTCACCGATTGGTGCATCATTTTAAACGGGTGTACCCCCTCTCTTAAGCGCAATATAACCCTACGAAAACGTTGCATGCAGATTCGGGTAGGCAGCTTAGTGTGGGTAATAGCGATGATTAGATGTGGGTAATAGCGATGGCGAGGACAATTTGGGATTAATTGGAGTGATATTTGAAAACTTTTCGATCCACCGGGGCGAGTTTAAACTTGATTACATTTTCCTCACACATCCACGTTGCTTGAATATCCAGAATTCTCAGTTGTGATCGGTCGCCCGATTTCCGCACATGCGCCTTTCTTCTCAATACGAAATAGTAATACACAATGAGAATTAAGAAAACATTAATTTTATCCTATATTCACCAGACAAAACACTAATTCGTATCATTTATATACGGTCAGCTTTTCCCCAATCGGGTTGTTATTAAGATACATTACCCTGAACCGCCAACAGATCTTGCGGTCAAGATCACGGGAATAAAACAGATAATGGCAAGTAATGAGCATGCATATGTATATATATTCATTCATTTCACAATCTCGATCAACCTGACACTATAGAAATACATGGCTATATCTAATCGTGAACATAAAGTATAATAAATAAGCAATTGTGAAATGGAAAACAAAATACTGAATGAAATAACTCGTCCGTTTCGAAAACGAGATTGTCATGTGAGCATCGTTGCCGGATGCTTGTGTCTGCCTGTGTATATTTATTTGTCTCCAATGTAATTTGAGCTGTTTTCCCTTTCAAATTCACAATTTTCGTAGGTTATTGCATGAAGGTGAGTTAATATTGCATATATGTCATATGTCAATCGAAATACATGAGTGTTTTGATCAGTTCATTTATTTTTTTTTGGATCGAACTATACTGATGATTGTTCAACCCAAGGCCGTGACATTCGTCTACCTTTAGTATAACTAATCGTCTGTGGACACATTTCTACATTCTACAAGACAAAACTTGCCTGAGCTATCAGCGCTTGAAATGCTACATGGGATACTCTATTTCAAGATATGCTATGTGACTGGGACAATTCAGGATGAATAATTTTGGAAATATCGCTTTGGCTTTTCTGCTATTCTGTCTATGTATGCAGGTGAATTTTATTTCATTTTACAAAATTTTGTGTCATTAGACGTCTCGTATTTATATTCATTTGTAGCCATCTGCATATCGAGTTGCATAGTCAGATTAGTCAGATTATAAATTCATATAATTCCGTAGTAAATATTTGTATGTGTAGCTTGTTCAAAATGGCACATTTTATTAGCCTAGCTGATATTAATTTATTAAAAACATTCTGTGAATGCATTTAACCTAACCAGGCCTTGATTGCATGCAAGAGGAAGATCTCTAAAACAATGCATGAATAGCAGAAACTCGAATTAACCTGTTTCAGTTTGCGAGGGAAGTTTCAAGCTCCAGGGTATTATGCAGTATTCGACAGGTTTGAGCATGCAGTTAAAAGCTTTTGTGTAAAAGGATATAATAAGGAATACCTAGCGTGAGAAATTAAAGCCTATAGAAGAGTCCGAATGTCGGCAATATTCCTACTTTCAAGTCCTTCTATGATTTATTTGAGTCACCCAATGATAGAATGTTTAGTCTGGCTAGCCTCGTTTGCTGGGTTAAAAATGGCGAAGGATGATTCCTTGTATTATATCTCCCTGCCTGCATGGCTCGGAGTAAAATAGAAAATAGGCAAACTAATGGTTAACGCTGTCATTCTTCAGGACTAATCTATATATTTGCTGATATATATTAGGGACCTTAACTCTAAAGAGGCACATACAACTCACGCGATTCGCCAACGCGATGATAATTTCCAGTTTCTTGGAGCAAATGAATTAAATTCTTGAAAGAAATTTTGAGAACTATGGGCCTCGGACATATCAAAATGTGCCATCCTTCAGTAGTTATATAAAAAATTACATACTGACATGCATGATAAGTAAAATTGAAAACTAAAAGTTCGCAAAAATGTGTGTCGGCTGTAAGCATGTACGACGGCAACTCGACGACGTCACCGCTGGAACTCTGCTTTAAATAAATGTTATATGTTTATAAAGAGGTTGAACAATTATATGGAGCCCAATTTCAAGAAGCGCTCGTTTCGTCTTGACGTTGTACCTAAGATGAGCACCCGAGGTTTGCAGTTGTAAACAGTATCTACTATCTACGTGAGCGAAACAGGTTGTAAAGATTGTGACATATTCACTGGGAAATTAGAGATCCCTAGCTACATCTAAGCGTATGATTGTACGGAATTGACTCATTGCTCAAAGTTGTTTGGAAACGATTCACTGTTGAGTGGTTATTGGAATTATAATTTATAACGACGGTAATTGATGATAATGATATAGTATCATAATTATATCAAAAATATTTTCTCTAGAAAACATCCTGCTCAGGAGAATTGAAGATAGAACTGAAACAATACAAAAACCCAAGCAATAGAAAAAAAGATGGTACCTCGTGTTCGATAGGCTGGTTTGATAGCAACAGAAACTGCAAACCCTACTTTGAGTTTACCTTCAATGGGAGAAAGAAAGAATTAAAACCAGGTCGACGTGGCACAAACATAACGTATTCTTCACAAACTGTAACGTTTTTCTACGACATATGGCTTGTAAGTCTGTAAAAATCATAGTAAATGCTACTAGCAAGTCTCCTGCCACCCAGGCACCTTTATTTATAGCATAAAGGGGTCACAGTCGCTTCTGCCTGTCGGTTAAGCATGCTCTTAACAATGAGTAGTCGACTTGTTTCAAAATCGCTCAAATTTCGCATGTTTCGCATATCTCTGAACGTGAACTCTCTCTCACGAGTTACTCATTTAAAAGTATAGCGAACTAAAATCCTGAATTAAGATCCTAAAAATTAAGTTTTTGCTGCCTGCGATCCTGAAATTAAGTTTTTGAAAGTTCTTCAAAATGTAAACAAAGCGTTTGTTTACATTACGGACTGTTCTCCACTTTAAAGTTCATTCTTATACGATGAAACTCTACATACATGTTTATCACTGCAGTGACTGCACTTTCATCCACGAAGGCTTCTTCGCTTCTGAACCATAATTTTATGGCAAACTCGATTTGACATCTCGCTGACGTCACGAAGCTCACACGTAGCCTTTTCTTCTCTCCTTGAAAAACCATGGTCAGTGGATATATGATCTTGAAAAATGCTAAAAAAATTTTCATGCAAACTTGTGCACGGCAAAGACAATGCGGGTAAATTTTTTGGTATAATTAAGCGATCATCGAATAGCATCACATCCTTCAATCATTCAACTCTACCTTCAAATTTCAAAACCTGCAAATTTCAAAATAATTGTGCACGCGGTGAAGCTGTTTCAACATGAAATATTAGCTTTGACTGAGCACACCAGATATATCTTCATTGACTTTTGCCCGATCTTTTAATAATATCACTTTAGTAATGTGAATATTCGTTCACCTTAACCTCGCTTACATGCATGTACTCTAAGTATCATTACCTCGACCAGAAAAGGACGCCATAGAGATAAGTTATCGCCAGGGGCTAGGTTTAGGAATGAATATAGCACAAAAAATGACGTCAAACAGTTTGAAAGTCGAACAGTTTACCACCCTGTACCTGGCTATAGCGACGAAGCAGGAAGCCATAAGATATATTCTGCTCCATCAGAAAGATAATTTGGTTTTGCTTCAATTTTACACCTGTTTTTTAATATTTTCTCTATTCAGGCTGACCAAAGTCTTTTACTGGAAATTTGGAATGACCGTTTATTCGCACAGAACAGGTTAATTTACAATGGCACAGAAAAACTGGCAGCAACGGCTGATAAATCACTATCTTCTTCAAAAGCTAATCCACTGAGCTTTAAAGGAAAGTACGTAACTGTAAGCGCTGATGTTAAAGTCTATTGTAACCATGGTTACTTAGTGCCAGATTGCGCTAAGCATTGTGTGTCTCGTAACGACAGCAAAGGTCACTTTAACTGCGACTACGGACAGGGGAGAAAAATATGTCTTCCTGGTTGGTTCAATAAGGATTGCACGAAACTATGTTTACCAAAAAATAGCGAACAAGGACACTATAACTGCTCCGCGACGGGAGAGAAATTGTGCCATAAAAATTGGTTCGGTGAAAATTGTACCACGTATTGCCAGAAAAACAGAAATCAGACTCTCTATTGTGACCCAAATACCGGGAATAAGATATGTCGTCGAAATTGGTATGGAAACAACTGCACAACGTACTGTACAAGTAAAAATGATTCAACTGGAAATTTTCATTGTAATAAAACCTCTGGTATGAAAATCTGCAATGCTGACTGGTATGGAATGAACTGTGCGAATTATTGCAAGGAACAAAATAAAGCGAGTGGACATTATTCATGTCAAAAAGAGAACGGATTGAAAATTTGTCATCAACATTGGTATGGAATGAACTGCACTAGATATTGCAAAGAACAGAATGATTCGTCTGGACAATATGTCTGTGATAAAGATACTGGTTTCAAGATTTGTTCTGCCAATTGGTTCGGCGAAAATTGTAGTGTTTTTTGTTTGCAATCAATCAATGACTTTAACGGACATTATGATTGCAACAGAACAACAGGTTTAAAGATCTGTCACAGAAACTGGTATGGGGATAATTGTACAAGCTATTGTAAAGAAGACAGCGATTCTGGGGAGAGTTATTCTTGCAATAGAACGACCGGGGAATATATTTGTCATTTAAATTGGTTTGGAAAGAACTGCAATTGTACTGAAACTATAAATTATTATTGCAATCAGACAACGGGGCAGAGAAAATGTCATCCACATTGGTATGGTTTTGATTGTACAGTCAACTGCATAGAAAATTCTGGGAATGCTGACACTTACTTATGCGATAAGAAAACGGGAAGAAAAATATGTCGTTCTAACTGGTTTGGAGATAACTGCGAAATATTTTGTAAAAGTAGAAACGATGATTCTGGTCATTATTTTTGCAATGAAACATCTGGTTTGAAGATTTGCCACTCGCGTTGGTATGGTGAGAATTGCACAGAATTCTGCACGGAAGAGAGCGATCAAACGTCGTGTAGGATTAACGAAGGTGAACATACTTATATTGAGCATACTTGCGCAGGATCTTGTAAAATGCGATAGAATTGAGCCGTGCACAAGGAATTTTGGGTGGCCCGGGCAAAATTCTCGTAACTGGGCTCATTCCCCTAGCAAAAAAGTGATAAAAAGCATAGTTAGTTTTGTAATTTTGCACTAGTGTAATGTCATATGCATTGCATTTTGGGGGGAAAAAGTACCGATTTTTGATAGGGCTATGTTAAATGTTTAAAACGTAGTTTTCTTGCATAGTACAGTGAAAAACACGTTATATAATATGAACAACAACCCCGGTAGAACACACGTTATAGGTCGAAAATCAGGCAGTAGTGGGAAAGACGGGAGGGGGAAACCCAATGGGAAAACGGGAAACCTCTCGTTTTTTGAACTTAAAGATTAAAGTGGAAGCAGCTCGGCCTAACGGGGTCTGCTCATAACAATGTCAGTTCATCTGATGTAAAAATTGTCTAAATTTCGGATTTTTTGAATTTTTCTAGACATATTAAGTACTAGTTCCTATTCATTTAGAACCTTAACGAACCTGAATTGTTAGATTTCACATCGTATTTTTAAACAAACCATTTGCTTACAGACGGACTTGACTTCCACATCAATATGGGCTTGAAACAATTCTTTATATTTCAATATTTTAGAGAGGATTTCGCAAGAATGTAATGGTGGAATTGAATGGTATATCATTGTCGTTTCACTTATATCTGGAATTATCTTTGGAATTTTCCTTTCTAAAATCGTCTCATGTTTGTGTCGTAAAGTCAAAAGCACAAACGCTCCAACATCTGAAGTTGACTTGAATTACCAAGAACTTGATCTTACAAAAATGAACACAGAAGACAATTACCAGTCGTTAAACCGGCGTACGATTGGTGATAACTCGACGTACACGGATTTGAACAAAACCAGAAATGTTGAGAACAACTATCAGTCTTTAACTTGAGACTGCATCTGGCCTTAGCACTGTTGTTGGAACTTCAATTTTTTTCCTGTTGACAAGACGGTGGTGTTGAATAATTATTCTAAAAAAATAATCCCATCGTATGTGCTTCGAAAAACTTGCCACCTGAATCAAATTCATCAATAGGAAACATTAAAATTACTTTCAGATAATTTAGCAAAAGGCTAATAGTTGTAATGAACTTAGCATCAAATGTGGTATAACAACTGCCTAAATGGACAAGACACTTCTCGACGTCTCGACCTGAGGGCCTTCGTCAGTAGAGTTAGGCCCTCAGGTCGAAACGTCGAGAAGTGCTTTGTCTATTTAGGCAGTTGTTATACCACATTTGATGCTAAGTTGTTTGAAGACGCTGCCACGCTGCTCTTTGGTTATATTGAATAGTTGCATGTAATGACTTTATGTTTACCTGTACTCTTTCATTCCTTTAAATATCAATTCATCCAGGCAATGCATTTTCCTATTCTTCCATCGTGTGGACCTACAAGCAGCAAAATAACCTCGCACTCATCTGCTTCCAAATTGACGAGTTTCCGGTCGCGCACTTTCTAAACAAGTTTGCGATGAAAAAACCGTTCAAAAGTGCTTTAAATTTCAATAATATCATGGCGGATTTCCATGGAATTTGAATTAACAGAATGCAAATTCGTGGTTACGTAAATTCGCTTTATCATGCAGCTAATTTAGGGCCTGTTTATATGATCCCGTCTATAGCCGGGACGAGATGTTTCATCCCGCTTAGCCGGGAAACTCGCCCAGGCGGGATGGCGTGTTTATATGCAATTCATTTTATAGTGCAGGTTCTTTCCACGGCATGTTTTATTGTAGAAAACGAATATGCCAATATATACACATGCTCCTAATGTATGTTAATCGCGAATCATCCCGGCTAAGCGGGATGGAGTGTTTATATGGCAATAAACAGGCCCTTAGTCTTTGCGTATGTCATAAGAGACAAAGTTTTTCCAATCTTTTCAAATGAGTGACCATCCGGGGAGTTTCTTACGTTTTTCAATAATAATTGCATGGAATCAACGGAAAACCCTTTTAATTAAATCATCGGTAATATGGCAATACCACTATATACATTACGGGTGATCGTATCACGAGCGCTTTCATTACGCTTTCGTTTCAGTAGGCATATATAAGCGCCAGGTATGCATACCAGGGGCCGGTTGTATGAAAGCCGGATAGCGCTATCCACCGGATAGTGATTTTTTCAACCCTTCTAAAAATGCTTGAATAGCTATAAAATTTCAGCTTTGTAGCCAACATTGGTTAAAGAGGACCCTCACTTTAGGAATACTAAGTGTTAATCAAAGTTATACCCAACAACGGGCGATTTTAAAGCGATTGAAAAAATCACTATCCGGTGGATTGCGCTATCCGGCTTTCATACAACCGGCCCCAGATGCGCAAGCCAATAGTTTTTGGATGATCGGATCATTGTTTCAGAAAGACCTCAGTTATTAGCGAAGTATTTAACCGAGAAAAACCTTTCCAAGCAGTGGAAAATTCTTGATGAAGAGAGAATATTTGTGTAATTCGCAAAAACAATCTAGATGCCTCATGACTCCATCTATAAAGGCATATAGCTACATATCAATTGTAATGTGATACATGTCATATGAAGACATTCTTCTGGGAAATGCACTTAATCTTTCCTGGAGTCAATTTGCATATGCAACGCACAGAACGCCATGATCAATAAAACTATGTTTGTATGGTACGTTTGAATATTGAAATTAAAATTGAAATTTTGATTGAGATTCGCCAAGTATAAAGAAGATTTGAGTATTTTGATTTTGTACTAAGATTTAATACTTTTGATACTGGCTGCATATTAGAATAGTCAATATATGGTTTTGACTGAATTCATCGTCTGTTCACACTGAATGTTGTTAGGCCAGGACTTGCTTGCTTCGCCGGTAAAGGTGTAGTACATGCTAAGATTATTGTGGGACTGAAATGGTTATTAATATGAACAACTGGGGAACAATCGTTTCCATATTGGTGTTTGCTTCCCGTATTCAGGTAAAGTTTGTATTGATTTTTATACTGGATTTTATATGTATACTAGTATACTATGTATACATGCATGCATTGTATTTACCGTCTGTCATACTTCAAATATAAATTCATATAATAATATATGATATAATACGGCTAGATTCGTAATGCGTTATTCGCTGATCAGAAATCAATACCCGCGACTTTAATCTCTATACTTGTTTTACACTTGGCTGGCCATCGCCTAAGTTAGATCGCTATAATCATAGTCGCCTAAGTCAGCCAAGTTAAGTAACTAAAGTAAGTTTTTGAGTAATAGAATCAAATTTTAAACAATGCAGACCTATACTAACATTCTCTGTCCATTCTCTCATTTCTCTGTTCATGCAACATTCTGTTTCATTTTCTGTTAATGCAACATTTGACGCGTTTAGACATGATGTTTAAGAATTAAGCTCGGTCAAGGTCGGCGAAAGGGGAGGGTGAAATTCCCGAGGCAATAATGACCAGAGTGGAAATGTCGGCAAGATGGTTTATAATGACTTTGTGTTTGTCGCGCGTGATCGCAAATCCGAGGCATATTATAGCTAGGTATATACAGCTATATGATCGAGCGCGAGTCTGTATACTGTGAAATATCAGCGAAAAAGCCTCGTTTTGATATTTCAGGCAGTACAGACCGAACAAGCGATGTCAATAATCTGTTTATCCTATATGGCTGAACTGCGTACGTGAGATATTAGGGATACTTGTCGAGATACGGAATATACGGACCACGGCACTCCGGTCTCCGAATATAGGATTTACGCATTCTCATCATGTAAACAGCCTAAAAGTTTAAACATACATGACGAAAGTCAATCAGAGGCTGTTCCCATGAGCCCAGTTCACACGAGCCCACTTTGAGGTATTGAAATAAGTCTTTTTGAAATAGAAGAATCACATGCTATTGTTACGATGATCACACGACTACCAGAAACACGTTATTTCCTCATTTCAATACCTCAAAGTCCATTTTATGCTTCGTTAAATCTCGGTAACCGGGCTCATGTGAACAGTCCCTCAGTATCGGAGTTAGACTTGCTACAAGTCGACTCTTTAAACCCACACGTTAGTAAGCGCTGAAGACGGCTGAGCTCTATCAGAGTTGTAACGAATAAGGATTCATTAAATACCAGATTTTTGCAATGGCTCCTTATACATTTTAAGCTCCCCGAGGCCGGAGATAATAGAATTATATTACAACTCTTTTATAGATACTTTCTTGCTCAGGAAAATTAAGGATAGATTTGAGGCGATATGAAAACCCGAGCAATAGATTATCAGATGGTTTCTGCTGTGACCCTATTTGCCGTGATTGTGATCCCTTCTTCGAATTCACCTTCAAAGGGACCAAGAAGGAAATTAAACCAGGTCAAAGTGGAAAAGACATAACTTTTTCCTCGCAATTTACAACGTTCTCCTTTGACGCGTGGAAGGTAAACATATTACAATGTGTATAAAAGTGGAATGCAAGGTATTATCCACAATCCTGCAAGAGGTGGAAAGACAGTATAAGATTATATGATAATACGAATAACTCGAATCTTTGCATATAATTAAAATAAACTGTAAAACATTATGATTGGACGACATAACCCGCAGCGAGCTTGCGAGTTAGTTGTTGCGACAAGTCTATGCTATGGTCTGTGAGAGCTTTTAGGGCTGTTTCCACTACAACCGTATCGTAGCGACGCCTAGCGTATATCATTCTTTCCTGGCCACTCGATCCGATAACTTATTAATAACTTTCGCAGCGATTAAAATGGAAATCATACCTTATATGTACTATCGTTTTTAGCGCGTGATTCGATCTTTTTTTCTGTTATTCGTTTTAGCCTGCACAAAGCTTGTCGTTGGAAATATGGGATGAAGATGCTTTAACACCAAATTCAAATGACATAATTTACAACGGAACAATAACCCTCTCATCAAAGGCAAATTACAATTCAAAATTCTCTCCCAAAGCTTACACACTGTACTTTCAAGGAAAGTACGTAACACTCAGGACCACTGTCAGCATCTACTGCGACTCTGATTATCTCATACCAGATTGCGCAGAGCATTGTGTGTCCCGGAACGATAGTAAAGGCCATTTCCATTGTGACTATAAAAATGGCGAGAAAATATGTCTTCCTAATTGGTTTGATATGGATAAAAATTGCACGAAGTTCTGTTCACCCCAAAATGTTGACGAACAAGGGCACTATAGCTGCTCGAAAACAGGAGATAAACTGTGCTTTAGAAATTGGTACGGGGAAAGTTGCACCGTGAAGTGCATCGAAAACAACCAGACTTTCTATTGTGACGTGAATACCGGAAAAAGGATTTGTCGTCCAGATTGGTTTGGAAGCAACTGTACAACGTACTGTATCAGTCAAAATGATTCAAATGGAATGTTTCATTGCAATAAAACATCTGGTATGAAAATCTGCAATGCTCACTGGTATGGAATCAATTGCACAAATTATTGCAAAGAACAAAATGACACGAGTGGACATTACTCATGTAGTATAGAGAACGGGCAAAAAATTTGTCAGCCAGGATGGCATGGAATAAATTGCTCAGTATTTTGTAAGGGTAAAAATGATTCCTATGGACACTATTTCTGTAATGAATCGTCTGGTTTGAAAATTTGTCATGAAGATTGGTATGGAATAAATTGCTCAGTATTTTGTAAGGGTAAAAATGATTCAAATGGACACTATTTTTGTAATAAATCGTCTGGTTTGAAAATTTGTCATGAACATTGGTATGGAATAAATTGCTCAGTATTTTGTAAGGGTAAAAATGATTCCCATGGACACTATTTTTGTAATAAATCGTCTGGTTTGAAAATTTGTCATGAACATTGGTATGGAATAAATTGCTCAGTATTTTGTAAGAGTAAAAATGATTCCCATGGACACTATTTTTGTAATGAATCGTCTGGTTTGAAAATTTGTCATGAACATTGGTTTGCAAAAAATTGCTCAGTATTCTGTAAGGATAAATATGATTCCCATGGACACTATTTCTGTAATGAATCGTCTGGTTTGAAAATTTGTCATGAAGATTGGTACGGAATGAATTGCTCAGTATTTTGTAAGGGTAAAAATGATTCAAGTGGACACTATTTCTGTAATGAATCGTCTGGTTTACAAATTTGTCATCAACATTGGTATGGAGCAAACTGCGCGAGATATTGCAAAGAACAGAATGATTCGCCCGGACATTATGTCTGTGATAAACAAACTGGCTTCAAGATTTGTTCTGCCAATTGGTTCCGCGAAAATTGTAGTATTTTTTGTTTGCAATCAAGCAATGACTTTATCGGACATTATGATTGCAACAGAACAACCGGTTTAAAGATCTGTCACAGAAACTGGTATGGGGATAATTGTACGAGCTATTGTAAAGACAGCGATTTGGAGGGGAGGTATTCCTGCAATAAAACGAACGGGGAACATATTTGCCATTTGAATTGGTTTGGAAAAAAATGCAATTGCACTGAAACTGTTAATTATTATTGCAATCATACAACGGGACAAAAAATATGTCATCCACATTGGTACGGATCTGACTGTTCAGTTAACTGCATAGAAAATTCTGGGAATGCTGACACTTACTTATGCGATAAGAAAACGGGGAGAAAAATCTGTCGTTCTAACTGGTTTCGAGATAACTGCGAGGTATTTTGTAAAAGTAGAAACGATGATTCTGGTCATTATTTTTGCAATGAAACATCTGGTCAGAAGATTTGCCACTCGCGTTGGTATGGTGAGAATTGCACAGAATTCTGCACGGAGGAGAGCGATCAAACGTCATGTAGGATTAACGAAGGTGAATATACTCATATTGAGCATACGTGCGCAGGATCTTGTAAAATGCGATAGAATTGAGCCGCGCACAAGGAATTTTGGGTGGCCCGGGCAAAATTCTCGTAACTGCGCTCAATCCCCTAGCAAAAAAGTGATAAAAAGAATAGTTAGTTTTGTAATTTTGAACTAGTTTAATGTCATAATGCATTGCATTTTGGGGGGAAAAAGTACCGATTTTTGATAGGGCTATGTTAAATGTTTAAAACGTAGTTTTCTTGCATAGTACAGTGAAAAACACGTTATATATGAACAACAACCGCGGTAGAACACACGTTATAGGTTCAAAAATCAGGCAATAGTGGGAATGACGGGAGGGGGAAACCCAAGGGGAAAACGGGAAACCTCTCGTTTTTTGAACTTAAAGATTAAAGTGGAAGCAGCTCGGCCTAACGGGTCTGCTCATAACAATGTCAGTTCATCTGATGTAAAAATTGTCTAAATTTCGAATTTTTTGAACTTCTCTAAACATATTAAGCACTATAGCACTATAGTTCCTATTCATTTAGAACAATAATGAACCTAAATTGTTAGATTTCACATCGTATTTTTAAACAAACCATTTGTTTACAGACGGACTTGACATCCACGTTAATATATGGGCTTGAAACAGTTCTTTAAATTTCAATATTTTAGAGAGGATATCTCAAGAATGTAATGGTGGAACTCAGTGGTATATCATTGTCGTGTCTCTGATATCTGGAATTATCTTTGGAATTTTCCTTTCTAAAATCGTCTCATGTTTGCGTCGTAAAGTCAAAAGCACAGACGCTCCACCATCTGAAGATGACTTGACTTACGAAGGACTTGATCTTACAAAAATGAACACAGAAGACAATTACCAGTCGTTGAGAGTGAATGCTGCGATAAACCAGGGTGCAAATGACGAGTACTCGACGTACACCGATCTGAAGAAGAATAGAGATGTTGAAAACAACTACCAGTCATTAACTTAGGACTGGAATTTAGGTTGTAGTCTTTCCACTTATTTTTCTGTTGACAATTAAACGCGGGGATAAATACCCCTAAGAAACAACTATATTATGTGCTTAGAAAAAAATCCCACCTAAACCCTGAATAGAATAATAATTTCGTCAAATGCAAACATTCAAATTACTTACGGATGATTTAGTAATAATTTAATAGTTCTACATGAACATTAGAGAATTGCTACCTTCACACAAATTATGGAAAACACGTAGTCTGCCAAAAACATGGAAAACACGGAGTATAAATGTTTGGAAAACACGGAGTCAACGTAAATTATACATATATTCATAAATGAAGGATCGCTCATAAGTCTATACTAATTTTTTATACCACAGTAATAGTATAAAAGAAAGAATACACAATAACAAAAGATTATAGCTATAATGCCTCCTTGCTCAAACTAAATTACGTGTCCTTATATCACCTTAAATCACACCAAAACTGTCACATCCAATTTCCTCTTTGTCTACAATATCCTCCCATTTAAATTGAGGAATATTATTTATGTTTAAGGATAAGTTTTTCGGTCGTTGACCGATCTTTTTCCTCAATCTTTTTGGCTAAGGAATATTTATTTTGAGTGTATCCATATCGGAATGCCCGATTGAAGAACTTGTTAATTCTTTCAATATATTTTCCTTGCAATGCAGATCCCCATACTTCAATTCCATAGTGGAATAATGACAGAATTAAAGAGTCAAACAATTTAGTGAGCTCGCTTGGTGAATATCCATAAAACTTACAAACTCTCAGGATATAAATTCTACTTCCAGCCAGTGACAGTAGGCCATCTACCTGCTTATCCCAACAGCGTGGGTTTTCTTGGAAGGTGACAGCAAATAACTTAAGCCACTTTTTGCGTCGTAACCATTAATAGGCAGGGGAGGCGTAGCGAGAGAGCGATTGCACAATAACAATTCCCACGTTTTTTTAAGATTAAGTGTCATTCTATTATTCTCAGCCCAACTCTAAATGTTGGTTACCTCGTCTAAAGCTGAATCGCCAGATGATGTGACAGGGACGCTCACTGCATGTTATATCATCGGCAAATTTGATCAAGTTGTTCGTTTGCGGGTGTTTAACTTTGAGGTATTAAAGGAGATGTAACGAAGTACGGAACTTACTCTGTTCACTTACTTCATTACCTAAAAGATGAGACGGACGGAATCTCACATTAAACTATTAGAAAAGAATAAGTTCGAATACTGAAGTATTGATAAATAATGATCGCACATCTGAAAATTGTCAGAAAGCATTGTCATATAGTTGATAAAAATCCTCATTAGGTCGATAGTAATCTATATCTACACTACAATGGCCACGGGGCTCGAGGCAGGCAAGACTTGAAACAGGAAATCAGATTACCTTTCGACTAAATGAAAAGGCACTTTTCATCATTTATTACTTTTTGACAAACTGTAGCTAATTCAAATTTTTTTGCTAAATTCATATTCCTGCATTACTTTTTATTAAATTCATGGCCATTATCAAACTTAGTTTTTCAATTCAAGACAATGTACTTAACATCCATCGACAATCAACTAGCGACTGATTGAGTATTTCCAACAGGTTTTTTCACAGTCTATTTACAAAATCAAACGACATCCGTTTTGAGACGTTATAATCTTTGAGGCAACAGACAATAGTGCAACCACCTTATCACGAGCCTCAAGGATTCCGGTGTTACCATACGTAGTAGTGAATTAAACCACGCTCTTTGATGGAGATTGACTTTGAAGGAGATTGTTAATTTATTACATTATTATGACGTGCATGCCAATAGAGGAAGGGAAGTGTCGGTAAAAAAAGCATGAGGTTGTACATTTTGGAGAGGAGAGAGAGAATTTGAGATTTTGTGTTTTGAATTGAGATTTGTGAGTGTTGTAAATACTGATTTAGAGGCGAGTTTACGACACTCTTATACTATGTCCACAAACACTTCTCACGTCTCGAACTTATCTTACACTAATAAAACACTGCATGTTAATTGTGTTGAAAGGTCTGTGTTATTGTACCATGATATCCTAAAAATCGTCGGAATTAACTTGGGCTGCATGACAGATTTCGTCCAGGAAGAGTAGCATGGCAGCAACAGAGATCGTGAAGATAAGAAAATAAGATGCCATATACCAGTACAAATATCATCAGTTTAAATAATCATAATTACCGTCCAGTTTTCCTGCGGTCATAGTTCACAACATAAATAAAGACAAAATTTGATCTGACAAAACGGACTAAAAAGAATATTTATTTAACAAAGTTGAAATGTAATCTCAGTGCATCAGGCGCTGGTTTTAGAAGGAAGCCCCCTTAACAGTAGGTGCAGGAGGTAAGGTAAGGATTTAACAAGCTCACATTCTTTTATCTCTAAGGAATCTTCAGCATCGCTTCATAGCCAATCGGATTGTCTCTTCGTTCTCATTGATATTCAACTATCTCGTCTTAATCTTGAGAATTAGCCAAATGATACGGATGAGGTGGTATTAAGAGAACATCACTTCATAGCCAATCGGATTGTCTCTTCGTTCGCATTGATATTCAACTATCTCGTCTTAATCTTGAGAATTAGCCAAATGATACGGATGAGGTGGTGATTAAGAGAACATCACTTCATAGCCAATCGGATTGTCTCTTCGTTCTCATTGATATTCAACTATCTCGTCTTAATCTTGAGAATTAGCAAAATGATACGGATGAGGTGGTGATTAAGAGAACATCTTGAAGTCTTGAAGAACACATATTCCACGTTTAAAGTCACGTATCTGGCGAATGTGGTCGTTCTTTTATAAGCACCAGGATGAGGAAGTATTGCATTTCAATTTGGCTGTATCACGTCTTTCAAAATCAGTAAAGTGCTCATCAACAAATCGTCCAGTGAAATCACAGTCTAAAGACGAAGATTTGCATGCTTTAATTGAAGAACATGAAGTTCATCGCGACAAAGAACAGTGTTCCGGGAATTGAACCCAGTAACCGTGTGTACAAGTCAGCTCCATTAGACCATTATGTTTTCTATTCTGAGGGCGTTTAAGTCAAACATTAAAGTCTACTGGGTTGCGAAAATATTCTAAACTTTTTATCGAGTATAACGAGTCATACCAATTACGCGGATATAAATTGTCAACTGAAATGTTTAGCTGCATGCAATTTTACTCGTGAAAAGTTTAATTTTCGTATGGAAAACCAACCGTAAACACGGCTCCGAACACACGGACACTGTTTTTTACGAGGGAAACCAGAGTGCCTGGAGAAAAACCCTCACCGAAAGCCGGAATTAAACACAAAGTACACAAGTTTGAGATTTTATTAAAACAAAGTCATGTATTACAACAAAGTGTGTGTGAATTAAGATATTGAAATCAAGAGAGAGGAGACGGACAATTTTGGTCCTATTTTTATTAATACTTCACTAACCATGTATTACAAAGCGTGTGTGTTTTCTTTACATAGTACATCATTAATGTGCGAAGACATTAAACTATTATATCTAAAACCGGTTACAAAGTAGGTGCGTTTAAGATCTTGACATTTAAATTTATAGAACAGTGCAGGTTAAATGTTAATTTGGCATACTTTTATAGTATAAATTGTTCATGTCTTTACAGTGTGCTATCGTGTTTGAGTAATGTTTAAGACTGATCAGTGAAACATGCATTAATGTGAGTAAGTGTCTAAGTTATCATGTGTTTTTTTGTTCTATTATAGACTTATAACCCACTAACTCTGGTAGAGAGCTGAATAAAGCTTATGAGATCGATGAACTAATATAGTAATACATAAAAATGTCTGAGTTCAGAGCGCTTAGATTCAAGTTACGTTCGTCCAAAAACTAAAATTATTTTGCTGACAAATCATAGGCAGTGTTCCTAATAGTTTCGTTTTAAGCTGTCGAGCTGCGCACACATATTTCAAGGATCGAGTTAACTTAAAAGTAACCCTTAAATGTAAGTAAATGAGCCCTTATAGCGGAAACAGCATGAAGACATACACAATTGTCCTTCAAAACTTCATTGCACATTTCAGAGCGGAGGCATATAGCCAGAGCATGCTACCCTTGTAGAAACAAGGTTTGGAAAAAATACCACAAGAAATTGACTTTATATTTTTGAGGCTGAGGCATATAGCCAAAGCAACAAACTGTCGAAACCAAGTGCAGCATCAAGTGTAAATATTTTTTTTTTGAAAAAATTCAGTTAACATTTTTTGAACCATGCAAGGGATATTCCCAAAGCAAGCTGCCCTTATAGAAACAGCACCAAGAGTACAATTTTTTCTCAGAGAAACTGGACTAATACTTTCAAAGCCAAAGCATATAGCCAAAGCAAGCTGCTCTTATAGAAGCAGCCACATGAGTACATTTTTTTCTTTGAAAATCTAGTTTAAAAACTTTTAGAGCTAAGGCATAAAGCCAAAGCAAGCTGCTCTTATAGAAACAGAAATGAAAATAACACTGCAACGTTATTAGATATCCCAAGATACCTCCTAACACTTCGAACCAAATAGCAAAATCAAACAGTACAGACAAAAAGTGGCGCCTTACTTTTCATAAGCACTGCTCGACGAAGCTAAATGATTGGAAATCTCACAGAGACCTTGGAAAAATAATAAAGTTACAATGCCACTGCCAATGTTTGTCTCGTAATTGATTTCTATAACTATAGTAGAAATAAGGCATATATCGTTTCAAGATAACAGCATGCACCCCCCCCCACCCATTCCTTATTTTCTTCAAGTAAATTCAAATTCATTCATTGAGAGCATGTGTGTGTTAACTTTGATTGCATAAATTCATGTATTTCAGAATAGCAAGACAGTATAAGACATGCCGTAAAATCAATGTTTCTGGCTTGAATATTAACTGTAGTCTGTAGCCTTACGTGAATGCAAGAGATAAGAGAGATATAAACTAGAAGCCATTATATAGGCCATGGTTTGCATTAATGTATTTACTCGTGTGCGTGTGTATTTTATGTGCCGCTACAAGATCATGAGGTATAGTGAATGATGTTTTGTATCTGTTCCTATAGTTTGATATAAATCATGTTTTTTTCATAAATACCTACACAATATTATATGTTCAATTACAAAATATAGTAAGGCAAGATATAATCGTATATTTACAATGTTTGCTGAGAAATCAAAAACGTATTTACATATACAAATAATTTTACAACCAGACCGAATAGTGACCCTATAGTTATCACTTTACAATGTTAATTCCGAAAGCCGCAATTGACCGGATTTCAAGAGCCGACTGAGATGATTTCAATCAGGACAAGACAGAAATAAGAAGTAGAAGAAAGAACCTATGGGATTATGTCTGCCATTTGTGGCTATGGTTTGTGTAGTGTGCATGGCTTTTAGCCATTCTTATGTGAAATATGCATATAACATGATAAATTATATGTTTTTAGTTTTAACAGGCACATTATCAACCTAAACCTTAGCGCAGCCCTAAGCACAAGCGAGCAGTCCTAAGCGCGCAAAACCGATTCAAATATTTAACCGAATTTAAGAAACGTTTGCTCACATGCATCATGCATTAGCTATGTTCCTGGTGGCCAGAACTTAGTTAACTGAACGTAAAACTTTATTTAACTTAAGTTCGTTAACTAAATTAGTTAACTTCGTTAAGTTAATCATGCACAGACTAACCCCTGCATGCACATTTTTTGACCACCAGGCTACTCTAACCTGTAACGATGCCCGGGCATCGCTGAACGTTGCTTTTTGGCGTCGATTTGGCGTAGTTTTTGGCGTATATTAGGCGTCGAGTTGGCCTACATTAGGCGTAGATTTGCCGTGGAGGTTGCCTACATTAGGCGTAGAGTGCCGTCGAGGTTGCCTACATTAGGCGTAGAGTGCCGTCGAGGTTGCCTACATTAGGCGTAGAGTGCCGTTGAGGTTGCCTACATTAGGCGTAGAGTGCCGTCGAGGTTGCCTACATTAGGCGTAGAGTGCCGTCGAGGTTGCCTACATTAGGCGTAGAGTGCCGTCGAGGTTGCCTACATTAGGCGTAGAGTGCCGTCGAGGTTGCCTACAGTAGGCGTAGATTTGCCGTCGAGGTTGCCTACATTAGGCGTAGATTATCCGTCGAGGTTGCCTACATTAGGCGTAGATTTGCCGTCGAGGTTGCCTACATTAGGCGTTGATTTGCCGTCGAAGTTGCCTACATTAGACGTAGATTTGCCGTCGAGATTGCATACTTATTTAGACGTAGATTTGCCGTCGATTTGGCTTGTCGGTAATAGCTCAACAAAGCCCATCAACCTGAAATAAGATTAAGGAAATAAGCAAACTACATTTTTTATTAAGAAGAAACACGCGTAGAATCGGGATTGTAAACAGACCCAAAACAACATCTATAATATAAAACCTCCCTGGGATTTCAAGTATTTCCTTGCCATTATTCATATTAAATTATCATGCTGCCGTTGTTTTTCTTGACCTGAATCATGCATAGACTCCCCATTGTTCGATTTATCTAAAAATGTTCAATTGCTTAATACTCACGTTTTGTTATGAACAGGTTTTGTCGCTGTTTCAAATCAATCAAATGGCTTGACCCGCTAAACCGCTACCTGCAATAAAACCAAAAGAATGCTTGTTATAGACAGCGATTTTAAGGATTTACCTTCGATAAAGGGAGCTTAAATATCGGGAGAAAACTTGCGGTGTGATTATTCAGTTGAGAGAACGCGTGATGCCTGATCAAGCGTTAAGTTTTCCCATCCTATTTTGAATAAAATAACCCCCAAATTACCTGTTCATTTCAGCAACAAGTGTTTAAGAGCAGCTTTGGACTTGCCGTCTCTTTAAATGCGAGCCATCTCGGCGAATTTCAGCTATGGGTTTTCTTTCCAAGCTCATTTCTATATTCGGTTTGGTTTTAGCTTTTAAACTCCACCTGGAAGAACAAAAGGCAATGTTAGTTTACTGGTTTGGTCTTTATAACTCAATTCAAAAAAATTGCTTGCGATTGCGGAGCAAAGTTTAGCGGCTCACATACGATTTAGCGTATATTACCTTTCTCATATCATCAACAAGTCCCAAGAAAATGCGTAGACGTGCTTTCTCTTCAAAGGCGAGTTATCTTGAGTTAAATGCGAGTCGTCTCGGGCAATTTCAGCTACGGTAACGGACTTTTTGCCCACTTCACTTTATTCAGGTTTTAAACTCTTAAACTCTACCTGGAAGAATAAAAGGCATCATTAGTTCACTGCTTAGGTCTTTAGAACTCAGTCAAATGTAATTTGCGTGAGGTTAGAGGGAAGGTTAGCGGCTCAACGGTAAGATTTGACGTATATTACCTTTCTCATATCATCAATATTCCCCAGAAAAAGCCTAGACTTGCTTTCTCTTCAAAGGCGAGTTATCTTGAGCCAGTTTAGCCACAATTCATCGGTCGTCAATCTCTTGTTCACAAATTTCATCGTTTAACTTCGCTTTAATACGCCAAAATTCTGCATGAAAAGAATAAAAGCTACGTTAATGCTATACAAGTTTGTATTTGAAGCTGAACACAACACGAGAGAGGCATTACAAGACGTGAACTAAAGATACGTGGAACCTCAAGCCCAAAAGCTCACGATGAAACAAGCAGATAAAGAACGCAAAGGAAAAGGCATATTACCTGGTATTACACCAACGACAGCCTGTCAGAGATGGTAAACTTGTATTAAAATTCTCTTCTGCTGAAGACGATAGCAATCTGATAGCAATTTCTGTTGAAATTTTCTTGGCATGGAAGAGACTCATTTTTATTCTTCGAAGACCAGCGTTGAACTGATGTCTCGAACGGGAATCAAAAGCCCATATTCATTTCACCCGCTCCTCGTGACTGCAAAATAAAGTCATCCTATTGGATGAACACTCCCGACCTGACAGCTCAACAACGCTTCTGATTGGACGTTCATAGTAATTTAAATAATATGATTAATTCTCTTCTCCTGAGCATGCATGGACATTAGAAATGAAAGGAAATAATTAATCATATTATTCAAACTACTATGCTCGTCCAATCGGAAGCAATGTTGAGCTGTCAGGCCGGGAATGTTCAGCCAATAGGATGACTTTATTTTGCAACACGAGGAGCGGGTGAAATAAATATCTAGCTTTGAGTCAACGTTGCCACATAACAACTTGGATAACACGGAGTCGGAGTTTCCGAGCCGGAGTTTCGGAGCCGGAGTTTCAGAGCCGGAGTTTCGGAGCCGGAGTTTCGGAGCCGGAATTTCGGAGCCGGAGTTCCGGAGCCGGAGTTTCGGAGCCGGAGTCAAAATTACGGAGTCTGACGTAATAGCTAATATTGGAAAACACGGAGTCTGCCAAAAACATGGAAAACACGGAGTATAAATGTTTGGAAAACACGGAGTCAACGTAAATTACACATATATTCATAAATGAAGGATCGCTCATAATTCTATACTAATTTTTTATACCACAGTAATAGTATAAAAGAAAGAACACGCAATAACAAAAGATTATAGCTATAATGCCTCTTGCTCAAAGTCATAGAATTATTGTTGTAGCTAACTAACAATATCCTCCCATTTAAATTGAGGAATATTATTTATGTTTAAGGATAATTTCCAAACATTTATATCCGTGTTTTCCATATTTTTAACAGACTCTGTGTTTTCCATAATTTTTGACTCCGTGTTTTCCAATATTATAACGTCAGACTCCGTAATTTTGACTCCGGGACTCCGGCTCCGAAACTCCGGCTCCGGAACTCCGACTCCGTGTTATCCATGTTACCATCGACGAGAGGTTCTGCTTGACATAGCGACGGTAATGACACTTGACCCAAGCGCTAAGTCATTTAGTCTATTAGGTAATTAGGTAAATGGTCTTATAGCTATGACCTAAACCTGTTTTAGTACTGGCTTAGTTCACGGTTCTTTAGCTCAAGATTTAGATTAAAAACTGTAGTTCATGTGCGAAACTTCCACATGTAGACCGAGATTCTCCACTGTACTTCCACCGATATTTTACCGGCGCTGTTTTACCGAATGATGCTATTTCAGACTGTCATTGACGGGAAGTTATATAATCACTAAATAAACACTCGCCAGACAAAATCTTTCCAAGCAGTGGGAAATTCTGTAGAGAGAAGTACATTTGTGTGATATTCACAATTTTAGACTCGCTACAAGTCAACTCTTACTGATGTTATGTCTCAACTGTGATCTAATATGTGTGGGAGTGTGTTCGGCACTTGTAGACATCCTGTTGCGAAATGTACGTTAATCTATACTGGTGTCATTTTACATATACCGAAGGTATCAAAGTATCAAACCCACCATGTTTGTATGGTAGGGAATTGATAAGAAAATAGCTTTTATTTTGTTTAAATTACAAAGTACAATATTGGCGTAAATGGATTTAGTCTATAGATCTTGTTTTGCTATATAATACCAGAGAGTTATTTCTAAACCGGCGACGGTGGATGTTTATAATACATGATTCTGACAGCACATTTCATCATCAGTTGACATTGCTGTATTGTGCAAGACTTGCTTGTTTCGCTGTTAAAACTGAGTTGAAATTGAAGTAGTACATGCCAAGATTTTGCTGTGACTGAAAAGTGGTTTCCAATATGAACAACTGGGGAACAATCGCTTTTGCTGTACTGTTGTTTGTTTCACGTATTCAGGTAACAAGTCGCAATGATTTTTACTACACGCGGGATATTGTGAGATCATTCAGTATACGATCTATACATCTGTATTTGTATTTTTTGTCGACTTGTCGGTTATATCTTTATTCTTTAAACATAAATTATTCATACAACAAAATAGCGAATATTAACGGCAATCTACTGAATAGCTTGCCGGATTTATTATTCATTATCTGCATGCCGGTCAGGTATTTCCCGTTTCCGAGTGTACCATAGATTTACTATAGACTTGTCTGGCCATTGAATTAGGCGATCGCTCCAGCGGAGTGGGTCAAGGTAAATTTTCTGGTAAAATTTTAATTTTAAACTAAACTTTACTACAATTTTGAAAAGCAACGCTTGTTTTCATTTTCTCTGCATGCATCAACCAACGCGTTTAGACATGATGTTATTGAGAAGTTCGGTCAAGGTGGGCGAGAAAGGGGAGAGCAAAATACCCGGAACAAGAAGGCCTTGGTCAGAGAGAAAATGTCGGCAATTAAGACGTTCGCATCGCATCAATCTCCCTGATTTTCTCGTTCAAGCTATTACCGCAAATTAGTGGACACTATTTTTTTTATTTCGCAGTGATGATTTTCGCATAGCTTCTCCTGCTGATATGCTGTGTTCCGATGAGATACTTTCGGTGGTAGATAATAATATTACAATTATTTCTACGCGTATATACGGAATTGTACAGTCCGTACATTTTAAAACTGTATTAAATTTGTTTGAGTTTTTTGTCGTGGTATTTCACCCCAGATACAGAGAACTCTTAGCATTACACTTCAGCGTATCATAGCTACAAAAACAGACTGAAATAATCTCTCGAACAAAGAGCAAATTTATAAGCAAACATGCATGGAAGTGTTGTAAAAATTCTGATTAATTTAACTAAACACCAATCACAACGCAGATATCCTGTTAAAGTTAAGGCATACTTAATTGGTGTCACAAATTTGGTCGCGAAATATTGCAGTGTGAAAAATGCATATAGCCATGGAAAATTAGTATATTTTCTAAATAATATTTAAAACAGGTGATGGAGCGTTTTATCATAATTAAAACACTTATGTTTATGGATTTCTTTTATCGCACATATAGTAAATTAAATTTATGATACTAATTAATTTCAACCCTGGCGATATTTTTCGTAATTTTGCGTATTTACAAAAATGCGATTTTTCAAGCAAAATAAATCGGCGATTTCCGAGAATGACAGAAAAGTTTGTTATTCGCTTCATAACATTTATACGAGGTTAAACCATGAAATTGGATTCATTAGATGCGCGATATTTCATTGCCTTCCCATAATTTTTCAACAACCAAAGTATAATAAATTATATTAAAAACTTTTTATAGATATTTTCTTGCTCAGGAAAATTAAAGATAGATTTGAGGCGATACGAAAACCCAGGAAATAAATTAAAAGATAATTCCTGCTGTGAACTCACTTGCTTAAATGATTGTGATCCCTTCTTCGAGTTCACCTTCAAAGGGACCAAGAAAGAACTGAGTCCACGCCGAAGTGGAAAAGACATCAGTTTTTCCTCCCAATCTATAACGTTTTCCTTTGAAGACACCTGGAAGGTGAGTCTATAACAAGGTCAAGGTGCATGTATAAAAGAAGAGTGAAAGGTATTTTCCACAATCTTGCAAGGAATGCAAAGACAAAAGAACATGCACTCGTGCATGTCGCTCGCTATTAAATTTTCTGTTGTCCTTGCATTTACATGAAAGTGTTTTTGTGGGCGAAACATACTTAGATCAGGGGCGTAAGCTGATAATATAGCACTTATACTGGTTTTCCCTTATATGCTATTGTCTTTACTACCAAGCTTAAACTTCAGAAGGGAAAACTCACATAAGTACTGCAATAGTAACGAAGATCTAGTTTCTAAAGTTGATGCCCAGGCATTAGCGTGAATAAAAAGCATTTAACATTATAATGATGGGAAGTTCGATTCTTCACCCACCGCTTCCATGCACGACAGGAAACTTTCCATGTCTTCCGTAATAATCATGTCTTGTCATACATATATGAACTGTCGTGCACAACCTGTTAACTTGACTTCCTAAGAGACTTTACCACCGTTTTTAGCACATGATTCCAGGTGGTCCAGTCCCTAAGTTCATATCAAAATAGGAACAGTGATCGCTCGTCACTAATTTTTTGAAAGTCACTCTAAGTCTCCTCACGTCTCGGAAACTCGATTTTCAGGATCACGCGAACAGCCCGAAAAGGTGATTATGCTTGGTTTATATAGCGATATAATACCATCTCTTTAAGTTTCAACGTTCGCGATTTCGCATTGAAACAAAAATAAAGTGCTCTTCTCATAGAAAACAATGATGTTGTCAAATAATAAAGTTCTCAGTTGAAAAGGTCATTGCGATGCTCTAACAGTAACGAAATTTGACGTTTGTTCATCTGTGTTATTCATTTTTAGCCTGGACAAAGCTTGTTTTTGAAAATATGGGATTATGATGATACATCAAGAAATGATTTGATTTACGATGGAAAAATAACCCTCCCATCAAAAGCAAATTACAATTCACAATCCTCTGCCAAAGCTTACACAGTGTACTTTAAAGGAAAGTACGTAACACTCAGGACCACTGTTAGAGTCTACTGTAACCCTGGTTATTTAATACCAGATTGCGCTGAGCATTGTGTGTCCCGGAACGACAGCAAAGGTCACTTTCACTGCGACTACGAAAGTGGCACAAAAACCTGTCTTTCTAGTTGGTTTGATGTCGATAAAAATTGCACAAAGTTCTGTTCACCACAGAATGATGATGAACAAGGGCACTATAACTGCTCTAAAAGAGGAGATAAACTGTGCTTAAGAAATTGGTACGGAAAAAATTGTACCGTGAATTGCATCGAAAACATCCAGACTTTCTATTGTGACGTAAATACCGGAGAAAGAGTTTGTCGTCCAGATTGGTTTGGAAGTAACTGCACAACGTACTGTAGAAGTCAAAACGATTCAACTGGAAATTTTCATTGTAATAAAACCTCCGGTATGAAAATATGCAATGCTCACTGGTATGGAATCAATTGCACAAATTTTTGTAAGGAACAAAATGAAACGAGTGGGCATTACTCATGCAAAAAAGAGAACGGGTTAAAAATTTGTCATGAACATTGGTATGGAATAAACTGCTCAGTATTTTGTAAGGGTAAGAATGATTCAACTGGACATTTTTTCTGCAATCAATCATCTGGATTGAAACTTTGTCATCAGCATTGGTATGGAGCAAGCTGCACTAGATATTGCAAAAAACAAAATTACTCGTCTGGACATTATGTCTGTGATAAACATACTGGTTTCAAGATTTGTTCTGCCAATTGGTTCGGCGAAAATTGTAGTGTTTTTTGTTTGCAATCAAGCAATGACTTTATCGGACATTATGATTGCAACAGAACAACAGGTTTAAAAATCTGTCACAAAAACTGGTATGGGAATAATTGTACGAGCTATTGTGAAGAGGACAGCGATTCTGGGGAGAGGTATTCTTGCAATAGAACGACCGGGGAATATATTTGTCATTTAAATTGGTTTGGAAAGAACTGCAATTGTACTAAAATAGAAAATTATTATTGCAATCAAACATTCAAACAACGGGGCAGAGAATATGTCATCCACATTGGTATGGTTCTGACTGTACAGTCAACTGCATAGAAAAGTCTGAGAATGCTGACACTTACTCTTGCGATAAGAAAACGGGAAGAAAAGTTTGTCGTTCTAACTGGTTTGGAGAAAGCTGCGAAATATTCTGTAAAAGTACAGACGATGATTCTGGTCATTATTCGTGCAATGAAACATCTGGTTCGAAGATTTGCCACTCGCGTTGGTATGGTGAGAATTGCACAATATTCTGTGATGAAGGTGAAAACGAATCTTCCTGTGGCAGGAATGAAGGTAAATACCTATATTTTGTAATTTTTAAATACATGCATATGCAGGAATCAGGATTCGTATTCACATATTCGTTTTGTGTCCGTTTGTTTTTGGTGGCGGTCAAAAGCCCTACTCATCTTCTTGCGGGATAGAAATGTTACACGAAGTTTTATTGGCTCCAGAAAACTTCGCGAAACATCATGCACTGCAAAAAATCTATGAAGAAATCTTACTCAATTATTTAGTATTTGCGAATATTATATACGCAAATATTTGATTTAAAGATACTCACAGCTTGAGTAGGGTAAATTTTACCCTACTAATGAGTAAGAAAGATAGATAATCACCATTATGCGGCCCAATTTGCGTATAACTTCAACGTGAGAAATTTTTCGGCAATTCGTCAACATAACTTGGAATGGTTGAACACGTGGTATTGTTATTCAAAGATGGCAGATCGATCAGAGGTGGCTCACCTGAAATGATTAATTGCAAATATTTCGGAAGCAAATGCATCTTCAAAGGAGAAAAAAGAGTAACAGGAACATAATAGTGAAAGAGCGGCAAAAAGAAAAAAAGAGAAAAAAAATAAAAAAAAGGAAAAGAAGAAAGGTGGCTGGAGAAGAATGTAATGGGTATGAGCAAGTGACACTGTTGTTATGGAGTTGGAAAGGAACATGATATTGTGAGTGAAATGGAATCAATCAAGATTTCAAAATTAGAGCGTATACTTCCAAAATTAAAGCCACAGCTAGTTTATGCGAAGAGTGTGATAAAGCATAAAAATTAAAAGAACAGTGTTAAAAATTATATATATATATATATATATATTATAATATATATATATATATATATATATATGTATATAATTATATTGCTATAGTATTTGTGCGTATATTCTCGGTCCTGTTAAAATAAAGTTTTGTAAGGGATAGTATTGCAAACAAGTAGCTTTGCTTTTAATAGTGGGTGATCTGTTTGAAAAGGTATATGCATTTGTAAGTTTTGATGGTATACACAATTCACTAGTGAAAAATATTTTACCCCTCAAAATATTCGTTTGTTCTTAAAAGGGAGAAGATCGGATTCAAAAGCAGAGGATAACAACGAAATCTGGTTCATCGTTGGAGGTGTAATTGCCGCTTTCCTGCTTATTTTCGGTGTGATTGTCATGATCAGGTACTATGATACATGATGATGGTATATCATTCATGCCTGCAAATTCACTCTAACCTACCTAAACGTGTAGAAATTTATAGCGGTTCTGAACTAGGATGTAATTAAGACACAGTTTAAGTGGTCGTATAAACAACATACGAACAAACTCTTTTGTTTAACTTTGGACGTTTTTTCTTCTTAAGGGTGAGGCGTCGAAAGATGACGACAAAAATGGCCGATCCTGGTGGTGGTATGAACAGACAAAATACACTTACCACGCTAGTGATGGAAAACTTTGGAATCGACTCTGAGTAAGTTTGCCACTGCATGAGACTAATAAATTGAGCCGAGAGTAAGACTTCATTAAATTAAATTGACTGATTACGTTTTTCCCAAACGTAATTTGTACATGGGATTGCATAACACAGTCCCCTCCAGATTGCAGGCCTTAAACCAGCTTAACATCTTTATAACAAAATCTGATTATATATAGTAAGTCTATACATTATTACCATTTGCGTTTGAGAATGAAGCGTGAACTATTTTATGTTTTGAGCATAATGAATTGTCATTTTTTATCTTTAAAAGAAAAGGTCACACAATATAAAATTTCACTAAAGAAAGACAGTATGCTAAACAAACTTTTAGTCAGGCTAAAACCAAACGTTTCAAACTAGAAACGTTAACATTATTTTCATGCTTCCTCTCGATCACGTGATCATACGTGTCGTATCATACATATCTAGGCGTAAAAAGACATTAGTTCCACCCCACTGTTTTGGAAACAGAGATACGACACGCTTAGATGCTTTTTTCTACGGTTTTCGCGGGTTCCGCATATAGTTTCTCCATTGTTGAAGGGTAAAATGGTTAACCTCTTAATTCTCAAGTGGTGGTAATGTTATACGGTAATGCCTGGTTTCCATTTAGTCTTGAGGGCCTACAATGTCAAGGTGGCTGATGATATAGAATAATTTGTATGAATGCAGAAATATAGACAATTTTACAACCGTACTATTTTCTAATCGGTGAACATGACTTGTACAAGACAATTACGATTAAATGGGAACCAGGGTTAAAAAAGTCATCGTGTAATGCGGACGTTTGTCTGTTCCTTTCAGAGACACGAACGATTCACGTGAGTGCAAAGGCGACAATACCACAAACACGCCAGCTGACGAATTTATTGTTTCTGGGAATCCTTTGTACGGAGAATATACTGGAAATCCTGCGCATGAAGAATTTACTGGAAATCCTTTGTATGAGGAATCTATTGGGAATCCTTTGGATGAAACAATTTCGGAAAATCCTTTGTATGAAGAAACGTCCAAGGTGTGAAATTTCGAAAAAAGACATTTCACGTATACGCGTGTGGCTACCACCTCCGCAGGCGCTAGGCAGCATTTCGGGCGATTTCTGAAAATATTTGCCCGAAAGGGCCTGCGGAGGAGGTAGCGCGTGTGGAATAGTTTATGGCTTTTTATAACGATATACTAGGACTCTTAAATAATGCTTTTCCAAACCTTAATATAGTTTTAAAGAAAGGAAATAAGACTTTTTTACGCATGATTAGCTAATAATCACTTCTTACAATAACAGAAATATAATGGAAACTTTTTTATAATGGAAATTTACATTTTGAACTTCTACACATTTTGAAATATGTTTTGTTGTCTGAATATCTAACGGCATTTTGGTTCGCTGTGCAAAAATTATTAAATGAATATTATGAACTAGTGTTTTTGATGAGAAAAATTCGAAAAATGCGAAATTTGAGGAATTTTTTTAACCGACTTGATCCACTTTAAGTTGAAACAAATGTTAGCGTTTAAAATTTGAATGCATAACACAATTCGGTTACCATTGTAAAAGATTTAACTCTAAAAGATTTAACGCTAACTCTTTTGTTTAACTTAAACTATGTAATTTTATCTATCAACGAAGTTGTATTTTGATTTGGGGTTGATTTGAGTACGATGTCAAATGCTAGGCATTGCTTGGTATAAAGTCGTAGGAAATCTCGTCGTAGATATTACGAGTAACTTAATAAAATGTTTGGGTATAATTATAAAAGAAATGGAAACTGACCGAAATTCCCACTAACAGCTTATTGTCGTATAAATTCACAATGGCAAAATGAACGCTAATACCTACATGCCGACTTAATAAAATATACAATATCTCGCCCCAGCGGCTCGTCCCGATTCCCCAGTTGTACTCGCCATCGCACGCATGTTCATCTATAACTAACTATGCGTATCAGTGGCGTAACGATTCAGGGCTCAGACAGGGGTGAACCCTGTACTAAAATTAGGTTTTGGGGATATTGGGCCCTTTTAATGTTTTACTCGAGTGTAGTGCACCTGTTACGGTACTGTTGACTTAATGCTACGGTATTTAAATTTTAACAACAGGTTTTGAGATGTTTTGATACACCTTTATGATATTTTGGCAATGCGTTCCTCCTAAGACTCAAGTCTTAACATATTATTATTCACCATGTGCATTTATTATTATTATTTCCTGCTGTCGTGGGCGCACCCACATAGCGCCATCACAAAGGAACGCCACCCCTTCCTGTCCTTTGCTGCCACGATAGGCCCCTCGTACGTTATGGACTCCTGCAAGTCCCTTGTGACTGCGTCAAGCCAGCGCATGCGGTGCCATGCGCATTTATATTTTACTCTCATCATTAAGCTTCATCGAATCCTTAACGAATCCTTCCATGGCAGGCTGTCGGTATATATGGTAATTTTACCGCGGCATGCTTATCGACAAGGACGTAATTAGCGCGTTAATTTGACAGGCGTGTATTCATAAAATTTCTTTTGAAGGCGCCATCTCATACAATAAAATCCCGTCGGGCAGAGGAGTAAAAGGCGCTGTAGCACTATGCAAGTGCTATGCAAGTGCTAGTTCCTTGGAACTTGCAATGCAATTATAACTTTGAGGGATGTTAATTCGTAAAGAGTGTTCGAAATGCTAAGAATTAAATCGTTAGCAGATAATAAGAAATATTCGTATTTCTCAAATTTAGATCCCTCAGGAGTAGAACCGCTTTGCAAGTTGCAAGGATAACAAGTGTATAACACCGCCATATTAAAAACATGCACCCCACCTCAATTATCGCATCTAGTTACAGCCCTGTCTATCTAGAATAGACCTTAGCGGAAAAACTATTATAGTAGCTATTAGCACGTCTTTCACCATCTTGGCAAAGCGTTATACTTTTCTCTTTACCCCCACGGAGACATAAGCACGTTCGGTTTGTCAGCTCACTTACATACCCCCCACACACGTATACTAACCTGACTCATATATGGAGCGATAAACACCGCAATTTTTCTTGAAAAGGCACCGAACTTTAACATTTCAATATTACATTGTTTGTAAAGTCGTGCCGCGCCAAGTATCGCTGTGGGAGTATTTATTAAAGCTTTTTCATTTAGTGGATTTCTCCTTAAATATATAGATTTAAAACAAATTGCAGTTTTTAGTAATTGTGTCACTGTTTTAATTACTTTTTCCCCATTTTTATGTTTATATACCCACAGGCGCTCATTTATTTTGTTCTTCGAGAAATTTCCAAAAATTTTCCAAACATTGGGGATTTTTGAATAATTGAATTGGTGCCATGTGGACTTTCTTTTATATGTGTTCATATGACATAGAAAACAAATATTTTTGGACATAAAGATAAAATATATTTAGAATCGCTCACACGTTTTTAGGTCAGCCAAATCTATAATAGCACATAGCCTCCTCCACAGGCCTCTCTTTGGGGCTTAAAATATTTTTTTATAACTACTGATCGAGGTACCGGTTTAATTATAAAACGACCCAGGTCAAATTATTTTACATGGCAACCAAATATGCGGGAAGCTATAAAAAGAAATATGCTTATACTGTAGTATAAATTAAACCGCTGACTGACCAATTAAATTCTAATAACTCTGCCTGCAATCAAATTGCGGCTAAATATGTTTGCATTACGAACCGCCTTTGAATATACCGTGCCTTTATAAACTAATGTTATGTAACTATACAGAAGCATTATCCAAACTTTCGTGTTTGGAGAGATTATCACGCAATCTAAAGCTGCAGTAAATTTCCTAGTGTCCAAGTTTGTCGAAGGTAAATTAAATGTTGGGCGAGCTGTTTGTCGATTTTTTATCGGTGCTAGTTGTCCTTGTCCTCGTACATCCTTCAAGGACAGTCCAACAACTGTGCAATTCCTGCACGCGAGTAGATTTTAGCGTCGAGCATGGAATCGCGGACAGAATTTTCCCGGAAGACCGTGTGTTTGAAATTAAGACGGTTGAAAGTGCCACGGAGTGTTTTGCTGAATGCTCGCTGGATTGTCGCTGTTTGTCGTTCTCCGTTTGTGAAATGTCCTGTCACCTGAATTCTGGAAGTCAAAATTTGACGCGAAGTCCTCTGGTGCACAAGCCTGGATGTCGATACTATGAATTTCCCACTCCAAAGGTAGGTTGTTGTGCAGTGTCTGAGACTATCTTGGCTCTACAGGCCTATGTTTTTTGTAAAAACTAACTTTGACGAAATACTGAGACACACAGCCTAGACACGCAGTCTAGACAAGCGGCATAGCATGAATTCAGGCTTCCGTCAGGCAACGAATTAGTTTACGAGTGAAACAAAATTTCCAAAGCTTTGTTGGTTTTACTTATCAAAATGAAAAAAATTGTCAGTAGGCCCCTATAATAGTATTTTTATAACCCAGGTAAAGACATAATAAACCTTTCTATTTTACTTTTTCTATTTTAAACCTTTCTAAGTTATTCCACATGAAGTTATAAAACGATTGTGGGGGGCGAACATTCGAATTAAGAATTCTGGCAGACGTTTTAACTTTCATGATGTAAATGATTATTAATAGATCTATAGGTTGCAAATTAATATCATAGGCACTGCAAGAAATTTAGCTTTATGAATCCCGTTCCGCCTTTTTTTTTGTGCCGAATCGAATCCAAATTACCTCAAACAATTAAAGACTTTAGCTCATTAGGTTCGGCACATGAAAGTCCGACGTCTGAAACAGAAGCAGTAGAGCGAAAAGCAGGTAAGCATGCACCGTCTGCATTTTAATGGCTGTATTCCATGCTTGTTTAGAATACATGCCTCGAATCGCAAAGTCGACAACCTATTTGTTGTTTACCCTCGTCTGATCTGTGCTTCAACGGAGGATCCTGCTCTGAAGACGAGACAAGGAGATTCAAATGTCAATGCGCGGATGGTTACTATGGAAGACAGTGTAATATTGAGAATCCTACAACATGCTTGGATTACTGGACAGATCAAGTGAAGCCGTTGTCTGGAGAATACAGCGTGGTCGGCCCTGACGGAAAATCTTATAAAATCTTTTGCGATTTCGACTCCGAGGACAAGATGGCTTGGACACTTTTTCAGTCGTTCGATGTCGCCCACGAGGCTCCGTTAATGTATAAGTCATTATCCGCGGATTTACCACTGAATGAGCATGATCTGAACTGGAAGCTGTTTCGCCTGCCAAAATCCGTTATGTCATCCATGCGGTTATTTTCCACGTTTTGGCGGGGAACCTGTTCCTACGCAACGTATGGCGTGGATTACAGAGATTACCTTAGAGTGCGTCTATCTATGATGAATCCCTTAGATTACAAAAAGTATTATTCTGATATTAAGACTAATCCTTGTATAACAGTCGATTATCTCGACATTAAGGGGAATAATTGCGAAGGTTGTAGTCAGAGTTTTCTGCAGCACGATACCAATGCACTTCACATGAAACCAAAGCAAAGTCGTGAGCAAACAAGTTGTACTTTTAACTCACTCGGCATTGAGTATAGATGTCCTAATGGGGGTGGACGTTATGCGCATATCTTAGGGCTATATTCTAAGACTTGCCTCGATCCGAATTATAGATGCACTCTAAATGAGAATTCTACAACTGAATTTTGGTTCGGTGCTAAAAAAACGAATTAGGTCCTAGGAATATATCCATTGATTTACCTCATATAACGGTGTTTGACTTACACAATGGGGCAGTAAGAAGTAGTGGTGTTTAAAGGCAAAAAATGTGTCATATATAAGCAATTGACTTGCGAGTTTATTGAAAGAATAAATTATGTTTAGGCATTGGAAGTAGTACAAGAATATATATATAAGAATACTTCCGCTTGATAGAGAATCGTTTAACCAAATGCTTTCAGTATTTTCAAGATGTTACGATTTTTTTTTCGTTCATTTCCTTAAGTTTTTAAATTTCCTGACAATTAGTACAAAGCCGGTTGTAAAAATAAACTGCTATACAACTATGCAGTCAAGTCATAGTTAACTAATACCGCAACAAATACAGTTATAGACGTTATAACACACGCTAAAATCTCACGTCTTGTAATAAATATATAAACAAACTGAGAGGTTTCACCATTAAGAGGTTATATCAACTGGATTTCCGGTCTGTCCCAAACTGTCAGAAAACTTGGATTGGAAAGTACAACTCGCCGATAAAGGCTATAGAAACTTTTTTTGTTGGAAATATGTTTGGGAGGAGAGTCGGAAGACACAGAGAAACACGAAGTAACCTTTTAGAAAAGAAGTAAAAAACTATGGCATGTTCAGGCACGATTTTGAACTAATATTTGTTTATGGTTAGGCAGCTAATTAGTATCGAAGTGAGTTTTTAGCATGAATACAATTATGTATATAAAGGATGGAAAAATATAAGTTAAAAAGTATAATCATAATGTTAGTTCACTACTATACAATCGATATTATAACCATGATATATTAGTTATAAGTATGTTTATTTATATAACTTTAATTATTCTTAAATTACTTATAGAAGAGAGTACGTCTAGCTACAATTCATGTAAAGATATTTCTAAGCATGTTATTGCTGTTCTGCAAATAAAAAATATATCGCAGTTTAGGGGGGAAGTCCAGGTCGTCAAAGCACTTCTTGACTATAAGACTATTTTGACGCAAAATAAGAAAAGTCACAAGAGAGAAACAAACCACTGACATACGCACAATTTTCTGAGCAGCACGGGGTCATCAGATACATCAGATAATCATCGGATATACATCAAATGGGGCCACATGGCATCTTCATTTAATTTTGGCACCAAAAACTAACTTGAAACAAGTCATCTGATTTTATATGTAGGATTTAAAAACACTATTGTTTTCAATTTCAACCTGAAATAATTCCTATACTGGCCTAATTTCTAATCCAAAAATTAGAAAAAAAAACTCCGAGTATACTAGTGTTAACACAAGCGATATGACAAAATATTCTAGTTAATAGATGTTATATAGAGATCTAGAGTATAACCCAAGATGACAGAAAGTCCTCGATTCCAATGAAAAAATCCTATATGAACAAAGGTGGGAATGCAAAGTTGAAAGTAAACGTAACCGCATAAGGCAACGTTGAAAGTAGCTATTTTTTAGAAACATTATTATGGGATTTATTATTTATGGATTATTATATTATACGAGGAGCGAAATCCTCATCAGTACTCCTTCCATTTCAATCGAAATTTAATTGAATAACTAATATAGGACATTTCAAAAAATAGCTAGAAAACTTAGCTTTAAATGGGTAAACGTGACTACGAAATATAGTCGAAACGAAGAAAATTAAGATTTAAATTTAGTTTATATAGTTAAAGTTATATATTTCCGAATCTCATTAAGTCGAAACGATCAAAGAGTGTCATGTTAACATAATAAATTATGTTTTATTTTAAAAATACACACCTTTCTATCATTTTGAACATATATATGTAAATTCTTTGACTGTTTTAATATTATACACAGGACATAGGGAGTCATACGATACAGCTGCATTCACCAACTGATTAATAACTCTTGCATATAAAGTGCTCATTGACTTCGCAAAATTACGTCGCCAATCAGTGACGGTTTCTTGATTATGAAATTTATTTGTAATTTTCACGTTAGTTTTAAGTGCTGCATTTGCCAACTGTTTAATAATAACCGTTGCATTATAAAGATAGCGCTCATTGCATGACTTCGCTAAATTACGTCGCCATGCACTTGACGGTTTCTTAATCTTAATTATGAAATTTATTTGTAATTTTCAAGTTGGTTTTGAGTTTTATCTCAGCATACCGATTTACTTGGTATGTTTGTTTGGGATAATTTCACATATTTTTCTCTTCATTTCGTTCATAAAGGATCCGTTAAAATGCTTTCGAAATTCGGCTACATATCTCGTTGCGCAATTAGCACTTTCAGACTTCGCTGTGTGTTTGGTCTCGATGCTTTTTCTGAATTGTTCAATGCTACCTTTGGTCAGAGAAGTTATGTTCATGGTTCCTACGGGAATGTCTGTCACGGCATTAATTTCAATATCAATCGACCGCTTCCTAATGATTGCCTATCCTCTGAAGTACCGCCGTTATATGGACAACAGAACACTAATGTTTTGGCTCCTGATTATTTGGCTGCTTTCATCAATTTACCCGGCGAAATTCACGATTGTGGGTAAAACAACGACTGATGAAATTTCCCAGAAGATTTTGATGCTAACTATAACCATATTCTCAACAACAATGTACTCGTTGACCTATTTTAAACTCAAAACACAATCTCGAGACATTATGTCTTCTAACAGGGAATCTCGTGCAGAGCAGAATCGACTGTTAAAGGAACGAAGATTTTTAAGAACCATAATTCTAATAGCAAGTATCACTGTGCTTTGTCTCTCGCCTCGTGTAATTTTGGATACGGTAGACGCTACCGGAGATATTTGGTTAAAACTGAACAAGAGAACTGCTAGGATGTTAGGTCGCCTCTTCCAAGCGCTCTACACAATTAATTTTGCAATCAATCCATTAATTTATTTCCTGCGGTTGCCGAATTATCGGAATACCTTCAAATTGCTCTTTTGGAGTAACTCACATTGATAGCAGAGTTGAATATACAAAATCCTACCATTAAGTATATTATACAGGTATAACCATTTTGCTTTCAAACTTTAAAGAAAATTAAAGCGATAACTCACCTCGCTGAGCACTTTGTAAAACCATGAATCTAAATATGCCTGCACCATTCAGATTTATTTCAGCTTTATTATAAACCGTCCTGCTGGCAAATAAGTTCAACAAACGTCTGACAGCCTAACTTTAAAATCATTCGTTTTGGAAATGTCCATTAATCCATGCACGAAATTTGCCAAAGACAGTTATAATGTTGAAGCAAGAGAATTATTTGAAAGCAGCTGAACACATGGTGCAAAGCTCGTGTCAAAAATAGCGAGTTAATACTCGCTGATTTACAATTCAAATGTTGATGACAACATGACAAAAAACTTTTGTTCTTTCAATACCCAGAGGATGTTTCACACTATACTTTGTGCAGGATGTATACTACAAAGGCAATCACCATATTGTTATTAAACACAATACTACAATGGTAGCTACTTAATTCTAATTGTATAGCTCACAAAGTAAGTTTTTTGAGTATCGAGTGTTTGCCTTTTATAGACCTGGTATAACTAGCTTTTGAAAAAGGCTCCTTGTCACGAAAACTTGACAAATCATCAGGCTGACTACTCTAATGAATAAAATATATGTCATGAGCCTGCCTGCATGTTCAGAGATCAACAAATTGATAAGATTTTGATTAATTTCCTCCGAATCATTTTCATAAACATTCCTAATTACTATTTTAATAACGAGATATATCAGTCATAGTCACGGATGTAAACATCGAAATAATACTTTTGCCGACATGGCGTTAAATATATACATTGGCAAATGTTTTATCAGTCCTCTTGGAATAATTCTGCACATACTTTTATTGATCGCTATGTTCAAAGATCCGTTAAAATGTTTCAGAAATACTGGAACATGTCTTGTTGTGAATCTAGCCGTTTCTGATTTTCTTGCGTGTTCGCTTGCTACACTCGAGAGCTTCATAATTGTGAACGATGGTGTTTGGTATGAAATTGACGAGTTTTTATTACGATTATTTCCATCGGTATCCTTTGCAAGTATCGTCTCGTTATCCGTAGATCGTTTTATCATGGTCGTGTATCCATTTAAACACCGTTGCTGGATGAAAGGGAGCATCATGAGTGTGTGGATAATTTTTATCTGGTTTATAAGCTTGGTCTATCCTGGAAAAAGGGTCGTTTTTGGCAGTGAAAGACACGATAAGTACTTCGCTAACTATTTCGGGTTGGCAATAGTTTTACTCACGGCATTTTTGTACGCTGTGACATATTATAAACTACATAAACAATCTCGAAACATCGTCTTGGGAGACTCTTCCGACACGTCAAGCAATCGTGTTTCTTCCCAATGGTTACTAAAAGAGAAGAGGTTTCTGACAACAATCATCGTAATCGCTGGCATAACAGTCCTTTGCACTGTACCATTATTAGTACTTTCTCAAGCAGTAATCGTGCCAGGTTTATTGGGCAATTCATTGGCAACAGATATATTTCATGCTGTGCTGTTTGCATTGTATTATAGTGGTTTTACTGTGAATCCCATCATCTACATCATACGTTTGCCAAACTATCGACAGACATTTTATTTAATCGTGCCAGGTTTATTGGGCAATTCATTGGCAACAGATATATTTCATGCTGTGCTGTTTGCATTGTATTATAGTGGTTTTACTGTGAATCCCATCATCTACATCATACGTTTGCCAAACTATCGACAGACATTTTATTTAATTTACTGTAAAAGAATAATTTCGTGCCGTAAAGCAGGCACAGGGAGAGATGAGGCTTCTTAGTAGTCGGGCACAGGGAAAGGAAGAATTGCAGACTTGAGAACCTAAATTGAAGTTTGAATAAGTAAGATTGTAACATAATTCGCCAAGTAGTGTTTTGAAACGAATGATAGCAAGACAAGTGCTTGGTTGAGTTCATGTCTTTTACGCGATTTTTCTTGCGATAATCGATATGTTAACATGACTATAAAAATGAGCCCACTTTAGTATATTTTTAAGTACAAGGCTATAATTATACGCTAGTTTTACCCTATAATTATTCTATTTCCATACGAAAATAATCGTTTACAATCATTAATATCACAAGGATCAACTATATCCAGTTTTTTTTACCTATTTCAAATCATAATTTAAAAAGATAGCTGAAATAATCCATTCTAGCTTGGCTTATTTTCTATTTATAATTGAATCCCAGCAAAAAAGTTTCTTGCATGATTAATATTATCCCCAGTCACGATTAACCCTTAATTAACAATAAATATTGTACAAAAACGAGGCCGAATTTTCTGAGTGAATAAACAGTCACCGACTATAAAAAGACTTGCCGTGGCGTAGGAAACACGATAATTGGGGGGAGGGGCACATATTCATATGGTATATTCTTGTTAACAGACTTGAAAAGAAAATCTATTTGAAAAGAAATTGATCTTCCACAACATGAATATATGAATATGTGCCTCCTCCAAATTATCATGCTTCCTACGCCGCTGGACTTGCTATTAAAAAGTTAATGTTGCTACATCGTGAAAATCTAGTATGTGATAAGATTAATATAATTGTTTACGATCATCAAAACGTTAATTAAAGAATAACAAAAAAGTCTAATAACTTTATTTTACATAGAGTATAACTGTATAAATCAATTTCATTCATATACACTGCCCTGCGCTTTGTGCATAGATTACGTTATTTTTTACATAATAATTATTAGATACTCGTTGCAAGTCGTAGAGCGTCGACCCATCTAAAATGAACCCATCAGTCATTATAATTCGTTTTGTGAATGTCCTGTTTAATTCATGCTTTGCAAACGTGTATCATGTATGTAAACATTTCTAAACCCTAATAATTAATGTCCAAATATATGACGAAAGACAATCAGTATGTAAAAGTTAATTGATTATTTAATGAGCTCTGAGAACAAAGTTAATGCATAGCTGCCGGTCTCATAAATTGTCAAAAATTCACATGCACCCATTCGTTTTAAGCTTTTTTGATCATACGTACCTCTGTGCATTTTTCACATCATCAGTTTTTAAATCGACAGATTTGACACCTGCATGAGTTAATTGAAAAACTATTTTGTTATTTCCATCCATCTAAAAATAAAGCATGCATGGTGATAAAAATGCTGGCTCCAATATAGTAGAAAAAAACTGAAGCAAAAATAATTGCATGCAACGTCAGGTCCTTGTACTTCATACCCAAGTAACGGACGACATTCTTCGACAGGATCCTTAAAAAAACGTTTCTATAACTCGGACAGAACGAAGGTAATGCATGTCAATTACTTCATGGGGTAGCTAAAATATTTAGTTGATTGTATTATATAATTGCACCTATCAATATTTGGCTCTAAAACTTGCTAAGATCTTCAAATCAATTTTCATTCCCTGGTTCGTCACTTTTGCTTTGAATAATTTAAATGAATATGATTATTAAAATCCGAAACTTACCGAACATGATTTCGAAATGTAAAGAACCTTGTCTTTCAGCACATACCATCGTTTACGCCAATTCCTACCCGCACGTGTCTTTAAAAACCCACTGATTTCTGATTCCTCCGGCTTAGGAATCTGCGGCTGGTTGTATAAAAGACTAGTACTTTTAAGGACAGAATTGGCCAATCAGAGTCATGTATTTCTGAGTTAACTAGGATTTAACTATGCAAAATGTAGCTAATTAAGGATTTTTATACAACTGGCCCCTGATATTTAAAAAATAGATCACGTTTTTACATCAACAACGTATCACGCGAATATACTACCTCTTTTTTCTTGAAATATTGTGGCTCTTTACCCATTCTCCCCGCAGAATAGAGTCTTCTCAAAGAGTCTGCACCATTTTCTATAACATGTTTTATCCAAATATAAATATTAACAAGACGCCTACTCAGGCGATCACTCGGGCTACAGTTATCTCGTAGTAACATGGCATGTTCGTGACACCCGCGCGAGAAACGATCCTAGGACGATTTCGATTGGTTCGAAGACTTCGTGCCACCCACGCGTGATTTTTTGCAAACTCGCGACGCAAAAGAAAAAACCGAGCCCATTTTACAACTCGGTCTACCTACGGTAGCCCGAGTAATTAACTATCAAGGTCAATCAATGTAAAGATTGGAGAGAAGTGATTCGTGATGCTATTATGATGTTGACTGAGTTCATTAAACCAAAACTGTATCAATAACGTCAACTAAGATTGAAGCCAATCAAGGTGTCTGAACGTCAAAATACGATGGCGGGAAAAATTATGATTGAATGATTAAAATCTTGTGATAGCATGCAATATAACGTTTAAAATTGAATTTTTTTTTTAAACCTACCCACATTTCCCAAGTCATTCAGGTTTATATTGGCAACAATAGTTTCGGGTGATTTTGCCCGGTAAGTAATGCTTCCATCATGAATTGGTTCCATCATCTTTGGACATTCCTTCTTGATGTCTTTGGCGTTAGCCTGAATTTCTTGGCTATTCAAGATGATTTCATCATTGCTTGCTTTTTCAACGATATTATTTGCAAAATTCAGTGAACCATTGACCTTCTCATGATACGCTTTCATCTCGTTATGTTGTTTCACCAGTTGTTCGTTGACCATGTTGCGCGCTCTGTCAACGCAGCTAAGCAATTCTGCTGTGTTACGTCTTAATTTATCTGTGAAATCTTGCAAGATTTCTTCTTCTTGTTGGCGGATCGAACCTTTCGCTATTTCGGTGCTGGCATCTAGACTTTGAGTAGCCTGATTTATTTTCTTTAAGGCAATTTTAACCTCTGTAGAAGCTGCCTGCATTTGGTCGGAAGTCGTCTTCAAAGCTTTCTTGTACTGCTCGGCTACAGTAGCAATAGGTTGATTGTCATGGTTAGCTTTGGAATGGTTTAAGACAACGCAACTTATACAAGCCAGTTCCTGGCAGATATTGCAATAAAACTCGAGAGGTTTATTTTCGTGTCCTTCCTTCTTACAACGTGGCTTTCCTTTCGCTTTGCTTTGGTTTTCAGGTTTTACCAATTCCTCCAACGTTAGGACAACATGTTGCTCGAAGTCTTGCCAATCATTGTGTGTTTTCAAGCAGTTCTGGCACAGATAACTTTCGCATTCGATACATCTGCATGTGGCTGGAACTTGACTTTTGCAAGATTCGCAACGCAGCTTTTGCATTTGTTGTTGTAATACCGGAAGCATTTCTAACAAGCTGTTTATGAAATAATTCGGCGGAATTTGTTCAACGCTTTCGCCCTGTTTCATTTCAAACTGTGTTCTGCACATTGGACAGTTTAACTGATGCTGGACCCTTCGTTCCTTTTGGGCATTTTCGCGTTGAACTTCAATACATCTCGCGAGACATCTCTTACAGAACGAATGGAAGCAGGGAAGCGTCTTCGGTTCATCCAAAGTTTCTGTACAAATGCAGCACGTCAGAAGTTCCTCTATTTGCTTGGCAGGAGCAGGATCCGGCGCTGTAGCCATCTACGAGGCTAAATGGTACAAGTGCTACTATATTTATGACTCTTTCGCACTCAGGTTTTTTTGAATACCAATATTCCAAGAATTGTTTTTCTTAGTGAACCGTAATCCGACCTGGTACCAATCCGGAAGAATGTGTTACTGGTTAAAGACAATAGAAATCTTGAGACAGGGTCATAAGGTGACTAAAATCGAAACGAAAATTGACAAATTTTGCTGATGTATTAAAAAATTATTCTTTCACGCGTGTCATATAAAAGAACAGTTACTTAGCTTTCGAATAATATTCTTTTTTTTTGGGACCAGGGATTTTCTTGGTCAGAAATTTTAATTAAAAAAATTAGTGACTGAAATCAAACTTGTGTATAATAGAAGGCAAAAGAAGCAGTGCATTTATTATGAGCTTGATGACCGTGTGCGCCAATATAAGATTGTCCAATAATTCTCAGTGGTGCATATCTTTATGTCCATACAGAGTAAAGAGTTACCAGTATAGAATAAAAAGCATATTATCATCATAACCTTTGTTTTCGTTGTTTGAATTGTACAATTCCAGATATAGGACAAGGACAACTGTTTCAATCTTTTAATTTCAGTATGGTACACAAGTAAACATTGAGTTTTTTACAGCTATTAAAATAAAGTTGCATAAGGCCCATTTACAGTACAGTCAATTTATTGGCACGGCACGGCTAAAATTAGTTCCCTGGAAAACGCGAATGCGGATGCACGGATATGGAAAACACGGACAAAGAAAACGCGGACACTTTACAGTGCACACAAACTCCACCACAAATTTGTGGGTGTTTATCTTCTCCCAATAAAAGCCAAAGGTTTTAAGTGTAGCATTGTTTATTCGTATTTAAAGTACTAAGCTATTTACCCCTGTTTTGATTAATTTTGTGAGAACACATTTGATATTTTCCCACAAACGTACATGAACAATAATTGCATTTTTTGTGCGGAAAATGTTTTTTCATCTGTCTTCCTAGTGTGGCTGTGAGCACGCTAAATATAGAGATATTGCGACACAGTCATGCGAAACCACGGCTTAATATAAAATTTACAGTCTTATTTGATTGTTCGGATACCCCGGTCAAACACTGTCAAAGAGAGCCTGACGAAGTATATAGCTGCATACCTAATTAAGATAGGTGGTAAAAGTCACTTGTGTTTCATTCAAACAGACATATCGAAGATTAAGGCAGTAAAACATGCATTTCCTACATCTGAAGCCATAATAAATAACTCTAGCTGGTGTCTCGCCGGGATGTCCAAACACTCAAAAGCAATTACAAAGTAACTATTTTTGTTTCATTTTTAAAAATGATCACAACGTTAAAGAATATCTGCAGAGTATCTACAAGTGTATCTATATGTGTAATCTTGACACTATTTCGCATATTGACAACAAAAAATAATATTCGTTTCTACTCTTTGATGAACAAGTGTACACATCTTCTGTGTATTTTCTTAGTTACATGTCATAGGGGCCCACTTTAAGTACTGTTGCACGTCGTAGAGCGTTTACCCATCTGAAAAGAACCAATCAACTATTAGATACTGCTCTAAATGTTTTAACGAAACAACTCAAACAAGAACCTTACAACGACCACTAGTTGGCGAGCGATCTTGATTTAGCTAACTGAGTAATCGAAAGGAACATTTTCCCCTAGCCAATGAATTATTATCGATAGTCACTTAGTTTTCTGAATTTGTAGCTTAATCTGAGGCGAATGCTCAATGGACCAATCGGAGACCAAAATTCTCAAGAATTAACTGCATTCTATAATGTACGGTTCTGTTCAGAAACAACCTAACAAAAACTGCGGTTAACCTAGGTCAAACCTCGGTCTGATCGCGGTTGAACCAAGGTCAGACCGAGGTCGAACCGCAGTGAGACGGAGGTTTAACCTCGGCCTAACTCAGTCTGACAGACATTTCTTAAGATTTTTTCGATTTGCTTATTGTGTTGTTGCTCTCAGCTGCTCATAACATTCCGTTCGGAAGTGAACGATAACCGCGATCGTATTTTTCCCTTGCGGTCGTCTGCGGTTTCTTTACTGGGTTTCTATCGGTCGACCGAAACCGAACCGCGACCGAACCGCAACCTAACGGCAACCGAACCGCAGTGTTATTTCTGAACAGTACTGTACGTAGGAAAATATCTTTTTCACATAGTATACCTAATTTACAAACCAAGCGTTCAGAATTTGAAACATAGATAAATCCGACCTCATGGACAATATATATTTTGGGCTTTAGATTCAAATAACTGCTGTTGCTAGGAAAACTCCCCCTGAGGATAGATCGCATAGTGAACACCAAATTGTTAGCTTACACTTACTCTGAAGTTATTCGCCGAGCAGGCTATGCAACTAGTATTGTGTGAAATACCAGGCAAAATTTGAGTTATTTGTTTTGCAGTTATTTTAGCAGGTAGATAGGAATTACTTACTTTTCCGCATTTTCCCAATTATCGGTTTGCAAGACGACAGGTTCAATGCCAGCGTGAATTAATTGAAACACTATTCTTTTATGAATTGTGCCCTTCTAAAATTAAGTATTTAATGTCAAAAATTTTGTTAAAATTTTCTATTGTCAAAAGATTAATTACATCACTTGTCATAGTATGACTGTATTGTTGAAGTTTACATGTAAATAGAGATCACTTCATGGTTGACAAGTGCGTCCTATTTCTATACTAAAACTGTGAATAATCGCAAAACGAATGAGCGAGTTTGCAATCTTTTGCAACGAGTGCACAATAAAAATCGAAATCGCATGAGCCAACCATGGAGATAAGTAGTGATATTAAAAGTTGCAATCCCCATATTTTATTTGAAAAGAAATGTAAACAAACAAGTTGCCCGGCCAAAATGCCTTACGACAGTTTTCACTGGGGGGGGGGGCACACGGGTAGTGGAGAACTAAAGTCACTATTTGATTACAAGTTTAGTATTCTTTGAGAGCGCGCATGTCTGTAGCCCCCCTCTGTGTACGGCCAACTCCTAATGCTCAGAGGGGAATAAAGCAAGTTAACTGAATAACATACCATCTCAGGTCCTTGTACATGATAGCCAAGTAACTTACGGGTTTCTTCTAAACCAGTGCCCTTAAGGAAAATCGTTATTAGTGGACTAATTTTACTAGCAAATGTTCGACTGATAATCTCTTAGGCTAGTTTCCACTCAGGAAAAATCTCCTTTGGATCGGAACGGACAGGAAAATTTCCTTTGTCGGTGAGTTCTCTGGCGGCGTTTATACAAAGTTTTTCCTGTCCTGTCCAATCCAAAGGAGAATTTTCCTGAGTGGAAACTAGCCTTTAAGGGGTTGGTTGTTTTATTCAGATGGCAAATATTGTTTGCTGTTTTGCATACAACTTACCGAAGGTGTTTTCCAGACGTAAAGAATGTTGCCTTTTACCACATACCATCGCTCACACCACTTCCCCTTCACACGTGTGTTTAAACATCCGCTGATTGTTGGTTGTAATTTATTCTGCATAAATTAATTTTGAATAAATTAGTTTTTGAGAGAGCGAAAAAGTGTTTTTTTACAAACACGAAGTTGGGATGGTACTGGTAGCTCGTTAAATTATTAAACGAAAGAAATAAACGCAAGAAATACTGATGAGCAGACGGAGGTGTCGAGTTGAGGTAAACATTAAATAAGTTATTTGAGGGAACAGTTCTAAGTTCTAGTACTGGATGTTGATCTATATTCTATAGTATAGACACCATAGTCATGAGATTTAGAAATTCTTTTGTCGAAGTGAATCTTAAATCCTTCCCTCTAACCAAACCTCTAACCATTGATCCGCTTAGTACAGAAATTTGACAGTAAAAAATATTAATATTTTTTACCCCTTTGTTCCAAAAGAAAATGACTGATTACAGTGTGAAAAATGTGTATTAAAGTGGAAGCATTTCTGATGTAAACAAACGCCAAACGGTTTGTTTACATTTTGAATTTTCATACGTTTCCAAAATATGTGCTGTCTGATTATCTAAAACCATTTAGTCTGATTATCTAAAACCATTTACTAACCTTTGAAATTAGTATGAATTTTGAAAAATACGAAATTTAGGCATTTCTTTCATAGAGGGCCCACGCAAGAGCAGAACCTTATTATAATAATAAGCCAAATAATACCTCTCTTGATCGCAACTCCATACTCTTTTTTTTAGTCTTTCTGTGCACGTGAATTCTGTCTCTTCTTTCAGAATCTCTTTCTCTATTCTCAGTTTTAACTGCATTCTGTATTCGTTTTAACTGAGTGCTCGATCTTGTGTGGTTTGATTCTAGTAAAAGAAGATATTCAGTCATAGAAACTTTTCTAGCATTTTTTAAATTTAAACCTCAACCCACCTCTTGCACAGGATGGGATTTGAACATTTTATAACTATATTAATTTTAAATCTTGGCTTTAAAATTTTAACACTTGAACAACATTTTAAGGCGATTGATTTAGATTTTATATTAAACCCACCATGATTTTTTTTATCATTCTGGTGTAAGATATATATAATTGATTCTGCAATGGAATTTTTTTCTTCGTATTGTCTAAATGTTGCTTCCTTCATTCCAGAGTTCTAACAATGGGAAAAATTCGATCACTTTTTCTATTTTTGGCAATTAATTGATAGAAAAATAATGAATAATTATGACTATTAAGTCTTATTGAATCACGCATGAATTAACGACGTTTCACATGACAAGAAATGCAGTAATTTAGTATATTACCTCTTCACGCTCTTCACTTTCTTTCATGAAGGACAAGGACAAGGAATGGGGTTTTGGAACCCTGTCTTTCTCCCAACAGCAGACACTGTTTTCTTCAGTTTTAGCTGTTCTCTGATTGCTTTTGTATGTTGTATCGGTCATTTCTATTAAATGAAGAAAAATCCTTACAACTTTGTCAACACGAGTAAAAGACTGCAGACGCTAACCTAACTTTTTCTAGCCTGATACGGCAGTGAGTAATTGGACAAAATAAACGCTGGGCATGCTCAAGGCTTGTATAGCTTTAAAGAACAACCACTAATCCAATTTGCATTGGTTTCTCGTATAGATGTGGCGTGTGTTTTTTACAAAATAATTATTCTTCTTGGACTTCTTGCAAGTCATTTTGAGCTCTCTTTAAAATTAGGGCTTGACGGCATGAATTATAAGAGCTTGGAAATTTTTGAATGACATATGTATGAAACTTTGCTTCTTTTGTAACTGACAAATTACAAATACAAACATTCCTCCAAATTCATAATGAAACCAACTCTTCAAAACTTCGATCTTGAAAGAAACTATAACTTCTTCTCGAATATAGACTGAGTTGACGAAAGTTAATCAACATTGTAGTGATTGTACATAAATTTTTCATAGGTAACAGAACAATTTGATTTTCGTTGAAGCTGTCATGCACTAACAAAAACAGATTTGGTATTAAACCTACCCACATTTCCTAGATCATCAAGGATTATATTGCCAACAATAATTTTGGTATGGTATGTAATGGTACCATCATGAATTGGTTTCATCCTATCTGGGCGTCTCTTCTTGATATCTTTGGCGTTAAGCTGAAGTGCTCTACCTTGCAAAATGATTTCCTCGTTGCTCGCTTTTTCCATGATATTCTTTGCAAAATCCAACGAGCCGTTCACCTTCTCAAGATAGGCTTTCATGTCGTCATGTTGTCTAATAAGTTCTTGGTTGACCACGTTGTACTGTCTGTCGACTTTGTCGAGCAAAGCTGCTGCTTTTTGTTCTACTTTCTGGGTTAAATTTTTCGAGATTTCCTTTTCCTGCTGTCGTATCATATCATTGGCGCTTTTTCCGTTGGCTTGCAGAGTTTCAGCAGCGGCGTCTATTTTCTGCAGGGCAATTTCAACTTCTTTGGACGTCTTCTGTAAGATGACGGAAGTTTCCTTCAAAGCTTCCATGTTTTCCTCAGCAACATTATCCATAGGTTGATATTTATGATCAGGTTTCGGATGATCTAAAACAACGCAACTCATACATGCCAGGTCTTGACATGTATTGCAATAAAATTCAAAGTGTTTGTTGTTGTGTCCTTGCTCTAGGCAACATGGCTTCTTTTTAGCTGTTCTGTGATTCTCAGGTTTTGCCAATTCCTCCAATGTCATCACAACATGTTGCTTGAAGTCTGGCCATTTGCTGTGTGTTGCCAAGCAATCCTCGCACAGATAGCGTTCGCAATCAAAACATCTGCAAACAACTGATCCTTGAGCTTTGCAAGATCCACAATGTAGATTTTGTGTTTGTCGTTGTATAACCGGCAAGATGTCTAACAAGTTTTTGATGAAATAAATTGGCGGAATTTCTTCCACGTCATCGCCTTGTTTCAATTCTAATTGCGTCTTGCACAGAGGACATTCAAATGCATTCTCACTGCCACGCTCCTTTGAGGCCTCCTCGCGTTTGGCAATATACCTCGCAAGACAGTTTTGGCAGAACGAATGAAAGCAGGGAAGTGTTTTTGGTTCTTCTAACGTTTTCGTACAGATGCCGCACTTCAAGATGTTCAGAAGCTCCTCATTTAGTTGGGGAAAAGAAACATCTGGCCCTTCAGCCATAGCTGGTTAAACGTCTATTTCCTGCCAGATGTTAGGGCTACATATAACAATGTCGAAGTCTGTAATCAAAATACATACAGGATTTACCTTAATTATCATTTGTATATTGTTGAATACCGTCAAAATGAATAATGCTTTTCTCGGTGATCTCTACTACTTTTGTACTACGACACACTGGCTTAAGCATTCACACGTTACTTTCGATTCTCGACGCGAAGTCTTTTCATACGCGTTTACTATTTATTTTGATTGATTTTGCCTGTTGATCATAAATGAAACAATTTGTGAACACTTTATGCAGACGAACAATGCAATTATAGATATTGAATATAAATAAGTTTCTATACTCCTATTTCGATCTCTTTAAAACGCATTGTGCAAGCCAAAACACGTAACATGTAAACAGTGGCGTAGCCAGCCCGACAATTTAGTCATGCTATGCTAATATTTTGGTGTTCATTGACTGTGAAAACAATGAATTTCTAAAGAAATGAATAATGATAATAACATAAAATTTGCATAGCATGACTAAATCGTCAGGCTGGCTACGCCACTGCATGTAAAGTATTTTTATTTTATTACATCCTGTATCTCCTTAAACTGAGCATTTAAACCGAGCAAGATTCCTCGCCGTATTAGTCAGGTCAAATTCCTCAAATGGCACGATAACATATATTTTTTACCTTTGTCCCGAGTTCCCATGCACTGAGAAACGATTGGTTAATGGCGTGTATTAAATGACTGCGTCGATACGCTACCTCGACACGTACGTCGATACCAAAGAAGAAGAATTATTCAAAATCTGCGGAAGAGATCGGTTTCGCTTTTAATAGAATGATATGCTTTGACCTTGCCACTTAGGCTTCGCTATTGCACAATGAACATTATATGCGCGCTACAGACTAATTATAGATCTCACAACAAGGAAATAAAACACAACAGCTATCGAAAATGCGTTCTAAAGTAAGCATAATTGCAATGTTTAGTTGCGAAACGTTGCAAAAGTTTTGCAAATTTTGTATACTTTTGTCTTACGCGTGGAAGAGTGTATAGCTAATTTTGTTGTGTTATGTTCGCGGAAATTAATGTGTAGCTAAACTAGTCACACACTTCCACACGTATACAAAATTTGCCGACTTCGCATGGCTTTATTTCCTTACTTTACAAAATTCACAGCCAAGCTGGGGATTTTTTTCTAATTATAGCATCTTTCCGGAAAATTCCTTTTCATCGCGAAGACTGAAAAGTAGTCTGAACCGCATGAGGTCAATTTGCTTAAGGTGGCTTGATACCGACTTGATGGCTTCATTTCCTTATATATTCTGTTCTTTGTTTGCAATAAAGCATAATTTACTTTTATGTCATCTCAGCCTTATATCGCTGGTGGTCGGGCCGGGTCGGCGACATACTGCTAAAGGCTAGTGAGAAAGGAAATTAGTTAATAACAAAGCACTTAACTTGTTAGTGATCACTGACAAACGCCATTGTCGACGACATTGAGAACCCGGCATTATCAGTATAAGACGGAAATAATTGTATTGGGCGTTGAGGGAGATAAAGTCTTCAAGGTCAATGCGGATTAGTTCATTCACTATTGTCTTATCGCATTCGCTCGACTGAAATTCGCCGTTTAAATAGATTCGAGTCCTCGCACGGTCTTACTGTTTCTATTATATATGTATATACAATTCATCATGAAAGATTAATAGATACACTTATATACCCTGTTTCATCATGAAAGAGTTTTTAAATAATCTGTAATAAAAAACATTAGGCATTTGATATTATTATCGGGCGTCTCATATGTATATTATCTAAATAAAACTAAGATCTATTTTCACTTTTGTCCTGAGGTCCAAGGAATGACTTGGTTAAAAATGACTTTGCAGTTTGCGCACATCTTATCATAATGTTACTACTTAGGTCCGACTTACCTTTATTCAGGAAAAAGTAGATCTGAAAGTTCTAGAAGGAAAGCTTTCTTTTAAAAAATATTTTGGTGCAAATTGACAGGAAAATGTACTTTGAGAAACAAATCGGTTCTTTTGTCAGTGATCACTGACAATGCTGTCGCAGATTGTCGGTGGAATATGAGAACCTGGCTTTACAGCGCAGAAGTAGTTTGTAGCTATGTTGTGATTTTGGTCGCGTCGAATCAAACAATAGATATTTGGGACCTTAAGATATATACACCAAATGTAAGAGGGGGACGTGATATGAAATCAGCTGGTAGTATTAAGAACCCAGTTTTAATTAGTGTTACATAGAGCTCTGACCTTGTTTACCAAAATGAGTCCATAATTTTTATTCCTGTTGTGAAGCTTTGGAAATGTAAACAGTATTATAGCTACTTCACGTCCGCTTCGTAGATTCGGTGTATCTTAAAGTCCTAATCATTATCTATAATAAGATGAGATTTTAAAACGACTAATGAGGTATATATTATCTCGTATAAACTAGGCATAAATCACACAAAACTCTTGATTCAAATATCTTTCTTTATTTTATCGATCTCTATGCATCTCAGACTTTACAAACTACAAAAATTTCAGATTTGTATATTCATGCATACACTCTTTTAAAATGCGAATTATAATATCGTCCACATCAACATCACTTAATTATTTATAATTAGTTGAACGCAATTATCATTCAGACGAGTGCAAAAGAGGGCTTATGCCTCAATGATTCTTATTTGATTCATGGCGGAACAATGAACTGTAATAAAACCGGCTGGAACTCTTATAGTTCAGCGTAATAGTTTGTTTAAGCCAAAAAATTCTCTGTTTCTCGTGGATGGTTGAATTTTACATAGTTCTAGACAGTCTTAGATAATTACTCTCAGACTCTCTACATCTGTCTCAAAAAAAACTACCTTCATATGTCAGCTCAAAGATGACGGCCAAGTTAGCATTCCAGGTTTTATTAAAGTTCACTAGGGCGGAATTTGAAATGTCGCGTTTGTACGTTTGTTCACACGTTCACATACGCCAGGGTAAAAACCGTATATGCGAAAATTGCATGGTGTGAATGGGCGTTAATGAAAACCAATTGTTCTCCCTGAAATCTTCTATGAATACAGTTTCAATAGAAAAATTTCGTTCTACGGCTAGGAATCGGGCGGTCTAGAGAAATAAACAAGGTTATACGGTCATCATTTGAACTTTAAAGCGTGAATAAATCGTAATTTAAAGTTAGTATGCGTTTCAAGAGAGGGACTTTTTAATACGTTCCAAGCAAAGAGCGTCCTTCAGGCACACCTTGTAAATTCGATCAGGCTAATAATAAGATATATCAAAATAGACTGTGAATTATTAGAATAAAAGCACTTAAAAAAAGGTGAACGTCCACACTTCAAGTCGGGCATTTATTTGCGGTCAGATTCTGATTCGCTATGAATGGGGCCGCCAGTAACCTTCCTATACACACGATTTCAGTCATGCTTTCTTCAGCTTTAGGTTTTGACTCCGATAGCGCTATAAATTTTGATGAATGAGCTGTATCAACCACACTCGCTCAATATGTAGACATACTAAAAGCCTCGGTCTGATATTTTACAGTACAGACCTCACGCTTGGTTAATAATAAACGAAAAGTTACAGTTAATAAATTATGTAGACAGTTCATGCTAAAATTCAATCTAATGCTAAATATGTTTCCTAAGACTCAAAACTATATGTGGAAAAGCTTTATTAAAACTCATTTCTGTACTTACCATTTTGCTGAAAACAAGTGGAAACTAAAAAAATATATAAAATGTTGGGATTTCTTATAAGTACACAATGCAGCCTACATCACAACCTCGTTGGCATGTCTGGAATTTCTGACTGCCTTTTATTCAATATAACGAATGAATTGTTTATTCATTTCTGTCAAGCTCTCATGAAATTAAACAGATTTTGTATTAAACCTACCCACATTTCCTAGATCATTCAGGTTTATATTATCAACAATAGTCCCGGTGGGTTTTGCCTGGTATTCGATGGTACCATCATGAATTGGTTCCATCCGATCTGGGCGTTCTTTCTTTATAACCTCGGCGTTAAGCTGAAGTTCTCTGCCTAGTAAAATGACTTCTTCACTGCTCGCTCTTTCGATGATATTCTTTGCAAAATCCAGTGAACCATTCACCTTCTCATGATAGGCTTTCATGTCGCATTGTTGTTTCTCAAGCTCCCGGTTCTGGGCGTCTAGCTTTCTGTTGACTTGGCCGATCAAGATTGCTGCCTTGTGTTCTACTTTCTTCGATAACACTTCGCAGATTTCCTTTTCTTGTTTTTTGATCGAAACTTTAGCCTCTTCGGTGGTAACTTGTAGTTTACCAATAGCAGAGCCTATTTTGTTTAGAGCAGTATCAACTTCAGTGGACGTCTTTTGTAAGATGTCAAAAGTTTTCTTTAGGGCTTCCTTTTGTTTCTCAGCCTCTGTATCCATAGGTTGATAATCATGATCGGGTTTCGGATGATCTAATACAACGCAGCTCATACAAGCCAGTTCTTTACAAGTATTGCAATAAAATTCGAGGTGTTTACTTCCGTGACCTTGCTTGTCACAACGTGGTTTCTTCTTGGCTTTGCTTTGGTTTTCAGGTTTTGCCAAATCTTCCAACGACATTACAACATGCTGTTTGAAGTCTGGCCATTTGCTGTGTGTTGTCAAACAGTTCTCGCACAGATAACGCTCGCATTCAAAACATCTGCACTCAACTGATACTTGAGCTTTGCAAGATCCACACTGTAGCTTTTCTTTTTGTTGTTTTATGACAGGCAAAATATCCAGCAAGTTGCTGATGAACTCATTTGGCAGAATTCCTTCGACGCCATCGCCTTGTTTCAGATTTAATTGCGTCTTGCACTTTGGACATTCAAATGCATTATTATATTCACGCTCTTTGACCTTGAGTTCGTCTTCAAAATATGTCGCCAGACATTTTTTGCAGAACGAATGAAAACAGGGAAGTGTCTTTGGTTCTTCTAGAGTTTCTCCGCACGTGCAGCACTTCAAGATGATCGGGATTTCCTCTATTCTTTCGTTAGCATCAGGATCTGGTGCTGCAGCCATTGGTATTGATGATTAGGACTGATAGTTGGCTGTTACACGATACGAAGTCTGCAATCAAAATAAAAGTTTGCCATATTAGCAAATACAATCAAATGCTTTCCACGCTAGTCTCTAGTAAGGATCACTGTTTAAGAATTCATGCAATACCTACTCATTTAGGATACCCATTTCGTAAACAGACGGTTCCTATTTAAAGTTGCATAGATGAGCAATTTTTTAAGCCCACACGGAAGAAAATTTTTACATGAAACCTTATCCTCCTATTTCATGTTGAAACGCATTGAAAGGCCTTGAAACGCCGAAAGCATTAGTCAATTACTATTGTAAATACATCCTGAGTGTTTCCTAATATGTATACAAGGAAATGTTTCTCGATTCTGATTGGGTGGTTTCTGCGAAATTTTTTCGAAACAGCAGTGCAAATTTTTTAGCGCAATTTTTTGTAATAACAATGCGGAACTAGAAACAAACAAATTTAATTGGTTCTCGAAAAACTGCGAGCCAATCACGTTGAAGCCCTGAAAACAAATTTTGAGTGATGTGATTTTCCCGCGAAAACATCCAAGATGGCTGCCGAGAGTTTGCTGGAAATAATACAACTGTAATTAAAATTAACATAAAATTCCGCCGGAAAAGATCAAGCATGAGTGCACCAATTTGTAGGTACAATTTAAATCATAGTATGGACATGCAATCATCGACTTCGTTGTTCAAAATGACATGAAGAGGTAGGTAAACATCATGTGCAGTTACAAATAATAGTTGCTAGCTAATGCAAGAATATAATTGTACATTATGTGTACTAAACGTATACATGGTGAGCTCTTGCAAATATATCCGGGACACGTTTGACACAACAGTATGGACAATGACTTAATTGACTAAATCATATGATACCTGATCATGATTTAATACGAAATTACGAATGTCGAAAACCCCAAAGGCAAAGCACTTGTAAACATGTCAAATGAGCTTAAGTTACGACAGTTTATAAATATTATTCTCTCATAGAGCTTAAGTGACATAGTTTATATTAATTTTCTATCATCCTCATAATTATTCCTGAAATTATCAACTTATTAATTGTTATATTAATTTAAAATAAATGCTTTCCTATCTACAAATAGACTTTTTGGCAAAATTAAAACCTGTCGTCAGTGTCGACTTCCTTCTAAGACTAATGTTTTTGCTATCCTCAAATACTGGAACTTTGGTTTACATGATTTTGAATTATTACATAGCCTTAGTCATTCACTGGATTGGATTAAGATTAAAAGGTCTGTACTAAATTTGTTGTAAATTTTATTGTATATAAAAGCAAAGGTCTGTACTGTAGTCCGCATATAGAAGACTCGGGTCTGGCAAATCGTTTCGTGTGGTCTGGAATGCTTTCCAATATCTTCACTGTCCTTCTGAGATGTTCCTCACAAGTGCCCGGAAATGAATTAACAATGGATCGACTGGTGCAGGAATCTCACGGAGTTGTTGTCTGACATCGAGTCATGGTTGAAAGCCTGAAAACAAAAGTTATTTCGTCAAAATTTTCGCAATGCAATTTTATGAACTATGAACCCATAAGCGTGTGTTGGTCGTCGCCTGGTTAAAGGTTTTTTAGAAAACCAAGGGGATAATTGTGTCATTTAAACACAGGTTTAAATTCATTATTGGCTGATACAGGCCCGTACAGGTGCCTGCGAGCATGTCAACAGCTCCTAAAGTAAACAAATACAGAAAACTTCTTTGGTAAACATTTTATTTGAAATGGTCAAATGTCTTCAACTCTTGTCAGCATTTAATTGTATGGTTCAATATAGACCTTATCCAACTCCATGAAACACTTGTACGTACAAAACCTGGGGATAAGAGTTGAGCAGTAATCATAATACCTTCGTCTGCTGAAAACTTCAATTTCTGATGGTAAGAATTCTTCGCTGCCTGCCAGAAGAGATCTGGCCTTTGAAGTTCCAGGTTTATATCCGAAAGGTAGTTGGTATGTGACCCCAAGGTTGCTGTATGAATGTTTGTTCATGCTGGCATTTGGACTGATGTACAAATCGTGACCACCACCGAAGACCACTTCCCAGTTGCGATTACAACAGATGGCTTTTTCTTTTTGATTTCTCTTGATCGGACACTTAAAAGCCCGCATATTGTCTTCATTATTTTCAAGAGAAAACAGGAATGAGGAGTTTGAACGTTTGTAGTCAAACATGTCTTAAAGAAATGAAGAAACATCAATGCTCAGAATAGAAATCGAAATATGTGTATCCTCTAAAATTTCTTCAAAGGGTACATTTAGGAAACTTTCAGCTGCTTATTATTGTTATATAGCTATCTTCAAAATCATTTTCTGAGCGTGCAAAGTGTACCTTGTGCTTCCCAGCTTTGATCAGTAAAGCCACCAAAGATGTTGGTTCCACATTTCACCAAGGTCAATGTATGTCCGACATTGTCACACTTTTTATGAAACTTTTCTGCTTCCCAACCATCACGCGAAGCTCGATAACGAAGGTGCCAACCAAACCTCTTATCTTCCATCCACTCTACAAGTTGCTTCGCATGTTCAATGTTTTTATCCAAGATGTATGATCCATCACACAAGGACTGCAGCACAGGATCATCTAAAATGATATTCAGTTATTGTGACCTTTGTTTGTGTATGCTGTTCAATGTTGTCAGGGCTGTACGGTCAGGCAATTTTGCTTGGGGGATTGGTTTGATGTACATAACTGATGGGTCTAAATATATCACTGACGCTTCATCGAGTAAATAAGTTGAATAACGAGCGAGTTCTGTTTCATAAAACAGAACCAAGGAACTCTTTAAGAATTGAGATGATGACTGACGGTTATTTTGACTGCCAACTTTAAACCCAATTAGAGCTGAGTTTGTTGCCATTCAGTATATCCAGTCCCCTTAATGTTTTTGAACAAAGTCGATTAGTTTCGCTTTTGCACCAATATAGCGTAATTTATGTAACCATAATTTATTACATCAAAAGGCGATAACAATGTGCAGTGTTGAAACGCAATAAGTCATTCTCAAAGGTATAGAAATAATGAAAAAGAATGATGAGTAATTACTCCACTTACCAAGTCGCCAATGACTACAATCTGCGAAAGAAAAAGAAAAAAAAGAAAATGTTTGAGTTAAATAAATATACTGAATGTCATGCATGCGTGCATCATATCTCTTCTGAATTGCGCTGAGGACTTCTGCTGTTTTTGATCGATTTTATCTCGCACATTTTGGCTACAAAGTTAGACTGGTAAAAATACAGTACGTACTATTTTGTCTTTAGTATTGAGCGAACGTCGACCTAGATGTTGAGCGATATAAATGCCTTATAGCACTGAACTAGGCATGTCTGGCATGTCGGAATAATATGTTTTGACTATTACCTTAAATTACTTTAAAAAAAATTACACGGACCTACCCATATTTCCTAGAACATTTAGCTTCACATCGCAAAGAACAGTTTCGATTGGTTCTGGCTGATATTCAATGCCGCCATCATGAATTGGTTCCATCATTTCTGGGCATTCCTTCTTGATATCGTCGGTGGAGGCCTGGATTTTAGCGCAAAGCAAAACGATTTCTTCATTATTCGCTTTTTCGATAACATTCTTCGCAAAATCCAGCGAACCATTCACCCTCTCGTTATAGGCGTTAACCTCGTCACTTTGTTCCAATAGTTTTTGTTTCACATGCTGATATTTTTTGTCAATTCTACAAAGCAAAATATCTGTTTTCTCTTCTACTCTCGTGGTTAACTCCTGCAAGATTGCCTTCTTTTGTTCCTCTACCAAATCTTTAGCACTTTTCGTGTTGCGGTCAAGATCCTTGGTTGCCTGATCTATTTCCTCTAAGGAACTTTTGACTTCGCCTGACGTCTTCTGTAAGATATCGAAAGTTGTTTTCAAAGATTTCTTCTTTTCCTCGGCAAGTATATCGGTCGATTGACAATTATGACCAGGTCCTGATTGATCCAATAAAACGCAGTTAATGCAAGCAAGTTCCTGACAGGTGTCGCAATAAAACTCGTATGGTTTATTTCCGTGTCCTTTCTTCTGGCAAAGACCAGGCTTGTTTTTTGCTTTGTTTTGGTTCTCAGGTTTTGTCAATTCTTCTAATGTCAGCACAACATGTTGTTCGAAGTCTTGCCAATTATTATGTGTTTTCAAGCAGTCCTCGCACAAAAAGCGTTCGCATTCAATACATCTGCATGTGACCGGCCTTTGAGCTTCGCAAGATTCACAAGAAAACCCCGGTGTTTGCTGCTGTATTTCCAACATGTTATTAATGAAACAATTTGCCGGCGCAGTTCGTTCCCTGCCATCGCTTTCCTCAGGTTCAAATTTAGTTCTACACCTAGGACAGTTGAGACGATCCCGAGCTCCAGGTTTCTTTTGAGCTTTCTCGCGTTCAGTTGCAATATATCCCGCGAGGCATTTTTTACAGAACGAATGGAAGCAAGAAAGAGTCTTCGGTTCATCCAAGAGCTTTTTACAAACGCTGCACGTTAAAAGCGCTTCCATATTACTTCGGCTAATAAAGGATAATGTATACAGCAGATTGCCAAATACTATTAGTAGTCAGTGCAGTCCGTATTCAACTGAGCGTAAGCTGGTTTCTCCCTTAAAATGTTCTCCAGCTGCCCAAAAGGATTGAACGGAGAGACACTTTTGTGAAGCCTTTTGGCTGAAGCATAAACGTGTTTACATATCTGCGGTATATTCCAAATCTGAATTTGTCTGTGAAATCGTACACTATTATTTATCTTAAAGAGTAGAAACACCGCCTTTGTAATACAAGCACCGTCAATCAAGTATTTAGCTCTTATTTTAATTAAATGGTATGCAGACGCGACAGCGTATTATACATAAACCAAAAAGTCCAAATTCCACCAAATAATTGCTTCGGTTAATCGTTTAATTCTCAAAAGAGATCCACTCTAAAGCCATTGATTTTTTAACAATGTAATCAAATATTTAACTGAGTACACTTCTTGAAATGGATATAGACTATGTTATGAGATTTGACTATATGAGAACAAACGTGGATAAACAAAGGAATATTTTTTGCTCACCTTTTAACTTATTGCACAATTGATTTAATGAAAATTCTTCGTTTATTTGAGATCCTGGTGATAGGTTACATCTTGCAGTGTCGCCGCCTGTCCTGCAGGCCATTGATCTGTGCTTGTAGCACAGTTGTAGCGCCGGTTATATTTGTCCGGTGACGTATGAAGTGTGGGCGGCATTTGGATCTGAATATTTGTAAGGATTAATTCCAGCTTCCAGTTCTAAAGCACGATCCAATTTTGTTGGATCCAACTCACTTCTGACGTATGAAATATAGTTGGCTATTGATAAAGCAGTACTGCATTGGCTTCAGTGAATTTGATGCTCACATACATTACAAGTCAACAGACTATAAAACATCCATCAGAGGTTAACAGACCTTAAGCCATGCTAACATAGCAAGTGTTCTTTAATAAAATAGTTATTTTTTAAAGAATGAATCTCATACTGCCTTGAAGTTATAAGCATGATTACATAACATCATAACAACATCTTCTACAGCCTTGAAGTTCTAAGCATAAACGTTCTTACATTCGAACCTAACTTTTTTGGCCTTACTAAATAAATAAATTATTCTGTTTTTTGTTTTTTTTTTAACATATACGTATGTTAAAAAACCACACTACGGTAAAAAACCATTAAGATGCATTTTTTTGAAGCTAATATGGCTTGAAATCTTGTTTGCTATTTCAGAAGGGTCTTAATAAGTTCCCAGGGTTTGTGGCGTCGGGTAACAACAAACTGAGATGATACTTCATATTACAAGGCGTATAATTGAAACTTACTATTATTTCAATAAAAACTAATTACATGCAGTGTTGCTTAAAGTAGGATCAGGTAAAACTACATTTCTGAGTACTACAATGTTAGATAGGGCGGTCAAACTACAGGCGGCCCCAAAATTGTGCGAGAAATTTTTCGGGGATTTGTCAATATAATGTAGTAATATATAATGTCAAACTATAATAAAAACATATGCAATTGCCGAATATTATCAAACTCGTAACTACCAATGACATTATTATTATTAAAGGTTTTCGATAATTCACGCACGTCTGCGCAGCAAACAGTTGTAATTTATTTCGACTAACGCTAAATCCACTTCGGCGTAATTGCTGTATGCCAATTTCTATGCCACATCATTCTGCATTTGCCGTTATGCCTCTGAAGCTTCTCGTGGAAAATGTTCATCTGACATGATTAGCGTCGTTTAAGTTTATGTACAAATTATCAGTTTCTTCGCATGCATTAAATGACCAGTGGCGTAGCCAGCCTGACGATTTTGTCCCGCTATGTAAATTTCCTGTTATTATAATATTAATTGTTTAGAAATTTATTGTTTTCACAGAAGCAGTCAATGAACGCCAAAATATTAGCATAGTGGGACAACTCGTCAGTCTGGCTGCGCTACTGCACAAGAGAGTTGCTGGCAATGTAGAAGGAATCAAACATACGTTTCTGTTTATGGTCTGTTCTTTAGTAGTGTATGCCTAGTTAAACACAGTGCAAGATTTGCGGTAGTCAACTGTATAACTATCCTGTAATATCAACAGCCAATACACACCCCTAAAAAGTAAAACAAATTAAAATTAAAGTCCGGTTATACATTTACGTGCAACTAATAAGAACACGGCACAGCAAAGGAAATCAACATCGATTTTTGAAGTTGTCCACGAGTAAAACATGGAGTTTTTAACTTTGAAAAAGCACAAAAATCCTCAAATAACTCACCTCAAGGATGAATTGGATTTAAATCACCAGGTTTCTCCAATCCCCTCTTAGCACTGGTTCAATCAAGCCATCCTGGTTGATTTCTCTCAAACAATCGGCTAGTTTTACTCTTGAGAAATCCTCACTCCGGTTAAAAACAGATAACGCTTTTTCGGCTCGACTGCGGTCATCTTTGTATTTATCACAGGTACGAATTGTATTCCTATCTGCTGCCACTATCTCTAAAAGAGCGGCAAGACAGTCCCAGTCCACAAAAATTAGTCGACTTAATCTGTACAATTCTCGAGATGAAAGAGGTGTGTGCGCCAACTGGTTGTCTTGATCGCCTCCAGCTTGCGATTGTGACCTTGTTTCCTGCACGTCTTCAGTTTCATCCTGTGAAGAAAGAATAATTTATAATCATCGAATCATTGGAATAAACGGTGAAGCCTGCACAAAAGAAAAGGGGAAATATCATGCAGGTTTCATGATCCGGCTTATACATTCGTCACGCTATATCCCTTAAAATGATGGTAAGAGGTTGATGAGTCGTATATTAATTCTACAAAACCTGAGCGCAAGAATTTTCTCTTTCGACTTAACGACCGCGACGTTTTATCTCAGAATATGGGGGTGTTCGTGGATATACAGTTTTGAGATGGTTGGTGAAGGTAACATTATTTGAGTCCAAACTTTTAAAACTCATTCAATAGCATCATCCTCAAGTTCAACCGCGCCACCGTTGAAAAAATCGACTGCAAAATGACATCAAAACGAAAGGATTGGACGCGTCCTCTTTGCGATGTGATGGATGCTATATCCACGACGTTCTAATATTTGAAAAAAACCCCATTTACAAAATCACCGTGAAAAATTTAAGCAAAGCTACCTCTCTTTCCACTGGGCGTTCTAAATCTTTACTTAAATCTCCTCTATTCAATTCATGAAAACACTTTTCCAGAGTATTGCGATCAAAAGACTTGCTTGCATTAAAACGCTGGAGAACTTGTTCTGCTTTTGAAGAAAATTTTGTGTAGTGGAATCTGATTTCCTCGCGTTCATAGTACGGAATGTCCAAGAGCCCTGCTAAGCAATCCCAATCCAACCCAACTTTTTTGCTGATCTGACATATTTCACCGTTTGTTAGTTTTGTCGTCCGATGCACAACTATAAAAAATAGAAGAAAAATCCTAAAAAAAATTCCAGGAATACATTTCATGACGGTAATTATCACCTTTGTATTTATTTATGTAATTGGAAGGGTTTTTGTGAAAGATGCAAATTTTCGACCCTTCCTTTAAATTTGCTCTTTGTTTATGGGGATACATGTATAATTTAGCGCGAGAAAATTGCAAGATGTTTTACATTATCTTTTTGTCACAATAATTTTTGCTATACTTGGCGCACTATATTTCGGAAGAAGCTTGATGTTTACCTCCTGGCAACGAGTCTCTTGCTGAGCGTCGTTCTTTGTTAAGAGTAAAAAGAATAAAAGCATATTTTAGAAATGATCAATTATCCATCAATGGCGGATTCAGGGTAAATCAGAATAAATTACATGAAAAATTAAATTATGGGTGGAATATGGGTGGTTTTCTTGCGAATTGAATATTCGATATAACTTTTTGTATTATTCAAGTTTATTTTTGTGAAATACCTTCTTGTGCTGATTCTTTTCTCGCTTCTGACGCCCTTTCTCCATTGTTGCCGAAAAATAACGTCCACAACAACGTATTCTCAAACACTTCACTAATCTTAACCTTTCCATTTGCTGGATTGTTTATTCCAATTTCCAAGAAATCGCTGCTGATCGCATAACCGGAAGAGTCCAGTTCAGCCTGATTAATCTTGAAGGAAATATGACGGCTTTCGAGCCCAGGAAAGCTCAAAGATATTTGAAGATCACGATCTGTGTGAACACGTTTCAACCCTCCTTTTTCCCCTGTGAGGTAACCTCGGTCAAAATGGTCCTTCAACTGTTTAATACCGTCTTCCTCGTTATCATCAACAAACTCGCTGACTAAAATAACAGCAATATCTATAGTTCCTATTGAAGGTTTTGTACGATACAAGGCATAGGCTCGGCAGACAAAGGTGTCGTTGAAGTGACAAAGGATGCGAGCTAACACTCCTCGTCTCGCCAGAATGAAAGTATAGAAAGAACAGCCATTAATTTTCACACTTAGAACTCCTTTAACGTTGTCTTTTTTGATATCAGTATTCAGAACTTCCCATGAAGTCTTTCGGCAATTGCAATTGTACGAACCATGTAGAATGAAATGTTCAGCCTTGGAGACAGTCATTTCGAATCTAATCATGAGAACTGCTGGTTTTAAAAATTTCACGCCGTCCGGAAGAAGTTCAACAACACGAACAATAGCATCGACAAGACCTAAATCTAGCAATGATTTAGGGGTAATATTCCGCGTACTGCTAGCGGTTAAAGTTATTTCTGTGTCTGTAGATACACATCCAGCGTCCAACTTCAGCGTGACGTCGTCTAACTTGATAACTGTTGTATTGGAAAAAACTTCAATTTCTGATGGCGTGAATTCCCTCCTACCCGCAAGTAGAGCTTTGGTCTCCTGAGTTCCGGGTCGATATTGCGGAGGAGATTGGTATGTAAAACCCAGGTTGCTGTATGAATCTTCGTTTGTGTTGGCGTTATCACTAATGGATAGATCTCGACCACTACCAAATACAGCTCCCCGTAGAGGGTGACAAAGAATTGCATTTTTAATTTGACCTTCCTTGATCGGAAACTTGATCGCCCCTAAATTCTCTTCGTTTTCAATTGTAAACAGAAATGACGAGGTGGATTGTTTGAACTGAGGAAAACCTGAAAGAAAAGAAGAAATATATACATCGGAATACTCAAGATCTACTCACACAAACAATGACGTATCATGATTTGGCATAAGATTTACGTTTTGACACCATGTGCACATGAGTACCAAGTACATGTATACCATGAGCACATGAGTACCGAGTACATGTACACAATGTGTACATGAGTACCAAGTACATGTACATGTACACGATGTGTACATGAGTACCAAGTACATGTATACCATGTGCACATGAGTACCAAGTACATGTATACCATGTGCACATGAGTACAAAGTACATGTATACCATGTGTACATGAGTACAAGTACATGTATACCATGTCCATGAAGTAAAAGTACATGTACACCATGTGCACATGAGTACCGAGTACATGTATACCATGAACACATGAGTACCAAGTACATGTACACCATGTGCACATGAATACCAAGCACATGTATACCATGTGCACATGAGTACAATATATAACCTATATGCATGTTCAATTCGCTGAAAAGCTTGAGACATTAAATTATATGCGTCAATTTCTGAAATACATTCGACTACCATTTTGCTCTAAGTTCTTAGGTTCTACAGAGTTCAAGGTATACCTTTTCGTGATGGTAGTTTCCAACTTTGGTCAGTAAAACCACCAAAGATGTTGGTTCCACATTTCACCAAGGTCACCGTAGGTCCAACATCGGCACACATTCTACGAAAATCCTCTGCCCCCCAACCATCACGTGAAGCTCGATAACAAAGTTGCCAACCAAACTTCTTATATTTCACCCACTTTACAAGTTGCTTTGCATGTTCAAGGTTACCCTTTAAGATGGTTGATCTGTCACACAAGGATTGTACTACAGGGTCAGCTGAAATGATATAATTAGAGTTATTCATTTGCGTGTATGAGTATTGGAGGAATCTATCAGATTTTTCAGATTCGTCTCTTTCTACTGAGTAGAGTGGTCATTTTAAACGGGGGGAAGGGGAGGATGACAACAGGTTTACTAGCTAGTATGAGAAATAACTCTTTTAATTGTTTTTTTTAACCAAATATATCACCCTTCAATCTCCTTTAAAAAAGTATTGTCCTCTGGTTTATTTTTAAAACCGTTTTTAGAGGTGCATGGGAGGAGGGTGGGGGGGTATTAGCGCTCTGGAGGGATGTCACGTTTGCCGCACGGAACCTGAAAACCTTACTTTTCGTTTCAAACGCAAAGCGTAACAGTAAAAGGTGGCCTGGACCAGGCCTGGACCTGACCTGGAGCACGATTTTGGTAATGTAAACAGGCTTTACAAATTTTCAACTTCATGGTATGATTTGTATAGCATCCATACTAATTACTAGTATTTCCACTTTTCTGTATGTTTTGGGTCTTGTTCCAAGTATTTTGTCAATTATCTTGTCCATTCGATATCATCAACAAGGAAGACATCATGAAAATTAACATAGCACATATTACCTAGACTTGTCCTAGACCTGGTCCAGGCCAGATCTAGGCCTCTAGTGTAAACGCAGCTTGAAACCACCTTACCTTGTACTCCTGTGTTTTTCAAACGAGGAGAATCTGAAAGAGGAATAAAAATCGGTTTACTAAGAAAATCTTGCCTAAATACAATAAAAATACATGCAAAATACATCTGCATGTTGACTTTGAATAGAGTCAATGCTACCAAGCCGAGTGGTTGAACACTAAGTTAGTGACATTGATGCTTTGAAGATTAAGTTAGCGACATGAAAATATTGCGCATATAATAAGCCTATATACACAACTTGAATGTTTTTTATACATACAAATTTTCCCGTAGCCTTTTAACTTCAAATCCTTGATGAAATCTGCAGTAGGTTTTAGATAAAACTCAAAGAGGCCATCGTGGACTGGCTCCATATATTCTGGTCGTTCATTCTCAATGCTCCCAGCTTTTTCCTCAATCTCGTGTTTAAGAGCGGGGATTTCTTCGACGCTTCCGCTGCAAAGTATACTCCTGGTAAAAACAAGAGAACTTTTCGCCTTCTCGGAATAAGATTTCACGTCCGCGTGCTGTTTCAACAGGGTCTCTTTGGCTTCGGTGAATTTCATGTCAACTTCATCAAGCAAGGCCCTGGTTTCTTTCTCAAGTCTTTTTGCAAACGCATCCAGGATATTCTGGTGTTCTTTTTTAATGGCGTGTTTCGCATTACCTGAGTTGAACTTGAGATCCTCCATTGCCTCTTCAATCTTACGATTACTCTCGGCTGCATCGTTATTCTGCTTCTGAAATATACCAGCATATGCGTTCAACGCATCTTTGTGCTGTACCACAACGTCTGCCAACGGAAACCACGCATGTTCGGGCCGAGTGTGATTGAGATCAACGCAGTCGCGACAAACAAGGACTTTGCATGTCTCGCAGTAAAACTCCAGAAATTTGTCGTGTTTCTCACAACGAGATTTGTCTTTTGCCTTCGCTCGATTTTCTGGCTTCGCTAATTCTTCCAACGTCAGCACGACGTGCTCCTCAAAGACTGGCCAGTTGTTGTGGGTTTCCAGACACTTTCCACACAGATATTTCTCACACGACATGCATCTGCTGGCAGCAGGAGCCTTCGCTTTACACGACTGGCATTTTACATGATGGGCTTGTTGCTGTATGCTGAGCAATTCCAACAGGTTGTTAATAAAGTGGTTTGCTGGCATTTTCTCGCCAACATTTTCCACTTCTTTGACTGAAAACTTCGTGCGGCATAACGGACATTCGAAGATTTCTGGTTCTTTTGCACTAGCTTCAACTGCTTTCTCGCATTGAGCGGCGACATAATTCTCCAAGCAGTGTTTACAAAATGAATGATAGCATGGCAATGTCCGTGGCTGAGTTAATGTCTTGCTACAAACAGAACACTGTAATAGAATTTCCAATTGCTTCGCAGAATCAGGTTCTGGTGTTGTAGACATAATGCTTTACGGTTTTACAAATAATTCCGTTTCCCCTGACCAGCAAACTGGCGGAAGGGTAACAATTTACATGTACTGGAGACTCAGTGCTGACTGTCACGAGATTATATTTTGTAATATTACACTTATGTTTTACCCTTGTAATGGGCACACGTCTGCAATGTCATTGGTTTATAATTCATAAAATTTTTTAATCTTGCTTAATTTTAATCTTAATGAGGCATACAATTTTATTATATCATGAACATAGTTGCTTATATATGTATAGCTAAAACGCAAAAATGGCTATTCATTCAAGTACAAGTGATTATGAAGATGTTTTTTGATTTCATCACCTATCTTTTACGACACCTAGAGTATCTCAGAACAGACAAACAGATAAACTCTTAAGTGTATATTCCGCTTTGACCTTTAAACTTTGTCATATTGGCTTTGTACTTGGTGTTTCTCTGCCAAATTTATACACCAGAAAAACGGGGTTAGGCTGCTATTCGAATGAGAGTGTCGTGTACATAATAAGATCAAGACAATATAATATTTTAGTACCGCCTTTCTAAATTCACTATAGAGTATAGACTGTACCAGTTCTAGAAAGGCGATTAAAATGACATTATATGTATACAGCCTAGATAATCTGCACGTAAGATCATCTGATATGGATGCTAAGAATTACCTTATCTCGATCATCTTGCCCACAAAGACCACTTTCAAGTTTCAACCTTTCGGTTATTCAATCAGTTTGTTGTGTTGAACATTCAACACTTAACAACCTGCTTAAAATAACGTCAAGTAGCTAATTTTTCAAAATCATGCCAGGTTAAAATATCTTGGACTTGTAGTATATTGGAGTGTATATATATGCATGTCTATCTGCATGTCTATGGTTCGTCTACCTCAGATTTACATACAATGCAGTGCTTCTTTACTAGATGTTTTAAGCGAAATTATTCTAGTAAACATTATGATGTATACAAGCTAGTAGAGAAAAGATAGTAAATAATGATAACCGCCGTTTAAACACATGCTACCTATTGTCAAAGACACATCTAAGCGTCTTCGTAATAAAAGCTCATTGAGGCCAAAATGTAATGCAGAATGCTTCAAAAATAGCTTTTTTAACAGACTGATATTTAACTATAATTTGCATATGGCTATTTGAATAGACAGTTTTACTATGATATTGATGTAATATGTATCTTCTGTGTTACAAGTTTCAAATATGTAAGTTTGGTATATATTTTATCAAATGATTAATACATACTAAAGACTAAAGACTAGTTACATGCTTACGCAAAATTTTATTCGCGGTTTTTTAACTGAGAAATTCTGTTATTGATGAAGCAGTAGTGCATTGTCTTCAGTGGATTTGCTGCTCATACACATTACAAGACAATTAACAGACTATAAAACATCCATCAGAAGTGAATTGGATCCAACAAAATTGCATTGTATGAACAGAACTTGATTTGGGGTCGAGAAATGGGTGAACATATATCGAACTGAAATGTAAATCAAAAATCGTTTAGTCAAGTTTGTTTCGGTTCCCGTGCTAAAATTTTCCTTTATTTCCATTCATTGCTCAGCAATGCCACCTTGATTTTCTTCTCTTATAATTATTTTAGCTGTCGCACATATGAAAACAATGGATGCATCATATATTTACCTGCACTCAACTGTGGAAAACTTCAATTTCACACGGTGTGAATTCAGAGCTACCGGCCAGCAGAGCATTGGTTTGTGGTGTACCGGGTTCAAATCCTGGAGGAGGTTGGTATGTTTCGCCGAAATTGCTGTATGAATGTCGGTTTGTGTTGGCTTCATGACTGATAAAAAGATCATTACCACCACCGAAGATTGCTCCACAGTGAGGATGACAAACGATTGCTTTGTCATTCCGACCATCCTTGATCGGGCACTTAAATGCCTCGATGTTCTCCTTATTTTTAAGAGAGAATAAAAATGACGAGACCGAATGTTTTAACTCCAGACCAAAAACTGAAACAAAAAAGAAATGTTCTCATTAAGAAAGTTGGGATAGCACTTAAGGCAAAGAGTTTCGTGTCAAAGTTATTTCTCCTGTGGAAATAATTTCCCTTGATACAGATGTTTTATTTCCTTAAAATTAATCATCCGAAAATTCGCGCTATGTTGCCGAATAGCGTCCGGGGTTATTTGTGAGCATTACGCTTTGCTCGATGCAGGGTTAAGTCCCCGAGAAAAAATAATTAGCGCAATACTTGGTTCGATCAGCTTTGGCAATTAGCACGTATGAAAGACGGAGAATTCGCTGTTGATCAGATAAACATTAATTTTTTATCACAATTATTTCAGAATCCGGCCGCAAACTTTTGACTAGCACTCTTCAGTTTCCTCCAAGAACGTCCCCTCAAACGAATGTCCCCGTTCACCGACATGCTTCAATTTATTTCTCGACCACACCTTCCTCGCCCAATTTACTCACACCACTGCACAAACGTGTAGTTTTATTCCAATAGTGTAAGGAAATAGCGCTAAATTTACCTCTCTGTGGGTGATTTTTCCAACTTTGATCGGTGAAACCACCAAAGACGTTAGTTCCACATTTCACCAAGGTCAATGTAGGTCCAACATCGTCACATCTGCCATGAAAATTCCATCCTTCCCAACCATCACGTGAGGCTCGATAACAAAGTTGCCAACCAAACTTGTAATCTTTCACCCACTCCACAAGTTGCTTGGCATGTTCAAGGTTACCTTCTAAGATAGTCGATCTTTCACACAAGAACTGTACGTCAGGGTCTACTGAAATAATATATTGTAGCTACATTGAGTGTGCATGACGTTTGGGAAATACAAGGTTTTAGCGTGAATTTGGCCGTGTTCATTATGCTGGAAGAATGCATGGCTATATGCAGCAAGGTTACAGTACTGTCCAGAAATTACAACACTGCGGTTGCGGTTTGGTCGCGGTTTGGTTGCGGTCGATCCATAGAAACCGCTGACGACTGTATGGTGAAAATACGATCGCGGTCGCCGCGGTTGCTTCCAAACGGAAAGTTATGAACAGCTTAGAAGTTAGAACTACAACACAATAATCATAATCATATTGAAAACATCTTAAGAAATGTCTGGCAGACCAAGTTTGGCCGAGGTTAAACCAACGTCTATGCGTGGTTCGACCTCGGTCTGACCTTGGTTCAACCGCGATCAGACCGAGGTTTGATCTAAGTTAAACGCGGTTTTTAATAGGTTATTTCTGGACAGTACTGTAGGGTAATTCATTTACGCGTGACCCTTCCAACAAAAATTTTAGCGTTTCGTCCGTGCTAGTCGGATAATGACTTCTAAAAAGAATAATTATACCATCAGCTTACCACGCAATCTTGTTTCCTTCCAAGTACGAAAAACTAAAGGAAAAAACGAAAATAGGTTCATTCAAGCGTTCACAGAAATGAAATAAAACAGAATGAATTACTGTCATGCCATTTATGTCATATTCTTGTTGAGGAATTCTGTCTGATGCAGAGTGAACCATCCAGGCGTTTTAAACATCACTTTAATTAAACATCAGATATAAGCTACTTAATATACAGTTTTAAGCTACTTTTAATAGAGTTGAAAGTTCAAAGTTGAATGGTTGAAAAAGATATATGCTTTAAAATTTAAGCTTCACTATAAAGTGAACTGATTCCAATTGATTTGAATTACTATAATAATAATAAAAGAAAATTAAGAAATTGTAATTACCACACGTATATAGGTCCTTTACCTATATAACTATAAGTTTACTTTAGCAGTTCACCAAAACATATAGTTTTAATATATTAATTCCCATTGTCTTATACTCTTACAAATCTTTATAAAATCAAAACACAAAATCCCGGTATGGTAGCTAAACAAAGCCCTTCTATAGTATCTGAGATATATCGTGTATAATAATAATAATAATAATATTAATTTAATATACACATTACTGAACACATTATTTACTCAATACATATTCATACATACCAATTTTTCCTAAGTCATTTAACTTCATGTTCTCAATAACACCTTTGGTTGGTTTTGGATGATATTCAAGAGGACCATCGTGGACTGGCTCCATAATTTCTGGTCGTTCTTTTACAATACTACCAGCTTTTTCCTCAATCTCTTGTTTAAGAGCAAGCATTTCTTCGTCGTTTCCACTCGTAAGAATATTCCTGGCAAAAGCCAGCGAACTTTTCGCCTTTTCGAAATATGCTTTCACGTCTGCTTGCTGTTTCAACAGGGCTTCGTTGGCTTCCGCGAATATCATGTCAACTTTACCAAGCAAGGCTGTTGTTTCTTTCCCGAGTTTTTCTGCAAACGCATCCAGGATATTTTGCTGTTGCTGCTTAATGGTGAATTTTGCTTTAGCTGTATTGTACTTAAGATCCTCAATTGCCTCTTGAATTTTACGATTACTTTCAGCTGCATCATTATTTTGCTTCTGAAATATACCAGCAAATGCGTTCAACGCATCTTTGTGCTGTACCACAACGTCTGCCAAAGGGAACCACGTATGTTCAGGCCGAGTGTGATTAAGATCCATGCAGTATCGACAAATCCGGACTTTGCATGTCTCACAGTAAAATTTAATTATTTTGCTGTGTTTCTCGCAACGAGGTTTGTCTTTTGCCTTCGCTCGGTTTTCTGGCTTCGCTAATTCTTCCAACGTCAACACGACGTGATCGTCAAAGTCTGTCCAGTTGTTGTGGGTTTCCAGACACTTTCCACACAGAAATTTCTCACACGATATGCATCTGCTGGCTGCAGGAGCGTTCGCTTTACACGACTGGCATTTTACATGATAGGCTTGTTGCTGTATGCTGAGCAATTCCAACAGGTTGTTGATAAAGTGGTTTGCTGGCATTTTCTCGCCAACATTTTCCCCTTCTTTGACTGAAAACTTCGTGCGGCATAATGGACATTCAAAGATTTCTGGTACTGAAGCTTTAGCCTTAACTGCCTTCTTGCGCTGAGCGGCGACATAATTCTCCAAGCAGTGTTTACAAAATGAATGATAACATGACAATGTCCGTGGCTGAGTCAATATCTCCATACAAACAGAACACTCTAACAGAGTTTCCATTTGCTTTACAGGAGCAGGACACGATGCAGTAGCCATAATACTTCTTTAAAGGTTTTGATAATCGCTTCGGTCTCCTTGACTTTGCTACAAACCGTCTTTTTATTTAGGTTATCTGCTCATATACGACGGAAACAATTTATGTACTCAACGCTAACTGAGCCCAGAATGTGTAAACCCCTGCCGTTTACCAAGAAATCAAGATACAAAACACTTCATCGTCTGCAATTTAATTGTTTTATTCATGAAATATTTGAAATCTGAGACCCGTTTCCATGGAAGTATGAATAACTTAAATATTAGGTTATTCATTAATCAATATACTGATAAAATATGGGAGCAGACAATGTATGTCGGACATACGCCAGTACGCAAAAAGCTCACTCACACTCTTTGAGTGTGACATGGAAATTTTGTTATTACTGATCAATGAGAAAGTTATTTCTTAGTGAATGAATATAGATCTAAGGTAAAACATTGAAAATCAAGCTATTGTTTGACTGAAAATACCGCCATGGAAAAGTTATGAGAAGATTGAGATCTCCCTCTGAATGAGTTTAAGTGTGAGTGAGCTTTCAGAATACAGGCGATAGACAAGTGCATGACCCGTAAAAAATTTTAAATAAAAAAATTATACGCAAGTTATAAGTTTGCAGGGTTAATAGAGTAATATGTTCTAGAAGGTCCTGTTTCACCCTACATATCGACCATCTCTGGTCTAGCTGTCATGGTTATCGCATGCATTAATTTTAGCTCGGACAAGGTCAAGGCCTCTATACAGCAAGGCAGTCTTTACCAGCCATGTTAATAGTTATAAATTAAGTCCAAAATCTGACCGGACTCTGGCATCTTAGCATGTGAATTAACGTATGCAAACTTGTGTTACGTCCAATTAAATCTCCCCTGACGGTCTTTCCCTTCACGTGGACTTAAGCAATGGCCCACTTTCTCTGCAAGGATTTTGCCTGCTCCCCATGCATGCATTGGTCATTCGCAAGACCTCAGCCAATGCGTCCACAACGCCGGTCAAATATTTAAAGGTATTTTATCGAAAGGCAGCAATACATATCTGCGTTTCAAATATATTATTTTTTTTTTTTAAATTTTTTATAATGATATAAATATAATTATATTAATTATACTGATAACCAAAAACTACGAAAATAAACACCACCCACCTCCCCACAGCAAAGGACCGGCCGTTGTGGCATCCGCATGTAAATACACTGATACGTTATGTTAATTCATATGTTATCTCTGGATAGTCTATGGATATTCTGACTTCTTGTAACATGTAATAAATTGCAGTGATTAAACAATGTCAGGAAATGCTGTCCTTCTGGACAACACCTTCCCACGCGAAGTGCATTTGTACAGGTCATTTTGGTCGAAATCGCGACCTGATTACCTGACCTAGAGACTCGGTGGGTCAGTCAGACAATATTTGAGTCGAGCTGACTGACCTGAACAGGGGTCCGCCTGTTCCCCTGTTATCTAGAGGTTCACCTGCTCTTCTAGGCTCACACCCTCTGCAACTTAGAGGTCCTTCTGTCGTCTTAGGTTAATTAGAGCCTCTAGACCTTTTTTCGAGCGCTTCATGCCCAAATTATATGCCACAAAAATGTTTCTTTGTGTTGTTGCTTGCTAAGTTGCCAGACGTTCAAAATCCTTTTAAAGAATCTCAACATATAAACTACATTGAGTAGGTATTTCACTTTGACCTTTTAGACATGTATGCATGACAGGCCTATATACCTTACCACTTTAGCAGTCTATTTGTTTAGCGTTTGTTGAAATAAACTATAAAAAGTTTACTTCGATGGATAGATCGAGTCTCAGATTGCAGTTATTAACTTTGACTATAACGCTGAATCTGGAACTTCAAAACAATTTGGAAATTGGCAGAGCATTAGCTGAGATTTGAGCATTTTCAGCTCTATTCGTTATTGCTTCTTCATCTATGAACAAATACTCGCCTTCTCATTTGTAATATCATCAAATTATTTAATTTACTGAATATCTGAATAATGTTGAACAATTGCAATTTGTCCTTCAATTGCGAAAAACTTCAATTTCTGATGGTGTAAATTCGTAGCCACCCGCCAGCAAAGCTTTGGTTTTTTCAGCTCCAGGTTGATAACCTGGTGGAGGTTGGTATGTGTCGCCAAGGTTGCTAATGGAATATTGATTTGCGTTGGCATCGTTCGTGATTAGCAGATCAGCATCACCAAAGACTGCTCCACGACGAGGATTGCAGCAGATTGCTTTGCTATTTTTATCATCCTTGATCGGACACTTGAATGCGCACACATTCTTTATATTTTTGAGTGAAAACAGAAATGACGAGTGGGAGGGTTTAAACTCAGGATAGACTGAAACAAAGAACAGGATATTAATTTAGCTACATTTAGATGCATAATTTTATTTAGAAAAAGTTTGCCTTTTGCATGGATCACGTCGACGTGGAATATTGTACATAAGATGCTCATTGCAAAACAAGTGTAGTGTCACCGAAATTTTTGGTACTCAGACTGTTTGCCATTACATTAGCTATGCTCAAGTGGCCGTGACGGAGCTAAAAAGCTAAAGCACCCTTCGCGCGGGCGTACAGGTCGTGATGGAAATTAAACCCCATTTGGAGTCAAACTTCTTCCCAAAAAATCTACATTTAATAGAGTCTAACAAATAGGGTGTAACTGTAGCTTAGGCTGACGGCTGACGCTTATTTCAAAGATCTTAAAACTCTCTTTCTATTTTCATCAGAACAATGAGAAAATGATTTGCACCTACGCAACCTCGTATCTGAAGTCTTCGAAGACATAGCAAGCACCCTGCCGCACAAGTATACACATGTAAATCACTTCGATGCAATACAAGGAGATATTATACAATTATAGAAAATATACCATTGGTTGACTTCCAACTCTGATCAGTAAATCCACCGAAGATGTTCGTTCCACATTTCACCAAAGTCAATGTGGGCCCTACATCGTCACATTGTCTATGAAAATCTTCCGCTTTCCAACCATCACGAGAAGCTCGATAACAAAGTTGCCAACGAAAGTTCTGATCTTCCATCCATTCCACAAGTTGCTTTGCATGTTCAAGGTTACCCTCCAATATTAATGATCTTCCGCTAATGGACTGCCCAATAGTATTTACTGAAATGGCATAGATATTGTAAATCGAATCAGCCGTTGTCTGAAAGAATAGCTTGAGCCATGCATGAATATTTCAGAAAATGATGTCAAGCCAAGAATTGGCTTGATTTCGAGAGGAAATTAAACAACGGGTATACCCTTACCATGTTCTGACGTTTGTGTGCTCATAATACGAGGAACAACTGAAAAGATATGACAGAATAATAAACAATAACCAAACGGTTTATATCCTGATCCAAGCACGCGGGAATGTTGCGAGAATTGCGAGAGTTAAGAAAACCGCGGGAAACACGATCCAAAGGCGAGTGATTTTGCAAGCATTTAAAAGTTTTACAGTTTCTGACCAGCGGGGTATTATCGAGAACTATTGAACGCCAGCTCTACTGCCTCTATATCAAAATTCGATTTTTTAAAACTATTTCACCTTACCATGCTTTTTGAAGGACCTCAGAAAACTAGGAACTGGAAGATAGAGCATTTACATAAGTATAAATTCGTATTTAATAAAATAATTATTTATAATTAATTCACTCCAGTAAGGAATTACCTGATTTATTGAAATACTTTTACCAACCCTAGAACTATAATAATGTGTTTTTATTTTCTTTCTTGCGGTCAAAATTAATATTCTAGCGTTTTCTGCAATCTTATTGGCTACGCGAGCGGTCCGTATGAGGCCTTACGTTTATTGACCCTTCGTTCCGGGGATTCAGCAATATTACCCTCAATGATGCTATGTGGACACTTGACATTTCTGTCGTAATTAGAAACGCTGCATGAGTCGTTTTGTTGGCAAGAACCCCTCCCCCCCCCGACATTGCCGACATTGGACAGGGGTCGAAGGGAGATGAACATTCTCAATTTCGGATGTCATTTCTGCTGAAAAATATGTCTGTTTCCACTCCATACGATATGTCCACGATAATTATTGTATTTTCCCTCACGTTAGGGTTTAATAATGGAAACGTCCGCTGCATGCACCTTACCCTTAACTCTTCTTGTTTGCTTCAGAGGACGAGAAACTGAAAGTGAAAACAAAATTAATACATTTTCTTTTCAATTGTGACGGGTCAATGGAATCCGCTACAGTCGAATGCACACAATCGAAAAAAAAATCAGGCAAAAACTTTCTTTCGATTGAAAAATTCCTTTTGTCCATTCATATTGGGTTTTTTTCTTTTAAACTTTTAAATGCCTTAATTTTCCCGCGTTTCTAAGGGAAAAGTTTCTCGCGTGTGTCACGCGCACGTCACATAGTACATGCACTTATTTGTTTGCGCATGCTAAGACAAAATTCCCACCTCTCTCTTTTTAATTTTGTGTCGCTGCCCTGCCAATAGCTAGTACACGTGCTCAATGTCCTAAATCTCTAGCCATGTTTACATCATAAACTCAACCTACCTAAATTTCCCATATTTGTCGTGTTTATATTGCCAACAATGCTTTTGATTGATTTTGCCTGGTACTCAATGACGCCATCATGAATTGATTCCATTATCTTTGGACATTCCTTCTTTATACTATCGGCGTTAATCTGGATTTCTGTACCAAGTAAAAGGATTTCATCATTGCTTGCCCTTTCAATGATATTCTTCGCAAATTCCAGTGAACCATGCACCTTCTCGTGATAGGCTTTCATATCGTCATGTTGTTCCACAAGTTTCTGGTTAAGTGTCTCGTGCTCTTTGTCTACTTTGTCCAGCAAAAGTGCTGTGGTTTGTTTTAATTTCTGTGTGAAGTCTTGCAAGATTTCTTTCTCTTGTTGCAGGATCATGTCTTTAGCTGTTTTGCTGTTAACTTCCAGATTCTTAGTAGCTTGATCTATTTTCCCTAAAGCGTTCTGAACTTCCTCAAACGTCCTCTGAAGAGTATGTGAAGTTGTACACAGAACTTTCTTGTGAAGTTTAGCTACCTGATCAGTAGGTTCATAATTGTGATTGGGTTTCGGCTGATCTAGTACAACGCAATTAATACAAGACAGTTCTCGACACGTATTGCAATAAAATTGAAGAGGTTTATTCCGGTGTCCTTGTTTCTGGCAACGTGGCTTGGCTTTTGCCTTGCTTTGGTTTTCAGGTTTCGCCAATTCCTCTAAAGTCATCACAACATGCTGTCTAAAATCAGGCCATTTGTTGTGAGTAGCCAAGCAGTTCTTACACAGATAGCGTTCGCAGTCTATACATCTGCATTTGGCTGTTACTCGGGCTTCGCATGAATCGCAATGTAGCTTTTTTGTGTGTTTTTTTGTTGTTGTATGACTGGCAGTATTTCTAACATGTTGTTGATGAAATAATTTGGCGGAATTTGCTCCACGCTATCGCCCTGTTTCAGTTCGAACTGGGTTCGGCACAAAGGACAGTCGAACATATTCTGGTTAATGTCTCTTTCTCTTTCAGCTTTCTCACGTTGAACCTCAATATATCTTGCGAGACATTTCTTACAAAACGAATGAAAGCAGGGAAGCGTCTTTGGTTCATCCAAAATTTCCCCACAAATGCAGCACGCCAGGAGCTCTTCCATTCGCTCGGCCGGAGCAGGATCTGATGCTGTAGCCATTGTACTCGGGTCTATATTTCTAGGAATCACTAGGAATTTCCAGGATATTGACAGTAAACACGTTGAATACTTTTGATGTCTGTATCTGTTTCTCGCATTTCAGTGCGAGTGTTAAATACTTTGTAGTGTTTACAGGCTGTAAACCCAACCATGCAAGAATTCCCTGCTAAGAATTAATCACAAAAATGCTATTATGTTGGTAAAAGGTAACAGCGATTTATTAATTATATTTTATTTTAGGACACTGAAATACCCCCTGCTATTTAAGACGAAGACAGTTTTTATGCACATAAGTACTCATCTTAATCGTAAACTGGTAAACTGTATTAATCTATAATCTTGGTCAAAACCTGTTGAGACTATTCCAACTATTCACCAAGTAAACTACAAGTGACGTCTAACTTCTGACCTCACTCTCAGTATTTCTAATGTTTTTACCAGTGGGATATTCATGATCTCGCGCAAAGCTCACATCGAAACAACATTGATACTGGAAAGCGGGGGGTGAATACATGCATTTGAGTATGCCACTTAAAATGCATGGGATTAATTTATCAGCAGCCCAAAAGGTGTTTTCACCTGCATTCTATGCTTCACCTAATACATAGCGTGTGCAATAATTTCGTTCAATCGTAAACAACTTTGTATGTATGCAGCCGTTTGAACATTGAATTTATACCGAAAATGTAACAAATACATTACAAACCTGGATTTAATAAACACATAAGCAATAGCCTTTTCTTTTTTTACGTCACTGCTGAGTATCATAATTTTTATGAACAGCTGGCGAAAAAGTACATTTCGGGCAATATTTCACAGCCTTAAATAATGAAGTTATATACATACAAAGCTACACAAAGTTGCATAGCGGTTTGTCATTTTAACGCTATATAATTTTAATGTATCTAATTCTATTTGATTCCTGACGTATCACTATTGGGAATATACATTCATCTGCGCATAGTAGCTACGAACTAATATAGCTCTCGACGGCCTCAATTTTTGGCGTTTTTGTTCTAGGTTTTTGTTTAAGTTGTCGATTACTTTTAAATCTCGCGTTACTTTGCCAACTACTTTGTCAAACTCTTGCCCATCGATATCGTTTGTGGAAAGTAATCTATATTCGTGTTAATTCAAAATCTTTGTTAACGCTTTTGGCATTCCATAGTCGATTGTTCTTGTGAACTAAAAAATATAATTATTTAACATTGCCTACTGTTTTTTGCCCAGGTTAGACGAGACGAAAAATGACTTTGAAGTATTGAAATGAATATATTATAACATAATTCTGACAGTCGTAACACTATCATGTCGTAATCACAACAAAAGCATATCATGTTGGTCATGTTTGATTTCATTAAGACGTCTTTTAATACCTTAAATTGACAAAGTGATCTCCTTAAGCCTAGTTTAGATCAACCTCGCAACCAGCAAACCTCAAAACCAGTCTTAAGTGACATATAAAAGTCAGCTTTACATATATAAACATCCGTTAATGACAGTTTTCACACCTACAACACGAAAATCGGGACTTTGTTGTGGCAGCGCGAAAAGCCGGCTCGTCACTCGGTACCAGTCTGTTTTCCGAGGTATAATATTACAATAAAACACAACGTATTGTGACATCCTCGCGCATTGAAGCAAAGCATTGGAGCAAGGCTACGACTTTAAGTTAATCAAAACGTGAAATTTGAAAATACAACTCTGGTTCTCCAACGATCGTGTGAGTAAGGTATAGAAAACATTAATTTATCAAGCATTTGAAATAAGCGACAACATTTTTAATTGCAAACATGTTTCGACTTAACTATAAGCCATCTTCAGTGCGAAAAATTAGTTATTTACATTATGAAATATACAAAGCACTCGATGAATACTATAGTCATTATTAGATAACATATGTAAGTAATTTACACTAATTAGTATTTTACCTTATTCTGAAACGCTAGTATAAATAGTAGATGTAGGTTATTAAATCCATCTTACAAACTACCTGAGTAGAGGTATATTATATTGGCGACGAGAATAAATACAGAATGGCAACGTATGGTAGAATAGATGAATACGACGAGATCGATGTGCGCAATATGTTGAGCGAATGGGCGCAATATGTTGAGCGAATGAACCATTTCTTTGAAGCAAACGAAATCGACGATGAAGACAAAAAGCGTTCGATTTTCCTAAGCGTAATAGGAGCGAAAACGTATAAACTCTTACGAGGCTTAATACGGCCGGAAATGCAAGATGTCGTATAAAGAATTAACGGATGTTGTAAGGAACATTATGACGTCAACTCGTGGACAAAAAGTTCTTTTCGTCATGTCGAGGACCTTTAGTCGAAATTCGAGTTTATCGCGGCGTCACAATTTGATTTCGTCACGGCGTTTTTAGAGTTCGACGCGGCGCGTATCTCTTCGACATGGCGTGTATCTCTTCGACGCGACGCGTGTCTCTTCGACGCGGCGCGTATCTCTTCGACGCGGCGTGTATCTCTTCGACGCGACGCGTGTCTCTTCGACGCGGCGTACATCACTTCGAGGGTCTCGCGCGCTATTTCTTTCCCGCGAAATTGGCCATAAACAAATCAACAAAATGGACGAAGTCAAGGCGATTACTGAAATTTTGCAAGACGCTTTGAGTAAAATACAGTCTGTGACAACACCAACTTTAAGTACGTCCACTCCTCAACGGGCATCAATACAGATTACTACCTCACCAGGAGAGAATATAATAAATACTCCTCGATCTACTGGACAAAGCATTAATATTAATAACGATCAAGCGAATCAGCAAATATTGAGCAGAGCGCAAGCGAACTTCAGGACTCAGGTAAGTTATATTTTATTCATATTTATAAGACCTTTGGGTACCTAAAAAAATATGAATATTCAGCAACAGGGTCTTCAACTTATGGATAACAGTACCCTTTTCCTTACCCCCAAGTTATCCCAAAATTCACCTACAGCATTTTATATGTATCTTCAAATAAGAATAGTGATAAACATTGCATAAAAACATAGCGCGCGAGACCCTCGAAGTGATGTATGCCGTGTCGAAGAGATACACTCCGCGTCGAAGAGACGTCGCGTCGAAGAGACACGCGTCGCGTTGAAGAGATACACGTCGCGTCGAAGAGACACGCGTCGCGTCGAAGGGATACACGTCGCGTCCTCGACATGACGAAACGAACTTTTTGTCCACGAGTTGACGTCATACTTGAAGCCATGCAGGCACAACAAGCAAAAGTCAACATTTGGAACCTGTGAAATTTCACATGTGGAATTATGTGAAGGGCCATGTGACATTTCACATGTGGATTTGGAACCTGTGAAATTTCACATGTGAAGTTATGTGAAGGGACCTGTGAAATTTCACATGTGGATTTGGAGCCGGCTGTGAAACTTCACATGTGAAATTTCATATATTCCTGATCCACATGTGAAATTTCACAAATTAGATGTGAAGCCTGTCAAACAATGAAAATTTAATATATGACTTTGTAGAAGGTTTAAATAATTTATTTTTGTCTAATGATTTTTCGATCTACAAATTTCAAGTCTAATTAAAATGAAATATATATATATATATTTACAAGAAAGTAATATTTCTTCTTCACAATCCTTTCATCTTTGCACTTTTATGCAGCAGCGCTTTTCACTGATGCTGTTGCTTCCGAAAACCTTTTAATCACATGAGCTAAGATAAAACCAAACATGAGTCAGTTAACTTTGCAGCTTGCAGTACAAAAGAACATCTCCATTGCTAGTCATTATATATGCTACAAACTGTTTTAACCTACAAATGATCAACTGGTGTTTCTCAGGACTGTTGTTTTTTCTTTTTCTTTTTGTTTTTCCATGGCAGCCTTCACGTAAGAAGTGGTTGCACCCATAAAATGTTTAATCACATGAGCTATAAAAAAATAAATACCAAGGGCTAAAATTAGCAATATTCACAGATTGCATGGAACTTTACAATCACTTTTAAAACATAAATACAAGGGCTGTACTCACATATGATCAACTGGACTTTCACAAGATCTAACGTAGGGCATCCTTCCTTTTGTTTGCCAGCAACTAATGACTTTTATCATGAATGTAATCAATAAAACTATATTGGAAAATCCAGCAACCCACTGGTTTCTAGAAAAAATAGAGTTCTGTTAATGAAATTATATTTGTACTTCATGAAAAAAGGAAGGTTAAATTAACTGTAGGAATGATTTATTTTAAATAGCACTGCTGTGGTTAACAGAGCTATTAAAGGTCATTGCTGATTCAACTCTTCTTCTCTTAATTCAAGCATTAATTTTGTTTTTTTTTCTTGAATTATCTTTTGTGTCTAGCTGATTATCTACTACCTCAATCTTCCATGTGCCCATCCTATGAATGATGTTCAAATGAAAAGCCCCAAACATAATTCTAATATACTGATATATGGGATTTAAATTCTAAATATCTAAATTCAGATAAGAATGAATATGTTCTATTGTTCTTTATAAAGGCTATTAAACTGATAGTGCTATAACATGGGATGGTAGAGAAGGAGAATAGTAAATATGATGTTTAATAGAATTATTATGTATTTATGAACAAGGTGATGGCTAAAGGGAAGTCATATATAAAACATCCCCCTTAGGCCTCCTGAGGCTAAGCCTTTCTTTAATAGACTGATACACACATGTATGCATGTGACACATGAAGTATGTGTTAGAGTGTCATATATAATTCAACTGCAGGTGTATTTTATATATATAGATATACAGTAAACAAATTCACCATAAACATGTATGTAATGAAATGCAGCAAAATACTGATAGAAGCTTAACCGTACAGAAGCAGTGTTAAAATCTAAAAATTGTCCCTGATAAAAACAGCTCTTGGGCCTTCAACTATTAATAGGACCTCTGCCTTGGGAAATCTAAGATTATAGTCTCTCTGAGACATTTTGGGCAACGATTTAGCAACGCTAAAGAATTCCAAGTTACTTTAGTTACCCCTGCCATACAGGTTTCTTCGGCAGCAGACAAGTAGCTATATACAGTTATATATTAACGTAAAGAATTCAAGCAATTTCATTGGTCGAGAGCCATGATCTATAAGAGGACAGACGCACGGAATGACGTCACAGCAATTTTCTTGTTTTTTTTCAGTTTTATTATTTTCATTTTTTTTTTCACTCGCCCCGGCGGCTCGTCGCCACTTTTTTTGTTCTTATCACATATGACGTCATACCGTGTATCTATAACTGAACAGACAACGGTTCATTGTAATCTATTTGTTAAATATAAAATAGAATCTATAGATTATAGTCATTATAGGCCACTAACTACAATCTATTCATTAACGCGTTTACTATTCATGGCCCAAATCATAGTACGATGAACAAGACCAAAATACAATCATTGATATATAATGAGTAAAGTAATAAAGGCAAGGAGTGCCTTGTTAAACATTTTTACGTTAGGAATAATATTCATCATAACATAAACAAACACGCTCAATGTAACGACAATACGTCATGTTTATAGAACTCACCTCTTAAAATATCGCAGATTTCCACCGTTATATTGTATATTTTCTCATATCCTAAACGTCCATATCTTTATCAGTAATGTATGAAGTAAAAGGCAAGATACAATTGTCAATTGCCATATTCGCAATAAAAAACAATATTTCTTTCTAAGCTCAAAAGGCATAATATAATGGGTAAATGGAAAATTAGGCAATTCTACCTGCAGACAGGCTTGACCGATCGGAAGATAAGATTTTCGACGATAAAAGCGGCATAAATTATAATTAACTTTGTCCTACATTATAGCTTGTCAGCAATGCGTAAAGCCTCCTTGCGAGAAAATACCGGAAAAAAGTTCAAAATCAGGGAGCCTTATTCCTATGTATCATAATTTTAAGCTAAGATAAACTACTTGCCTTTCTAACAGTGCTAGTCAGGTGTGATTATAAGTGAACCTTTGACCATAAGTGGCCCAAAATTGCGTGAGAAATTTTTCGGTAATTTGTCAATAGTATGTAGTAATGTATGTAATGTAATGTATAGTAATGTATAATTACATAAGGTAGGAAGCTCTTTCTTTACGTTACGAATCTTACCACTTAGACTATGAAAAAATAAAAAATTGATAAATTACCGAAAAATTTCTCGCGCAATTTTGGGCCTACTATGCTTTGACATGTAAAATATTTTCAAATAGGAAATATCGCATTTAATTTCATGTGAAATCATTTCACATGTGAGATCTCACATGTGACTTTATGTGAAATCGTTTCACATGTGAAATGTCACAAGTGATTTCATGTGAAATCATTTCACATGTGAGATGGTGTGTATATATAGCTCCATTCAACCATCCATTTTAAAATGCACAACCGCGCCATCTATGAATCTCTATAGGAAACAACAATAGCAATATGCAATATCTTCTAACTTTCATTTTTATAGGATGGAGGACTCGGAAAATGCTCCCCATAACTGTGATGATGTTTTGTCGAATGCGGAAAATGAAGTCAATGGAAATATTGATGCTAGTCAAATAGGTCTGATAAACCTTCGACGATCAAGAATGCTTCGGCAATGAATGAGAATACAAAAACAAATTACACAGCTCTGAAGTTTGGTCTTATTGTTTATAAAAATCAGTTAAATCTCTCAAAAAGAGTTTAGGCACCATGTAACGTTTCAGACATATCTATTTAAAAGCTATTACTAGAAACACACATACACTGCATGCAGAAACCCCTCGCTATTTCAAACTAGGTGCACAATTTCCTGAGCAAAACTCAAATCTGTACTCTATATATTTCATTTTATCGAGTATATTATAGCTAATGTTTCCATGCTTCGGTACGAAAATAATCATAAAGCTAGTGTAAACATTGGCCGTTCAATTTTTATACAGTTGCATTTTGCCATGGCAGCAATTAAGTAAAGGTTTAAAATTGAAGCCTCAAACGATTAAACAGTACAAAATCTTCAGAAACAATGAAAAAACCTCAAATTTTGTATTATTCTGTGATGCAGTCGACGGCTAAAAGTTTTATAATTCCATGACATAGAATTTGGATAACTTTGGATTCCGCTATGTCTCCCGGATTCGGGGTGTAGTCCCACGGTTCTCCGTACCACCTCGGGGATTATAATTATCCTATGAAAAAGTTGCGTATACAAGGGGAGTTGTAAACCTTAAAATTAATGCATTTTTCGAACATCCTTATTTTAATTCTTAGAGATGATAAAACATAAAATGAAAATTTAAAGATATACATGCATATTCTCTTTCAAGAGATAATATAATGTTTATCGTACTGGAGTCCAAAATTTATTGCTTTTATGAGTTAGTGGAGCGATTCAAACAAGTATCTTTGGTTTAAAAATTTTGATATACGTATACCTACTTAAGTTCTCTTCCGATGTAAAACAATCATAATCCATAATATGACTTCTATAAAAGCTTAGCTGTCCACATTACATATTTTATTTCAAATATGTTACAGGCTCCACTTTGGATAACGTACAGATGACAGAGCTTTGTTCAACTGAAAACACTGCTTTGATCGATAAGGAAGGAAATGAAGGTACTGTAGTAATTCGGGGTAAATAAACTACAGTATTCTTTACATATAGTAATCTCTAGGACTAGGATTTCGTAAAAATGGCGTGGAAAGAACGTCAAATTGATCCCTTTTTTTTTCGACCGGAATTTGGGATGTTGTTGACAAGTGTGAACAATAATGGCAGCACAACATTGTTTCATGCTGACAAACCGCAGGCTCAGAGTTTTTAGCCGTGTTCATCTCATTGTTATGACATTCAAATTAATGAATGGATTAACTCCATTCTCGTGTGTTGTTTGCATGCTTACGTCATCGGCCAAAACTCGTAGTCACAGAGTAAGTAAAATATACACTTGTACCCGCTTTTTATAGTGTGCGTGAGCGAAAAGTGGCCAACTGCGCATACTTGGCAAGTGCCTGAATTGTTCACCATAGTGAAAAGTGACAGCATGTTGGTCCACAAGGCGGTTTTTTGAAAATCATTAGCTAGCAGCTATAAAGGAAAAAAAATTAAATTTCTATTATGTAGGACTAACTTAAAAATCTAGTGGATGAATAAATTTAGTTATCCGTATGACGTCCTATACGCTTTTATCAACAAGGCTTAAGTTTTCCATAAGGAGAAAGATATACGTGATCTATTGCAACGTTGGCCGGTGAGAACCAACAAAAAATGAGACAGTGTTGAGCATATTTAAACTTTTTGTGAACTATAGTAATTTAAACTTGACAAACTATAGTAACATTATCCTATTTCATAATAATTGTGTGTCCCTCGGTATTTCTTTTCATCGTGATGTTATTCAGGCTAATGCCTTATGAACAATGCATGCATTACATGTAAGTCTAAGTTTACTAAAGTTCATCGAATATATAGTATATATATAGCCATAGTAAGTATATAAATTTATAACGCTATTATGATTATAATAATAGCGTTATATCGATATAGCGAAACATGTATTGATAAAAACACGTGACTGGTTGTGCTCTCTCGTGCGTTCTGTGACGGGCCGAGTGTGACCCTTCATAACTCCTCCCTTATAAATCGAACGCACTCACCATTCAACAATCATAAAGTAATTTATGATTTGTGATACGAAGCTTATTTATGACGTCTTCGCAACGTCATTTGCTACAGGATATAGCTCCATTATGCATGCGTTAAACTTCAATTTAGGCATTGAAAAAAAGATTATGCATGCGTTAAATGCTTAAAGCTCAAAATTTGTGTATTCACTTGTTTTCTAGTCGATTCTGGTCCACTCCTGGTGGTAGAAGATTACGAACTCTCCAACTATTCCCCTGATGATTCCGAGGAATATGACGACGCCAGAAGGGATGAGTTTAGACAAAGCGATGAACAAGCCATAGGTAAGATAACGTGCGGATTACGGTATTAAATTGACTTATGCAGGACGTGCTTACTAATTTATGTCGCTGTCACACTGGCAACACAAACGTTCACTTAGATTCAGATCATCTTAATGTTTTGATTGTATCTTTAATTAACGATCACACCGAAAACAGGTAACAGTAAGGCCACTAAAACTAATATGACTTTCTTTATGTGCTAATTTAGCCAAAGCGATTTTAAAGAAGGCAAAAAATTTCGACCGTGATGCATTACCCAAATCAAAATTCCGAATATATCCTGACGAATATGTTCATCACGAAGAACTTTATGAATGGGGTAAATATTTACATTCAGGGGCCGGCTGCTTGAAAGTTGGATAAACTAAGTTGAAAAAAAAGCAATGCTTTACAGCCTAAGGCTACAAAAGCTACATATGTCAAATTTATAAAAACTACTTTAACCTTATAATTGTGAAGTTCAATCTTTGCCATGCTAAAGGGTACAACCGGCACCAGGATTTTAGTATTATATATATAATTATTGACCATGTATTAGTTTGATATTTTATGACAGAACTCCCTTCGGACAGATTAAAGATATAGATACGATATCATGCATGAACACTCTTTTTTACTTTTCCTGCTACTTTTCTGTTTTGACTCCTAAGTCCTAACGACAAATTCTGCTGTAATTATTCCAGGCTATCAAAGCTCTATAAACGAATTTGTATTGCATAGTCCGTATGATGACGGTTTTTTTATTTGTGTGGTGTATATACCACTTTAGAGAAAGAATCTAATAAATGTGAGGATGAAGAAGCACTTAAAGGATACTGTGATATTGCATGGGCAGTTTTGAAAGACGACGCTGAAAATATGAAAAAGTTTATTGTGCCTGGTATGTTATGACATTGAAGGTTGGAGAAAAATTTCGTTTGTTTTCAAATATATATGTTCGCCAAAATATACAACCTGCAAATATATAATTGTAATGCAAGTTGCAAAAAAGTTGCACCGTTTAACAGGACAATCTAGTTCTAGAATTTTCTTCCAGAATTAAATTTATTTCCTTTTAAAAACTGATAATTCGTGTATATTGGCGAATCTCGTCCAGTGTGTGTGATGTGAGCCTTTACGAAAAAAAACTTTTTTGATATATGATCAGATGTGATTCACATGCAAATCACATACATGATGCATAGTCGTAGATACCTGTATGCATGTTGTAATATGTCACTACATGCATGGATACTTGTGAGCAAAATACTTGAATTGTTGGCCTTGAATTATAACACTTACATAAAGTGTGCAGACTTAGATCAACAATACAATACGCTAGTAACACCGCAATTGTTTCCATGCGTGTGAATGCAAACAGTACGTTTACAAAACATGTTCTTTGAAAATTTTCTATTTGACTTTTTAAGTATCACCCTTGTCGGAGAGGTCAATTCAGTGTCGTATATTGCAAGCAGCGGAGCAAAACAGTCTAAAATGCTTAGAGGTACTTTGTGAGATGTATGAAAAGGCAGTGTCAGCCGAATACTGTCTATTTCGTCCGTGCATTTGTTTCACTTCTGGAGTCCTCATCGAACGACCTAAAGAGACAGCGCTACACGTCCTTGCAGCAAAAACAACGTCAGTGACAGTGGAAGCAATTCTTGAAGTTTTCGAGAGGAAACAAAAATTTCTGAATGATTTTTCTGACTTCCCCGACGGCCATGGATCAACTCCACTTCTTGTCGCAATAAAACACAACAATATGGATGTGGTTAAGCGATTGCTTAGAACAGAACCCCGTGTAGACAAAATAAATGATGATAGCGAATCCCCCATTCTTTTAGCAGCTCTGAACGACTATGCTGTTGTCATAAAAGAAATGCTGGAAACCTGTAAGTGTCCAAAATCTCAAGTAAACTCAAAATTTATACAGCCGTTATCAAAAGGTTGTCAGCTGGGGATAATATAAATATACGTGAATATACATCACGTTGTTGTACTGAATGAAATAACCCATGTTTAATAACCCATGTTTTTCTTCAATAATGTTCATTTTTTACAAGATCGTGAATCCCAAGAAAGGTCTGAACTTCTGGAGATTATGAAATGCATCGATGATAGACAACATTCAATCCTTTACCCAGCCTCCCTCAGTGGGAAGTCTAAGGTACTAAACTTGATTATGAAAGAGACCGACTGGGGAGAATTTCTAGACCAAGAGCAGACAGTGACTGAGGATTGGAATGAGTTTGTTGGAAATGTTTGTGCTGCTGGTTGTGAAAAACTGGCGAGAGAATGTTTTAAACGCGATTCTGGTCTTCTTGGGAAAGGAGGGGAACCAAAGGTCACACCTTTAATGAGGTAAGAGTCCCACATAAATGCATGCATTCCCCACGATTGACATGGAAGCAAGTGAACATTAACAAAGCGTGTGAAAGTGAGCGAATATAAACTTAGGTGACTATTTTAAGACATTCTTCAGTGCTTACCAGCGATGAGCAGTGGCGTAGCCAGCCTGACGATTTAGTCATGCTATGCAAATTGTATGTTATTAACATTATTCATTTCTTTAGAAATTCATTGTTTTCACAGTCGATGAACACCAAAATATTAGCATAGCATGATTAAATTGTCGGGCTGGCTACGCCACTGGCGATGAGCAGGCTTGTGTAGGATTTATTTACAGTACACGCGTACATAGTCGCAGCTCGTCAAAACCCCATAGTCATCTTTTAAAAAATAAGGGCAATGAGATTTATCATTCACTAAGAAAAACGTAGAGAAGTTTTGCATACTATATTTATAAATTATGGAGAACAGTACAATAAAACAATGAATAAATAGAATAAGCTAATCAAACACTTTTGTTTGATCTCGGTAAAACCTTAATTAATATTTTTTTAAATTCTCACATTCTTCATATATTGAGAGGAGAAAAATATCTATGTATCGATTATAGGAAGACCTTTTAGGTTGTATCCTTTAGAGGCTTCAAAACAGTTTAAATCGTTATCTTTTAAACCATTTATTATATTCGTTTTGAAACCAATGGTATTTCTTGCAATCTGATTGGTTAAAAATAGTGTGATTAATTCCCAAATCGCACCAATTTTGAGCATTAATCACATGATTTATAAGCCAATAAGATTGTAGCTCTGCACCACAATAACCAGTCAGATTTAGTATTTTAGCGTAACAATCCAATCAAATTACGTAGGGAATTGGCACAAAATTTTATTATTTTGAATTCTTAAATGCCCCGCAAAATTTCCTGACAAAATAGATGAAAATTACTCACATTTTACACTGCTTTCGGTTTTTTCAGCTAATAAATCGTTTTGAATTTGTTTATTTTTTTGCATGATTTTAATTAAAATAAATATAATAAAGTGGAAATTGCACTTCATGTCGTGCAATTTTAGTGTGAAATCAAACGTGTGATTACAAATCACAGTCCCGCTTCGCTGTCGTGCGATTTTGTAATCACGCGTTTGATTTCACACCAAATTGCACTCCACTCAGTGGAATTACCATTATTGACATAATAACTGAAAAATGGTTACAAATATATTTGTCAATATTTTCATACTGCAAAATAAACTTATATGAGTAATATTGTTTGATGCATGATGATTGTTTCAGGGCAGCCAAGGCAAATCAAGAAAGAATCGTTCGGCTAATCTTTGAGATGAAACCTTCTGATGAACTGTTTAATATTTGTGATAAATATAAGAGGAATGTTTTTCACTATGCTGTGGGGAATGTTGATGCTCTTCGACACCTTGTTCTCCAGGCCCTAACGGTAATATTTAGTGGTTTTCACTTTAATAAGAAATAATATTACACGGCTGTGAAAAGATATAAAGGAGAAAAATAACTTTTTCGCACTAGCTGGGCGTAAAATATTGTTTTTCACAACGAGAATATATAGGATACATATCTTCATGCTGCCGTATTAATTATTTTACGCATATGACTGCATTTGGAGCAATAGGAATTCAAAACAAAACCAAATTTAAATATTTGAGTAAAATTTTAAAACGATTGATGACAGCTGAAAAAACATAATGTTTTACCAAACGCTAAAGATCAGCGTCGCACGAGGGTACTAATTCCGTCCGGAAATACACACGGGCATGTGGCAGAACATAGCGGAATCCAAAGTTCCCCAAATTCTTTGTCATGGATCGTGGACGTTGGAACGTTCACTGGTCATTCGATTTTGTGCGCATGCGCATGCGCATGCCCGTTTTGAAACAGTAGGTCCTTTTTACGGTCAGGATGCACCTCATTTGTACAAATATATGCTTGCTATCTCATTTTGCAAAAACTTATAAAGTTATGAAAAGCTACTACACTATTGGCTTAACTGCAAAAAGTCGACTTCAACTACTGATTGAAATTTCGAGAAAATGAGAAATAACATTTGACGTTTATTTTAAACTATTTTGATCGTATGATAGTACATGTTTAGAAAGTGAAAAATGTTATGCTTAAATTTGCATGTACTTAACTTTACTTTTTTAACTTCTTCAAACTATTAGTTGGATGAATGTGAAGCTATTAGGAATCCTAATGGCAGATTTCAATGTAACCCAATAAAGTTCGCAACTATAATGAAACAGAAAGAGGTACAGTATGTTTACATCGATGTATGAAAAATAACTTTGTTACCAAAAGAGTAAGGAAGTATAATGAAGTATTATCATTTTCTATGTTAGGACTATGTCGGTTTTTTAGTTACTATAGCTATGAAGCTTTGAGCAAAACATGTACAACTCACAATAGAAAGGATTTTAGAAATTACGAGGGATATTTTTTGAAAAATAGATTAATTTGCCAAGAATAATGCTCGTCTCCGGCACACATGAAGACAGGCTTGTATAATCAATCACCTCGCCTTCGGCGACTAATTGTTAAGTAATAAAATACGAGGAGATTACAGTTAAAAACTTTTTTGGCTTAATCTTGCTATAATATATGCATGTGTGGTGTTATGCTCCTGCAAAGAGGTCGACAACTATGGGCCAACCAGAATTGTTTTTATCATTTTCCTAAACAGTAGAAAAATCAGAGTTCTATTCCTTTGATATTACATGTACTAAATTAGTAATTTTTTTCAGAGTCTTGCGTTGCTCGTAAATATCGCAAAATTCGAGATGTTCAGAGAAGGTATCGTTAATCATGTGGACATCGAGGTAATAAACTCCTCTTCCACTTTTGTATGAAAGCATTCAACGTTTTTGGAGGGAAGAATGCAGATGACGAGTATTAGATTAGATCTTCAAATATCCCATGCCTAAAAATTAAAATTAGAAACAAAATCTTACCTTTCCAGGGTATTTTTACACGGTACGATCAAAAAGCTTAATTGGTGGGGGGGGGGTGCACATACAGTAGGAGGCAAAAGTTTGAGTCCAGTGACTGTATTTCATTGTTTTAGCAGCATATATTAATATCCTACAGAAAACCTTACCGATAAGTGAACTAGAAAAAAGTAAATAAGTAAACAGAAAAATACATGCTGTACAACAACTATGAGATGTTATGATATTCATTTTTACGTATTTTAATGTGCAAACATGCATTTACAAGTCATTGCTTAGTTCCCTCTTTTTTGCTCTTGAAATGACCTTTATTCTTGCTCGCATAGATTCCATAGGTTTTTTAATGTCACACGTTCAATACCTTGCCAGCATTCGTTGACCACTTGCCTCAAGTCAGCCTGGCTGGCGGGTCTGTGCCTCGCCCTCTTCCGGTTAAAACGGTTCTACAAGTGCTCCATAGGTTTTAGATCTGGAATATGATGTGGAAAGCCATGACAACGAGATCACCAGAATGAGTTTGCTTCTAAAAGATTTCTGGCACATAGAAGATGTGCATGTGCTTAGGGTGATTATCATGTATAGTTAGACGTGCGATCATCTTTGTACCAGATAAAATTCCATGTCCTTGAAGAATTGGATGATACTTTTCTTTAATTAGGATCCTATTATATCTTTCAATATTGCCAAACCGAGCATGACCAAAGCAGCTAAAAGTTTGCTTGAGTAGGATTTAGTTTCTTCGAACCTCTCCAAGGTTAGTTGCATACCACCTTTTTAAATTCTCACTTTTTCTGCTACCTTACGAGGAAAGAATCCTTCAATACTTAATGCAACTATTTGTCCTTGTGCACCATCACTTTGCCCTTTTTCCCACCCATCTTGGGCAGTGTAAAGGAATGAGAACTTTATTTTGTTATATTTTTAGTCATTAGGACCAAAACAGTGTGCAATTAATATAGTTTACAGTACTGAAACACTAGCACGCATGTCTTAACTCGAATACGCTGCCAGGATTTAATACTGGAATTCTACAACGACTGGACTCAAACTTTTGCCTCCTACTGTACATATATTCGTCTTATTCCCGACTGATCTCTTTTGTTGCTATTGTTCCTACGGTTATTGTTTATAACTAGCTGTAGTTATTATATTTTATAAATCACAATCACTCATCCATTCTGAACACAATACGCAAAATATTAAAACACCAGCTGACTCCAGGGCTATTTTTAAAATTTCCAGAAACAAGCAGAGAAATTGTATTCTGTCCGGATTGCGATTAATTTAGTTCTGAAATTGATTCAATAGATTTTAAAGCAGAGTCTTGATGTGATGAAAAGACTGGATCCCAATGGCGTAATAGATTTGCTACATGGGTACATCAAAGATAACCAGCCGTTCTTATCAGCAGCTCGCCATGGTAACGTCGAGCTAATGAAGTTCCTATTGCAAAAAGGAGCGGATCCCTCACAAATATGGCCGTAAGAATTACTAGAATTTTGTGGCATCGTTATTCAAATACACAATAAATTTCGGTTGCTTACACCTGACCGAAAGCATTTTGGACAAAATTCGACGGTTTTATCGTCGTACCAAGTTCATGCGATATTAGCCATATCATTAAAAAATTATCGACGAGAAATGCGAAAAAAAAACTAAGGGCTGTTTTCCACTGTCGCGTTTTTGTACGTACGTACACCATGGCCAGAAATTGCGGACATGCGCCCGCTCACAAGCATTCAGCGGCTCTGCTTATCTAATTAAAATTCATATTTACAAAGTAAAATGGCTTTCTCTGCTGGTGCAAAGCGTAAACATGTGGCCGATTCGAGGGTCGATTACAAACAATGTTTATTTTATATTTTGACATACACAGAAATTTTTTGACACATTCGTTAAATTCATCTGCCAAAATATGAATTCTTCTTCGGAGCGATCAAAGTTGTTTATCAAAATTGTGAGCCAAGCACAGCTAGTTGTCCTCACGGCCCGTTTTATACGATTTTTTGCAAAGATTTGCAGGGCGATGTATGTTGTTCTCAAATTCGTTGGACTATTAGGCATACATATGTTGGAAACGAAACAAGCTCGGCAAATGTGAATCGAACAGTAGAAAACGCATAATGCTGAGACAAAGATCACTTTTTGGCGAAAATCTGGTTCTTTTATATACAGAACATATAAGGTAAAGTGCTGAAATATCATTTGTAAAATGCTGGGCCGTAATAACTCGTAACATACATTGGAGTTGTCAAGATGCTTTCGGACATGTATGTAAATCACGTCGGAGCTCAGGAAGTAAAAAATTTAACACACAAATTCCCTTATACATTTTCACTCTTACTATTCAGCCATATTGAAAGCGAATCGCGCGCATGTGTAATTCACGCGTCCGTAATTTCTGGCCATGCGCACGTAAAAGTTTAAAATCATTTAAATGATGCATAGGGTTGGATTCTGTTGGATGTTTTACGCCATCCGATGCACTGTATCCCTAGGGATAGGTCTTTTATAATATCTACTTTTAAGGTTTATAGCTTTTAAGGTTTATAACTTCATAAGTTTCTTTGCAGTTATGTCTGAAATATCTGAACATGTTATGCATGTGTTCGCCATTCAATTAATACGCCCAAAAGGTGTCATCATGTTCTCGTGTTAAATGTGTAAATCGTGAGATGCCGCTTTTCATACACGTAAATTAAAAGTGCTCCATCTCAGTGTTATTATAGGTAATCATGCGATGGCGAGCACAATTTAGGGTTAATACGAGTGATGCTTGAAAATTTTGTGAAAATTTTGCGAGTCCAATTTGGCAAACTTTTCAAGCATTACGAGTACTATTCATCCCTAATTGTACGAGCATCATGATAAAAGCGTACAACTTTCGTAGCGCTCTATCGCGAACTTTTCGAGCGTGATTTTCAATGCAAACACGATAGTTACTTGTAAAAAACAGTGCTGCCAGACTTTTATCCATTATTTTGTACTTTTGGCAGGATTGTCGTTTATCTTTCTGGCCTTTTTTAGTTCCCCAAGTTGCTTCGTTTGTATGCAAAAGAGTTTCGGTTTCCGGCATTTTGTTTATTTTGGCAAAATCATTAATTGTAGTACTGCAGTACAATTAATAATGGTAATAGAACGAATAGGAGTGCAATTAATGCCAAAATCATACGAGTGATTACAATTAATTAATTAATTAATTAATTAATTAATTAATTAATTAATTAATTAATTAATTGATTTGGCATTAATTGCACGACTTAATTCGTTCTGTTACTTATTAATTATCCATCTTCTGTATTCAAAAATTCTGGTCATTTTCTTCAGCTTATATATCATTTAAAAGGTCAAAATTTTCAAAATCATTGTCAAATTCCTCCATTTTTAAAAATTTCGCGCCCCAAAAGAAAACAAATTCTTATTTTGTATCCTGAATGCTGATTGGCTACTTGTAAAGCTATGCTGAATTTCATTGGCTGTGAACAAGAGTGCGATTACAGCTCACCAAGAGTGCGATTAATGATTAATCGCACTCCTGTAAACCAATCAAATTGAAGTATTTGACAGTGATTACAGAAGATGGATAATTAATGAAATAATTGTACTCTTCTTTACCAATCAACATGCAGTAATTTTTGTATGCTGATATAATAAACTACGTAATTACATAAACTCCTAATTTTTACGCATATTCGGAAATTTAGAATCGGTCTTTACTCTATATATATCATATTTTAAGCAAATTGTGCTGCTTATATAAACAGAAATCAGCTTTTTAGTAAACGTTTAATATAAGTGTGATATAAACAGCAATTTGATTTGCTATAGCGGGCGTGCACTGTGTGGCCTTAATAATTAAGTCATATTGAGTTTCATTATTAATCTGATAAAAAATATTTTTGTTGCCATGTAATTTCTTATAATATGAAAGAATTTAAAAAGATTCTCTGGTATTCTCCCAACATTCCCTCGTCGTGCCTTAATACACCATAAAGGCACACGATTGTTTTAATTCTTAAAAAATATGAATGAAAGTTAGGTAGGTTCAGCTCTAACATTCATCCTCGTATTTATGTCTCAGAAAAACCAAAGCAATTTAAAACATTTTTAACTTTTCAAAATCTGTCTCAATATAGTGGATCTTACCAAACGGCCGTTCATCTCGCAGTAATGTCTGGAAAGCTTGAAGCTGTGGAGTACTTGCTTGAGCAGGACAAATTCTTGGAAATGATTGATCGTGCAGATTGTTCAGGGATCACTGCAGCTGTTTATGCAACACAGTTTAATCGTGTAGAAATTTTAAAATATTTGTTAAAGAAGAATGCGCAGATTAAAAGTGGTGGGAGACAGCAAAGCAATATTCTGGATTCTGTATACCACTTTAAAATGTCTGAGGAATCGATGAAAAAATTTTTTATGTTTTGTTTAAAACATGAGAATCCGAGACTTCTTTACGAGGTAATCGCATTAAATCGCCTTCCAAAACAGAAATATTCTGGAAAGAGTATCGTCTTAGGACCATTTCAGACGTGGAACTTTTTATGTGCCGAATCGAACGCAAATGAACTTTCACAAAGGTTAACATTGTGACGGATTTAGCGTTAGTTAACATTAATTGAAGGAGTTCACATTTGGATAATTTGAATGTGGTTGTTGTGGTTGTTGCGGTTGTAGTTGTTTTGGTTATCGATGCCGAAGTTGCGATGGTTGTTATATGTTTAGGATCCTTGTGTTTTCTTAGTTAAGGTGTTATTAATGTAATGGTGAGATGTAATTGCAGTTTTAGCTTTGCTTTTTATTTGTTTTTCTTTTTTTTGTGATTAATGCTGCCGTGGTCGTCGGGTTGTTGTTGTCGTTGTATTTGTTGCTGTTGTAGTGGCTTTTTGGTTGCGGTTTTTATCGTCTCGTTATTTTAAATATTCTCTGACATTAACGATGTTCCTCTATAGCGAGAATGCCGCTAGATATTGGATTATTGGATTACATCATTAATTTTCCTTTCCCATTCGACAAAGCCCCCAATTAATCGCGTTTTCTCGAATGTTTCAGTTGTTCGAAGACTCGCGTAATGATCCGGACGACATTATGGCAGAGATTGTCCGCAAAACACCCGACATCGCATTTCTAATCCTTGATCGCTGTATTGAAAAGAAAAATTTTTGTTTGTTTCGGGTGTTCACCTACTGGTTTTTTCCATTCATAGGAATCAGTAGTAAGTCTTCTTTTTTTTATTACATCATGTACAACACCACATATATCATCTCTTGGTCATGCATGTCAGCGATTTTGAAATACTTTTCTATTTTAAAGATAAAAAGAAGCTTCAAGCTTTAGAACGCATGACAGAAAGCCCAAATGCAGACAAGTTTTTGCGCCATCCTCTGGTTGTAAAGTTCTTAAATAGGCGGATGTATTCTTCGAGCATTCAAAAGTGGTTCCTGTTGAGTTTTTTTATTTATACCATGTTTCTGATTACTTTAACAACATATGGCGCCATCCAAAGTGGAGGTAAGAACGCATCTTCGTCAGTCGTCCATATTTGCAAGAGATCTAAAAATTTTAAATAGTTATTTTTAGATATAATAGTTGCGTGCATTTATTATTTTTATAGGTTTGCACGGTTTAAAATCACCTGGGATGATAGCACTCTCCGTCATTATTCTCATTTTATGCGGATTGCATTTAGTAAAAGAAATATCTCAGGTTTGTGATGCAGCATGCGTATGTGGTAGGTAATAATGGAAAAATTTAACACGTGTGTTTGAGAAATTATACCGCCTTCAAGATCATAATTATAGCGCGTATACAAGCAGGAAAAAAACTTGCTTCAAATTCCGCGTAAGTTGCCTTTGGGTCTAACATTTCACGAGGATTTTTCCTTATACTTCTTTCGTGATTCGTCTGCTGCCTCGAGCTCATACAGCTGGAGAGAGCGCAAAAACCTCTAGATTCAAGAGGATTTCAGTGGGTGGAATGATAAGTGTGTGGAATTTAGTCTAGAATTCGTTTTTTTTTTGAATTACCATTATGAATTGCTAAATTAAGCTTTCATCATTCAATTGTTTGAAACATATCCATTCAATAGTTTAGAAACATATCCGCTCCGCCTGTATATAGCCCAGAGTATGAGTTCAAATATGGGTTAGTTACAGTGAGTGCACTTACTAACCCATATTTGTTTACTTATATGCATATGGTACGAAATTAATCTGATGCAATCCTAATTTAAAGAATCGGCGCGTTAATTTAGAGGAATTTGCCACAGTAGCCGAAGTTGGAGCTCTTTTTTAGTACAATATAGTAAACCAAATCGCATGTAACCTAAATCTTTTTGCATCACAATGATTATTTTCTTACAGATGATTGCATATGGAATGGATTATATGCGGGATTTGGAAAATATCTTCGAGTTGACAATTTTTATTTCCGCAGTAATTTATGTTGTTCCTGGAGGGGACAAAAAAAACGACGGACAGATCATAGCTGGAGCTATTTCAATATTTCTTGCGTGGGTCAACTTCTCCCAGTTCTTGAAAACACTTTTTAATTTTGGAGTCTACATCTTCATGGCAATTAGAGTATTTGAAACCGTTTGCATGGTACGTTTGAGGGAAATGTATATGAAAGTTGGTTAGATCTTATCTTATTCACTACCAGCCTTTACAGTAAATCCATGCAAGGCTATATAGTCACCACACAAAATATTTTTACCATTTCGTTTTCCTTGAAAACATTCATATATTTTTATTAAATATTTAGGCACAACAACCTTAACATAGGTGATATGGCCTAACTTTACATAGGTGATATGGCCTAATGCAAGCTTAATATATTTTTACAATGTTATATATTAAAAAAGCGATAAAATTACTAAAAATTTAAAAGTTAAAAAGATTTATCAATTTATAAAAGTTTAACAATTAGTAAAAAGACATCTATTTACAAAGCATTGCTTCAACCTTACTGTTTTTACTTAGGGTAGGGTGTAATAATGAAACAGCAATGGTTCATAGTCGAAAAAAGCATTTCGCCATTTTGAAAACGTTTTACCAAAGATTTTATAAACTAACATTACAAATCAGATAACAATCTCATTATCGTAACACGAAGACTGACTGGTACCGAAAAAAGTGGCTCACTCAGGAAAACGGTGAAACACAAAGTATTTTCGAGATATTAAGAAATGACCATGCATCGACTTAACAGTTTGTGGCAGTTCGAGATTGTGGCATTTCTGAAATAGTATGCACGCCGTATCAATTTGTTTCGATTATTATGAAAGGATTATAATGCGGCAACGTGCATGAAGGGTCGGTGAAGAATTCTTAATTGTTAATAACTTTGTTAGATTTGCTTGAAAAATAGTCATTCCATTTAAGGACAAAATATTTTTCTAATAACACATTTAACGAAGGCTCAGAGTCGAGAAATTCTCTCTAAACAGAACATAACATAGTAAAACATTTTCGCACTTTTTAAGAAACAGTCAAAGTTTGTGTATTTTACCAAGATTCGCACTATTTAAAGAATTTGAACTTAAAGAATTAGCAGTTCCTGCCATTATTTTTATGGATTCGTGATTATTTTTATCAACAGGTGTTGCCAATGGTGATATTATTTCTCGTGGGATTTTCATTATCGTTTTCGTTGATCATGCATCAAGATGCAGGTTTCACTGATATCCCTACGTCGTTTTTGACAACACTTGTCATGATGACGGGTGAATTGGATTATAGCGACACGTTCCTTGCAAATGGATCACTTCATGCCGTGCAAAAAATATTTCTTGTACTGTTTATCCTGATGATTTCCATTGCTATAATGAATTTATTTACCGGTGTTGCTGTGGGTGACGTTAAGGAGATGTTAATGAAATCGAAAGAAAGAAGAAGAATAAATAAGGTAAAATAATGTGGCCATGGTATAAGAATGTTCGTATCTATGTTGCCAATCAAAGTGCTTCCATATACCTTATTTTTTCCTTGCGGTCCGAATTCATATTTTAGCGTTTCCTGCAATCTGATTGGCTACGCGAGCGGTCCGTATATGAGGCCGTACGGACCAGGCGAGATTTAAAAGCACGGGGTCAACGCTAAAATATGAATTTGGACCGCAAGAAAAAAATCTATTATTTACGACTTTAGTTGCTGTATAGTTTTCCCTATACGGACCGACTAAACTCTTAAACACACACACATATATATATATATATATATATATATATATATATTAATATATATATATATATATCACAATATAACAGCGAGAAAATGCTCTATTACCGTCGCATTTCAGCTCCGGACATTCGGTTATAAAATTCCAAAGTACTGGGAGGTTTCGAGGGCAGGTACCTCGGTAAAGGTTTTCAATTGCCACAAACATATGTGAGCATGTTTTCTGAAAGCATTTTGGATAATTTACGCGTGGGGGGGGGGGCGTCAACAAACCTAGCTTAAAAAGCTAAACGACATAAAAAAAAATTATTAGCCCAGGGGGCTATGAAATTTTAAAATATTTGACGGAGGAAGTTAAAAATACTCAAGAAAACCTGACACACAAACGTTTACTTTTTCGTCATTTCCCAGTAAGTATCTACCTAATATGAACAAGTTTTGTGATTGACTTTTTGTAACAATTGTGAACAGTGTTTATGATTCGTTATTTTAGAAATCAACTTCTACAGTTCATTGCGTTTTATTGTTATCATCAACCAGTAGCAAAGCTTGTTCATATAACTACGTACCGACCCTCATCTCCTCCTTCTGTGTCAATGTTATATGACCACGTTTAAAGCTAACCAGACTAGATAGCAACCTTAAGCCTGTTTTACTTAAACGGAGAGTTCTTATAAATATATATATATATATATATATATATATATATATATATATATATATATACAGGTGTAGTGATAGAAACTATCGTGAAGATAGAAACTAGCGCATACAAAATCGTCTGGGTAGAGTGCTCAATGCTAATGCAGAGCGGCATAACACAAGATGAGAAAACGCAGGTTACTTCATCGAAATTTTATCTACTACAGGACTGTTTCGTATGACAAGCTTATAGCTTGCCACACTCGTCAGGTAAATAATATAATATTACAACAGCACGACGGACTATATACAGGAGATGCATAATTAATTAATTAGATCATGTTACATGGGTGTTACTAAGGAGAAATTTCTTTCGATGTCGGCAGGCGGATACGAGTTCGTTGCGTTTGTTAACAAACGCAACGAACTCGTATCCGCCTGCCGACATCGAAAGAAATTTCTCTTTAGTAACACCCATGTAACATGATCTAATTAATTAATTATGCATCTCCTGTATATAGTCCGTCGTGCTGTTGTAATAATTATTATATTATTTACCTGACGAGTGTGGCAAGCTATAAGCTTGTCATACGAAACAGTCCTGTAGTAAATAAAATTTCGATGAAGTAACCTGCGTTTTCTCATCTTGTGTTATGCCGCTCTGCATTAGCATTGAGCACTCTACCCAGACGATTTGTATGCGCTAGTTTCTATCTTCACGATAGTTTCTATCACTACACCTGTATATATATATATATATATATATATATATATATATATATATATATATATATATATATATATATATATATATATATATATATATACACCCGTTTGCAAAAACGTTGGCCGCAGATAGATATAGATAGATACCCGAAATCTAATTAGAATTGCATATGTTGTGTAATATGATTGAAAACCCATGCAAATGTAATCATATGCAATTCTAATTAGACTTCGAGTATCTATCTATCTATCTATCTGCGGCCAACATTTTTGCAAATGGGTGTATATATATATATATATATATATATATATATATATATATATATATATATATATATATATATATATTTATTTATAAGAACTCTCCGTTTAAGTAAAACAGGCTTAAGGTTGCTATCTAGTCTGGTTAGCTTTAAACGTGGTCATATAACATTGACACAGAAGGAGGAGATGAGGGTCGGTACGTAGTTATATGAACAAGCTTTGCTACTGGTTGATGATAACAATAAAACGCAATGAACTGTAGAAGTTGATTTCTAAAATAACGAATCATAAACACTGTTCACAATTGTTACAAAAAGTCAATCACAAAACTTGTTCATATTAGGTAGTTACTTACTGGGAAATGACGAAAAAGTAAACGTTTGTGTGTCAGGTTTTCTTGAGTATTTTTAACTTCCTCCGTCAAATATTTTAAAATTTCATAGCCCCCTGGGCTAATAATTGTTTTTTTATGTCGTTTAGCTTTTTAAGCTAGGTTTGTTGACGCCCCCCCCCCCGCGTAAATTATCCAAAATGCTTTTAGAAAACATGCTCACATATGTTTGTGGCAATTGAAAACCTTTACCGAGGTACCTGCCCTCGAAACCTCTCAGTTCTTTGGAATTTTATAACCGAATGTCCGGAGCTGAAATGCGACGGTAATAGAGCATTTTCTCGCTGTTATATTGTGATAATTTTAGAAAGCCACATAAGATACATTTTGATTTAGGCTAAACTTGTCATAAAACTGGAAAGAGGCCTTTCTTTCTTCTCAATCCGGAAATTTAACCCTGAATGTGAATGTGAATGGAGGATCATGGAATCATTCGACAGGATAGATAATTTACAAAGGAGGGAAGAGAGGCACCCGTCGTTGTTAACGTGGATATGGGAACAGGTATGGAGTGTCTGTTTTTACCGTTTTCAAAAAAAATTTAACATCGTGTTTCATGCAAGCCGTCATAGTCGATGAGCAATATTTCAAAGGCAGTTTCGCCGGAGGCGACAAACGGAAAACTCCTTACAGGGCCGTCGCTAGAAGCTTAGCCATTATTAGCTGTATATTCATATTTCTACAACCGTAGAAACAATAGCTAACAAAAGAGATCAGTCGGGTATAAGACGAATATATGAGTATGCACCCCCCCCCCCAATTAAGGTTCTTGCGACGGCCCTGATTCCTTAACAAGCACTCGATATCACTTGCTACCCGCGCACCCATATTTCTATTCACTTCCTTGCATTCGAGATATGCGAGGTAGTGTTTCGATATATACATATTATAATTTAACGAGAATGATAATGAACAACAAATAATCAGAATGAGAGTATAGAATGAAGTAAAATGAGAAGCAAAAAATCATTAACATTCTATACGCAGATAATAACTACAGGGTGTCTCAAAAAAACGAAAACTATTGAAATCACCTATAACAATGTAATTGTTAGAGTTTGAATACTTAAGCACTCTGTTGGGACCCACAAGTGTATAAATGTTTGCCATTTTCCATTTTTATGTATGATGTAGTAAAATTTGTTTGTACGCAAAAGTATTTATTAACAACATTTTACAATTTGTCCTTTGTCCACCTTTGTCGAAAAGCGTTTCGCACTTCCGTTGCAATTTGTGTACGCGTATAATTTATCACAATAATATCACAAGGCTAATTTAAATTTTATCATATTCACAATTTAAATTTTTCATATTTAGAATTTTATAAGATGCATTAAACCCCCACGCCCACGGGCTGAATTCGTTAACACGGCATTCAAATTTTAACAATGAGTGATTTGAATAGTTTTCGTTTTTTTGAGACACCCTGTAGACAGTAATCATAACTATAGCCAGTGTATCATACTGTAATACTATTATTGCCCGCTGCTGACCGGTAAGGATATATAGATTCGGTAACAAGGTCATTATTTGTCATCATCTTAGCCCTGTTCATTGCCAGGCGAGGAGTCATTGTATTGTCATAATTAGATCAGGGATAATGCCTAGCACTTATTACATAACAACCAAGCAAACCCTTGCCAACGTTGATTGCCTAATAAGGCCGTTTTCCACTTCATTCGTATCGTAGCGAAACGTAGCGTATCTCATTGTTTTGAAATCATTAGTTCTGGTCGAATACTCCAAAAACAAAGAAATACGCTACGTTACGCTACGATACGGTTGAACTGGAAAACGGGCCTTAGGGCCTGTTTATATGATCCCGTCTAGCCGGGACGGGATGTTTTCATCCCGCTTAGCCGGGAAACTCGCCTAGGCGGGATGGCGTGTTTATATGGAGTTCATTTTGTAGTGCAGGTTCCTTCGACGGCATGTTTTATTGTAGAAAACGAATATGCCAATATATACACATGCTCCTAATGTATGTTAATCGCGAATCATCCCGGCCAAGCGGGATGGAGTGTTTATATGTCAATTTCTCGTCCCGTCTAAGCAGGATCCCGGCAAGAAGTGCCGGGATCCCGCTTAGGCGGGATGGAAAAGTGGTCATATAAACACTAATTAGTGTTTGTATTACAAGCGGGATCTCGGAAACTGTCCCGTCCCGGCTAGGCGGGATCATATAAACAGGCCCTTAATGAGAGCAGCGAGGCGAATCCGCATATTATATTATTTAACTTGTTTTTATCACATAAAAATCCATATAAGCGATACTTAGATAGGTTAAGGTCTGTTCACACGATCTAATTTTGTTGGATCCAATTCACTTCTGACGTATGAGATGCAGTGTATTATCGATAAAGCAATAGAGAATTGGCTTCAGCAGATTTGCTGTCCATATTCCTTGCAAGTCAACAGACTATTAAACATCTATCATAAGTGAATTGGATCCAACAAAATTAGATCGTGCGAACAGACGTATAGGTAGGTAATCATGGGATGCCGAGTACAATTCGGGACAACAGGGTCAGGGTGTATAAAAAAGTATAGTACTCTTGTATAATTGTGGTTCTATTGTGCTTCATAGCTTATGAATTACGAATATAAACTGGGTTGCCTTATTTGATACACGCTATACAACTGGGGGGCAGTACACATGCTGTTGACAGGACATCTCCTGTTGACAACAAACGCCTTCAGCAGAAATTCCTTTGAAACAAATAATTCATTCGAGCAGAAATTCTTATATTTTTCATCAACTCTTAGACTTTTCCTGATGACGAAGATGAAACAATGAAGCATGAAGAAGAGCAAAGAAAACAGTTTTGTGAGTTGAAGGAGGAATTTGGGCAAGCGAAAGAATCGATAAAAGAAAAAATAGATAAAACCCACAAATTGGTCGAAGAAAAATTAATAGCTATGGAAATGATGATCAAAAAAATATTGCCGGAGACAGAGCCAGACGGGTCTTCTTAGCTCAAATTAGCGTTAGTGGCATAAAAACGTGTGAACTTTAAAACTACAGACGATTAGAAAGTCTTGAGCTTATGAAACTATAGGTATGGGTGCACACTTTAACGTAATGTTTCGTTTTACAAGTCATGCATGTGTGTTAGTTTTGACTGTATCGACACCTTAATTGTCAATGTGGCGACATGCAAGCAACGACAAAACGGCGGAAATATTTATAGGTCAGTGTTGTGGCCTTCCTGTTTTGCTTCCGATGTAACAATTGTTTCGAAGTCTCTATGAACCAGGCTTCAATGCAATTCCGATTTCAAAGTGGTGAAAGGAGATTATGCATATTATTAATTTCTTTCGTAAGTGATTTATGACTTACTATTTTCCGATTTCACAATTTGTATTTATAATATTACAATAAAACACAGCGAATTGTCACATCCTCGTGCATTGAAGTAAAGCATTGGAGCAAGGCTATAACAGCAGTTAATCTAAAGGGTGCTTAAAAGTCAACACTTAATATTAAAAAATGTTCCGTTTGTGAGCTGCACAATTAGAAGTAGTACTAATTGCTATTGTACTTAATACCAACAAGTATGAATTTTAGGTGTTGCCTTTTTTATACACCCTGTAAACGTGAAAATATACCCTGTCTCTGGTATTCCATCGTGTGTGTAGAAGTTCAAGTAAGGTATAGAAAACATTAATTTTCAATGCATTGGGGCCAAAAGTATTTCTCATTGTTGTAATATAAGCATGTTGACAACAACCAGAAGCTTTTATTTTGCGCCAAGATACGCACTAACATTAAATAACATACACTAAAAGGAGATTAGACAATAACATAACATCTCCCCACTAAAGGAATGTACAATGTAGCGAAGCGAATATTGTTCAGCGATAGCAAATATTGTTCAGCGATAGCAAATATTGTTCAGCGATAGCAAATTTTGTTCCGTGATATCTTACGGGTTTATTTACAACTCGTCCGGATCTTGTTGAGTACTTGATCTGGGCAGGCCCTCAATAGACTGAGATGCAGGCAATGAGGTCTTCGGTTTCGGTTGTTGCATGTTTGAGGGAGGCAGCTCAGTATGATCGTCCTGGTCATACTGAATACGAAATTTGTCCTTGCAAGGTAATAACTGACGGCGATTCCGTCTGACGACGTTTCCTTTGCTGTTAAGGATACGATACGCGCGAGGCTCCTGGCATTTCGCAACTACCTTTCCAACTTCATCCCATCGCTTTTCCCCGTGAATGCGCATGCGGACAACAGTACCTGGTTCTATGTCCGGCAGATCCTTGGCGTGTTGATTGTAGGCCTTTTTGACGTTCGCTGGGGTGGTTTTTGGTGGACTTGAAGTGTTAGTTAGATTCAAGGCCCGAGGATGGGAACTGAATTTGAGTCAACAACGATAAAGAGAACATTTACTGTCCGAACTTTGTGTTTCAGTCTACCAATACACTTGCCTGAAACAGGAATGGGTGTGCCATTGTAGGCAGAAAGCTTTATTGTAGCGGGTTTGAGCTTGGGTTTCGGTGACAATTTGTGCAGTAGACACTTGGGAATAACGTTGCACTGGGCACCCGTGTCAATCTTGAAAGGTACATCAGCACCATTCATTTCGAGTGTGACGGACCAGTCCAGTTTCGTGTCACCAACTGTGAATACATTTGTTTCACCAGGCAAAGTTGCTGACTGGGAAGGATTGCAGGAGATTCATTGATAGTGGTACTAGGACTATGCACTGGTGACCATATCGATGTAGAATTCATCATCGTCATCAGAAGAGCTATTGGTGGGGGAGTCCTTTTTAGCAACGCCTTTGACTTCTTTCTCCGGACAGCAGGATTCAAAGTGGTTTCTCTTCTGGCATTTGTGACATCTTTTACCATATGCAGGGCAGTTTCCACGTTGGTGGGATCCACTGCAAAATTTGCACTTTTTGATAATGTCTGGGTGTTTAGGTTTCTTGTCAGAATTTCAGTCGTGGTTGGTTATCTCTTCGACGGTTGATTTTGTGTACATCAGAGGATTCTTGGTGTTCCTTGAGCTCTTTGGCATGACGTTTTGTTTCTTCTGCTGCGTGACCGGCAGCAATTGCTTTTTCGAGAGTGAGATCGGCATCACGAAAAAGGCGTTCACGAAGTGTGTGGTCAGTCGTGCCACAAACAATCATGTCCTTAGTTAACGAGTCTGTCAAATCACCAAACTCACATTCAGAACTGCATTTCTTTAGCTAAGTGATGAAGTCGTTAAAGCATTGACCTTCAACTTGCTTGTACGAGAAAAATTTGTGACGCAGGATGGTAATATTCTTGCGAGGGTTGCAATACGAAGTGAACTTCTCTAAGACAGGCTTTAATTTGAGTTTATCAGTGTCTCGCTCAAATGTGAAAGTTTCATAAATGTCTCTACCTTTCGGTCCGATGCACGTAAGTAGAATGGATGTCTTGATCTTATCACTTTTGAGTCTGATTCAGTGGCAGTAAGAAAGAACTGAAAGTGTTTTTGTCATGTTTTCCATCCGTCTCATGAGACACATTTCCTTCGAAGGAAAATGGAGGAGGCGGTCTGAGTTTGTCCACGTAGAATCGAACGAAATAGATAACCAAACAGTTCAAATCGGAGCGTGATATACTGAGAAATAAATCTGCTGTTCGCAAAAAAAAATTGATATACTATCGAGCGGTTATGACATTAAAATCCCACTATTTGACACCATGTAATATAAGCGTGTTGACAACAACCAGAAGTTTTTATTTGGCGCCAAGATACGCACTAACATTAAATAATATACACTAAAAGGAGATTAGACAATAACATAACCATTGTCAAGGCAATTTGTCCGCGTTTAAATTTGTTTACGATTACATCATCTACATTACAAGAACACTAAGTTTCAGCCCTGGTAACTAAACCTGTATGAGGTACATTTATATGGGTTCTATAACAACAGCTGGCTGAATTTTCAGCCCCGTACTGGAGCCAGGATGAAGCACAAGACGGGTTGAAAAGAGTCAAACCAGCTCCCAGGCAGAAGATTTTTTAAATATGCCATTTACTGCTTGTTGAACAGCACACACACATGTGCACATGATTCGTATGATAGACGGGGAAAAACCTACACAATTGCTTTCCATGTATGAAATCAGTTTCAAAAATGAAGCTTCGTTTTTTATTTGAGATTAAGGAATAATAGCCAAATCAACAGACTGAGCAGTGAAGCGCGATGGAAGGACAATGTGTGCGATGTCATTTCTTTTGCAGCCTGTGATTTACAATTTCAATTTGTACGGTTCATTAATTTTTAATATTCAAATGACGCAAATTCAGATGCAATTAACAGCTTTGTGTGTATACAAAGGTGTTTTAACATTGCTGTTGTGCCCTTTAAATCCCCTAGGCTAACCAACTGGAATATTGCGTTGGGAATTTAAAAACATATAGATTCGTTACAGATAAATACACGAAATTCAACTGTTAAGTTGGGAGTGTGAAGACGTTAGACGTTACAGGGTAAGGTTACTCTTTATCAATGTTAATAGTTGTTGCTAGCTCTTTGGTATTCGTGTAATCATCTTCAATGAACTGAATTTAATGTTGTTATTTGCTTCGATTCACTTCTAAATGCATGTGGTTATGTATCGCCTGTAAATTAGAAACCAGGCAAGCCACAAGCGATGTCAATGTGATATCATTTGAGGAATTGTTCACTATTGTATTGTGTAAGACGGCATTCATTGTAAGAGGGGAAATAACAGAGAAATTAATATATGCATGCACAGTTCAAAACTCAAAAGTCCGAAGTTTAGCATATTACAACAAAGTGAGGAAAAAGTTGTGAAATTAAATGTTAATTTCCAGTTTATTGTCGACATCCCCTGTTTGGCTGCATGGTTTTCATCGATCTAACATAATTGTCGTACACATCTCGGATTTCACACAACAACGAATTACGACATGTAAAAGGCGAAGCATTAACAATATCATAAAATTGTGTAGATTAAACTGTTCACGCTTTGCGGCAAAATATACGACAAGTTTTAATGTAGAGCGAAGCATTAAAAAGTTATAAAGCATTGTAAATTTTCACCTATTATACATATATTTACAATTTTGCCACGAGCTCGAGTCCTATGTGAGATGATTGCCGACGGGGTGCTTAGAACTGATTTGGCTATCAGCTATATACGACGAGATCGAGTGAGTGATATAATTGTTTTATAATAAAGCTACTATAAATACCATTTTATGAGTGAAATAAACAATGTGTAATAAAATTTAAGTAATTTAACTAATCGGCTATTGATTTAATCTCAGTCAATCTTTCGCTTAATGTTTAAAAGACCCATTTTCACGAACAAAAAGCTGCTTTTTGTCAGTTCTACTTACCCCTGAGTATTTTTATCTCATATTTTGTTTACAACTGAACTTTCAAAAGTGTTTCAATTTCTTCTTTATCGCTAAGCAAAACTGTCTGCTATTTTGTTTTTGCTTGCTACTCGTATGAGTTGATATCTCGTGAGTATCTCGACAGATCAGATTACAAAATAGTTCATAAAACTAGCTCAGTGATACTACAATATGTCACATAATGATAGCTCAGTGAGTTCCCTTCAACCAACCATTTTGAAATGTAAAACCGCGTCATCCATGCGTCTCTATAGGAAAAAGCAATAGCCATTTGCAACATCTTCTAACTTTCATTTTGATAGGATGGAGGGCTCAGAGAATGCTCCCTATGATGTTTTGTCGAAGGCGGAAAATGGAGTCAATGGAAATATTGATGCAAGTCAAATAGGTCTGATAAAGCTTGGACCAAGATATATAATAAACAGAATAAAAAATTCTTTGGAAATTATAATGAGAAACAAAAACAAATTATAGAGTTCTGAAGTTTGGTCTTATATATACAAAATTAAATCTCTTAAGTTTATGCACCATGCAACCATTAAACATATCTACCTAAAAGCTTTTATTATAACTATTCCATGAAAAGGTTGCGTATATATAAACCTTAAATGCACCTTTCGAACATACCTTTTTTAATTCTTAGAGATGAAAGAACATAAAATGAAAGATGAAGAAAGTAAGATACATGCATGCATATTCTCTGTCAAGAGATAAAATAATATTTATGATATTGGAGCTCAAAATTTATTGCTTTTATGAATTAGTAGAACGGCTCGAAGAAATAATCGAGTTGTTTATCATTAATAACAATGCATAATGTGATTGTTATAAAAACTTAACTGTCCACGTTACATGTTTTATTTCAAATATGTTACAGGCTCCACTTTGGATAACGCACAGATCACAGAGTTTTGTTCAACTGAAAACACTCCTTTGATCGATAAGGATGCAAATGAAGGTACTGTAGTAACTCGGGGTGAATAAAGTCCCGTTTACGCTACACCGAGTCAATTTATTGACACGACACGGCTAAAATGGGACCCGTGCCTATTACATCCGTGTCCGGCCATTGTTTTCGTAGCCTGAGAACTAGTAAAATTGGGCATGTGTACCCATTTTATCCGTGCCTTTCCAATTAATAAATTGAGTGTAGTGTCAAAGGGGCTTAAAGCTCAGTGTTTTTCACAGACATTATAATCTCTAACATGCCGTAAGACAGCGTAGTAGGATGGTACAATTAGCTAACGCCGTTGCTTTACTGCGGGGTACAGAGAGCTTCAGCAGTTGTTACGAGTTCGAGATTCGTCATTGTTGCGTGTTAATTGCTTAAAGTTGAGTTTGGCCCGAAAACAGACATTTCCAGGGTCGTCGCGTATTAAAATTGTTCAATATAAAGTAAGCTTTATTTAGTAAGGTGTACTTGTCATAGAAAAATTGTCCAAGTAGGGTGTATAGACGAACAATTAAAAATTGTCAGATCAAAACTTGTCATAGAAAACTGGCTCGTCTGTAAGGGGCTTCAGCTTATAAGAGTTATGTAAAAGTCGAGCGCACTCCTGATCATAAATTATTTCTGAAACAAGGCTTGCTTATGAAGTGAGTTGCCTGCGCAACGTCGTTTGGTGCAGCGGATAAAGCTCATTTATGCATGCATGCGTTATATGCATTGAAAAATATATGTATTTACTCTAGTCGATTCTGGGCCTCTCCGGGTGGTAGAAGATTACGAATTGCCGAATTATTCCTCCGATGATTCCGAGGAATATAATGAATCTAGGAGAGATGAGCTAAGACAAATCGAGGAACAAGCTATAGGTAAGCTAACGCATAGATTACGGTGTATGGACTATGCAGGACGAGTCAGGTGAGGCTCTCTAAGAACCTAAGAACCTCTAAGAACCGTCAACAGCTTACTTATGTTACTGTGAGTTACAACTTAAGCGTTTACTTTGAATCAAATCTTCTTAATTGACCTTAACGAAAAAGATGGCGGGAGTATACATTTGACCAGAGTGCATTGCGGTGGAAAATCGTTTAAAAAAGCGAATTGACGTCTTTTGAAGAACATCCATAAAACAAGAGGTTTTTTTCCTGCTTGCGATAAATTTCTACGTCGTTAAGTGCTTTTCTGCCATTTATTCTTGATGCCTGCAATGCATTCTGGTCAAATGTATATGCAGCAATCTTTTTCGCTATGGTCAAATGCGTTGATTTTATCTTTGATCACAGCGAAAACAGGTAACTGTAAGGCCACCAAACATGACTTCCTTTATGTGCTAATTTAGCCGAAGCGATTTTAAAGAGGAAAAAAGATTTCGACAGTGATGTTAATGCGTTATCCAAATCAAAATCTCGAATATGTCTGGAAGAATATGTTCACGATGACAACTTCTATGTGTGGGGTAAATATTTCCATTCATGGACCAGGATTTTATTATTATATGTTTTGACCATGCATAGATTGGGGATATATCATGGAAAAAAATATTTTAGGACAGATTAAAAATACTGATAAATACGATATCATGACTATTTACTTCTATCTTACTCTGCTGTGTTGACTTAACGAAATGAACTTAAAAGAACTTGTGTATTACATTGCCCGTTTGGTGACGATTTCGTATTTCATATTATGTATGCCACTTTAGAGGAAAAATCTAATGATTGTGTTGTTGAAGAAACACCTGAACACTTTAACATTGGATGGGCAGTTTGGAAAGACGACGCTGAAAATATGAAGGAGATTATTTCGCGTGGTATGTTATGGCGTTGATGATTGGAAAAAAATTTCGTTTGTTGTCAAATTTTACGCTAGGCCTGCAAATGTTTACATGTGGTTCACATGGTCTGAAAATTATTGACAGATTAACGCCACATGCGAACCACACGTGTGGATTAACATGTAAAACACGTGTGGATTAACATGTAAAACACGTGTGGATTAACATGTAAAACACGTGTGGATTAACATGTAAAACAAGGGATTCACAAGGAAATCATACACATCTCACACTTACACATTATCGACTGAAGGCAAATGGTGATAAGAAAAATATTTTAAAATATTTTTCAAAACTATTCAGATGCCGATATAGAAATATACTTTAGAGAACTAACAAATGACTGCACTGGACAAGAATATTTTAAATTAGATTAATGAAACTTTTATCTTATCTTTTCATATGTGGAGGATATTCCATAGTTCAATGTGAACGCAATAAGTGCGTAAATTACAAAAATTATAAATCGCAAAAGTTATAAAACTGTAAATTACAAAAAAGATTTATCTCAAAATTTTCTGTTTCATTTTTCAAGTATCACCTTTGTCAAAGACATCGATTCAGTTTCGTATATTTCAAGCAGTAGAACGAAACAGTCTAGAATGCTTAGATGTACTTTGTGAGATGTACGAAAAGGAAGTCTCAGACGAATACAGTCTATTTCATCGAAGTATTTATTTCGCTTTTGGAGTCCAAGAGGAACGACCTAAAGAGACAGCTCTACACCTCCTTGCAACAAAAACAACGTCACCGGAAGCAATTCTTGAAGTTTTCGCGAGGAGACCAAAATTTCTGAATGATCTTTCAGACTTCCCTGACAGCCATGGATCAACTCCACTTCTTGTTGCAATAAAACACAACAATATGGATGTGGTTAAGCGATTACTTCGAACCAAACCTCGTGTAGGCAAAAGAAATAATGATGGCGAATCCCCCATTCTCTTAGCAGCTCTGAACGGCTATGTTGATGTCATAAAAGAAATGCTGGAGATGTGTAAGTTTTCAAAATCTCAATCCCTTAATATCAATCCCTAATCTGCCAAACCTGACTCTCGCTAAAAATGCGCATACAAATACCGTAAAGTTGTTATCGTACTATACCAACTTAAACTTTACAATTTTATGTGCATTATGCTCAATGTTACAAATCTGACGTAATTATACATAGCTTTACCGCACTTTTCCCCGCGACCTTTTTTTTTAAACTTAACTGTAACTAAACTTCCTACGAAATCCCTAGGTCTTCTAAGCGAAATCAGGTGCTTAGTATCCCAAAAATTCTCCCTCAAATCATCCGAATACTGCAAAACAGGCCACTACGAATAAACTATACCTTAACGTTAAACCCTGATAAAGGAAGGGCGAAAATCCAACACTATAAAGATAGCATATTAGATTCCGAATCTTTTACGAGCGCTACGAGAACACAAAATTTCTCAGCTGCATAAAGTGTTCCTATCCTAATTTTAGTTCCTCTTTTAGTGTAAAAAACGGGATCCTACCTTGTCGTGTGTTCACGAATTAATTGTATTTTCATCATTCGAAATGTGCCAAATTATTATTAATACTCATTAATTCTATGCATATAAATTACGTTCAATAATATTCATTTTTTACAAGATCGTGAATCCCAACAAATGTCTGAACTTTGGGAGATTATGAAAAGCATTGATGGCAAACAACATTCAATCCTTTACCCAGCCTGCCAGAAACGCAATTCTAAGTTACTAAACCTAGTTATGAAAGAGACAGACTGGCGAAAATTTCTAGACCAAGAGCAGGCAGTGACTGAGGATTGGAATGAGTTTGTTGGTAATGTTTGTGCTGCTGGATGTAAAAAACTTGCAAAAGAATGTTTTAAACGCGATTCTGCTCTTCTTAATAAAGGAGAGGAACGAAAGGTCACACCTTTAATGAGGTAAGAGCCCTAAATAAATGCATGTATTCTCCAGGATTGACATTGAATGAGGAGGGTGAAAGTGTGCGAATATAAACTGTAGTGTAGCCCGCCTGAAAACTTGCCCTGCTATGCTGATATGATGTTCATTGACTGTGAAAACAATAAATTTCTAAAGAGATGAATAATCATATAATAAATTGAAATTTACATAGCGTGGGACAAAATCGCCAGGCTGGCTGCGTCACTCCATAAACACTAGCGCCTGTATTCAAACAGCTCAATCACACTCGCACTCATTAAGTGTGACATATAAATTTTGTTAATGCTGGTCAATGAGAAGCTTTTTTCTGAATAGATATAAGGTAAATCAGTGAAAATCACGACCATATCCGACTGGAAATTCCACAATGAAAACGTTATGAGAAGATTGAGATCTCCTCTCACTCGACGAGTGTGAGTGAGCTTTTAGAACAAAGGCGTTCGACATTCTTCAGTGCATGCTTATCAGAAATCACCAGCAGGCTGCTGTTGGATTTGAAGTATTTATTTAGTGTATGCTTGTATACATATAGTCGCAGCTTGTCAGAACACCATAGTGCTGAAGGTTTAGTCAAGTTTTTCATTTAGCGTTTTTCTTTTGCTTTTTAAGATATCTTTTTTTGGAAATATTTTTTAATGCAATAATTTTTTTCAGGGCAGCCGAAGCAAATCAAGAAAGAATCGTTCGGCTAATTTTTGAGATAAAACCTTCTGATGAATTGTTTAATATTTGTGATAAAGATGGCAGGAATGTTTTTCATTATGCTGTGGGAAATGTTGATGCTCTTCGACACCTTGTTCTCCAGGCCTTAAAGGTAGTTGATTATGATTGGTTTGCGATTTAATGCAAAATAGTGTCCAATGACAGAATGTGAAGCAGCATCACCGAGTATGACGTATTACATGCCGGTGCGAAGATATAAAATTTATATTAAAAAGTATTACAAATATCTTTTTGCTTATCACTTTTTTCTGGCTGGGTAAAATGTTATTTTTCGCAACGAGAAAATAGCATACATATTTTCATGCTTCCGTGTACGTAACTTTCGTTTTGTTATAATATTCTTGTATGTTTGCATGTGACATTTGATAAGTAATTTAGCTTGTAGGTACACCACGTAAGTATTCAATGTACCACAAAGCTTTCGGTCCGTTAACCCGGGTCTTCATCAGTGCAATTACCTGAATATACATTCGCCCGTCACTAAAATATCACGTTAGTCGTGATTTGTTAGCTCGCGCCATTAATTAAACGGTCTCACTTACCAAATAATATACTTATAAAAAAGAAATAGTTCTAATTAATGCGCGTGTCCTAGACAAGTATTAAGGTAGCAGACATTGAAAAGAGCGCGTCACGTACTATTAAGCGGCTTACCCTCGTGGGCAATAATTTGATGATTATAGATTTCAATAGATTCTCTCATTTTACGAGAGACGGTATACTTATCATTCGCTAAAATGCTTGCATCTTTCCATTTGATGCGATGATCATAAGTCCACGCATGGTGAGCTACAGCAGACTTATCCAGTTTACCTTTCTCGCAGTTCGTCTTATGTTCTTTTAGAAGTATTGAGAGATTTCTACTGGTCTCTGCAATGTAAACCAAACCACATTCACATGAAATGCGGTACACACCAGGTTTCTGGAGTTCTTCGGTCATTTGGAGGAATATGAATTCAAAACAAAACCAAATTTTCACTTTAATATTATGAGTAAAATTTTAAAATGATTGATAACCGAATTGAAAAATAAACACACACGTCATATTAAGTAACGTTTAACTAAACGTTAAAAACATGCACCTTTCTCCAAAACTACTTTCACGACGGATTTTACGATGGTGTTTGTGATATAAATACCAAATTTCGACAATTACACATCTTCTGGCTGTATCAAATAGCTTGCCCAAATAGCCCTGGTTGACGGGATGAAAGCTCTGCTTTCAATAAATACCCGCGGAGTTTCAAAAATTGATGATTTATAATTTAACTGAGTAAGGTAGTGCATTGAGCTGAGGACAATTTGGGGCAAAATGAACGCCCGAATCAACGTTACCTTTAAAATATTGTGAGTAATCGATTTCATCGTTTGATTTGACTAGGGACGCCGGATGATCGATAATTATGGGGGGGGGCATATATTCAAGTTCACAGACCGTAAAAACAATCGATTTCAAAAGAAACCAATAATGCAAAACTCGAATATATGAATATACCCCCCCCCCAATTATCGATGTTACAGCGTGCCTAGATTCAACTTTTTTTCTTGTTTTTACACTTACGTGAAGTTTGGCAACTTTCTGAAAAAATTCAGATCTGTTTCAAAAATTCAAATTTCTCGTCCATCTCCTGTTAAATTTAATTTTCCGATTGAGTGGTATACCTTAATCTAATTGGTTGTTCTTAGCAAAGAGGTTGATTTCAACCCTCACGTCAGTTAATTTTGAAATCAACCTAATATGAGGTCTATTTAGGCTGAAAACACTCTGTTGTATAAGAACCAATTAGATTGTAGGAAACGCCATTGATTTCAAAATGAGTTTAAAGGTTGTTCATTCAACAGGCTGTACCAATTTCAATAATATTTTTGAATATGGCTACACAGTTGCTTGTCATATGAATATTGAAATGACAAAATTAAAATCAAAAAATATTCCAAAAATCCTTTGCCTTGAGATATGATAGTACACGTTTAGAAAGTGAAAATGTCATGCTTAAATTTTTAGAGGTTTTGTATTACAAGAAATTAATAGACCGAATCAAACTAACGTGAACCCGCATCTAACTTTACTTTTTCAACTTTTTCATACAAATAGTTGTGCGACGAATGTCAAGCTATTAAGTTGAGATCTTACAAATTTAAATCACCAATACAGCTCGCAGCTAAAGGGAAACTGAAAGAGGTAAAGTATGCGTATAAGGCCAGATTTTATAAAACATGAGTGACATTTTTTGACATAATATCTGATTAATTTGTTAAGAATAATGCTAAAAACTTTGCATGTTTTTTGTAGTCAATGTATTTCATCATATTGTGTATAACAGTATATAAAATAGAAGGAATTTTACATTTGCTTAATGATTTTGCAGCCTAATTTTTTGAAAAATTATCATATGATTATGTGTGGTGTTTGCTCATGCAATCAAAGAGGTCGACTACTGCTCGCCAACCAGTATTGTTTTTATCATTTTGCCAAACAGTAGAAACAGTTTTACTCTTTTGATATTACATGTACTAATTTAGAAATTTTTTTTAGAGTCTTATGTTGCTCGTAAATATCGCAAAATTCGAGATGTTTGAACAAGATATCATTAATGATGTTGACGTCGAGGTAATTAACTCTTGATTAAGTGCTATTACGTAAAAATAGAAGCAATGAAATTGAGTGAACGAAATACCACTTGGAGACATTGGGGCTTCAAATTCCACGTAGTTTGAACGTGTGGTACTAAGCATGATCCGATAAACAAACTTAATAAGTTCCGGTATATATTTTATTCAAGTACTCCAAACCTAAAAATTAAGAACTAGAAACAAGATCTCACCTATTCTCTAGGCAGTGGCGTAGCCAGCCTGACGATTTTGTCCCGCTATGTAAATTTCGAGTTATTATAATAATTCATTTCCTTAAAGATTTACTGTTTTCACAGTCAAGGAGCACCAAAATATTAGCATAGCGGGACCAGTCGTCAGGTTACGCTACTGTTTCCAGGGTAATTTTACTCCACGGTGCGATGTCCGCGAATTCAATAATTGTTTTATTCTCCTTTGGGACGTTGATGTCTTCGCTATTGGTGTGACGTCATAAGGTGGGACACGAGCGTGCAAGAAAAATGTCGTATCACACGTTATAACGTCATACGTTGGACATAACGCTTTCACATATGGCTATCAGCCAATCAGAGGCTGTGAATTATTTTGAATAGTATAATTTATAAAATAATCAGCATGAGACGTCATAAGGTGGGACACGAGCGTGCAAGAAAAATGTCGTATCACACGTTATAACGTCATACGTTGGACATAACGCTTTCACATATGGCTATCAGCCAATCAGAGGCTGTGAATTATTTTGAATAGTATAATTTAAAAATAATCAGCATGAGACGTCATAAGGTGGGACACGAGCGTGCAAGAAAAATGTCGTATCACACGTTATAACGTCATACGTTGGACATAACGCTTTCACATATGGCTATCAGCCAATCAGAGGCTGTGAATTATTTTGAATAGTATAATTTATAAAATAATCAGCATGAGACCAGTCAGGCAAATGTTAATCACTCATTTATTCTGAACATGATATACAAAAGTTGTAGTAATTATTAAAACACCAGCTAACTCTATGACTATTTTTAAATTGGCGTGGAAACACTTAGGTAAATTGTGTTCGCCCGATTCTAATTCGGAACTCTGAAACAGATTTTAATAGATTTTAGAGAGAAGCCTTCATATGATGAAAACACAGGATCCAAATGGCGTAACAGATTTGCTACATGGTTACATCAAAGAAAATCAGCCGTTCTTATCAGCAGCTTCCAAAGGAAATGTGAAGCTAATGGAGTTCCTATTGCAAGAAGGAGCAGACCCTTTACAAACAAAGTAAGAATTATGTGTTTTGTGGCGTCATTATGCCCGAGTCCTTCGTCGTTCGACTTTTTCGCGTACAAAGTGCAATGCATGGCTGAGATTTGTATTTCAAATGATGTCTTTTCTTCATCTACATATCTTGAAGCTCAAACATTATATACGGCGTTAAAAATTACAATTAAATGCGCTGGACTGTGTCGGTGTTCCACTGGAAGGAATTTTTCGATCCAGGGAAATTTTGCAATTCAAAAGAAAATAAGGGTGCGAAATGTTTGCATATTGTCTTTTAAACTTTCACAGAATAAATAAATTTATTTAGCTTGACTGTTCTCATTTCCAAAAAAATACAAATATTTCGCAAGTGAATATATTGCCAAGTTTTATTTGTCCGTGTGTATACGTACGCGAAAAAATCAACAAGTTTTCCTTGACAAGGAGTGTAAAACAAGTAATGTTTTAAACAAGGAAAAATGCTTGTGTTACCGGTCGTTCCTTGACGAAGAAATCTGAGAAGAAATTGTGCCGCAGGAAACTGCGCAACAATATCTTCGGAGAAATCGAGTCAAGCTTTATCGTTTTTGCTTGTTTTGAGATTTGATCGAATACTCATTTTATCATACGAGCAAGTGAACTGGACAAGAAAACTTGTCGAAGAAAAATTGCTAGCCTGCACGAGGCTAAATGGAGCAAAATTTCCAGTAATTTGGTCATTTTGAATTTAAATCCATGACTGTCGAGTGTCGAAACAGAGCAAGTTTCCGAACACGCTCTTTTTGCCATGCAATTATCACACCCAAATATTATCAATATAGGTTTTCCTGCCAGTTGTGTAAATCGCATTCTTCTTCGTATTTATTTCTCAGATAAACCAAAGCATTTTAAAACTTTTGAAAATCTGTCTCAATATAGTGAATCTTACGAAACGGTCATTCACTGTGCAGTAATGTCTGGAAAGCTTGAAGCTGTGGAGTACTTGCTTGAACAGGACAAATTCTTGGAAATAATTGATCATACAGAACAACAGGGGGACACTGCAGCCTGTTATGCAACAAGATGGGGTTTTGCAGAAATTCTAAAATATTTGTTAAAGAAGAATGCAGCAGTTAAAAGTGATGGGAAAAAACAAAGAAAAAACATTCTGGACACTGTATTCGTTAAGAGCGAGGAACCACTGAAAGAGATTGTTAAGTTTTGTGCAGAAGATGGGAATCAGCGACTCCTTCAAGAGGTAATAGCAAGGTTAACTCATAGCTTATAAAACATAACCCAATTGTATTTGCCTTTCTCTTCAAATTATCTCGTATTCCAAATAAGAAAATATTCAAAGAAGCATCGTCCTTGCTTTTTATAAAAATTACAAAGTAAATGCTGCTCATTCTTGATAGAAAAAAGTTATGTCTTGTCTGTGGCGGATTTGACTGAAGTCAAAATAAATTAGACAGTTCATAATTGGATCTACTGATATTTTAAATGGCGTTTGTGTTGCTTTTGTGACTATTGAATTCAATATTTCCCTCTTTATGGCTTGGGTTGTGTGTGTGTTTCTTTCTCCTTTTAAAGCCGCCTCCTAGGGTGCTAATGCCTAGGCACTCATAATGAGTGAGCTGGTGAGGGAAAGATACAAATTTACATTCTTAGGTTTGAATATGCCGGTCAAGGGTAAGTATGGTAAACACGAAGAAAATTTTTTGCCTACATATATATATATATATATATATATATATATATATATATATATATATATATATATATATATATATATATATATATATATATATATATAGTCTCTAAGTTAGAGAATTTTTTGAATGTTTCAGTTGTTTGAAGACTCGTTTCGTGAACCGGACGACATTATGGCAGGGATAGTTAGGAAAACACCAGACATCGCCTTTCTAATTCTTGACCGTTGTGTTGAACTGCGAGATGTTAAGTCCATTGTAAATGTCAGGGAGTTCAGCTACTCGTTTTTCCCATTCAAAAGAAATAATAGTAAGTCTTCATTTTTTTCAGTCATTCACATAAAGTAGAAATTGATTAGATGACGTTTTATTAATATAATGTACAATGCATGGTATTGACATCTTTTTGTTATGTAAGTCATTATGGATACCTTTCTATTTTAAAGATAAACGGAAGCTTGAAGCTTTAAAACGCATGACAGAAAGCCCAAATGCAGACAGGTTTTTGAGCCATCCTCTGGTTGTAGAATTCTTAAACAGGCTGATGTATTCCTCGGGCATACAGAAGTATTTCCTTTTGAGTTTTTGTCTTTATACTATGTTTCTGATTACTTTAACAACATATGGCGCCATCCAAAGTGGAGGTAAGGAACGCGTTTTCGTCAGCGTCTACCGTCTATATTCGCAAAATGTCAAAAAATTTAAAATGATTCTTTCTAGGTATAATACTTGGGTGCATTTATTATTTATAGATTTGCATAGTTTAAAATCACCTGGGATGATAGCACTCTCTGTCATTATTCTCATTTTATGTGGATTTCATTTGCTAAAAGAAATTTCTCAGGTTTGTGAGGCAGTATGCGTATGTGGTAGGTAATAATGGCGAAATATATTTATACTGTACAAATTATACTTTATACTGTACCACAGGATCATGCATATAGCGCGTACATGCAGGATGCCTGAAATTAGCTAAACAGTACACGTTAGAAAGAATTTTTCCTTATACTTATTCCGTACATGCAGTTGCCACAAAGATATTTATGAGCGTCACATTTGACGTCTATCCCTGATTAGCTTACCAGCACCATCTTGGTCGTCTGTTAAGCCTGTTTTAGGTGGAATTTTGTGCGCGGAGCGGAATTATTCTTTGTTTTTTGTTCTGCTCACATTCGTTCTGCTCGAAAGCGTGTCAACAATAAAATTTCGCCCTGCTGGAAGCAGCCGTTATACTATCAAAGACGTAGTATTCAAATACATATAAAATTCACACAGAGTAGGCAGCATTAGCGAAAAGATCCCGCCAGTACATTACTTAATACCTATAATGGCATGACAAAGGTGATATAAATACTATAATAGATAAAGCTAGGGAAAGCGCAAAAGAAATAACGCTAGCTTCAAATGATTTCAGTAGATAAGTGTGTAGAAATAATCAGTAGAAACAATCAAACATACCCTTCTTCGTCTGTATAGCGCAGAGATTCAAATTCTCCATGTGGTACGAAATTCGTGCGATGCAATCCTAACTTGAATAATTCCGCGTGTTAAAAAAGGAATTCGCCTACAGAAGCCGAAGTTGAAGCCTTTTTTGCACAATATGATAAACCAAATCGCATGTAACCTAAATTTTTTTGCATCACAATGATTGCGATTTTCTTGTAGATGATTGCATATGGAAAGGAATATATGAGGGATTTGGAAAATATCTTCGAATTGACGATTTTTATTTGCGCAATGATTTATGTCGTTCCCGGAGGAGACAAAAAAACCGACGGACAGATCGTAGCTGGAGCTATTTCGATATTTCTTGCGTGGGTCAACTTCTCCCAGTTCTTGAGAACACTTTTTAATTTCGGAGTTTACATCTTCATGGCAATTAAAGTATTCGGAACCGTTTGCATGGTACGTTTGATGGAAATGTATATGAAAATTGGTTAGATGTTGCCTTATTCGCTACCAGTTTATTTTACAGTGTATCTTTACTAAATATTTAGGCACAGCAAACGTGTGACCTTACATAGGTGATATAATACAACCTATCACAAATTCATACAGCCTAAAGCCGGTTTTCCATGCACCAGGCGAAATTCGATCGCACAAAAATTTTCTTTGATATTCTTTTTAATTGTGAGAGTAAGAGTTTTATCAACTCAGCATCAATTGTGTTATAACAACTGCCTAAATAGACAAAACACTTCTCGACGTTTCGACCTGAGGGCCTTGGTCAGGAGAGTTAGCATGAAAATATATCAGGGGAGAATATATGTTTTGTATGGGGGCAAAACACGTGATAAGAATGGGCCAATAAAAAACAAAAAATCAACACAAAATGGAATACATTAAATTGCCAAAGAGGCGCCTGATTGTGGGCTAAAAATAGCCCGCAATGAGGGAAGCTTGATCAGCAACGAAAACATATTACATCAAAGCTGGTTGTGGTAGTTGGTAGTTTCGAGTAATATAAAAGATATTAAATGTATGAAGGGTCGTTAAAAAACTTGCATATTGAATTCTGAATGTTAGATTTGCTTGAGACATATAGTGTTTGACGTTAAGGCAAATATTTTTCGAACAAACATTTTTAACAAAGGCTCCGATTCGAGAAATTCTCTTGTCTTTAAACGACATAACAGAGTAAAAATATTTTTGCACTTTTTAATGAACATTCAATGTTTATACCATTTACCAAGATTCGCACTATTTAATGAATTTGAGCTGTATAGAAGTTTCTGTTATTATTTTTATGGATTTGTGATTATTTTAATCAACAGGTGTTGCCAATGGTGATATTAATACTCGTCGGATTTTCATTATCGTTTTCGTTGATCATGCATCAAGATTCAGGTTTCAATGATGTTCCTACATCGTTCTTGACAACACTTGTCATGATGACGGGCGAATTGGATTACCGAGACACATTTCTTGCAAGTGGATCACTTCATGCCTTGCAAAAAATATTTCTTGTATTGTTTATCCTGATGATCTCCATCGCTATTATGAATTTATTTACCGGTGTTGCTGTTGGCGACGTTAACGAGATGTTAATGAAATCGAAAGAAAGAAGAAGAATGAATAAGGTAAAAATATGTGAAAATATGTATACGAATGTATAAGGAGAATCATGCTGCCAATCAATGTGCATCCATATTATACCTTATTTACACAATTGAGCTTTGTGTTTAAATAAATCAAGCTTGAGGACTCTACGCTGGTTGCCTTTTAGCGTGGACATATAACAACATTTGCACAATAGCTGGACATGACGAGAAAGTAAACGTTTGTGATGTTTTTTTACAGGTTTCCTTCGCCATGGGGCTAAATTATCCAAAACACCCTAAACATATTCACATATGTTTGTTGCAATGAAAAAAAACTTACTCCTCGAAAGCTCTACCATACTGAGTAATAGAGAATTCTCGCCGTTATGCTATACTAATTGTAGTAATACGTATTTTAATTTAGGCTAAGCTTGTCATAAAACTGGAAAGAGGCCTTTCTTTCTTCTCAATTGGGAAATCTGTGATCGTGGATGACTTCAGGAAGGTAAAACTCAGTGATAGAAACAGGCCTTCATCGTTGTTGACGTGGATATGGGAACAGGTATGGGGTGTCTGCATGCGCTTACCGTTTTCAAAAAACTTTAGCCCCATTTTTACTACCCGTGCACAGCCATCTTTCTATTCACCCCCTTGTACCCACAACATGCGAGTGTTCGGAGTCAAAAATCCAGAAAATATTCAACGACGTATTCATATATTATTAAATTCTGCCCTACGGATTTCTATTTTAGGCTAATAAATTCGTCGGGCAGAAATACCTCCCTCTCAATCATCGTTCTAGTTACACAACTGCGTTTAGAACATAATTTTTGATGTAAGCGTTATGGTTTCTTGTCAATTGCAAAAAACAGTCCTTCCAGACTTTTGACTTGACAATATTTTGTACTTTTGCCAGTATTTTTGTTTACCATACTTGCCTTTTTAAGTTCCTCCTGGACTGTTCAGTTCGTATGCGAATATATTTCCACCATTGTTTATCTCCGTGATGTTTACTTATATTTGTTTACTTATATATATGTTGCTTATATATATTTACCCGGCTACTTCATGCGCTATATGCTCCTATCATCTTCACCTGACATATTCACTTTCTTATGCTATTACACCTTTTGCTATTACACCTTTACACCTATTACATGATTTTTTTGTTTGTTCAAATGAATATTTCAAAGTTTTATTGGTGTATCGCACAATTTTATTGAATATTGGTTTTGGCTTAATGTACTGCAAAAGGTGTAACAGAAATTTCTGTATTACAAATAATTCATTCGAGCAGAAAGTCTTATTTTTGATCAATCCTTAGACTTTTCCTGATGAAGAATATGGACAAAGAAGTGCATAAATTATATGAGTAAGAAATGAATTTTGTAAGTGGAAGGAAGAACTTCAACCGACGAAAGAATTGCCGAATTTGGTGATGACTAAAAATGAGATAGCGAATGCAGATTTAAAAGAAAAAGTCACAAATTGGTCAAAGAGAAATTAATAACTATGGAAATGATCATCAAAGATTGCCAGAGATCTTCTCAGCGCAACTTAGCGTTGATGGAATCATTTCTGATTAAGTTACTATAAAAAGACCTTTGCATGTGACCTTTAACCATTAAACTACAGTACTGTCCAGAAATAACCTAGCAAAAACTGCAGTTAACCTAGGTCGAACCTCGGTCTAAAAGCGGTTGAACAAAGGCAGACCGAAGTCAAACCGAAGTCAGAACGAGGTCGAACCGCAGTGAGACGAGTTAAACCTCTGCCTAACTCGTTCTAGCTGACAGACATTTTTTGAAATTTTTTTGATTTTGTTATTGTGTTATCGTTCTCAGCTGCTCATAACATTTTGTTCGGAAGCAAACGGCCACTTGCGGCAAGGTATTTTTTCCACCGCGGTCGTCTGCGGTTTCTATCGGTCGACCGCAACGGAACCGCAACCGCAGTATAAGGTTATTTCTGGACATTACTGTAGGTAATAGGCGCACATTTTAACGTAGTGTTTCGTTTTAAAAGTTATAGTTAGCTAAAACCAAATAAATAAAAATCCACTTCATTTCGACATCGGATCCCAGATTATAGCAGGCTGTATGTTGGTGATGAAAACCAGGCTTATATGATATATAAAAGTCAGTACCAAACGTACCAATGGCATTCGTGTTGCTAAGTTCTTCAACCTTGACTTGAAAAATATGTTAATTATAAGATTGCTATTGGTTTATCTTTGTGAAATACAATAGGCACGTGATGAGAAAGGAACATTTTTTGCATAAATCTACCTCAACATAGTTAATAAGTTGTATTGTAGTTTTATTTGGTCTCCAAACCATGTATATTCTACAGGGTGTCCCAAAAAAACGAAACTATTGAAATCACCCATAACAATGTAATTGTTAGAGTTTGAACGCCTAAGCACTCTGTTGGGACCCACAGGTGTATAAATGTTTTCCATAAACATTTTTATGCATGATGCAGTAAAATTTGTTTGTACCCCTTTGTCGACCTTTGTTGAAAAGCGTTTCGCACTTCCGTTGTACTTTGGGTAAGCGTATAATTTATCACAATAAACACTGTTGTTTCGCGGTTAACTGTACCATTTTCTTTCGAAGCAATAACAAGGCTAATTTAAATTCACAATTTCAAATTTTTCGTATTTAGCATTTTATAAGTTGCATAAATTCCCCAAGGGCTAAAATTCGTGAACACGGCATTTAAATTTTAACAATGAGTGATTTCAATAGTTTTCGGGTTTTTTTCGAAACACCCTGGATTAACTGTGGTTACAGTAAGAAAGACACAACGTATCCTCGCGCATTGGAGCAAAGCATTGGAGCACAGTTGATAGACACATGATATCTAGCTAGCAACACTTTCTGATATTAAATATTACAATTAAACAGGAATTTTCTTCTTGATATATAGTCGCATCGGTAGTCGTGGTTTATATGGCCGATAGGCAGAGAAAATATTTACAAATGGTTATTACCTGTGGGTAAAAAGGTTAGTATAAGATAAAATGAACAGGCTGCCATGTATTTTATGGTTTTAGAACTGGAGAATTCTGCATGTATTTCGCAACTGCTTTTCCGAGTTGTTTGAAATATTATTATATTCACTAATAATAACGTTTCATGTGTATATAAGGATGCCTTTTCAAATATTCAACATTGGTCTGATGCAATTATTACCTTCTGGAAAATGTCTAGGGGGGCTCCAGCCACTCACCCCCCCCCCCTAATACCCTACGCCTATGCATAAAACTACAATACAACTCGTTAACTATGTTGAGGTACATTTTCTCATCACTTTCTCATCACATGTTTATTGTATTTTGTACAGATAAACCAATAGCAATCTCATAATTAACATATTTTTCAAGTCAAGGTTGATGAGCGTAGCAAGAAGAATGCCATTGGTATTTGGCTGAAATACAAAAGACACGTGACGAGAAAGGAACCATTTTTTTGGATAAACCTGGGCAATAACATAGTTAGGGCCTGCTTACATGGAGCCGAGTTACCCGGGTAACCGAGTTACTCGCCTTGCCGGGACAAAACGGTACTGTGTTTATATGGAACCGGGTAACTCGGTATTTTTTACGGTACATTGTAATTACATGACGTACTTGTTATGTAGGACGCGAAATTTCAAAAAGTTTTTTACAATGGTGGTAAATGAAACGTAAACGCACATGCGTGTTTGGCGAATATTCTACTCGCCTAGCTGAGTTTCCCGTTGCAAAGTGTTTACATGGTATAACCGAGTAACTCGCCTTGCCGAGAACCCGGCACAGTTTGCCGAGAAATCGGCACACCTAGTTACTCGGATGCGCCCCATAAACAGTCAACCGAGATATCCATACAATATATAGAACAGGCGAGAACTCGGTGCTGCCGAGCAACTCGGTTAGCCCGGTAACTCGGCTCCATGTAGACAGGCCCTTAATGAGTTGTATTGTACTTTCATTTAGTCTCCAAACCATGTGTATTCTATTAACTGTGATTGGAGCAAGAATGCAACTTCAAGTGAATCATCGGGTTTTGTAACAGCACTGGGATATATATGCTGTTTCTTGCATGAACACATACATATGATTCGTATGTTAAGCTGCGTTCAGACTGAGTACCCGACACAGTCCCGTCGCTTTTACGGGCACCAAAGGTAAATATGACGCTTCCAAATTAATTTTAACATGTACGGTGCCCAAGAACGAGCACTACTCCAGATATAGTACTCAAAAAGGAATGTGCTCTGTCCTCAGCACGTTTTATGAACCAGCCTTGAATGGAGACAAACTTAAACAATTGTTTTCCCTGCATGAAGTTCGTTTACCCTTGTGTCCCATGCTTCGTTTTCCACTTAAAATTTAGAAATAATAGCTAAATCACCGCAAGCACCGAAGAGCGAAGGAAGGACAATGTAAGACAAGCCATTTCCTTTGCAGACTGTGATTTACAACTCAATTTGTACGGTTCACTAATTTTGATATTCAAATGACGCAAATTCAGATGCAACTGATAAACAGCTTTATAGCTAGCGTATATGCATGTACAAAGGTGTTTTAACATTGCTGTTGTGTAAACTATAAAGCCCCAAACTCAGTAGAATATTGCGTTGGGAATTAAAAACATATAGATTCTGTACTGATACTTACACGAAACTGTCATCGTCAAACTCAACCGATACACTGGGAGTGTGAAGACGTTATATTGGGTAAGATTAGTGTTTATCAGTGTTAATTGTTGTTACTAGCTATTTGGTGTTCGCGTATTAACCTCCAAAGAACTGAATTTAACAACGCTATTTGCTTCGATTCACTTCTAAATACAATTGTGTATGTATCGCCTTAACACAGTCTTTTGTCGTTACTCATACCGTTTGTGTTGTCAAAGCACACTATTGTGCGCTAATGGTGTCGTTTTATAAGAGGCATTAGGGGAAGTAACAGACAAAGTAATATATGCATTGACAGCTCAATAGTCCGAGGTTCAACATTACAAAAAAAACGTGAAAAATTCGTTAAGTTAAATGTCGACATCCATCTATAAGGCTGGTTTACATACAACAAAATTCGTCTTAGGATTACGAAAATCATATAAAAATCAGCCAATAAACTGTATCAAGGAATATTTACCGGTATAGCCTACTAAAATGGGTATAATTTAGGGTTAGTTTTCGTATAACATAATTCGTTGTTTGGTCATATCCGAAAATATGAAAACCGAATTACAGCTAATTACGACAACGCATTAAGCCCTAATTCCACGGGCTAAATTTTCAAGCGAAATGCGAAATATTTCGCCTGCTTCATTTGAATTGTGAGCAATGTAGCAGAATTAATTTATTCAAGTGGTCACAATTCAAAAGAAACAGGCGAAATATTTCGCATTTCGCTTGAAAATTTAGCCCGTGGAATTATAGTAATAAAATTATATAAATTAGACTGTAGATATTGACTGTATTTATAATAATTATAGTTGGTTCAACCGTGCAACCATTTCAAAATGTAAAACCGCGCCATCCACGCGTCTCTATATAAAAGGCACCAATAACAATATCTTGTAACTCTCATTTTAATAGAATGGAAGATTCAGGAAGTGTTCCCTGTAATAGTGATGATGGTCCTTTGAATGCGGAAAATAAAGTCAATGACAATGGAAATGGAAATATTGATGCAGGTCGAATAGGTCTGATAAAGCTTGGACCAAGATAATTAACACAATCAAGAATGCTTCGGAAATTAGGGAGAACACATAGTTCTGAAGTTCTGAAGTTCTGAAGTTTGGTCTTATAGAATGGCTCAAAGAAATAATAGAGTTGTCTATCATTGATAGCAATGCATAATGTGATTGTTATAAAAACTTAACTGTCCACGTTACATGTTTTATTTTAAATATGTTACAGGCTCCACTCTAGATGACGCACAGATCACAGAGCTTTGTTCAACTGAAAACACTCCCTTGATCGATAAGGATGCAAATGAAGGTACTGTAGTAATTCGAGGTAAATAAACCTCAGTATATTCCTTACAGCCTTAATCTCTAAGATGCCGTAAAAATGGCGTGGAAAGATGGTACAATTAATCAACCTCTTTTTTCCGGCCAGAATTTGGGAGCTTTAGCAGTAATCACGAGTACGAGATTCGTCATTCTAGTGTGTTGTTTGCTTACGCCATCAGCCAAAACTAGTAGTCACAGAGTAAGTGAAAGATGCAGATGCTGGAACTAGCTCCGGTTACCATGGAAACTGAGGCGTTTCAAAACCTTGTTTATTCGTGTTTATATCACAAAGGAGTTTGCTGACCGCCAATCCCTTTTGCATATTAAACGTTTACGCCATACATGCTTTATGGTTAAAAAAGTTTTAAAGAAATTCTGTAATGGGGAATTTTTATTAAGCCAAGAAATTTTTTATAAGTAAAAAAAAATGTAAAACTTTTTATAGATGAAAGCATCCATAGTGTTAACCTTCGATGAAAAAAAATCGGGGTCATCGAACTCGTTTCCAATGTAAACAATGATATAAACATGACTAAACCTTGTTAGATGGCCATTTTGAAACGTCTCTGTCTTCATGGTAACGGGTGCCCGCCACAAGTGCTGTATATGTATGTTTCCTCGAAGTATATTAACTTTTAGCCTTCTAGCAAGATATTAAATGCATATATCCCCGTTTAAAACATGCATCTAAAAATTTAGAAAAACTGTATCGAGCCACTCTAAAAAATTTTCATAATGGAAGCTCTACAAAATATCATAATAATAAATGATAATTTTTATAGCATTTTACGCACTCAGTGTCGTAGTGTTAGTCTTTGGGTTTCGTTGGCAGATGGCGTAGGCAAAATCGCCGCGCGTTTGACGCAAATTAAAATGAAGAGAGTCTTGTACTCGTACATAGTAACTGCTAAAGCTCGCTATTGACTCGATTCTTGGGACGACTTCCTCTCCGCAAAATGATCTAAATCCCCTTCAATATTTTTAAAAAAAACTAGTTCCCTTTACTTATTTAAAGAAACAGTGTTTTTCATGAATCAATTAATTGTTACCTGTTTCACGGTTTGTAACATTAGTTAGATTTTCCATGCACGTTACATGTTTTATTTCAAAAAATTATGTTACAGGCTCCACTTTGGATAGCGCACAGATCACAGAGTTTTGTTCAACTGAAAACACTCCTTTGATCGATAAGGATGCAAATGAAGGTAGGCTACTGTAGTAATTCGGGGAAAATAAACTTCAGTATTCTTACGGATATGAGATGAGAGATGAGATGCCTAAGATGCAGTAAAATGACGTGGGAAGATTGTACAATTAACGCCCTTTTCGGTCGCAATTTGGGGCATCAGCCAAAACTCGTAATAGCTTACAGAATAAGTAAGAGATACAGGGCAGGAACTAGGTGCCGGTTGGGTTCTCTCGTGTGTTTTATGATCCATCATACCTTTTGTCTTTAAATCGAACGCGATCACCAATCACAGCTTATTTATGAAGTGAGTTGCCTTATTAACGTCATTTTTTACTGCGGATAAAGCTCCTTTATACATGTGTTAAACTTCAATTTATGCATTGAAAAAAACGATTATGCGTCAACCCCCAAAATTTATGTATTTACTTGTTTTCTAGTCGATTCTGGCCCACTCAGGGTGTTAGAAGATTACGAATTCTCCAACGATTCCTCTGATGATTCCGTGGAAAGTGACGATGCTGGAAGGGATGAGTTTAGGCAAATCGTGGAACAATCTTTAGGTAAGCTGACGTGCGGATTACGGTGTTAAATTGACATCATTATGCAGGACGGGATTATTAATTTTCTCGCTGTCTTTTGGAAAAACGATCAAAACGAAAACAGGTAACAACAGTAAAGCCACTAAACATGACTTCCTCTATGTTGTAATTTAGCCAAAGCAATTTTAAAGAAGGAAAAAGATTTCGACAGTGATGTTGATGCATTACCCAAATCTCGAATAGGTGTTGGAAGCTATGTCCACCAAAGGGACTTTTATGAATGGGGTAAATATTTACATTCAGGGGTTGGTTGTTCGAAAAGTGTTTAAATAGAAGTTTAAAATGCTTCATGAAAAAGCTGCAAAGCTACATGTCTCAAATTCATAATTAAGCGCTATTTTAACTTTAGGAGGTATGGGAAATAAACGGGATCTATTTGGGATCTATTTCTAGTTTACATTCAAGCCTATAGTTACTTTGGCGTAAGTTTTGTAGTATATTCATAATCGGCAATCAAGATAAAAATGTTGCATCATCCCACATGTGATATGTCTTGCACAGTGAACTGTAATAAATAACTGGAACGATATTTCCAAAAATAGGTGCATAAAAGGCATTCTACTAACATCAAGAATGTCTCAGCCGGCTGTAAGCAGTAACAAAATCAGTTATTTAACTCCTTAAAAACATTTTTCGGGGAGTTTTTATCAAATTTACGAAATCACAAAAAAACGTTTTGTTTTGGTTATGTTTGTTTTTGCGTGTAAAGACTGGGGGTGACTTAACTTCAACTTCCTGTCAGAAGGTAGCGTTCCAGTTATATTCATTTCACTGGTCTTGCATATCCGTAATAATCCAAGATGGCGGACAGTTAAGTCACAGATTAACTGTAAATAGTGAGCTTAAGCAAGTGACGTTTTTGACAACACGTACGTTGACCGGAAGTAAAGTTTTTATTTTTCACCAATCACAATCCTTGACCCAGTCTTTTGGCGTTACTCATGCCGTTTGTGTTGTCAAAAACGTCGCTTGCTTAAGCTCACTAATATCTATTCTGTGGTTGAGACGAAATATTTCTTGAACAAAGCACGATCTGAGATAGAACTTTCTGCATAATTGTAACTGAAGCTCTTTCAAATAAGACACTAATAATAACAACTTTTTTGCCCAAACCATAAAATTGTGAAGTTCAATCTTGGCCATGCTAAAGGGTGAATTATTTTTCGAGCAACCGGCACAAGGGTTTTGGCATAATATGTTGTCTTCAGAGACAGTGGATTTTGGCCAATAGACCCTTTGCATGTTAGACTACTTTTTGATCTGTGCAAAATAATCCAATAAAATCACTACAGCTGAAAAGAGCGTACTAAAATTAGTAAAAATGCAAAGTTTGGTTGCGAAATGTCGTAAAATACGGAAAATATAGCCTTGCAAAGTTTGCAATTTGTATACTTTTGTTTAACGGACGCAAAATGTTACCACATTCGGGCCCAAAATGGTAACTTTTTGCGTGCGTTAAACTAAAGTATACAAATTTGCAAACTTTGCAAGGCTATATTTTCCGCATTTTACGACATTTCGCAACCAAACTTTGCATTTTTACTAATTTTGGTACGCTCTTTTCAGCTGTAGTGATTTGATTGGATTATTTTGCACAGATTCTTAAATGTTAAACAGAAATAGACGCATGGGAATTTTTCCTTCGAAAACGTGAAATGTTGGCTAAGTAATATATTTTGATGTGTTTCAAATCTTTTCAGAGGCCGGCGTATAGCTACGGTTCTTCCGGTATACTATAATCGGTCTGGTCAGAAAAAGAAAAACTGTTTACGGACGTATTTTTTATGTTTCCATGAAAAACCAAACAGTTCAAAACGCAAAAATACTTTAATGAAAAGAGGCGAAAATTGATTAGAGAAGTAACAACTTTCTATGCACAGAACGGGAGTATTTAAAATTAGATTAATGAATTTTTTATATCATTTCATTTTTGGAGGATAATCCGTGATCAGTTGTCCGAATGTGAACGCAATAAGTACTTCTACAAAAAATGCTCTCTCAAAATCTTCCATTTGATTTTTCAAGTATCACCATTGTCGAAGACGTCAATTCAGTGTCGTATATTTCAAGCAGTGGAGAGAAACAGTCTAAAATGCTTAGATGTACTTTGTGAGGTGTATGTAAAAGCAGTGTCGGGTGAATACAGTCTATTTCATCGGTTCACCTTTTTCGTTTCTGGAGTCCAAGACGAAAGACCTAAAGAGACAGCGCTACACGTCCTTGCAACAAAAACAACGTCAGCGAAAGCAATTCTGAAAGTTTTCGAGAAGAGACCGAAGTTTCTGAATGATCTTTCTGACTTCCCCGACAGCTATGGATCAACTCCACTTCTTGTTGCAATAAATTACAACAATATCGAAGTCGCTAAGCGATTGATAAGAACAAAATCCCGCGTAGACAAAAGAAATGATGATGGGGAATCTCCCATTCTTTTAGCAGCTCTAAACGACTATGTTGATATCATAAAAGAAATGCTGGAAACATGTAAGTGTCCGAAATCTCAAGTTAATCATTTATTATATGTAATGACAAAGTGTCCCTTCAGCCCCCTCGAGACGAGAAGCTATTTCACGTCCCTTAAACCTTCTATTAGAACTGCATAAGCTTCAATTGTTATATTGTCCTGTAGTAGATAAAACAGCATGATATCACCCCACCTATCATGTAATAATAAACTGGTTATCACATAGTGCACCCTTTATTATATTGCACATATTCAGAGGAAACATGGCTTTTAAATCCTTTTAATTTTATGCGGTAGCTTTAAAATGCTCTTGTCTTGATTTTAAATGTATTACACGATTTTTTGGTTGACTACCTTGTCATATGTGAATTTTCAGTATTCAAAATACACCAAAATGCGTTATCTATTCTATGCATAAAAATTATTCCAACATCTGGCCTTTTTCATTTTTTACAAGATCTTGAATCCCAAGAAAGGACTGAACTTCTGGAGATTATGAAGAGCATTGATGACAAACATCATTCAATCCTTTACCCAGCCTCCCAGAGTGGCAATTCTAAGGTACTAAACTTGATTATGAAAAAGACCAACTGGCGAAAATTTCTAGACCAAGAGCAGACTGTTACTGAGGATTGGAATGAGTTTGTTGGTAACGTTTGTGCTGCTGGATGTAAAAAACTTGCGAAAGAATGTCTTAAACGCGATTCTAGTCTTCTTGAAAGAGGAGAGGAAGAAAAGGTGACACCTTTAATGAGGTAAGAAACCCACATAAATGCATGAATTCTCCACGATTGACATGTAACGAGGAAGGTGAAAGTGAGCCAATGTATACGTCGTTTGCAATGCCGCCATCTTGGTTGATTTTTCGAAACATGTGCATTAATAATTTTTTCGTCGTTGTCATCTTTTAATACCCGCCCAATAATACGGCAGAGATGATAAGCAGTTAAAAAATAAACAAGGAAAAAAAAGCAGTTTGTTATCTTGAAAAGCAGAAGTAAACTTTGTAGAGTCAACCAAGATGGCGCCGATTGACTGATTATGACGTCATATGCTAGCCAAGAATTGGTCGTCAATATTAGTCCTGAACAGGGCCGTAGCTAGAAGCTTAATAGAGGGGGGGGGGGTGTATATTCATATAGTCCTATTGCCCGACTGATTTCTTTTGTACGCTATTATATGATACGCTATATAAATATGAATATATGAATATACACCCCCCCCCCCAATTAAGCAGTCTAGCTACGGCCCGGTCCTGAAATATTTGTCAAGTTATTTACTTTTTGAGATATCTTTTTTGGAATGACATTTTTCGTTCGCTAAGAGAAACGATAGTAAAGTTTTGCATATATAACACTTTTGTTTAATCTGAGTAAAACCCTAATTAATGTTTTTTGTTAAATTTGTAGTGCACCCCCTAAATTGGTTCCATTCTAAATTAGATATGACCGTTAACATAATAATTAAAAATGTTTACAAATATATTTGTCAATATTTTATCTTACTGCAAAATATATCTATCAATATGAGTAATATTGTTTGATGCATATTTTTTTTCAGGGCAGCCGAGGCAAATAAATTAAGAATCGTTCGGCTAATCTTTGAGATGCAACCTTCTGCTGAACTGCTTCATATTAATGATGAAAATAACAGGAATGTTTTTCACTATGCTGTGGGGAATCTTGATGTTCTTCGTTACCTTGTTCTCCAAGTCCTAACGGTAATGATGAGTTGTTCGCAATTTAATTCAGAATAGTATCAACCTTATTGACAGAAATTGAGATTACTTCATGGTTGGCGAGTGCGTATGATTTTTATGCACGAGTTGTGAAGGATCCCAAAACAAACGAGTGAGCGTAGTGAACTTTAGGAAGCCTAGACAAATGAGTCGAAGTCAATAAAAGTCTGTAAAACACTTGGGATGTGTGTTAAATTGAATTAGAGTATATGTAATTTGCTACAAACCTACTGTTAGAACCATGTATGTAGCGTGCTCCAGTGGCGCTGCCATTTGACTATGCAACTAGTGACGTAACTTACTATATTATTAGGAAGGATGGAAACTCTCGCCTCAATTTTCAACATGTTGGCAAATTAAAACACAAATTACTATAGTAAAGCGGCACGTCGACTGCTAAATGCCTACCGTAGGTTTAAGTTGAATAATCAAACTATACTCTCGTAACAAAAATAATGCTGAATTCAAAAGAAAGCGCTGGAAAAACGTACACAAATTTTGTAAATTGCCCGAAATTTTCGTGAATACATGCGGGATGTAAGTACCTACCCAGAATGGCGGTGGCAGAAGAATCTGATTGGTTGAGAAAAGTAAACAAAGTATGATCGACCAATCAGATTGGTCGAGAAAGGTAAACAATGAATGATCGACCAATCAGATTCTTCTGCTGGCCGCCATTTTGGTTAGGTACTTACATCCCGCATGTATTCACGAAAATTTCGGCAAATTCACAAAGTTTGTGTACGTTTTTTCCAGCCCTTTCTTTGAATTCAGCATTATTTTTATCATGAAAGTATAGTTTGATTATTCAACTTGAACCTACGGTAGGCATTTAGCAACCGACGTGCCGTTTTACTATGGTAATTTGTGTTTTAATTTGTGATAAGTTGAAAAATGAGGCGAGAGTTTCCTTCCTTCCCAATAATATAGTAAGTTACGTCGCTTATTGCATAGTCAAATAGCAGCGCCAATGGAGCACGCTACATACATGGTTCTAACAGTAGTTTTGTAGAAAATTACATACTTTAATTTATTTTAACACATATCTCAAGTGTTTTACGGATTTTTATTGACTTCAACTCATTTTTCTGGGCTTCCTATGAGCGAACGAGTGAGTTTGCGATCCTTCACAACGAGTTCATAATAAAAATCGTACAAACGAGCCAACCATGAAGTAATTTTTTTAATAAATGTTTAATATAGAGATCAATTTGAAAACGATACGCTTTAATTATACAAAAACACAGCAAGCAAAAAAATCGAAATTTCATGCATCAAAACATATCTATTACCGTTCAGTTTCTTTGTAATTTTGTTCAAAAGCAGTTAGGTATTCTTTCCGAAAGTTTTGGGAATGTGCTGAATGTTTAAATATCTTGAATATGAGAATTATGTTTAATGTTTTGAATTTCACTCCCGTATTTCGACGCCATCTCGAAAGAAAATGTAAACAAATTGCCGCCAAAATGACAGATGACAATTTTTTGAAGAATATCGTACGTCCAATCAAAAGCCGTGTATGGCATTTTTTCACACGTGAAAAACATCGTACGTCCAATCAAGTTGCATGAAATTTATTTACACAGTAAATACGACTTTTATTTCATCATTCTGCTGTGCATAAATCTCTATACACATATGTATAATAATATGAGGTAGCATGAACGAATATCGAATGTGATTCATTACACGGCGGTGCGAAGATAAAAAATGTTTCTAAAAAGGAAGAAAAAACTTTTTAGCATTACATTCATATCTTCATGCCGTGTAACATTCTTTTTTACTATCAATACGATCAGTATGTTATGCTTAGATTTGGAGTTATTTTATACTGTAGGAATTTATTATATGGCAAGCGTGCAAGCGTCACTTCCGGAAAAATGGAGTTCAGTGATTCGCGGAGAAAATTTTCAGTGGTCAATTACTTTCCCGTAATGACCGGCGTTACCGCTGATTCATTAAAAATTTGAAAACAGAGAAATTCTGAATGAAAAAGGCACAAATAAATGCTGAAGAAAAAATTTAATTGCATGCTTTTGAAATTAATAAGACGTCTCCATGCAGACAGTTTAGGTATACTAAATAATTCAATATTTTGTTTTTGTTCTTATCAAATGCTACTAACACGAATTCATGCATTTCTTGTTTGTTTCAAATGCAAATACCTGCCTTATGCCATATAATAAACTTTTTATTAACCTTCCATCACGTGGTTTCTTGTTGCCTGGCACGGATCATTGGAATCATAGTTTATTCGCAATAACCCATCAAAATCGTGGTTTATTCAGAATTAATAAACAATCTTCATGCATTGGCCGAAATCTACTCACGCGATTAGTCAAAATCAATCACGTGGATTCTTGTTGCCTGACGACGGATCATGAGATTCATAATTTATTCGAAATAACCGACGAAAATCATGGTTTATTCAAAAATTACAGTCTGGAACGAAGCTTGGATCTTCAATGCAGCAATCAATGAACTCAGATTGTATATTAAAAGTGTTAGAGACTTTATGTTCGTGTTTTGTTTGCAAATAAACGCACTTGCTGAACATACAATGAACTCGAAATTTCAATATTGAAATTTCTGGTTCATTGTATGATCCGCGCGTGCATTTATTTGTGAACAAAAAACTCACAACAGTCTAACCACTAACCCTTGAATATCGGAGCTCGATCTTTCTGTACAAACCTCGCTCTTCGCGCTCAGTCAGTGCAAAAAGACTCTGGTCCAATATTTCTCGGTAAAGACCGCGCCCTCGGTTAATAAGGAGTTATTAATAAACCTCCTCAAAATATCTTGAACTTATATTTAACTTCACTTCTTTAATTCAAACTAATAGTTTTACGACTACTGTTATGCTACTAGCATCTATGACGAATCTGGATGTACCCCATTATGGCTTGCAAGGAATCAGAAAGAGGTACAGTATGTGTATATAACGATCGACATATGAAGAAAAACTATGTTATAACATAGGGATGCTAACCCCCCCCCCCTTCCCCAAGGGTGAGGAAATATAATGAAGTATCGTTTCCTAAGTTACGGCTACCTCATTGGTTTTTTAGTTACTACCCTTGAAGTTTTGATAAGGATTTCATTAAACATGAGGGATATTTTTCAAAAATAAATACATTTGCTAAGAATAATGCTAAAACTTTGCATGTTTTCTGTAGTTTGAATTTTTATAGCAAATATTTATAGCTAAAAAAGTAAAACAATTCGAGAATCTTTAAAATAGGAGGCCTAGCTATATATTACATTTGAAAACTTTATTTGGCTTAATGATTGTGCAGCCTAAATTTTGCAATGTCATATATAAGTGTGGTGTTATGCTCAATCAAAGAGGTCAACCATGCACTGCGCGCCAACCAGTATTCATTTGTTTTTATTATTTTTCTATACAGTAAAAAAATCAGAGTTCTATTCCTTTGATATTACATGCATTTACTAATATAGTAATTTTTTAGAGTCTTTTGTTGCTGATAAATATCGCAAAATTCGAGCTGTTCGAAAATTATATCATTAATGATGTGGATATCGAGGTAATAAACTCTTGATTATCTCTCTGATTCCTCTTCCTCATTTGAAGGGAGGGGATGAAGAATATATTGAGGGGAAAGGGAATGGTTCTGGAATGTAGTGAACGAAATACCACTAGGAGATATAGGACTTGAAATTCCAATTTAAAGGTGTGGATTTAACTATTAATTAAGCATAACAAACAACCTAAATAAGTTTATTCAAATACTCCATACCTAAAAATTAGGAATTACAAACAAGATGTCACCTCCTTTACCAGGATAGCTCTACTCTACGGTACAATGTCCGCAGAGGTGAACCAGGAATTAGCTGGTTGAAAGCTACTATAATTTATAAATCACAACGAGACCAACCCGGCGAATATTAATCACCCATTTATTCTGAACATGATACGCAAGTAGAGAAATTGTATTAATTGGGTTCTGAACCTGATTTAATAGATTTTAAAGCGAAGTCTTCATATGATGAAAAGACAGGATCCCAAAGGCGTAACATATTTGCTACATGGGTACAACCCCAATAATCAGCCGTTATTAGCAGCAGCTAGGAATGGAAACATCAAGTTAATGGAGTTCCTATTGCAAGAAGGAGCGGATCCTTTACAAATAGGGTAAGTAAAGTGCAATGCGTCGTTGGGATTTACCTTATTTCAAATGTTGATTTATCCTCATTACTATATAGCAATGTGAAAAAGACATACGGTGTTAACTAACACAGCTAAAAGTGAAAATTTTTCGCTGGAAGGAGTTTTTCGAGCAAACGAAATTTTTATGCACAATTGAAAAAAAGTTAAATTTCAAAATTTCATTCTATCGAAAAATTGCTCCTATGTTTGGACAATTGTGTCATAGTTTGTTTCAGGAAGCTACTTCAAAAAACAACTGTCTGTCATACCATCCGATGTAAGTTTTTTTTCTCCGCGTGCATGAGTATTTTCTCTTTAACTGTGTAAAGAAGTAAACGTATTTGAGTCACTTTAAGTAGGGACCAGTCCTACACCGTGAGAACACAATCAACACATGCTTTTACAAAAGAACGATACGAAGAAGGAATATACGACATTTAGTTTATATTTATGTTATTTTTGTTTAATTTTTCAAATTTAAATTAAACGAAGTGTATATTTACGATAAATACAACATGGCGCCCAACGTGGGGCAATCTTTAATCGAAAAATGAGCGAAACGAAAGAGAATTTGACACGAATACGAGCCGTACGCGGGGGAAATCGAGGAGTTATCACAAAATTAATAAACGAAGCCGAAGGACTTTTAAAGGAAGAAATCTTAGAACGAGGACGATTGAACACGATAACCATTCTACTAGAAGAAAAACTCAAATACGTAAAGGATTTGGATCAAAAAATAATCGAAATTAGTGAAGTTGCAGACATAGCAGCTGAAATCGACGAGGCAGAAGAGTTAATATCGAGAGTTTTAGACACTCAGCGACATATATTGGAGAAAATACGCGAAGTCGAAGAAGTTCAAAGGGTAATAAAAATACAAAGTAACATACGAATACGGCGAACGAGGAGCCAGTACAACAACAACAACAACACAGTGAATCTGTCCTGGACAGTTCAGCTAGTACTAGCAACAATAACAACGTAAGTGATGTTCAAGCGTCTGTGTCCATCAGTCCACCCGAGACAGCTGAATCTACAGGTACAGTGACTAATCAACAAAATTCTATTAACATTAACAATAATGTACCAGTGTTAACCCAGAACCGATCGAAACTACCCAAGCTTGTATTACCCAAATTTCGTGGTGATGTTACTCAGTGGAGAACCTTTTGGGATAGTTTTAACAGTGCGATACATACTAACAATTATTTGTCGAAGATAGACAAGTTTAATCATTTAAACTCATTATTGGAGGGACAGGCTTTACGGGCCATTCAAGGACTAACTCTGTCTGAGAGCAATTATCAGGCAGCTATCGATATACTACATCAGCGTTTTGGTAAAACCCAGCACATTATTTCTACGCATATGGATGAGCTCCTCAAAATCCCAGCATGTACATCAGATAAAACCACACAATTACGATTCGTTTATGATAAGATCAGCGTCAATATCCTAGGGCTAGAAGCCCTGGGAGTCGATTCCAGTCAATATGGTAGCCTATTGATACCAGTTGTCATGTCGAAATTACCACAAGACGTCCGACTTCAAATTGCAAGAAATACAGCACAAGATGTGTGGGAAATGTCAGAAGTGTTAAGTGTTATTCTAAAGGAAGTCGAAGCTAGAGAGATAAGTGATGGAATTAAAGTAACTCCTGAGAAGGGCAAGATTCCACCAACTAAGCCACCACCCCATGGTTCTGCTGCAGCATTGTTGGCTAATGGTCAAACCTTTGGCAATAAAATTCAATGTGTATATTGTTCTGGTAATCATTTTTCTGCCTCTTGCACCCAGACAAGTGAAGTACAGGCTCGACTAGAAATCCTAAAACGAGATCGACGATGTTTTGTTTGCCTCAAAAGGGGACATCGAAGTAATCAGTGTTCTAATCAAAGGGGTTGTAGACGATGTTATGGTAGACATCATCAGTCTATCTGCAATCAACAAATTACGAAAACGAAACCTAATGTGGAAGAACAAGCAGCCCCAACAAAAGGAAATGAAGGTGTTCATGGTACCCAAACCTTGCAACAAATCCAAAATCGAACTGAAAACCCAAACCCTAATACCCATGCACACTGCTCATGTACAGACCACCACTGCTACAACTATTGCGAAGGGACATGTTATGTTACAAACTGCGACTGCTGTAGCAACCAATGTAGACGAATCTAAATCATCGAAGGTAAAAATATTATTCGACAGTGGAAGTCAACGCTCCTACATCACTGAGGGCTTGAAGTCAAGACTAAACCTAGAGCCGAAGAAGTCCGAAACGCTTCACCTCAACACCTTTGGGGAGCGAAGTTATCGAAAGCAGAAATGTGAAGTATCACCATTGGTACTCCGAAGCAACAAAAACGAAGATGTTATGATTTCAGCACTTTCATTTGTTCGCCGTTAATTACGAAGATTGAAGTAGATCAGTATCCCCATTTACAAGGGTTGCAACTGGCGGACAGTTCCGATTCAAACGATTCCATCGACGTCCTGATTGGTTCCGACCATTACTGGGACCTAGTAGAAGGTGATACAGTCCGAGGAGAATTTGGTCCAGTAGCAATTGATAGTAAGTTTGGTTGGCTTTTATCTGGCCCAACCAACAATGACTCATTCAATGAAATATGTACAACCAATTTGGCAGTATTGGGAAGTAGCGATAACCAGTCAGAGACTACGCAAGATCCGCTTGTTGATATGTTAAGGAAATTTTGGGAGACGGAATCGATTGGCATCAAAGGTGATCCAGAGCCTAAAGAATTTATCGAGTCCGTCAACGAGAACTGAATGTACATTTCAACGGAAAACGATACCAAGTCGAGTTACCATGGAAACAAGATTGCCCATCAATACCGAGTGATTATCAGTTGTGTGAAAATCGCCTCAGATCTCTTCATCGCAAGATGTTACGCCAACCAGAGTTATTACAAGAATACGACCAAATTATCCAACAGCAGATACAAGATGGTATTGTAGAGAAGGTTTCAGACGAAGAAATTGAAATTACTAATGATGAATCTGTTCATTATTTACCGCATCATGGAGTTATACGACGAGATCGTGAAACAACAAAGCTTCGAATTGTCTACGATGGATCAGCCAAGCCACCAGATCGTGAGTATTCATTCAACGACTGTCTGGAGACAGGCCCTAACTTTATCCCTCAGTTGTTTGACACACTGGTCAAATTTAGATGGCATAGAATTGGCCTAACTGCAGATATAGAGAAAGCCTTTCTCATGGTGGCAATTAACGATCTTGAGACACCGCAGAAATTGGTGTTGGAAGTCAAATATCTCATCAGTTGCTCACATTTGAATCCTAGTATTCAGAAACTGCTGTCAAAGAAAATACTATCAAATAAGTTGAAAAAAAGTTCAATTTTTCTTCCAATATCGGTTTTGGAAACTTTTGAAGGCTCTTCGTATGCATCTGCCACCGTAAAATGGCCATTTTGAGACATTTTCAGACATTTTCAGATGATTTGTTTTTGCCGTGTGCAAGCTTCAAATCTTTTGTGCAAGAGATATTTTGTTGAGTATTTATAAATCTTTTAGCTTGCCGAATTTAAAGTCTAAGTATTGAGAATTACGGCTAAGTCTACCAATTTCCGCGGTGTCCGATCTTGATAAGGACATGTTACGTTTTCTATGGCTAAAGGAACCAAACAATCTGAATTCAGAACTTGTACAGTTGCGATTTACCCGCCTGGTATTTGGCCTCCGACCATCCCCAGCAATTTTGAGCTCAACGATCCGACATCACTTGGAAACGCAAAAAGACGTCGACCCTCAATTGATCGAACTGCTAAAGAAATCCCTCTATGTTGACGATTTCGTATCAGGTGCAGACAACGAGAAGGAAGCTTCGGAAGTATCATCGAATGCGAAGTTAATTATGCGAAAGGGAGCATTTAACTTACGAAAGTGGAACACTAACTCGAGTAACCTTAAGAAGACATTTGCAAAGGAAAGTTCTCCGAATGCAACTAATGTGAAAGGCGTCACAGAAGAAGACGAGTCTTATGCAAAGACTGTGACTGCAACAACAATTAAACCGAATGACAACACAACCAAGGTACTAGGTTCCCTTTGGAACACAAAGTCGGATACCCTTGAATTCAATTTTTCCGATCTTGTCAACGAAGCAAAATCACTTCCTCCAACTAAACGATCGTTGTTAAAGATATCAGCAAAGATCTTTGACCCGCTTGGCTTACTAAGCCCTTTTACTATACAATGGAAAGTGCTGTTCCAGTTGTTGTGTAACGAAAACATCGAATGGGATGATGAATTAAGTGTCGAACATTTGGATAAATGGAACTTACTGATATTAGATCTTCAATCTCTGAGCAATGTGTGTGTACCAAGATGTTACTTTGAAATAGATGGCAAGGTTCTTTCGATTCAAGTTCATTGTTTTAACGACGCGTCAGAGAAAGCATATGCAGCAGCAATATATCTTCGTTCGAAATACGAAAGTGGTCTTGTAGATGTCAATTTGATCGCAGCGAAGACCAGAGTCGCACCATTAAAAAGGCAAACTATACCTAGATTGGAATTACTCGGAGCGAACATTCTTGCAAGACTCGCCAATAACATTCAGAATGTCTTAGAATTACCTCAAGATGTTGAAATTTATTACTGGGTTGACTCGAAAACAGTGTTGTATTGGATAAAGAACGCCAAGCCGTGGAAGCAATATGTGCTTACAAGAGTGAAAGAAATTCGTGAATGCACAGCTCAAGATTCGTGGAGACATTGCCCAGGCTTAGAGAACCCCGCAGATCTTCCGTCACGAGTAATGAATGCCAACGAATTAGTAAACGAGAAACGATGGTGGAAGGGCCCCGAATTTCTGTACAAATCCGAAACAGAATGGCCGAAAAAGGTCGAGATCAAAGAAAACGAGGTCTCCATGAATGAAGTCGTAAAGAATCCTACCACGGTGTCCCATACGTTGACAACGCCAAACCTTTCAACCGAATCCGTCCAGTTATTTTCTCATGCCAACATTGGGGCAATAATGGATTGCAACGAATTCCACTCGAAGAAGAAGTTGTTAAGAGTTACAGCAATGGTTCTGCGAGCTGTAAGGAAGATGAAGCGTATCGAAGTGGCGAATGAAAGTGAACAATCAAACGCTGAAAATCTGAAAGAAGCGGAAATGTTACGGTTGAAAAGCATCCAGTTATCAGAATTCCCTGAAGAAATTCGACGTCTGAATTCAAGTCACAAGAATCCGAATCAACTAATCAACCAATTGAATCTATACCTTGATGTGGAAAAGATCATTCGATGTAAGGGAAGACTTGAATACCCAACGATTTCAACCGAAGCCAAAGAACCAATCCTCCTACCGTCTAGGCACCACTTTACGAAGCTTATAATCGAAGAGGAGCACAAACGAGTTCACCACAACGGTATCAAGTCAACTCTCAATGGCGTACGAGAAACTTACTGGATATTACGAGGAAGAGAAACAGTCAAGCGTGTTTTGAAAGGGTGTGTGATATGTAACAAGATTGAAGGTAAGGCGTTCCAGACTCCGAGAGAGCCATCATTACCTAGTTGTCGTGTAAGCGATGAACCGCCATTTACAAACATTGGCATTGATTTTGCGGGACCGTTGTTAGTAAAGGAAGATGATAAAACTGTGAAATCGTACATTTGTTTGTTCACATGTGCGTCTACGAGGGCAGTACACTTAGAATTATTGAAAGATTTATCCACGAACATGTTTTTGACGGCTTTTCCACGTTTCATCAGCCGAAGAGGAATGCCAAGAAAAATTCTAACCGACAATGCGAAAACTTTTAAAGCTGCTGCCAAGGAAGTAACCAAGATATATCATTCAAACCATGTCAAACGTTATCTCGTGGATAACGGTATTTCGTGGGAATTTATCACGGAAAAGGCCCCCTGGCATGGGGGATTTTGGGAACGTTTAATCAAGAGCACCAAACGTTGTTTAAAGAAGCAAATCGGACGAACTTCGTTGACTTTCGAAGAACTTCGAACTATCCTTGTAGAAATCGAAGCAACCTTAAACAATCGTCCATTAACATACATATATGATGATGAACAAGGTGTCTCTTACCCTCTTACGCCAGCGAGTTTGATTTATGGACGTCGAATCTCAACCGCTCCTAGAACCGTAGATGATGACGGAATGTATATGTGGAACTATACAATTACTTAATGGTTTCCGGCGTGTTTGGATGGCCTGATCCAAACACGTGGGAATGTTGCGAGAGTTAAGAAAAGCGCGCGAAACACGAGCCGAAGGCGAGTGAATTGTTTTATAAAATAACAACGAAAAGGCATGAATTTAAATGTAAATTCTTTAAAACTTTTAATTTCCGTGTTTGGATGATCCAACGGCACGGGCTTCGACCAATCAGAACACGTCGCGTTATATACATGTTATTTTATGAAGCGTGTTTGTGACTATATTGGTTTAATTGTATTGTTTGTGATAGAATGGTAAATGAGTTTTGAACAAATGCTATTGAAATTTCTTTCGCACAATCGATTTTTATCGATTATAGGTGTTGTGATTGAATAACCTACTAGTACGGAAGTTGCCTTTTTTCAAAATTAGTAACGTGTAAGATTTTCCTTTGCACTTAAATGACCAGCAAATGCTGTAATAACGTACGTAATAACATTATTTGCTGCTATCTTTACGTTATATAAAGCTTACGTTATATAAAATCGGCTTTTACTCTATATCGCCGGGTACGTACGTGCAAGTGGAGGTTGGCCTTAATGTAACATCTTAAATAACATGTAAAGAGAGTTTTATTCATGATCTGATAAATAATTTTTTTGTTGCACTGTAATTTCTTCTTATAATATTAAAAAAAAATTAAAAAGTTCTCTGGTATTCTCCCAAGATTCCCCATGGTGCATTTTATAACATTATAAAACTATGCCCACGACCGTTTCAATTCTTGAAAAATATTAATGAAACTTAGATGGATTGTTTCTCGTATTTATGTCTCAGATAAAACCGAAGCAATTTAAAACTTTTTTAACTTTTCGAAATCTGTTTCAATATAGTGATTCTTACAATACGGTCGTTCACCTCGCAGTAATGTCTAAAAAGCTTGAAGCTGTGGAGTACTTGTTTGAGCAGGGCAAACTCTTGGAAATAATCGATCGTACAAATAATATGGAGCTCACCGCAGCTGGTATAGCAGCAGAGTATGGTTATGCGGAAATTCTAAAATATTTGTTAAAGAAGAATGCGCAGATTAAAAGTGATGGGAAAAAGCGAAAGAATATTCTGGATTATGCATGCGACTATGATTATAGAAGAGTCAAGGAATTGGCAATAAAAGAAATTGTTATGTTTTGTGTAAAAGATGGAAACCCAAAACTCCTTAAAGAGGTAATTAATTAATGGCACGCTTTTCTTTTCATGTTGTTGTTGTTGTTGGTGGTGGTGGTGTTGGTGTTGGTGTTGGTGTTGTTGGTGTCGGTGTCGGTGTTGGTGTTGGTGTTGCTGGTGTTGGTGTTGGTGTTGTTGGTGTTGGTGTTGTTGGTGTTGGTGTTGTTGTTGGTGTTGGTGTTGGTGTTGGTGTTGTTGGTGTTGCTGTTGTTGGTGTTGCTGTTGCTGTTGCTGTTGGCGTTGGTGTTGGTGTTGGTGTTGGTGGTGTTGTTGTTGTTGGTGGTGTTGGTGGTGTTGATGCTGGTGCTGCTGCTGTTGCCGTTGCAGTTGTTGTTATTGTTGTTGTTATTGTTAATGGTTTATTTTTCTTTTGTTGTGATTTGTGTTTCCGCCGATTCAAGTTAACAATATAACTATATGACTTTAAACTAGTGGCCAACTCTAAACTTACCATCGATGTAGAGCAGTCTGGTAGTGAAGGGGTTGGTTCTTGCGTGGGATGCCTGTGTTCGAATACTGTCTCGCGGCCTTTGTCTCCAGATTTTTTACTGACCTCTTTAATTATTTGATATTTGCGAACTCCCAAACTGAACCAGAGACAATACATTTTGGTTAGTTCTCTGGGTTATTTGAGTATCTGGTTTATTTTCTTTATTCGACAGTCCCCTAGACATCGGATTACACAGAAAATCGTAAAACAGGAGCTACACCATTTTCCTTTCTCATTCCCTAATTTATAGTGTGTTCTTGAATTTTTCAGTTGTTCGAAGACTCGGGTCATGACCCGGACGATATTATGGCTTTATTGGTCTACACAGCACCCGACGTCGCATTTCTGATTCTTGATCACTGTATTTCTCGGAATGTTGATACCTCTTTATGCTACTGGTTTTTTCCATTCAAAAGAAATAATCGTAAGTCTTGTTCCTTTTCAATCATTCATATAAAGTTTTTATTGCATCATGTACAGCACCACGTATATCATCTCCTCTTTATGTAAGCCATTTTGAAATACTTTTACATTTTAAAGATAAAAAGAAGCTTCAAGCTTTAGAACGCATGACAGAAAGTCCAAATGCAGACAGGTTTTTGCGCCATGCTGTGGTTGTAAAGTTATTAAACTGGCTGATGTATTCCTCGGGCATTCAGAAGTATTTCCTGTTGAATTTTTTTCTTTATACCATGTTTCTGATTACTTTAACAACATATGGCGCAATCCAAAGTGGCGGTAAGAACGCGTCTTCGTCAAACGTCTGACTAAATTATTGTCCATACTTGCAGGTCGTCTAAAATGAGTATTTCTAGTTATATTAGTTGCGTTCATTTACTACTTTATAGGTTTGCACCGTTTAAAATCACCTGGTATGATAGCACTCTCTGTCGTTATTCTTATTTTAAGTGGATTTCTTTTAGTAAAAGAAATTTCTCAGGTTTGTGATGCAGCATGCGTATGTAGTAGGTAATAATTGCAAAATTTTACACGTGTGTTTGAGAACGGTCACGCGTACATTGGTACATGCAGGGAAAAACTTCCTTCAAATGCCGCGTAAGTTGCCTTTGGGTCACGAGGATTTTTCCTTATACATCTTTCGTTATTTGTCTGCTGCCACGTACAGTTGCAATCAAGATATTCATGACCTCTACACGTCGCCTTTATCTCGGAATAGCTTACCAGCACCACTTTGGTCGTCTGTTATACTATTGAGAGACAATTAAGTTATTAAATTTACAAATGATAAAATTAACACAGAGTAGGCAGGATTAGCGAGAAGACTTCACTTAATACCTGTAATAACAAGATGAAGGTGTATTATACTATTAAAGATAAAGCTGGGAAAAACCACGTAGAGTTTTTTTTTCCAAAAAATACTATAATGAATTTCTATAACTCAAGCTTTCAGTCTTTGCATCAATTTTTTTCGAACATACCCTGCTCCCCCTGTATAGTTCAGAAATTCAAATATGGAGTTATAGTTCATTTACTAACCCATACTTGTTAATTTCTAAGTGAAGAATTGCGAGCGTGCAGTAGCCGAAGCTGGAGCCTACATGTTAACCTATATTTTTTTGCATCGCAATGATTGTGTATTTTCTTGTAGATGATTGCATATGGAAAGGAATATATGAGGGATTTGGAAAATATCTTCGAATTGACAATTTTTATTTGCGCAATGATTTATGTCGTTCCTGGAGGGGACAAAAAAACCGACGGACAGATCGTAGTTGGAGCAATTTCGATATTTCTTGCGTGGGTGAACTTTTCCCAGTTCTTTAGAGTACTTTTTAATTTTGGAGTCTACATCTTCATGGCAATTAAAGTGTTCGGAACAGTTTGCATGGTACGTTTGATGGGAAAGTATATGAAAGCTGTTATATCTTGCCTTATTCGCTACTTGTTTTTTGCAGCATATCATTTCGTTCTCCTTTAAAACATTCATACGTCTTTATTAGATATTTAGGCACAACAAACGTGCTACTTAACTTAGGTGATATTCAATAGCAATGAAATTAAAAAGTTGAAAATTTTATCAATTCATAATTATTACATTTATAAAAAATTAAAAATTATAAAAAATGCATGCATCTATTTACATAGCATCTCTTGAACCATTCTGTCTTTACTGGGGGTGGTAGGTATTCATAAAACAGCCATGGTTAGCTGTTCGTCGAAAAACTTAAACTATGATTAACATTACAAATATTACAATCTCAGCAACGTAGCTAACACGAAGAACTCGTATTGAAAAAAGTGAGTCACTCAGAAAAACGTTAAAACACAAGTTGTTTCGAGATATTAAGAAACGACCATTGACTTAACAGTTTTCGAAATAACGCAATACGGGGTTGTTGCAGTTCAGAAAAAGCATGCAGTATCATTTTAGTTTTGAGTAATAAAAAGAGGTCATTGTGGGAGGATTACATGTTACATTTGCTTGAGAAATAGTCTTTGCAGTTAAGCTAAAAAAAATATTTTTCTAATAACACTTACAACGAAGGCTTGGAGACGAGAAATTCTCTTTTAATGGTCAATGGTCTTTTAACGACATAAAAAAGAGTTAAAACATTTTTTCAATTTTTAATAAACAGTCGATGTATGCGCGCATTTTACCAAGATTTGCACTGTTTAATGAGCTGTTCCTGTTGTTATTTTTATGAATTTGTAATTATTTTTACCAACAGGTGTTGCCACTGGTTATATTATTACTCGTTGGATTTTCACTATCGTTTTCGTTGATCATGCATCAAGATGCAGGTTTCAATGATGTTCCTACATCGTTCTTGACAACACTTGTGATGATGACGGGTGAATTGGATTATCGAGACACATTCCTTGCAAGTGGATCACTTCATGCCTTGCAAAAAATATTTCTTGTATTGTTTATCCTGATGATCTCCATCGCTATAATGAATTTATTTACCGGTGTTGCTGTTGGCGACGTTAACGAGATGTTAATAAAATCTAAAGAAAGAAGAAGAATAAATAAGGTAAAAAGTTTGGCAATCGGTATAAGAATGCAAGTAGCTATTCGACAGCCTTTGTTCGTCATGTTGCCAATCAAATTGCAGCTATATTATATCTTATTTATACAAGCTTCATGTTTCAATAAAACAAGCTTAAGGTGGGTATCTGCATTGACAAAAAAGGCGGAGAGGACGAAAAAGTGAACGTTTTGGTTGCGTTTTTCAGGTTTTTAAATATTTTTCTTAGGCATTTTTAACTTCGTCGGTCAAATTTCCTAAAATTTGATACTTATTTTAACCCCCCTATTTTTATTGTCGTTCAGGTCTTTCAGGTTAGATTTTTCGACACCCCCACGCGTTTAATTATCCAAAATGCTTCAAACACGTTCACATAAATTTTTTGCAATTAAAAACCTTTCCCGCGAGGTATCTTTTCTCGAAACATTTGTATAAAGTGCTTTGGAATTTTATAAGAAAACTGTAGAGAAAAAGAAACTCTTGTGTGTGTGAAAACATTTCGTGAACTACAAGTTCAAGATTATAAATATCATAAATAAAAAAGCGGAGTTGAAATATGTGCTAGTAAGATATATGGCATTTTCTCACCGTTATGTTGTAATAATTGTTGGAAACCATGCACAATATTATAGATTACATTATTTTTAACTTAGGCTAAGCTTGTCATAAAACTGGAAAGAGGCCTTTCTTTCTACTCAAGCGGGAATTCTGCGACCGCGAACATGGGTGAACTTCATGTGTATAGACTATAGTGGCAGAGAAAAAGAGAGGCATTCGTCATTGTTGACGTGGATATGGGAACAGGTATAGGGTGCCTGGTCTTACTGTTTTCAAAACACTTTAGCCTTGCTTTTCAAACCCGTCATAACCGCATGAGCTAAGGCAGTTTTGCCTGGGAGGGCACAAAGAAAAACGCCTTAACGTACCCATATTTCTATTCCCTCCCTTGCACACAGAATATGCGAGTGTTTCAAGTCGATGAACCCATGATTAATTATAGCCCCGTTTACACTACACTCAATTTATCGGCACGGCACGGCTAAAATGGGCACCCGTGCCCAATTTTATTAGTGTTCAGACTACCAAAACAAAGGCCGAGCACAGATAAAATGGGCACGGGTACCCATTTTAGCCGTGCCGTGCCAATAAATCGAGTGTAGTGTAAACGGGGCTTATATTTATCTACTTCATACGCAGTGCTCCTGTTGACATCTTCACTTCCTTATGCTATCAACAGAAATTCCTTTAATACAAATAATTCGTTCGAACAGAAAGTCTTATTTTCCATCAATCCTTAGACTTTTCCTGATGACGAAGATGAAACAACGACGCAGAGCAAAGGAATGACTTTTATGATATGAAGAACTATGGAAGATCCTTATAGAAGAATAACTTGGGCAATCAAAAGATTTGCTGAATTTGGCGAAAGCATATTTGAAAGAAAAAGTTTATAAAGCCCAGAAATTGGTCGAACAGAGATTAACAGCCAACTTTACAACGGCAGACAGTTAAAAAGACTTGCTATTATTAAACTAAGTATATAGGCGCACATCTTAACGTACGCAAGTTATAGTTTGTCAAATACTTTCAACACTAGTCTATTACACGATTATAAGTCAACAACACCTTGTTAATATGGCGACATGCAAGCAACGACAAAATGGCGGGAAATTCAAAATTATTTTAAGAATTTCAGCCCTGGGCTGAAGAAAAAGCTGGTAGGACCCCTACTAGCTTCGATGTTTGAGCGCTTTAAAATGCCGAATGCCAGTTTTGCCCCCCCCCCCCAAAAAAAAAAATAAATGAGTAAACGAATTATGGTCATGCGCATTACCAATCATCTATACAAACATTAAAATTGTGACGCAGATACGGGACACGTGTATTGTACTCATATGCAAATCACTATTTTCGAGTATAATGCTGTTTGTTTATTACGATCAAGATACTACAAAGCAATATAGGTAAAGTACAAAGCCTAAGGCAAAGAAACCTGGTAATGCGTTGACAATCTAAAATATATACCATATATGCTGACACACAAGAAGTAAAAACGTAATTTGAAATACGCTGAGAGGTAAAACGGTAAGGTAAGAGTAATTCCTAAGAGTAATTCGTCACAAACGATTAGTATTCCTGAATTATGAATGTAATTTTGAACGAAGTTGGACGTACGCAGTCGTTGCTATCGCTTGCGTTTTGTCCTAACTATATATCGCTCAAAATTGCGTGCTATTCACGGATAATTCAAGAGGGTACTATGATTTATTAAATTTTTTAAGTTCACATCGTGTAATAAAGGCGTTTATTAAATGAGGGGAAACAGCCAGGCAAATCAACGAAGCATGAGAAATTCAATCTTAAAAAACTCAAGACAAGTTTAGTTTTAGGTTATAGCTAGGTTAATTCTAAAATGTTTTATCCAATATCAAATTCAAATATGTATATATAGTATCTAGTATATCATTGATTTTATATCTATTAAATTTGTTTATCGATAAACATTACATCATCAGAGTTAAAGGCGCTCGCACGTATTGCATGTAAGCAAGCCAAATTTCATAACAAATGATATTAGATTCTCTACTTTTGTGAAGTTCCGGTTTTACTAGCTTGCAATTTTCACTGCGCTTCTAGATGCGATGCTCTTATTACTATATTTGCGGACAGTTTGCAAGTTATGGAAAATTTAAACATCGGTGGAATATATTAGCTGTATAAAGGGAAAAATCGCACCAAAACCCCCTTTGAAATTTGATGTTTCTTGTTCATTGTCTGCCCTTAAACAAAATCATTATCCATCGTTAATGTGCACAATGGTGCGGTATGACGTCAATTGTCGGTTGATCGAGCATCGATCGCCAATAATCACAATTGTGCCCCTTCAAATTAGTTAATGCTTTTTATTTCTTTAAGGATATAAGCATATTTTATTAGGATATTTCTCATTGAAATAATCGCTAAACGCGGTTACAACAGATAAGATATTTCCTTCTTTGAACTTTAAAGTATACATACAGATTATACTAGCTTAGTCATGCAATTGACGACGTCAACGGAAGTTACGCAAGCATCACTTCAATCCTCAAAGATTTCAAATTTGCATCTACAGGGTGTCCCAAAAAAAACGAAAACTATTGAAATCACCCATAACAATGCCATTGTTAGAGTTTGAATGCCTAAGCACTCTGTTGGGCCCACAAGTGTATAAATCGGGGTTGCCATAAGCATTTTCATGCATGCATATGATGCAGTCAAATTCGCAAAAATGATATTTATTAACAATATTTACAATTTACAAATATGGATAACAATATTTAAATGTGCATCTCAAGGACCATGACCTTCGACATGTCCCCTTTCTCTAGCAACACAAAGCATTTAGCATTTTATAAGTTGTATTAAATCCTCACGGGCTGAAATTCGTGAACACGGCATTCAAATTTTAACAATGAGTGATTTCAATAGTTTTCGTTTTTTTTGGGACACCCTGTAGATCTCAAGTATGCATTTTTGCTTTCTAAAGCCCCGGTTACACTACAGTCAATCTATTATAGCACGACATGGCTAAAATGGGTACCCGTGCCAGGCTACCAAATCAAAGGCCAGGCACGGGTACCCATTTTAGCCGTGCCGTGCTAATAAATCGAGTGCAGTATACACGAGGCTTGAGTGTAGTGTAAACGGAGCTTAATTTATATGTAGGCAGGATGGAGGTTTCGAGGAATGGAAAAAAGAGCAATGGTGTTCCATCATCTCCGAAGAATGAGGCCAATGAAAATGAAGAAGATGCGAGTCAAATAGGTTTGGTAGAGTTTAAACGCATCTTAAACATACCCTAAATATTACCGAAAAAAGTACCCGAAAATATTTTAATTATTGAGTAGTGATGCGTTTATTCTGATATGGGCAATGCATCACTCTCAAGCGAGGTTCACAAAATTCCTTCTTTTTTTTATTGTCCGTTCATGTACTATAATCATAGTACCGTGGCAGAATAAGAAGAATGTTTCGCAACCTATATTATATATTCTAGGAAAATACCATAGCCGCGTAAGATAAAAAAGATTTCTTTTAAAGATATATATGTGCGCATTTTAGACGCCAAAAGAAAAATGCAATGACGATGTAAGAAAAGCGAAGAAAACAAAAAAGTATTATCTTTCCTTTCTTTTTCAGAAATGGCGCAGTGTAAAGTAGAGAGTACAGAAGGTAATGATTTTTAGATATTACTATAGCCGCCATTGCAGGAAGGTTGTACTCTTTCGTGTCGCCCGCGTCGTGTCCTTGCGCCGCGCGATCTTAAAGACTGTTTATCATGAATATTATATATAATTACTTGAATTAGTAATTTAGCTTGTATGTACACCACGTAAATATTTGATACTGCAAAGCTTTTGGTCCGTTACCCGGGCCTTCATCAGTGCAATTACCTGAATGCACATGCATTTACGCGTCCTGGGTTAACGGTCCAAAAGCTTTGCAGCATTAAATACTTACCTGGCGCCGGTACCTACAAGCTAATTTACTTATTGATGTCACCATGCAATCATAGAAGAATATCATAACTTTATTTGGTCTTGATCATGATTCAACTTCTTGATCATGATATATAACTATATAGTCTTGATCATGATTCCTACAAAAGAATCTCAATTTGCTTCTGATATATGTAATCACCGCGATATTTTTCTTCTTTTTTTTCGAAAATGGCAGCAAAATCGTCCTTGGACGATGCAGAAATTATGGAGCCGAACCCCAACGAGGATACACCTTTGATTGAAGGTATGGGAAGAAAACATGCATCATAGGTTTATTCCTACAACAATTTACCGAATTAACGACAATTTCTACACCAAGCCTGAACGCGACATTACATTTTCCATCATTTACACTGGTTTTAATTTACAAACAGAGCTAACTCCGAAAATACTCATTTGGTAAATAAAAAAATTTGACAAATACAAAAATAAATTTTAATCTGTTTATGTCAACTCAAATCTGAATCATCTCTGCAGAAAATTTTACAAGACATGACGTTAGTCTATTTACAAATTTGAATAGCGTTTGTTTAACCTGTGTTTTATATATTTGCCGCTAAAATTATCAGCTGGAGATAGATTTTAATTTACACTAGTTTTAATTGCTTTATTTCTTCACATTTAGACACTATTTCAGACAAAGAAATACGAACGGAAAGCAGTTCAGATTTGCGCGATATAACTATTGATGGTCAAGAACCAGACCCAGTAGACGGTAAAGAAGCAAACTTTTAACTTTTTATACCACAGTTTTTGGGACTTGATAACTATAGTTGCTTCCAGTTCGTTTTTCGAGCTCAATTTTGGTTGGACAAGTAAATTCCATTTAGTAATTGACACATAAAGAACAGTGACAAATATTGAGCAACACAAATTAAGCTAGCTGCTAGCGTGGTGTTAATAAAACAATCATAAAACAGTGATTGGTGTTTGGATACAGGGTATTCTACATCCTCACGAATAAATAATTTATAATGTATTTCAAGGAAACACATGCTTGCTATAAGTTGCTTTATCATATGGTTAAACGGTAGTACCTTGAGCAGCCTTCATTCTGACGTGCGCATAACAAACGTGATTCGTTTCTTCCTTTCCTTCTGATATATTTCTGAAAAACGTCAGCGCGCTGTGAGAGGAGCTGATATCAAATAAACTGTTAGTAAATCTCCCTCTCACTTCATGACGAGAGACAAATCTTTCAAAAAATTTAACATCTATAGTCTGGAAATTCTAGTTTCAGTCATAGGGAGTCAATCTTCGTGTCACAACTGAACAAATTATAAAAACAGTGCTCCTGGATTTTCTAGACCAATCCTCCGGTTCCGACGAACCTGAGGACTGCAGCGATGCTTTAAAAGAAGCGAGAAGAAGGGTACAGACACGTACTTTTGGTAGGCATAAACTCATCTGTACAACACAAAATCATTTTTGACTTTCTTTCCCATAACACCCTGCATCATGGGTCAGCTAGGATAATCAAATGTATTCCCATGACTGCTGTGGATTGTTGGAATACGATGACGTTAATTCGTATACAATAGATATAAGAATTTAATTAATAAAATTATTTCAGCTAAACGTTGGGCCAGAAAGTGACGAAAGTGAAATATATAATAGTTCTCCAAAAATTGCTTGGCTCTTTCATTTATTGTATGCCTTAATATATGACATCAACGAATTTCAATTTTCAAACATTTGAGCGTTTTACAGCTGCGACCATTGTATTTTAAAACGCGGTGTTTATTTAGGCATAATTATATACAACCATTTAAAGCAGCTATCAAGGATAATATGTTAATTGCATTTATATATTTCCTCTTCAAATATAGCAAAATATTTTGTCAGTATTGAGGATAGGACTGATGCTACCTCCAAACGAACACTGAAATTATATCCAGAAGATCACGTAAATCTTAAAGACCTACTTGATGCAGGTATATGGATTATGGAATATAAATCGAGTCGATGTTCGAAAAAATACCATAAAATGCAATATAATGTTTGTAGTAAATGTTGACCGACATATCCTTAATATAATAGCAAGTATGCATGGTCTCGCTTATTCATGTACAATAAATATGTTCACGTATTTAATGTTTAGAGCAAGAATTCGTAACGAGCCATAACTCCCGAGGCAAGAGTTATCAACTGGATTTCCGAGAATGCTGCGAAATTGCGAAGGCAATTTACCTTGATGATGTTGAAAATTTAAAGAATTTAATAACAAATGGTATGTTTTAGCGTAGCTGCATGTCTGTCAGCAATATAAACCCAGCATGCATGTTTGGAAAGTTCACACAATCTTTTTCTCCGTTTATTTTGTATAAATTCGCCTAGTGAAGAACTGCATGGCCTTAAGCCCCGTTTACACTATACCGGACTGCTTTCGGAGTAGGTCAAATTTTGTAGCAAAAAATTTGGCTGTCAGAGATCGAAATAGATATACCAAATCTATCAAACTAATAAGCATTTGCTTCTAACCATTGCCCTTAATTAAAGGAAAACGAAGATATCGGGCCTATGAAGCGAATCCGCGGTATAGTGTAAACGGGGCCTTAAAAGCATACGTTATCTACATCGGATCTTGTTAGGTTCGCCGTTGCAAAACGTGGAAATTCAGCGTCGTTTATTCCAAGCCGCAGAGCAAAATAGTTTGAAATGCTTGGACCACCTTTGCTGGATGTACGAGGAAGACGATGAGTGTGATAGATATAGTTACTGGGCTAAACCAACAAATCTTTTTTATCGTCGCATTTATTCTGGATCCCGGCTTTCGAAAGAACATCCCAAAGAGACCGCTCTTCACGTCCTTGCGAGCAAGCCAAAGGCGGTAGAAGCGATGAAAGTTTTAGAGAAACGACCGAAGTTCCTAAGAGATTTTAAAGACTTTCCGGACAATCACGACACATCCCCGATTCTTGTGGCGATAAAATGCAACAATATAAAGGTTTTTAGACGATTGCTCACCAAAGAACTTGCTAAGCGATCTCGCTTTTATTGGGACATCGAATTGAATAGAGTTAATATACACAAAGAATCCCCTATCCGTGTTGCAGCCATGAACGACAACGCAGAGGTGATAAAAGTGATGTTGGAAATATGTGAGTGTGTTTATGTTATATCGCTCTTCATTATAGTTCACTGAAGAGCCTTAATTAAGCGAGGCCTAGGTAGCAATCATTTATTTATGTTCTTAAAGAATTAATGTCTTAATTTTGGCGACAAAAGTTGAATTAGCCATTTCCCAATCGAGCAGGGTACTGGGTCTAATCGCGAACCGCTGAGCATCTATGGACTGTTTGGAGAGACCGAACATATTGTCATTGTATTCATTTGTCCCTCCAAACACTCCATACATGTTTTGCGGTGCGCGACTACACCCAGTACTCTACTCGATTGGGAAATGGCTAATTTGTTCGCAGGCATGGAACTCTTAGATCCCAGTCAACAAAAAGCTAAGTATAGATACTTATGGTGGATTATAATTATTTCTTCAATTTTAAATGGTCTTTATAGATAAACGTTTGCTTTAGAAAGTTTTCGATTGCCAAATCTTCGTTGATCAGCTGCTGATAATACTAGGTGCACCGTGAAAACAATATCATTTTGGCAGTCGTATACCAATGCATATATCAATTACCGAAATATTTTACTGTATGATTTCATGTAGATAACATTGCATGGGCTGTTTGAAATAACCTATATTCGTTATATAGGTGCTGTGTATTTTAAAGGTGATTGGTTCATTCGTAGTCACATGACTTTAAATAAATCTGATGTTTCCCGCCAGGGAAACAAGTGAAAAATTGTTTCCCGCATATTGTCATAACAAAGTTTTTTGAAACGAAATTGTCGTGTAACATGTATGTTTTTGTTCCTATATAACAAAACACTTAATGTTCGCTACAACTTGGGAAATAGTGAGTTTTGTCCTCCCTATTAAAACTCACGATTTTCCTCGGGAGCGTACATTAAGTGTATAATGCGCATGCACTTATATACATATGGAGCAATGTTTACCTTTTATTCATTCATATAAAGACTGCGAATCAGAGGAAAGACGTCAGCTTCTTGACATGCTGTTGGAAGAAGGAGATGAAAGAAGTCATTCAATACTTTTCCCAGCCACACAGGGTGGCAGACGCGATATACTGAACCTTATCATGAAATACGAATTCTGGCCAGAATTTCTCGAAAGAGAAATGAGAATTACCGAGGATTGGGATGTGTTTGTTGGCAACGTTTGTGCTGCCGGATGTAAGAAACTTGCAAAAGCCTGTTTCAAACAAGATCCCAGTCTTCTTGAAAAAAGGGAGCAAAGATTTGTTACACCCCTCATGAGGTAAGAATTTTGAACGCTGTTATGTTTCAATTATTCAAAATATTATAGTTGTGTAAAACCGTACATAAAGACAGGCAAAAATATTTTTATGGACATTTGAGATACCGTTCGGATCGTATACAGGGTGTCCCAAAAAGTACTCCGGTCTCATTGAAAACGGGAAATTTTCATGCCAATTCGTGAAAAAACACATTATATAAGTACCGCATTTTTTTCTTGCAGGGCAGCCGAAGCAAATCAAGAGAGAATCGTTCGCCTAATATATAAGCTTAAACCTGATTATAATTTCCTTGAGATTTGTGATCAAAATAGTAGAAATGTTTTTCACTACGCCGTGAAGAATCTTGATGTTCTTCTTCAACTTGCGTTCGCATGTATACAGGTACGTGTTTTGATCAGTGACCTGTAATAAAACCTGTAACGCTAACTTGGCCGCTATCTTTGATGGAGAAACAACTCTTTTTCAGTCAAAAACTCAGTTTTTTGCTTCAATTTTTGGCTCCATCTACTATATTACTATAGAAGTTTGCGCTCCAGGTTTCATTACAGTTCTCTGCTTTTGATGGATGTGAGTGGCATATCAGGAAACTGGAAACTCTATGAGGAGTACCTGTTTCAAAAGCACCGCGGGAAATTTCAAGGATAGTATTATTGTATATAATATTCATGTTCAAAAATGTCTTAAACTTCTTTATACCAATAGTTCGGCAAGTATGATGCGATTAATAGTATGGACGATTCTGGAAACACGCCCCTAAAACTCGCAGTTGATGGAGGACTAAAAGAGGTATATTTATTTCTATTATTAAAAATATATGCTTATCAACTTCCATCAGCAAAGTTTTTCTTTGATTCAGAGATTAAAATAACGCCTTCTGTATCAATATAGAATTATTTATGTATGACTATATATGGGTTTTTTTTCAAACTAGCCGAAAAAATTACCCGCACGCTCTTGATACTTTATATAATTTTATTAATTTGAGTGATGTAATCGTTATTTAGAGTGTCATGTTGCTCGTAAATGTCACACAGTTCGAGGTGTTCTCTGCAGACATCGTCAACAATGTGGACATAGAGGTAATTACCCCAACTCTGGTTTCTTTAAAAATATCCTTAACTTCATATATCCGCAGAAAATAAGTATACATTTGACATGAAAAATTCAAGTAACTTTGCAAGCTGTTAGGGGCGTAAGAACCGGGGATTTGGGGGGGGGGACAGGCGCAGCCCAAACTTTTTCAACGGCCAAAAGTGCCCTTTTTGTGATGAAAAATGCCTTTTTGGGGAAACTAATGCAGCTGTAAATACTATTTTGAAATCGAAGGTGTCCTTGTTTGTTTCCTACGTATGCCCACATACACGTGCCCAAATCTTTTTGTACACCACAAATATACACCGTACTAGTGGTGTCGTTGGAACTTTGGCAATCAAACCGCCCATATACCTATTTTTAGCTGCCCTTCTTATTAACCAAAAGTGCTCCTGAAAGTATGTGTCCCCGAATCTCTGGACACGTCCTACGCTACTGTTAATATACGGCATTATTTTTCGACATCTGGTAGGTTTTAGAGAGGGCTCTTTATGTCTGCGGGAGAAAGGCTCCCGAGGACACAGCTGATCTGCTGCGCGGGGATCACGACAAACATCGACCGTTTTTAGAGGCAGCATACAATGGAAACGTGGTATTAATGGAGTTCTTCTTGCGAAAGGGGGCAAATAATTTACAAAGGACGTAAGAATCGTGTTAATAAAATCTGTCAGTTTTTTAGTAGTATAGTACAAACTGAACGTAAAAACTACTAGTTTTTTTAGAATTGCAGCCAATTCATGTATACCAACTTCTTGTTAACCTTGCCAACACATCGTTTTTCAATATAGACCAATTTATCAAACTGCAATACACTATGCTGTACTTTCTGGAAAACTGGATGCTGTGGAGTTCTTGCTTGAGAAGAAGGAATTCCTGGAAATGATCGATTTCACGGACGAAGACGGAATCACTGCAGCTGGTTACGCGACAAGCGCAGGTCATGCAGAGATTCTCAAATATCTTTTGAAGAAAAAAGCAAAAATAAAAAGTGACAAAGCAAAGGCCCGAAAGAATATCCTCGATGCTTCGTATGATTTTTATGAAACTGGCAAAGATTCACTCAAAGAAATTGTTTTGTTTTGTACAAAAGATGGAAAAATTGAACTTCTTGAAGAGGTGATAATAGAAAATTTATCGATTTGTACATTTTACACACTAAATTCTCTATTACAATTCCTCGGTTGAATTCTCTGAATGTCGTTACGGAACAACTAAACTACTTCATTCTCAGAAGCTGAAGACCAAAACTTAATGCTATATTTTTGCAGCTATTCGAAGACACGAGTCGTGGTTCGGATCATATTATGGCAAAGTTGATTCAAGATGCACCAGATATCGCGGTTATGATTCTTAATCTCTGTACAAATGAAGAAAAACGTTTTTCATGCCGATCGTACGCAAAAGTTGAAAGGATCTTGCAGTACTCTTTTTTCCCATTCAAACGAAAAGATCGTAAGTCTGTATTCTCTGCATTAAGCTAGTCGCTAACTGAGATTCTGGTTCTGAAGCTTACATTTCAGTCTTTGATTGGAAGACTTACAAATTCCAAGGGGTGGTAGCAGTCGGCTAAGAAAAGTACCACACAAGATGGCGGGCTACGTGTTGTAATGCGTCATTATTGCACGATCCCAATGTTCGTGGTAAAATTCAACAACTATGACATAAAAAGAAATCACTTTACATTCTGAATCTATGTTAGTTATGATAAATGAGGGTTTTATGTATGTGTGAATTAATCATACGTTTGACCCATAGCTCTTCATTTATATATGATTTTGAATCCAGTTGTTAAAAAGGTTAAAAGCAGTAAGTTTATGGCGGCAGATTTCAAAGCAATAAAAGCTTCTTTAAAATATCCGTTCTTTAAAAAAAAATCGATTGATTTGTTTACGAGATCATGCATATTCATTCCAAGTGTACATCCTCCTATTCCACAGAAATGGATTTCAGCGAAATTCACCTAAATTCACCTATAAAAAATTTAGATCACCTGAATTCTTTCGTTTCTTTTGTCAAGCTAAAGGAAAGCTTGAAGCTATAAAAGCCATGGTGGAAGACCCGAAAGGAGACAAATTCCTGCGTCATTCATTGGTGATGCGGTTCTTAAATAAGAAAATGTATTCATCAAGCATTCAAAATTACCTTCTTCTTAATTTTCTTCTGTACACGACGTTCCTGCTTACTTTAACAACATATGGAGCAATCCAAAGTGGAGGTAAAAAAGTTTATAATTTTTTACCTTTCATGCATGTATAAAAATATGCATGAAAAGGAATATCCCACGCTCGCTACCGATATATAAACAATACATTCTCAGCAGAACTCGGAATATATTTCCCATTTCCATGCAATGTTCTTTGTGTGATTTGTAAATCTGGTAATTGATACACGTGCATTAATTGTTTTCAAAGGTGTACATGATTTGAAATCACCAGGAATGATAGCGTTATCCATAATTATTTTGATTGTATGTGGAATTCATTTCATAAAAGAAATATCTCAGGTTTGTGACTTACACTCAATCATTCCACCCTCAGTAATGTTTGTTACAATCGCAGTATCATATTATTTTGCCAATGCACGTGCGACTGTAAAAACTTCTATAGATGATGCTCAATGTAAAAGATTACTTACACGATAGCGAAAATCTGATTGAACTGGTAATGTATATTTGTGCTGTAATTTACGTTGCTCCTGGAGGAAGCACAAAAACAAGTGGACAAATTGCAGCTGGTGCTATTTCGGTATTTCTTGCTTGGATCAACTTCTCCTTGTTCTTAAAAACCACCTCCGGGTATGGACTTTACATCATCATGGCAATCAAAGTCTTCAAAACCGTTTCGATGGTATGTTATGGAATTATATTCACACATTTCCGAAAAATTCCCGCTTGAATAAATTTTTGCCGCCGTTAAAATAATCATAAGTTTAATAAAATGAAATAATGAATTTTTGTAAATAATCTTGCATAACTTCTGAAGATGAATCAGAACTGACTTAAAGTGTAGTTTGAAGTGAAATTTTATTGTTGTGTATTCGGAATACTTTTATTCTAAATACGCGTCTATGTCGAAGGTCATTATAGGCTCAGAGTGGGAACCAGGTGAAAAAACTAATCCTATGAAAATAATTTTCCTCAACAGGTACTGCCACTGGTCGTATTGTTTATTATCGCATTCTCGTTATCGTTTTCGCTGCTCATGCCTCAAGATCCAGGTTTTGATAATATTCCCATCTCCTTTTTGACAACATTCGTCATGATGACGGGAGAGTTAGATTATCGAGACACATTTCTTGCCAGTGGACCACTTCATGTTATGCAAAAGATACTTCTTTTACTGTTCATTCTCATGATCTCCATCGCCATCATGAATTTATTCACCGGTCTTGCAGTTGGCGACGCGAACGAGATTTTAAGCCAGTCAAAAGAAAAGAGAAGAATCGATAAGGTAAAATATATCAAATGTAACAAGCATTACCTTACACTTGAGCCTGCATTGCTCGGTCACCATCGAGGATTTCCCAAATGGGACTTACCACCTTCTAATTCAGAATGCACTCAAGACCGCTTGATGCAAGCAAATCGAAATAAACATGATAACTGCATGGAACGCTACAATGAAAATCCTCGTAATCGTCGATCTACACGATCCTTTCCTTCCTTTTCAAAAATTAATATCATTTTTCATGTTTCCTATCAAAATGCCTCACTATTATCGTGCTTTCGTTTTAATTTAAATTATTTTAATTTTAGGCTAGGCTTGTCTTGAAACTTGAGAGAGGACTTCCTTTTTTTCATCCACTGAGTTTGATTATAAGATCAACGAGCGGGAGACAATTGGTGATGAAAAGAGGACGAAATTATCTTGGCTTTCTCGACTCAAACCGAAGGTATAGCTGCCGGTATATATTGACTTTCCGCCCGTTACATTGCCCTCGCTTGCATGCAAACGTCAATCATTTTCACCAGTGATTTACCCAAAAACATTTCGCGTAAATGAGGCTAACCTTACACGTGGAAGTTGTTGCATGTCCATGCAAAAAGAGCGTTTATATAGCAAAATACATGCTTATATTAACAGAATTATTGGTGATTTTTTTCTTTTTGTACAAGGTCATCTGAAAATGACGGAAAAGGGCTCAGACTATATATAGTGAAAAAAATTCCTTTCTCGGTTGAAGCAACTTGATATTTCTTGAAATATACTTAATTTCAGTTTGAACTTTTTTTTAGATCTATAGTTTTTAAAACTTAAATTAATCACAAGATTTCGACTAGTTTCATCGAGAATAACAAATGATATTACCGAATAAATACTGCAGAATGGATTTCTATTTCGACAGCGCTGTTTGCCTAAAATGTGAACGCTAGATCTTCTTGTACGCAACTTACAATGGTCAGTGGTAATTAGTAATATATTTTCTAGTCCTATACCATGGATTTGTCTCTGCATGCATGTAAAGTAAAAGCTATCTGCAGGTGTTCTCAGGTTTGGCCAACGAGTATAAAGTTAATCCATGTGACAATCTGAAAATCTTACCTAATTTGATTTATTCACGGTCCTTAGTTTTTCTACGATGACGGTGACGATGAAGATGATGAAAACCCAGTGAATGAAAAGCAAGATGATGGCAAAGAGCAGTTATACGCTGAGGAATTTTCTCAGCTGACAGGAAAAGTGTGCGAGGCACAGGCATTGGTAGATTCCGTGGATAAAAAGAATGATCGTGCGAATGAATACTTCATTGAAGCAATAGAAACCAAATTGGAAAATAGATTAAAGAAAATTGAAGCGATGTTGGAGAAAATTCAAGTTGGAAGCATCGCTGAAATTGATCAAACTGATCAAGCATGATTTTATATTATAGTTAACTAGTGTGTTGTTCGGGCTCAAACTCTGTCACAATGGCCCTTTGTTTTCTTTGTTTTCTTCTTTTTCTTTAAGTTCCTAATGACAATTTAGTTTTAAGTATTTAGCTACATATCTGGCAACTTTGATTAAATATGAAATATGAATTACTAAACAATATTTTAGAACTGGCCGAAAAAGACTAGGGGAATATTTTTTACCCGTGCTCACAGGATTTGTGGTGATAATAAATTGGTTAGGAAGGAAGAGAAACGTATTTGTGCAGTATTAAAGTCCAATGGCTATCCTTATAAGTTTTTGCGAAAAATACAAAATGGAGTTAGAATTAGAAGCGAGAGCGGAGATCAAAACAACTCAAATGTGCCGAAGGAAGTGGTCAAAATGATGCTCAGGATAATGGTCTCATCGTGCTCCCATATGTTAAATGTATGACTGAACGGTTAAAGTGGATTTTGTATAGACACAATTTCAAGATAGCTATGAGACCAACATTGACTTTAAGAGATATGTTGATGAAACCAAAAGATCCCACACCTACAGTAGGAGGCAAAAGTTTGAGTCCAGTGACTGTATTTCTTTGTTTCAGCAGCATATATTAATATTCTACAGAAAACCTTACCGATAAGTGAACTAGAAAAAAGTAAACAAGTAAACAGAAAAATACATGCTGTACAACAACTATGAGATGTTATGATATTCATTTTTACGTATTTTAATGTGCAAACATGCATTTACATGTCATTGCTTAGTTCCCTCTTTTTTGCTCTTGAAATGACCTTTATTCTTGCTCGCATAGATTCCATAGGTTTTTTAATGTCACACGTTCAATACCTTGCCAGCATTCGTTGACCACTTGCCTCAAGTCAGCCTGGCTGGCGGGTCTGTGCCTCGCCCTCTTCCGGTTAAAACGGTTCTACAAGTGCTCCATAGGTTTTAGATCTGGAATATGAGGTGGAAAGCCATGACAACGAGATCACCAGAATGAGTTTGCTTCTAAACGATTTCTGGCACATAGAAGATGTGCATGTGCTTAGGGTGATTATCATGTAGTTAGACGTGCGATCATCTTTGTACCAGATGAAATTCCATGTCCTTGAAGAATTGGATGATACTTTTCTTTAATTAGGATCCTATTATATCTTTCAATATTGCCAAACCGAGCATGACCAAAGCAGCTAAAAGTTTGCTTGAGTAGGATTTAGTTTCTTCGAACCTCTCCAAGGTTAGTTGCATACCACCTTTTTAAATTCTCACTTCTTCTGCGATCTTACGAGGAAAGAATCCTTCAATACTTAATGGAACTATTTGTCCTTGTGCACCATCACTTTGCCCTTTTTCCTACCCATCTTGGGCAGTGTAAAGGAATGAGAACTTTATTTTGTTATAATTTAGATCATTAGGACCAAAACAGTGTGCAATTAATATAGTTTACAGTACTGAAACACTAGCACGCATGTCTTAACTCCAATACGCTGCCAGGATTTAATACTGGAATTCTACAACGACTGGACTCAAACTTTTGCCTCCTACTGTATGTTGAAGAAAACATGCAAAGACTGTGACTTGCAGTATATTGGCGAGACAGGTAGAGCGTTAGGAACTAGACAAAAAGAACATGAGAGAGCAGTGCGCCTGGAGAAAGTAGAAAAATCGGCACTGGCTGAACATGTGGTGGAACATGGCCATTCAATCGCGTGGAACGAGTCAAACGTGATTTGTAATGAAAATAGGTGGGCGCAAAGAAAATGGAAGGAAGCATGCACATATTGAAGAAACTGTCAATGGTATTGCGAATAGAGACAATGGTAGAACGCTTCCAGACATATATAAGACAGTTTCAATGCTCAAAAGGTCTTAATTGGTTTTAAATAAGTTTAGTTTAAGGTGTATAGCTTTTAAAGAAACTGCCAATGTTTTTCACGAATAGAGACAGTGGTAGAACGCTTTCAGTCATATATAAGCAGTTTTAAGGCAGTTTTAAATAGGTAATTTTAATTTGTATAGCTTTTGTTTAGTTAGGTTAAGTATTTGGCTTTGTTTTAGCTTAATTAGATTCATGTATTGGACAGTATTTAGGCGAAAAAATTTTTTACTCTGTCATTTACCATGACGATGGACGCGATGTCCGAAAGCTTGGAAGTTTAAATATAATTTTAACTTATTGTCATTTGCTGGTGTCTCGCATAGAGTTTCAACAAATTAAATTATCTGTCAGACGGATCATTCGTCCAGACAGATCGTTCATCTTTAGCTACTGTATAGATTGAGCCATGCGATGTACCACAACAGAACGATGTATAGTTCTAGTCTTATATATTAATGTCCTTCGAGACTCTTGACAAATTATCGCATAGAAAAATATCCTATAAATACTGAATAAAATGACTTATTTGTATTTTATTCATATTTTCATCTCGCAGACAAAGGACTTTTAATCATTTTTCATCCTTCCGAAAATCATAAGTGCATCCTTCAGAAATAAAGAAATGAAGCTAAATATATTTGACAATACTTCTGCCACTCTGATTCCGAACGTCCGTTTACTTCGGGCAACATTTACATCCTGCAAAAAACTTCCTAAAACAGATGGTATGGGCAGGATATGATACAGGAACGACCAAGCGTAGGTGCATGTACGCGGCATGGAGGCAGAGAGGCGGCAGTGCAGGGACCAATATATGAATATGCACCCATTTAAGCTTTTAGCGACGTCCCTGAATAACTTGTGTTTTGCGACTTCCTCTCTCCAAAAACTTCCTGACCATGCATTTTAAATTATTTCAAACTCCCATTCAGGGTTTTACAGATTACGGCTTTTCTCATTCCTCGTTTCTATCCTCATTCCTTTCTCTGATTCCTCGTTCCTTGTTTTGTAGGCGAAAGCCTGATATGCATTGTGTGCGAAAAAATACTGTGGGAAAGTAATCTATATTCGTGCTAGCTCACAATATTTGTTTACGCTTTAGTCGATTGTTCCTGGGAACCAAAAAATATAATTATTTAAAATTGCCTACTGTTTTGCCCAGGTTAAACGAGATCTAAAATGACTTTGAGGTATTGAGATGAGTATATTATATATAACATGATTCTGACATTCGTAACACCATCATGTCGTCATCACAACAAAAGCATGTCTCAGGCTCGTACCCAGGCGCTTTAATAGTAAAAAATAATGTTGCATTCAGTTATTGTATAGAGGTGAGCTAAAAAAATGCGAGCGCGCGGGGGTGCCTGGGGTGGTTTTGCCTAAAACAAACCTCCCCAAGCACCCTTGCGCGCTTGCTTTTTCAGCTGAACTCTATACAATACCTGGATGCAACGTTATTGCTGCCGCAGCGAGCGAGCCTGAAGCGAGCGAGCAAGGCAGCAGATCCTAATCTATACATTAGGAGGGAAAATCTCGATTTAACTAAGCGCATTGCATTGTGGTAGCTCTTATGCATTCTTTCACTTGTACCTGCATGCAATGCGGTCGGACGGCATGCTATTTTTGGCTGCTGCCTCAGCATCCTAATTTGACGTTTTGGTTCCTTGGATTGTGCAGTGTGCTCACATGACGCATCACTGTTGTATAAACGGACACAAAGCGACGTGGTGAACAATGCCGTTCCTTTCCTCCCTGGCAATTGGAATCTTGTGCTTTAGTCTTTTACAAATATTTGCGCGTTTGGAATTTGAACTTTAATCTATTGTGATTTTAAGGTGTCGTATAACATTTGGCTGTCACTTGTATAGTAGCTTTGTCATTTTTTAAAGGTTTGAAATATATTTTCTTTTACTTTTATCATTGGGGTAAACCTGTGCCGCCTGTGCGGCGTAACTAAAGCATGTATAAGTATTTAAGTTAGTTCTTTGATTGTTTTATCTAAGGTTTCTAAAGCCTCAGGCCTTTAGTTTCACAAATACCTTGCGCATTTGGAATTTGACCTTTGATCTATTCTAATTTGAAGTGTCGTATAACACTTGATTGTCGTATACATTTGACTGTAATTTTCGTGTAACCAATATGAATTTTTTGCAAGGTCATGCAATTAGTTATGTTCTGTTACGTTTTTCAAAAAAAGCGGTCGCAAAATATCGCCCGCTTGACGTTTTGCCCAGAAATAATCTTAAGAGTAAGACAGTTCACTGTCTTAAGAATACAAATCTGAGTCGTACTATTTTCGCTCAGCCTGCGTGGAGACGTTTTCTTTTTATGTCTACACATAGGCTACTTTCGCTAGAATAAATATAAATGGCAGGTTTGGCAAGGAAGCATTTTGCGCATGCTATTTCTAAACGAGTACAGGCAGCACACTGCCTTTAGGTAACCTAGTATATTTTACCATTAAAGCGCCTGGGTATGAGGCTGAGCATGTCTCGTTTGATTTCATTAGGACGTATTTTGATACCTTAAAGAGGCAAAGTCATCTCTTTAAGCCTGGTTTACATCAACCTCGCAACCAGCAAACCTAAAAACCAAGCTTAAGTGACATATAAAAGTCAGCTTTACATATAAACATCCGTAAATGACACTTCAAACCTCGAATATCCGCTTTGATGTGACAGCGCGAAAAGCCGACTGACGCGTCACTCGGTACCAGTCGTTTTCCGATTGGACAATTTGAATTTGAGGCATAATTATTACATTAAAACACAACGTATTTTGACATCCTCGCGCATTGAAGGAAAGCATTAGAGCAAGGCTACAATAGCAAGTGAATCAAAACGTGAAATTTGAAAATACAACTCTGGTTCCCCATCGTGTGTAAGGTATAGAAACATTAATTTATCCATGCAGTAGAAATTTATCGGACCAAAAGTGTTTTTCATTTCCATAGATATTCTGCCCGGGCTGTGTTTATGACACGTCAGAATTATTTGAAGTCCAGGTTGAAATTTCAGCCCAGGCTGAGGTGAAGGCTTTTAGGGGACCTATTTCGACTCTTTGAGCGCTTTAAAATGTCGAATGCCAGCACTGGACAAAAAAGGAGTATTGTCAACGCGATATTTGCTCCCCGAATAACAACGCTAATCCTCAGCTAAGACGGCTGAAGGCTAAACCGGTATGAGCTACGTTTTATTGGGTTTTATAACAGCACTGGGATGCAACGCCTTTACTGGCTTTGCGCTTGAAGTTCATATCACATTAGCATTAGCATCCTCTCTCCTCCGCAGAGCCGTTTCTAATTTCAGCAGCAGCGGTCATCTTTAAAAATCAAGCGCATTTCTATTCGAAGCCTCTGCGGAGGAGAGAGATCAGCATCTATTACATATATACGACTGGATTGTTAATTGTCGTAAACCAATCCAACGTGTGACCATGCACTATCATTCGCTTTGTATATAGATTTCCGTATGTCGTAATGTGAATTATACGAACAATTATGTTATTTGAAAAGCACCCTCAATACACAAGACGTCAAATTTGTTTGTATATACGCACAAATGCTTTTATTACCAATGCGCTTTTATATTCGCTTTAAGCCCACCGCACACGTGAGTTATTATCTGAGGTAAAGACCACGCGTGCTAGCTAAGGGGCTGTTTACATGAGCCCAATTACCCGAGATTCAACGAAGCGTGAGAGGACTTTGAGGTATTGAAATAAGTCTTCATGACACCAAACAAGCTCATGCTATTGTTGTGGTGATTATACGACTGCCAGGGTCGTGTTATCTGCTCATTTTAATACCTCAAAATCATCTCACGCTTCGATGAATCTCGGGTAACCGGGCTATGTAAACAGCCCGTTACTCTCGTGTGCGGATAGTTTTTCGTGAGAAATTGGCCTCGAAAGCTCTCGTGTGCGGCGGGCCTTACAAATATTGTTTGTGAGAAATTTTCATTTCTCCCGTGAGACTTCTGTTTGTGACGTACGTGTAGGTATAAATATTTAAATTTACAACTTAAGCACCATGACCTTCGACATGTCCTTAATTCTATAGCAAATGTAGGCCTATTTAGCATTTTATAAATTGTGTTAATCCCTAGGAGCAAAAATTCGCGAAGAAGTCATAAGATAATTAGCGAACAGTGATATAGACTTGTATTTTGAAGCACCTAAACCAACAGCATTAATAATTTGTATATCAAAGAGTATTTAGGAAATGACGTCAATCAATACCTTAAAAAAGGCCTTTGTCAATAATATAAGCGTTTTTCATCATAAATTTCACACATAAATGAACAGACTTGTGACTATATGTTGGCAAACTTGTGCGTTTAAACGGGTGTAGGTTGAAAACTTATATTGTTGCTGTGAAATCGTATAACACTTCTGAAAACGAGTGACTACAAATAGCTTACCACTCTGACAGTCGTTATCGGACGATTCATTTTATTCAAGGATACTGTCCGTTCTACTGTGACGATTTCAATAATTTGTTTTGACATAGAATGGAAAAGGCGACGAATAGTTCTCATAGTTATGGTAAGGTATCATCCCCAGCAGACATTGAAGCGAATGGAAACGAAGAAGGTGGGAGTCAAATAGGTGTGGTAGAGATTTTCACACATTGAAAAAAATAATTGGAAACCAGAGCTGCAGCTAGAAGCTTATATATAATTAGGGGGTGTATATTCATATATTCGTTTTACGCACAACTTACGTCTTTCGTACACTATTGTTCCTACGGTTACCATAAACATAAATATGAATAATAACCCACCGCCCCCCCCCCCCGCACACATATAAACGGTCTAGCTCCCTGTTTGAAATTCAGTGAAAACAGATGCAGATGAACTCTAGGTTTTTAACGTTATTAACGTGATCGTATGTTATCACACTCTGTATAGGAATATAGATCAAAGAGAGAGGAACAGTACAGTCAGCCAGACAATTTTGTCCTGCTATGCTAATACTTTGGGATGTTCATTGGCTGCAAAAGCAGTGCATTTCTAAAAAGGAAAAAAAACCTTTAAATTTGCAGAGCGTGACTAAATGTTAGGCTGGCTGCGCTACTGGAGTGGGAAACCGATTTTTTACATTTTTTTAACAAATTTTGCAATTCAATTTCATTCCTGTTTTTCGACGTAGCATCATTCATGGATTTATATTTGATATAGCGTAGCATAGTGTTATTGTAAAAAAGTTAAAAACGCTCAAATAAATAACTATAAGCACGTTGTTTAAATTTATTGATATAGTCCTCACCTTAGAAAACTTGCAAAGCATGGATCTGTGTCCAAATGAAGACACCCCCTTGATTGAAGAAGAAGCGATTAAAGAGGGTGAGAGAAGAAAATCTGACCGATCAATGTGTAGTAGACTTCGGGTTAAATATCTTTGAAGCTTTTGCATGATTAAAATTCACTTCTCCCACTAAAATCACGAATATCTGAAAAGTAACAATAACAGTAACATTTTGACGTACACTACTGTTCAACGATATGATTGCCGTAAACATCAATGCAACATGAAGGTTTATTTAATTGAAGTTTTCTTCGTTAGCGAAATATTTGCGACATTTTCTTTTGAATAGCGAACAGTCAAGTTTACCTAATTAATTTATGCTCTTAGACTTCTAAAGAAAATAGGCAAATATTTCGCTAGCAAACTGTTTCCCTGCAAGTGGAAAGCAGAGCTATGTCATGTTTTTCAACAAGGAGGAATTCCGTTTTCAGCAACCCAATCACAATGCATAAATTTTGACAACTCTCGGTAAACGGTAAAAGGGTAAATTCTTTACCATTTCACATAAAATATTAAAAATTTAGCCATTTTGATTAGCTTTGCCTGCAGAAAGCTAAAAAAAATTCCAGTTAGTTTAGAACGAAATTCTCCTTACTCATGTGAATTGCAACGAATTATGACATAGCTACGAATTACGACGAATTAAATTACACGAAAACCGCCTGCCCTTGCTATTGGGGTATTTATTAGTAAGTATAAGCTTCAGCAAAGTGGAAATGTATGGATGGTCTTTTAGATGTTCCTGCCTCGAGTCAAACGATGAAATATTGCGAATTCTCCGACGAGTCCTCAGATGATTCTGATGATAATGAAGATTCTCAGAGTGACACACATAGAAGACAACAGAGGGAAACTTTATGTAAGCATAAATGAGAGCAAAAATAGGGGCTGTCGTAGTGCGCATTCTGGGGCCAGTTTATGTAGTCTTTGATGCGAAAAGGTAAGTATCTTAAGGCGATTCACCGTTATTTCCGGTTCGTTCGCGCGGGCGAAACCTGGTTGATTCACGCCCGTTGATTTTCAAAGACCGAATGGCTGAGCAGAAGGCCGAATGTAATGAAAAACAGCCTTATGCCTGATTTCCATTAAGTCGTGAGTGTCGAGAACAATGTGTGTGCGGTCAATACTGACCGATATATATATATATATATATATATATATATATATATATATATATATATATAGCTTAAGTTTTGTATCTATTGCTATTTCAGGGAGGGATATTTTTGCAAATTCAACATTCGTCGAGAGTACAAAACCTGATGAAGTTTCAAAAACAAAACTAAGATTGCTTCCTGAGGACCATGTCGATCTCAGAATATTACTAGATGAAGGTATATGTAAATGTATAGTGTGAGGATTCCAACTTAAATTACCCCGAAAAACAGGCAATTTTCGATCGATTGAAAAATCTATCCGGTGAATAGCATTATCCAGCTTTCGATTGTTTACTTCCAATCCAATTATAGAAATAAAAATGAGAGAGATTCTACTTATTCAACTCCTTGAAAAATTCTCAACCAAGTGATATTAGAAATTTGTTCCCATTTCGTTATGAGACATGCGCATCTATATAAATTATAGTATTCACGTCACTTCATGCCTAACAGACCTATATATATATATATATATATATATATATATATATATATATATATATATATATATATATATATATACACCCATTTGCAAAAACGTTGGCCGCAGATAGATAGATAGATAGATACTCGAAGTCTAATTAGAATTGCATATGATTACATTTGCATGGAATTTCTATAATATTACATAACATATGCAATTCTAATTAGATTTCGAGTATCTATCTATATATCTATCTGCGGCCAACGTTTTTGCAAATGGGTGTATATATATATATATATATATAAGTTAATCACAAGAACATATTAACGTTTCGACTTTATTATCTTTCTCAAGTGAACTAAATATTACAGGCTTCTACTTTTATATACCTACCTAGATTAAAATTATATATATATATATATTATATATATATATATATATATATATATATATATATATATAGCTAAAAATCCCGGGCCGTCGTTAAAACCGAGACTATAAAGTTATCATTTAGTGTAGCAAGTTTAAAATCTATTTTGAACTTTGCTAGAAAAATTCTAAACAATTTCTGATTGACTTAAATAACCACATCAATAAATTTCGTCTCATTGCTGCAAGCATGTATATACTCATTTGTCGGTGTGACTCTTCCACTTAATTTATCACTTTTCAACACTTTCGTATCGTCATCTACCAATATTATATAATTCTCTGGAGAGATCACTGTAAATGTAATGTCGAAAATACCCTCTTGAAATAACTTTTTTATTATTGATCGCTCAATATTTTCCCCTCATTCCATGCACTATTTTAGAGTCCACTAGTTCAAAGAATGAAAATACTGAAATCCCGTACGAAAGACGCCGGGAGATTGCAGAGGCAATTTATCTCGATGATGCTGAGAGCCTAAAGATCTTATTAACACAAGGTAGGTCATATAAACATAATTTTTGGTTGGGAGTTTTTGGAAATTTTTTATCGTTATACTATACTACTATATATAAACAAACCGCGCAAACTAGCGACAGAAGCAAGGTTAGCGCGATATAACCGTGGGTTAAATTTGAATCCATTGTTTTAGTTTATGTACTTCTGAACCATTGTTCCTTTTATAACTTTAGAAAATATAATTTCTATTGCTTGAGAAAAAAATATTGAAGATATTCGTCTTTGCAAACAAGCGACAAAAAATTAAGCCCGAACCGGTTTTTGAACAACCGGCTCCTGATGTTCGTAATTTTCTCTTTATAGTTTAAATTCAACATGTTTTTAAACCCTTCTACAACACTTTCTCACACGTTTTCTTATACGTGAATGTCACCGAGAAATTGTATGTTTAAGTTATCGGGCAATAGTATGTCTGTATGTCTATATAAGTTATCGCGGGCTTTAATGCCTTGGAGATGTGTCATTATTATATGCGATCGACCTATAAATATATATATATATACAGTATATATGTAGAGAGGGAGAGAGCCTCTTTATATTATATAGGAAATTATATAGGTAATAGCATAGTTTCAAGTCCAATTTGGAAAAAACATGCACCAGTAAGTTTTTCAAAGACCTCAAAATAGCACGAGTCTTCGAAAAAATCACTGGTGCATACTTTGACAATTCTGTCTCACTGGAGTAACGCTGGTTAATTGTTGATGGATTTCGTGTGATTGGCAAATCTGGCTTTGAATGGGCCGGCAGTCATGCCAATGTGATCTTTCAATTCTTTTTCTTCGTCTGTTGTGTTGTAGCTTGGTAAATAACGAGACTTTTCGTCAAATGTTTCCCATTAAGAGGACATTTGCCCGGTTTTCACTCTACGGTTGCAAAAGTCGGTAGCAGCATAATTTTTTTCTCATTTTAAGGATTCTGCGGTTTTTTCTCATTTACGGATTCGATATCGTGTTTTTGATGTTGTTCATGCAAGAATAACGCACTTTGATGGAATATTTTATGTAGGTTTGAGGATTTTGGTAAATGCTTATCAAAGTATGAAATTGCGAGACACGTTGGTCGGCACATTTTTACTGTATATAAGGAGGGTTGTAATTGGAACTGTGCAAAGATTTGAGATTAGGCTTTTCTAGCCTTATCAAAAGATAGCAGCAGAGTTTTAAATTTTACACGGCCTTATGAAAAACAACCACTTCTCCTACCGTGTATAAAGATTTTTAAATGAATAATTATAAATAAATACAGTATATGGAATAATATGTCGGGTAAACGGTACTTGAATAAACAATATGAGATACCTTCATACTTAAATATTAGTTGCTATAATTTGATGGTTAAAATTACATTTCGCATGCACATTTTAATTCTGTATAAAAACTGTGTTTTAACTGGATTTTCCAAGGTACACCGTTGTCAACCCAAGAAATTCAGCGTCGCATATTTCAAGCCGTCGAGCTGAATAGATTAAAATACTTGGACTTCATTAGTGAAGAATACGAAAAATTCTATCGTGAGCCAAACATGTCAAAGCTTTTTTATCGACGAGCGCACCTCTCTTATGGTTCCTTTTCGCTGAACGACCATCCCAAAGAGACCGCTCTGCACGTCCTTGCTAGCAAACCGAACTCAACTGAGGCGGTTAGGATTTTCGAGAATCGACCGTTATTCCTAAGAGATTTTTCAGACATTCCTGACAGTCATGGATCAACACCACTTCTTGTGGCAGTAAAAAGCAACAACATAGAAGTAGTAAGACTATTATTGCTTAGAACGAGACCCGATGTGAACAGCCGAAATAAACATGGTGAATCGCCCATTCTTGTCGCAGCCGTGAACAACGACGCTGATCTCATAAGAACGATGCTGGAAACATGTGAGTGTTCTGTTCTTTATACTTGTTTGGCAGAGAAAAACGAGGAAATACTTATGAATGCAAGCTCTTTGTAGTAGCACTTACTTTAACATCCGCAACCATCAACCCGGTTGCGTCTATAAAGAGGAAAATATCGAATCTGGATGACCATTCAAATCTCATCTTCTACCAAAATCACATTCATGTTTGTAACAACAACAGCGTTCTAAGCTGTTTTACTATGTGATATGCTGCCATCAAAGCTTTGCAAAACCCGTTAAAAAATAGCACATGTATAATTATAACGCTTGTCCTGATTGGTCGAAGCCCGGATCAGACCATCCAAGCACTGAAATATCAATAACTGAATAGTTTTCCGTGTTTGGATGGCCTTGGCTAAACACTAGGAAATATTGCCTGAATTAGTAAGTAAACCTCGCCAAAAATCAAACGCCCGCTTTTCTTATCTATCGCAACGTGCAACGTGTTCGGATCAGGCCATCCAAACACGGAAACCATTAAGCAATTGTTTATTCGATTCCATGACGGCAATACTGAATTGCCTGAAACCATAATTAATTGAAGTATAATTTTGGTTATCAACTTATCATGTATGCATGATTCCAATCCAAGAATCAAAATGTTGCATGTATATAAATATACTATAGCTAGAAAGTTTAATACTAAAAAAAGCAGGTTGGAAAAAAATATATGTATATATTTTTTTATGTATGAAGATGACGAACCTAGAGAAAGGCGTGATCTTCTGGACAAAATGTCGAAACTTGTTATCGATGGTAATAGTCATACAATCCTTTACCCAGCCTCTCAAAGTGGAAAGCCTGAAGTACTGAACCTTATTATGGAACTGGATTGCTTGTCAGAATTTCTAGAGGCAGAGAAAGAAATAAAGGGGGATTGGGAAAAGTTTGTGGGAAACGTTTGTGCAATTGGATGCAAGAAACTAGCAAAGGCCTGTTTCAAACTTGATCCCAGTCTTCTTGATGAAGGAAAGGGAGAATTTGTTACACCTCTTATGAGGTAAGAATTCTGATTTCTGAACGCTGGCACGCTTAATTTTCAGTAAGTATATGCATTTAAAGGGATATTCAAAACTGGCAAATAATAAAGAAATTGGCAATTTAGTCTAAAGTTATCAGACTGAAACGACAAATTTCATTGATAAGACCAATCAGAGAGGGCATATACAAGAAACAGGGAAGAGGGAACATGTGCACGTTGACGAGAGGTGAATCAGATCGTAAACATAAACCCATACTCTACTGCACGTGTACATCAATACTGGGTGTTATACTTGCATTCTTTCACCGCTGGAAATTGAATAGACAATCTTAATAGCGCGCTTGCACGCATTATAAAGTTCATAATAAATTCAAATTTGCTTATTCTGGCCTTCAATAAAAAAAGTTTGATTTCAATCGCTATAAGTAACTCCTCTTTCATAAGGATTAGATCGTCAAATTCAGTATGTCTTTATAGGCCGTCTATTTATTTCGTTTTTTTGTATCAGACGAGACTGATATTAGAATCGTTAACTTTTATACATCAATAAACTCTGTGTTTTACGTATTGATTTTACCAGGGCAGCCGAAGCATATGAAATAAAAATTGTACGACTCATCTTCAAAATTAAACCAGATCATAAACTTCTTGACATTTGTGATAAAACTGGCAAAAATGTTTTTCATTATGCTGTAAAGAATCCGGGTGTTCTCTTTGAACTTGTCTATCAAGTTTTTAAGGTAAGAACAAAAGTATATTCGTGAATCAGGGTGTCATTCCAAAGAGTCTGAACTTTTTTTCTTCAGTTCGGATAACATTAAACAATATTCTTCCTATTTTACTAACCAGGTTTTTCTAAGTCAAAAAAGAGTTGTAAAAAAGAGTTCTTTTGGAGAAAAATATTCAGAATCGACTAGGAGACATATTGAAGTTGGCATCCCTTGAAATTTTTAAAATAGGATAACTCGTGATTTTTAGTGTGCTAGACCACCTTAACTCCCATTTTACAAGAAAAGAATTGAAAACACCTACAGTACCTATTATAACTATAAAATAAAATGTTACAATAAATAAATATTATAAATATTTTAATGTCAATAACAGTGGCGTAGCCAGGGCTGGACCAGGCTGGAGGGCCCCCGCCCCTAAGAAAACGAAGTGAATTTTTTTTTCCGTGAATAATGCAAAAAAAATGCAGTGTCTTATTCTGCCTATCACAAGTGTTTATTATTAAAGCCACAGAATCTTTACCGTATGTTTCACAGAATGCTTTATCTCGAGTGATACTAGCAGACGACTGGCCCCATTTGGGTTTTTTCCTCCCCCCTAAGGGATATAGTCCGCAGTTCAATTCATATAATAGTAACACAATATAATCGGCAAGCAACAAAATGGCATTTATCGTAGTGTATAGAAAGGTATACAGTTAATGGAATGTACATATGGTCATATTTAATGTTCAACTTTTTTACAATAATATAGATCGGCGGCAAATATGATGCTATTAATAAAATGGACGGGCGCGGAAATACACCACTAAAAATCGCGGTTGATGGAAAACACACAGAGGTATAGCGTTTTCATATACAAGATTCAAACTATGTAAACCAAAACGTGTCAACTATAGGAAGGGGCAAACTTTCTTGAAGGGCACTTCAGTAGCGGCGCATACAAGAGAACATTTGTCAACCATAGTCTGTTGAACTTCGTTTCATCATGTTCCTTAAGTTTCTTCTTTCCAAGATAATTTCGGTGTCTAGTAGTTTTTCCCTGGCGTTTGTTGTTTATGAAGCTTGTTGGTTGGGGGGGTAGATTAAACTGCTCCATATCGCCATATCGCATCGGGATTAAACAGAATTTATATCAAACTGATTTTAAAATCCAAATTTCATCAATATTATAGTGATAGGCTAAATAGTCGCAATATAATCTTAAAAGATAAGAAGAATAAAGGTCGGTACAGATCGGACGTGATGCAGCAACGTGACGCGAATTTTCAGTTTTCAGAAGGACATAAATTAATTTCTGGAAGCAAGATTTGGAATCTATAGACGCCAGAGCAGTCAAAATGTATTATCGTTAAGTAATCTACAAGCATATTATGATAATTTAAAATTTGTTTGCTTTTGGAAAATCAAAAACTTTGCCAAATCGCGTCCGGTCTGCGTGGGCCTTAAGCCGTAAGCTATGTAATAATGATTAGTTGTTGATCACAGCTGAAATTCTTTCCATTTTGCTCATGGCGTTTTGAATTTTAAACCCTCCACCTAGGTGTAGGAATTTAAAATCCCATACAATGCTTTAAAATGTTTACAAAATCCACAATTTGAAAATTAATATCCATGTGGAATCTAGAACCTTTTTAATAAATTGTTTAAACCAGATACAACCAGTGAACTCTATATATATGGAAGGCTCGCTCCAGTTCAAGGTGTGAAGCCAAACATGGCGGATCATGAAGGCTGCTTGGGTACCGAACCAGACCTCCGCGCAAAATTCGTGAAGCGCGCGTGGAAATTAAAGGCGCGAATTATAAAACTATGATGAAAAATAAAAAATCTATCATTTCGGACGTTACAAAGTTTTTAAAATACAAAGTTTTTAAAAATGAATACATTCAATTTGTTACAACCTTACCTGGCAATGTTATTCTTTCCAAAGGTAACTTATGGCGTATATTTGTGTTGTGTTTACAAAAACTGACCAAGTTCCACTCCAACACGTTGCCGCCATATTAAATTTTAATCGCTGGTGCGTGGAGGTCTGGTTCGGTACCCAAGCAGCCTTCATGATCCGCCATGTTTGGCTTTTAGATTACGCAATGTACTAGAGCGAGCCTTCCATATAGCTCACTGCATGCAGTCACATTGCTTCTGCTGTTTGATTTTTTGACAAAAATATTTCCAGGAAATAAAGAATTATGATTGTTAGTTTTTTACTTATAAGCTAAGATATTCGTATTGCCTGAGTTGTAAATCTTTTTTTACAGAGTCTTATGTTTCTTGTGAATTTCGCAATGTTTGAGGTTTTTTCAGCTGACTGCATCAACAACGTGGATATCGAGGTAATTGAATTCGCCTTTAGATTCTCCAAAAGACACCAAGAAAATTGGTTGGACATAAGAAACTCTCAATATTAAATAGGCTTTAAACTTGGTGAGAAAAGAGATTTATTCAACAAAATATGTCTTGCACAAAAGATTTGAAGCTTGCACACGGCAGAAACGAACCTCGTGTATACTTAAAAACTGCCATTTAGACATTAGTTTCACAGCTGTCAAGTCAAAAGATTGCAGAATGCAGATGCTTATTCAGAAGAAAAATTGAACTTTTTAAAGTTATTCAATAATTTTCTGTATGTTAGCGATACAAAAATGCAAAATTGTGAACCAGTGATTAGATTTTCGGTTTGAAACTTCCTAAATGCACAAATTGCTGCAGTGTTTCTCCAAAATAATAGTTGATGTAGTTTACCAAATTAATGAAAAACATGGACATCCATCTAAAACCCACGTGTTAAAGCTTATTTTTAATCTGTATTAAAGATACGAAAATTGTATACTTAATCAGGTTTTAAAGAAAAGTCTAGATATTTGCAAGCAAAAAGCTCCCGAAGAGGCAGCTGATCTGTTACGTGGAGATCATGAAAAATATCGACCGTTCTTGGAGGCAGCCTTTCATGGAAACATTGAATTAATGGAATATTTAATTCAAGAAGGAGCAAATCGTTTGCAAAGAACGTAAGAGAACATCTACATTCGATAGTCAGATTTGTTACCAATATTCGATTTTATTCACATAAGAGCAACTGAGCAACAAACCAGTATTTCCTAGCTAAATAGATACAACCAAACGTCATTCTAATTTCGCATTTTTTCCAGAAAAACTTTCTTTATCTAATTTTTTTATCCAGTCCAGCTAATAGTACTGCAATTCACAATGCTGTACTCGGTGGAAACATTGATGCTGTGGAGTACTTGCTCGAGAGTTATGGATTCCTGGAAATGATTGACTTTACAGACGAAAAAGGGATTACTGCAGCTGGTTATGCGACGCAGGCAGGTCATGCAGAAATTCTGAGGTATCTGTTAAAGAAGGGCGCAAAATTGGAAAGTGACGAGAGAGAAGGCAGGGTGAATGTACTCGATGCTGCATATGATTTCTATGAAGTTGGGGAGGCCTCTATCAAAGAAATCGTTATGTTTTGTACAAGAAATGGCGAACTTGAGCCCCTTCGCAAGGTAATAGAATGGAAACACGCACATTTTCTTGCTCCCCAGAGAAAGCTGCTTTGTGCTAAAGTAAAAAAAGAAATAATAAACTACACACGTGGACTTTTTACGGGTTCGTTTGCCGTTTTAAGTGTAATGTGTCGTGATTGAATTGTTTTCCTTTAAACGGAAGGTTCGCAGATTACAACTATGCGAAAAAAGCATGCTAAACCAAATGTTTCTGGCGTAAAACATGCATATTTCATATTTCTTATCGATCGGTATGGCACTTATCATTTGGGTATAGGGTATCCCTTTGTTTCAAAGTCATTATATAGTTCTATCCGTTCTAAAAAACAAAAAACGACAGGTTCGTTTCGACATGGCGTTCGTTTTACCGTTTATTTTGGCCTATAGGTAAAACATCGCATTTTCGCCACGTCGAATGTAATTCAAACAACGGATAATAAAATGATAAACCTGATTAAGCTTCATTACCATCTCGTTATCTATTGTTCGACACGATTCAAGTAATCAAGTGATTGAACAAGTAATCCGATATTCCTAATGTTTAAAACCTAAAAAACCCAGAAATCGTCCGCGCTTCATACTTGAACGCAAATCGTGGTAATTATCCAAACTTACCTTTGTCACTGGGTGCATATTCCGGTATTTACATTGTCAATTCAGTTAATTGAAATATATTTATATATGTTTTCGAAAAATCGAAGCTCGCATAAATCAAAACTATATACCTCCAACAATTTCGGTAATACACCTGAGGTACCTGAGGTAATTGGCAAATAGGACTCTAATTCAATTTGCAAGAGGCAATTTGCTTTCTTTAATTTTTTTCAGTTGTTCGAAGATACTCGTCATGGTCCTGATATGATTATGGCAAAGTTGGTTCAGGAAATACCAGATACAGCGATCATGGTTCTTAACTACTGTGTTAGAAACGAAGAACGTTTTGATCCATTATTTGCACATTTAGAAAGGATCATGCACTTCTCGACGTTTATTTTCCATCCAGGTAATAGTATTAAGCTTCCACCATCGTATATGTATGCATATAGGCAGCCTAATGGCGAATAGTTTTCTTTGAAGTAAAAATCCCCACACTGATGAAATTGACGCTGTCATTTATTTACATGCTGATTTAGCGCGAGTATTTAGTATAGTTTTGGAGTTGAGTTGAGCGGTTGCTGTGAAATGCTCAGGACTTTTGATATTATTTTATTATTACATAGAAATTCGTCGATACCGTTCTACAGAGATGTGCTCTTGAGCGTGTTTAGCGAGACTGTTTTATAACATTTGTTACAGAAATTTATAAGCCATTTTATACTCTAACTATACAGCAAAAAATCATTTTCTTATTTCAAGAAAAAAAAACTCATTTTAAGAAAATTTTCTTAAAATGAGTTCAAATTTTCTTGGGAGAATAATAAGAAAATTTTCTTACTTTTTTTCTTAAGAAATTTTTTCTTACGAAAATTTTCTCAAAATAAGAAAAGTTGCACACAAATAATTTCTCAGTTTAAGAAAATTTTCTTGAAATTAGGCCAAAATTTCTTATAGAATGTTCATAATGAGAAAAATTTTCTTAAGAAATTTTCTTAAGAAATTTTTCTTAATATAAGAAATATTTCCAAGAAAATATTTTCTTATAATAAGAAAAGTTAATTCTCAAGAAACCCTAGAAAACTCTGACATGATATTTTGTTATAAGTAAGAATGTAATGTAAATTTACTAAAATATTCATGAGTCATAATATAGAATACACAGCAGACATTAATACATGAGAATTATAGGTCCTACATGATTATTTAGAAATACAGAGAAATGATTATATATAATATTGCACCACGGCTTTGAAGGTTTTCTATTTGTCCAGTGTTTATTTGACATGTTTTTAAATATCAATTATTGCAGTGCAGATCAATTATTGTAAAAGGATTTTTGTGGTGCTTAAAATCAGATGAGACATCATCAGATAAATTTGAGAGTAAATAATTTAAAAATTGGTGTGAAGTAAATCCTAAGTTCACACTTAACTTAAAATAAAACTTTGTAATCATGTTAGGAATTGAGTACATCAAACAAAAAATACTGGTAAATGATAATTTAGCTACTCTGGGGAATTTTAAGCTATTCTTTAGCTATCGCTTGCAATACCGGCATCTTTAAGAAAACTACTTTAAGACCATTATCAAATACACCCATCCTTCAACCCATTTTACACTGCTTTTCTACCTCCCTATGATAGTTTAAATTCCAATCAATTCACCATGAAAATGCATGTAATTAAAACAATATATAGATAGAGGCCTTATCCAATGAAATCAAATGGTGTTAAATCCAAAAATTGTCCCTAACAAAATATGTATGGGTAAATGTATCTGAAGGCAAAATAGAGAGCTTTGTGATAATTTTAATGATATAGGCAGACTCTGATGCACAATTTATACCCTTTGAAACAGTCGCAACCCTACTGTGGAGAAGCACTGTTACATTTAATAACCCCTCTGGATTTAGTATCAATCTAAAAATACAACTCAACTCTAATCCTACATTTCAAACAAAGACATTAGAAAGACTGCCATAGGCTGCTCTAGGCCATAATTGCTGAGGAATTCTAAGGTATTGTTTAGCTAGCCAACTATTTGACTATATAAACAGATAATAACATGGAAAATCATAGCGCAAATCATTAAACGATGAAGAAAGACCTAAATACAATTCTTGATCTATAATAGGGTGGACTAAGGCTAACAAAGGCTGACAAATAAAGGTTTATACGTTGTATATAATAACAGCATGTTGGCATATGACATCATGAAACATCAACTCACCTTATGAAATACCACAAATTTGCGCCGATATAGTGTATATTTTCTCACATCCTAAACGTCCATATCTTTATCGGTAATATATAAAGTTAATAACAAGATACAAATGCCATATCCGCCATAAAGAACCATATTTCTTTAATATGCGTTAATAGCGTTATACTGTTATAGGTTGTTTCGTTAAGTATTCAAATTTCCCTCGTGGTCTACGCTCGAAAGGCATAATGGGATAAATGGAATAATCATGCTCTGCGTCAGGCTGGACCATACAATTATCAGTATTAAACCTTTGAATGCTTTGAATTATCTCACGCTTCTGTAAATGAAAACAGCATTTTGCAAACATTATATTATGACTTTGTTCTATTTTAACAGTTCTTGACCGATAATGTCACGCCATGCTTGTAAAGTGCAAGTACGAAAAGCTTCATTGTTGACTAGGGCACTTTACTCATACTGATAATTAGCTAAATTGATAAAATTATCCAATGATCAGAACGAAAAACAATAAAATATGAACCATATAACTCTCTGAAATCAACAAACTTCAACAATGAGGAAAATTTGAAACAAAAGTAATTTTGAAGTTTACTCTGAGCTGAAATTCTTCAAATTTAATGCGAAGAGCATTTTCTTAGTTTAAGAATATATATTTCTTATAACAAGAAATTGAAATCTCAATATTTTCTTAAGAAAACAATTTCTTATTTTAAGAAAAACATTTTCTTATGATAAGAAAGTGATATCTCTGATATTTTCTCGAGAAATAATTTTCTTATTTCAAGAAAATGTTTTCTCAAATTAAGAAGAAAAATATCTTAAGAAAATATTTTCTCAAAATAAGAAAATTATTTCTTGAAACAAGTAAATATTTTCTTAAAACAAGAAAATTCAATTTCTTAAGAAATTCATTTTTTGCTATAGTAAAGGCCAGGCGAAGAATTAGTACCCTCGCACGGCGCGGCGCTCCGCGCCGGCTCAGGGATAATAATATACGTAAACGGGAGACTTGCGTGTCTGACATATCGAGCTAGTGATCCAAAATTACCTCGCGGGGTGCCTGATCATTTCCATTTTGTAAGGCATATAAATGAATTCTACATAGTTGTTAAATGGTGCTCAATTCAGTTAGTTGATGTGTATTTTATTGTATATGTTTCCTAAAAATCTAAACTCGCATAATTTTAAACTACCTCCAACAATTAGCGCATTTTGGGGTCTTTAAAAAACTCACTCGTGCATTTTTTTTTCCAAATTGCACTCGAACTGCATGCTAATACCTATACTAGTTAAATGTGTATAGAGATAAATTTGAAAACGACACGCTTTCAATATACAAGAACACAGCTAAAACTAAAATAAATATTTTATGCAACAAAGCATGCTTTATTACCGTTCAGTTGCTTGTAATTTGTTCAATAGAAGTTAGATGTTCTTTCCGAAAGATTTTATAATGTGCTGAATGTGAAAATGTTTTGAATTTGTGAATTACGTTTTGAATCTCATTTGACGCCATCTTGAAAGAAGTATAAACAAATTGCCGTCAAAATGACATACGACAATTTTTCACGTGTGAAGAATATCGTTCGTCCAATCAAAAGCCGTGTATGGCATTTTTTCACACGTGAAAAGCATGGTAGGTCCAATCAAATTGCATGAAGTTATTTACTCAGTCAAGTACGATTTTTATTTCATCTTCTAGTGTGCATAAATCTCTATACATATATAATAACTTAATTAGGTTAGGATATACTAAATTATAAAACACCTTATTCATATAATGTCTTTCAATTGGTTGTTTTTGATCACATGGAATTAAATAAAAATTTCAATTTTACTGACTGTGCAATGGAAGAAAACTATATTTGCACCGTCTAGCTGTGCAAATAGATTTTTCCGTTGCACGGTTGCTTTGAATAAACTATTAATTAATTGTTATTATTATTTCACTTTTATTACAAACTTGACTTTTTTTTAGTCTCCCGTTAATTGTAAGTTATAGGATTTTGGGTAGAAGGAAATTAGCATGTAAATAAATGACAAGTAAAACCATTCGCTATTAGGTTGCCTATGAGTTATTGCGTAAAAATCACGTTAATATTTGTTTATTCTTTCAAAGCGTGCATGCATGCCAGACAGTCGCGGATTTCGTTTAGTGTTTTTTTCTCTTTTCGTGGTAGCTAGCAAAACATTTTTGTCTTTTGAACTTGAAAGCTTGCCTATAAGACCATTAAAAGGGTCTTGCCTCTATAAGACCATTGGCTATAAGACCATTGAAACTTCTTAATAGATTTCTCACTTGGTTTTTAAGTGACACTGGTTTAACATCCATTATTTTACTGAAAAAACCAACCAAAGAAATAACATCTCCAATAATATGGTGGCCACTAGTGTAAAATGCAAAAAGGCCATCAATTTTCATTGGCCTGGGATATATGACCACAACTTGCCAAGTATTCTCCATTAAATACCTTTTCAGGTAAAGGAAAAGGAAAGCTGGAAGCTATAAAAAGCATGGTGGAAAGCCAAAAGGCGGACATATTCTTGCGCCATCCTTTGGTAACACAGTTCTTAAGAGCAAAATCTTTATCTGGCATGTTTTTTCTGAATTTCCTTCTGTACACGACGTTTGTTCTCCCTTTAACAATTTATTGCGCAATCCAAAGTGGAGGTAAGTACGTTCACTTCACTGCTTTGTGGGTTTTTATACACGCGTCTTAAAATTCAAAAATTAGCCAACAAATTGGACAAGTGATAGGGCATACCAACCTTGCTTCATGGTTCGAAAATGGACGACTCAAAACTCAATCCAGTCCCTCCCAAATCTTAAAGGGATAGTGCATATAACTAAGCTGTATGAATTTATGCTGTAATGTTGCTACTCTGATAGACCTGGCAACTTGAAAAATCAGCTTTGTTACTAAAATTATATTACAATTACTGGATGCTAATAACTGATTAGTCCAGTACTGGCAGTGCAGTTATTTCATTAATGGACGACTTGCGCTTTAGACTAATTTTTAATCGAAGTAATAAGAAGCAACACAGCTACAAAAAGCATTCTAAAATTGGTACACATGCAAAGTTTAGTTGTAAGTATTTGTAATATGCAGAAAATATAATTAAAATATAACATTTATAGTGCACGCGTGCTGATTGGTCGAGAAGCGTGTTTCTATTAATTAGACAACGAGTTCGAGTTTTTTATGAGCGAATAGTCGACGAAGGCGAAGCCTGAGTTGACTATTCGCTCATTTACAACGAAAGCGAGTTGTCTAATTGTTTTCGTATACACCCTGTACCTAGATATATTAATTTCGAGAAAATAATCGATACACCGCAATTACACCGAAAAATAATTTAATTAATTCAATTTTATACGGTTGCGCGAGCGAATTTTCCCAAACGTTCACCATCACGAATAGACAATGGTTGAGTAGCCAATCAGAATGCAGGATTTGCATTTTTATTGAGTTATATTATAAAAGAAATAGAAAACATTTTTCCTGTGTTTCTATACAGTTTTAGTATACACCCGATTATTGTCTATTACAAATCCTACATTCTGATTGGCTACTCAACCATTGCCTATTCGTGATGGTGAACGCTTGGGAAAAATTCGCTCGCGCGACCGTATTATATTATTTTTCGGTGTAGTTGCTGTGTATCGATTATTTTCTGGAAATTAATATATCTAGGTACACGGTGTATACTAAAACAGTTAGAAAGAATTTTATTAATTTTAGTATGATATAATATTATTATTTTTATTGATAAACGTGTTAAAGCGAAACAAGCTTACACTTAAAAAGATTTTTGTCGACATTTTTTTCAGTTTCGCACAAACGTTTTAAAATCCATTTTCCGCGAAATCATGTAATAATCTCCATGCAGTAATTAACAATTATTGAATGAGGTTAAACATGATATAAAGAATTATCAAGCCGAAGTTCGTGGTTATCTTAATCTCATGGGAAAACCTAATTCAATAATTGTTTTAAAAGAATGAACATTACAACTTTGAATTGTTCGCTTGAATTTGTGTTGATTTATTCCTTTGGGACGTTGATGGCTTCGCCATTGGCGTGACGTCATAACGTGGGATACGACTTTTTATTACACGTTATGACGTAGTAACGTGCAAAAAAAAGTCGTATCACACGCTTTGACGTCACACGTTGGACATGACTATTTCACACACAGCTATCAGCCAATCGGAGGCTGTGAATTCAGTTTTAAATAAATAATAATTGCATTTATTAAATAATATGCAGTGTTTTACTAACGATGCCGCCATTGTGAAAATCGATCGTAGCATGTGAAAAAATTCCTTATTTCTGCCCATCCAAGTATTACTCTCTATTGTTTTTCCAGGTGTACAAAGTTTGGAATCATCTGGAATGATAGCATTATCTGTGATAATTTTTATTGCCTGTGGATTTCATTTCATAAAAGAAATATTTCAGGTTTGCTGTCAATTATTCCACCATAATGTTTGCTACAATTGCAGTATCACATATTATGCCAATACACTCGACTGTGCAACTTTTGTAGATGGTTTTCAATGTAAAGGATTACTTACTCGATGCCGGAAACCTGATTGAACTGGTAATGTATATTTGTGCTGTAATTTACGTTGCTCCTGGAGAAAGCACAAAAACAAGTGGACAGATTGCAGCTGGAGCTATCTCCATATTTCTGGCTTGGATCAACTTCTCCTTGTTTCTGAAGACAATTTCCTCGTACGGAATCTACATCGTCATGGCAATCAAAGTCTTTGAGACCGTTTGCTTGGTATGTTACAGTAGTAAATCATTCAGTACTTTTTTAATTAGTATTTATTTTAAAGAGAGGTTTACAGTGTCTTCTGTGCCAAGGTTTTGCTTTCAAATATTGATATCATGATAGACTGCTGGTACATTGCTGAAATTTATCATGTTTTTTTTTCTGGACATAAACTCCAGCTCATGTTCATTTAGAGCTATTTATCGAACCAAAATAATGTTAAATATTCTGACCATTGTTGATTGTTTGAGAAATATTCTATACCTTGTGTGGAGTTATGGCTGAAAAGGGCTGATCTATTTTTGGCTTTTACTGATTAATTGGGTGAATTAAAATGTCGAGATTAAGCTTATAGTTCAATACAGTTCGTTTTCCTGAACAGGTGCTGCCATTGGTGGTATTGTTCACCATCGCATTTTCATTATCGTTTATGTTGCTGATGCCTCAAGATCCAGGTTTTGATAATCTTCCCATTTCCTTTTTGACAACATTCGTCATGATGACGGGAGAGTTAGATTATCGAGACACATTCCTTGCCAGTGGACCACTTCATGTTATGCAAAAGATATTTCTTTTACTGTTCATTCTCATGATCTCCATCGCCATCATGAATATATTCACCGGTCTTGCAGTTAGCGACGCGAACGAGATTTTGAGCCAGTCAAAAGAAAAGAGAAGAATCGATAGGGTAAGTTTTTATGGATGTACAGTTGAAGGCTTGAAGCAAAGATTACGTGTGTTGTGCAAACTCGAGTAAAAAACAAATTCCGAAAAAACAGGACATCTTGAGAGTCAAAATATGAATCAGACAAGACACCTTGATTCATATTTTGACTCTCAAGATTTCCTTATTCGGAATTTGTTTTTCACTTTACCTTTTTTGTCGGCTGGTCATGGTTTTTGTTCGAATTTATGCATGACACACGAGGAATTCTTCTTACAATGAGGAAACGTAATATGGTGTTCGTACATGATGTCACAGTTTATTAGAAAATTTAGTTCGTTTTCATTGCCGCAGCTTTTTTATTCTACGACGTTATAGACTTTTATAGCAACAATACATATACAGCGCTTTGTACATACCCTTTCTCAGCTCCTTTTTCATATTTCGTTCTTCATTTCCCAAATTTAGATTTCTCTCTTCTAATAGAATATTTCTTTTGGATCTTCTTCAATTTAGGCAAATTTGGGGTTTAAAATGGTGAGAGGCGTTGTATTATCACATCATTGGTATCCAGACGAAATTGTAGTACATCTGGACAACAAAAGGAATTTGTCGTGGTTATCTCGACTGCGGCAAAAGGTATGGATGCGTGTATAAAAAGGCCTTGTCACATTAACCTTCTCCCAATCGAACAGGGTACTGGGTCTATAGACGCGAACCGCAACAGAAATATAAGTCTGAAATCATTTGTCCCTCTAAACAGTCCATAGATGCTTTGCAGTTCGCGTCTAGACCCAGTACCCTGCTCGATTGGGAAATGGCTAATTGTCCTTGCTTGCGCGTAAACCTATTCTAGCTTCAGTGGCGTAACTAGAACGGTTATTCCAGGGGTGAATATTTATATATTCAGTTCTGCCCAGCGGATTTCTTTTGTAAGTGCAATAGCTTACAATACCCCCCCCCCCGATTATCGCTCTAGTTACGGCCCTGTCTAGCTTATATTACTGGCTGCACCAAGAGAAGATGAGAAAAGTGGCCTCCAAATACTCATATAACCCTCTTTGAAAAAACATCATTGATTCAATCATTCTTGTTCCATGATTTAATAACTGCACCACGCAGGACTCTCCTATTTCCGCCAGGCCTGGAAATCATAAAACTAGTAAGCTTTGCGAGTAACCGACTTTTATTATGAACGTTGATTCGAAAACCTTTACTTTCAAATGCTGAGAACTTGTTATATTTCATTAGTACAAACAACCTATTCGTGAAAAACGGCAACTGATTTCTCATACAATGCCGTTTTTAGATTTTTAACATTGACGATGATGAAGACGAATTACCAAAGGAAAAACTGATGGATGACAAGGAGGAAAAATACGCCGATGAATTGTGGCTGTTGAAGGGAGAAGTGAGCGAAACAAATGCATTGGTGAGTTCTGTAAAACAAGAAAATGAAATAGCGAATGAAAGATTAAAGAAAATTGAAGGCATATTAGAGAAAATGCAAGTTAGGAACACTTTCAGAGATGGAAACGATGAGGCATGATTACGTATTCTAATCTGTCGCAATTGCCGTTTTGGTGAAAACTGATTAGGACCTGTTTTAACTATAATTATTCCTCAATTGGGGAATATTGATAACCTGATATGCTTTTCTTATTTCTTCATGGATGACTAGTGAGTGCATGCAAGTAATTTACAGGATTCAAGTCTTAAAAATTGAATACAAAAATCGTGTGAACGAGCCAACAACGAGGTAATGGTGGACCATATCACCATGGAATCATACAAAAGCTCTGAACAACAAACACTAGTCACACTCGCCATTCCAATCAAATTTCATAAAGTACTTTCCTTAGTGAAGGAAGTTTTTTTCATTTATTTTTTCCTTTAATTAATTTTGACTTTGATTACATTTCTCTAATTCCAATTGTTGGACCGCTGAGACAGGGAGACTGCGAGGACTTTAGCCCCCCTCCCCTCCCCTCATAAAATCTCCTTGGAGTTGTATCTGGTTTAAACAATTTATTAAAAAGGTTCTAGATTAAAACGTACTGGATTTTCGGCTAATTTGCTAACTGCTACCTTCATCACAGTTCTAATGCTCAAGCAGTACAGACAGACTATTATAAATTATAGTGTCATGATCCTTGCATGACTGCATGATTGGTATGTAAATTTGAGGAAGTGTCTATGCTCATTCTATGCTCATTCTTTTGTTTGTATTATGCACTTTCTTTTCCAATATCCTAGCATACTCCATTGACACTTCGTGACCCGTATTTTCTGCATGATCTTTAATGACTTATCTAGACCCTTTTTAATAAATTGTTTAAACAATTATATATATATATATATATATATATATAAATATATATATATTATATATATAAACACATATATATATATATATATATATATATATATATATATATATATATATGTATATATATATATATATATATATATATATATATATATATATATATTATATATATATATATATATATATATATATTAATATATATATATAATATATATATATATGTATATATATACACCCGTTTGCAAAAACGTTGGCCGCAGATAGATAGATAGATAGATACTCGAAATTTAATTAGAATTGCATATGTTGTGTAATATGATTGAAATCCCATGCAAATGTGATTATATGCATTTCTAATTAGACTTCGAGTATCTATCTATCTATCTATCTGCGGCCAACGTTTTTGCGAATGGGTGTATATATATATATATATATATATATATATATATATATATATATATATATATATAATTATAATTTTTTATATATATATATAATTCCTATAATTATATGTGCATATATATAATTGTTTAAACAATTTATTAAGAAGTAATTATCAGTAATTAAAGACCATGCAGAAAATACGGGTGTCACGAACACGAAGTGTCAATAACTTCAATTCACCACGTCTGGTGTTTCATAAATAAACTTTTTACATAAATATATTGAATCAAATACATCTTGTAATATATTATGGGGTACAGCCCCTTCCTCAGAAATGTTCTCTTCCTAGTCCTAAGGCCTATTATTTAGTAACAATATATCATTTGCATATATATACATAAATGAACCTTAAGTTTCCTCTCTCACATTTAATGCTATAGGATCTATCCAAAAACTTTCCATCTCATTTGGTTTATTAAATTAATATCAGTAACATAAATTATTTCAACACTTAAGTCGCCTAATCCTTTATGTCCTTGTTAAAAAAATGTGCAAATAAACTCTGACCACAAATCCCTCCCTGACCCTTGGCAAAGCGTAACAACGAACTTTTATGATTATTAATAAATCTCAGTCTAAATGCCGTATAACCGTATTACCGACGTACTATAAATGCCTGTCTTAATTACAACTTATCAAATAAATCACCCCTTCCGAATCACAATCAAAGGCATGATCTATGTGATAAACTCCACCCGTTGAAAAGGTACCAAATTTAGTCCGCAAGACAATATAATTACACACTTGGCAGCGCTTCTTACTGTAATATACATAACTGCTATTTATAGATAATTAAGCTTGGACAATAGAATTAGAACTGATTGACAGTTAGAGACAGACAATAAGATAGAAAGGGTAGGAGAGCGAGAAAAGGTCAGAGCACATGAAAAGTAATATATATAATATAGAGAAACAATCGGAGCAAGGAGTGAGATCATTATATTGGCGACGAGAATGGCTGAAGGACAAGCCGAGCCACAAGAAAATATCACAGTAAATACGCAATCGGTTTCGCTACAACCATTGCCAGAGTTTAATCCAGACGCTGATGTTGGCGAAAGCTTAGGCACGCGCTGGAACATTTGGATCCAAGATTTCGAGATGTTCATCCTCGCTAGTGGGATTACGGATGAGAAAAGAAAACGCGCATTGCTATTATATCAAGCTGGCAAACGGGTTCGCGAGATATTTAGACAAATACCTGATACGGGAGACGCAACTGATTATACGAAGCCGCGAAAACAAAGCTTCACGAATACTTCCAACCGCAAGAAAATCGCCGATACGCAGTTTACCGCTTTAGACAAGCGAAACAAGAACCGAACGAAACCCTTGATCAATTCCATACACGATTACGGACGTTAGCACAGACTTGCTCTTTCCACAACGCAGATTTTGAAATCGAACAACAAATTATTACGGCTGGGTCATCTTCACGGATTCGGAAAAAGGCATTAAGAGACCCAACATACGATCTGAAGTCTATACTCATCGATGGTCGCCGTGCCGAGATGAGTACATTTCAAGCGCGAGACATCGAATCAAAAGACACAAATACAGATCGTGTTAACAAAGTATCATCGAAAACAACATCGGAAACGTGTCACAATTGCGGTGGTACGTATCCTCATGAAGGACAATGCCCAGCTAAAGGTAAAGAATGTCGGAAATGTCAAAAGCTCAACCATTTTGCTCGAGTGTGTCGAGGAAAGATGCAACGTCAGACAAAAGCTTTTCAACATGAAATGAAACCGAAACAGAAATACAAACGACCACTAAATCCACTAAATGAAGTTCAGAGCGAGACGGACAGTTCTGACAACGAATATTTATACACAGTTTCTAATGACAAGACCCCCAAAGTCAATGTTAAAGTATGCGGACGATCGTTCAAAGCTACCGTAGACACAGGCGCAACGTCAATGTCATCGACCGAGGTACATATGAGAAAATACCAGGAATAGAATTAAAGAAAACGAACATAAAAGCGTTTGCGTATCTAGCAAGCCAGTAAAGTTCATTGGCAAGTTTGAGGAAGCTATTGAGACTCGCCGTCGAGTTGCAGTGGCAACTTTTTACGTCGCAGAAACGACAGACAGCGGAAATCTAATATCAGCAACAACGGCAGAGGAACTTGGCCTGGTAAGTTTTCATCTTAACAAAGTAACTGAAACAAAAGATCGTGAACTCCAAAATATTCTAAACAAACATTCAAAAGTTTTCCACGGGTTGGGTAAACTCAAGCAAGAGAAAATCAAATTAAACGTTGATAAAACAACAACACCCCGAGCACAGCCACAACGCCGAATTCCCTATCACATACGTCAGAAGGTCCAGAACGCGATAGAACAACTAGAGAAAGACGATATTATTGAACGGGTACCAGAAAACCAACCTACACCTTGGGTATCGCCAATTGTAGCAGTACCGAAAAAGAACGGGGACGTTCGTATATGCGTCGATATGCGCGCTGCCAACGAAGCTATAAAACGGGTACGACACCCTATTCCAACAGTTGAGGACATCAGTTTTGAGTTAAATGGAGCAACGTGTTTTTCCAAATTAGACCTTACACAGGCGTATCATCAGCTAGAACTACACGAGGACAGTCGTTACATTACTACATTCAGTACACACATCGGTCTTTTCAGATACAAAAGGCTGAACTATGGCACCAATGCAGCTGCTGAGATTTTCCAGTACACTTTACAAACCCAATTGCAAGGATTAGTCGGAGTAAAGAATATAGCTGATGACATTTTAGTATATGGCAAAACACAGAGAACATAACACAAACTTGAATAAATGTCTAAAACGAATCTCCGACAAAGGACTACGCTTGAATCAAGCTAAGTGTAGCTTCTTGAATGACAAACTGGAATTTTTCGGACAAGTATTTTCCAAAGACGGCAGCAAACCTGACCCCAAACGTGTAGAAGCTTTAAAGAACGCGCCGGTACCCAAAACCATTTCTGAAGTAAGAAGTCTCCTCGGCATGGCAAACTACAGTGCCAAGTATATTCCGAAATTTGCAACCATTACAGCTCCATTGCGCCAATTAACGAAGAAAAATACACCTTTCGTGTGGACCGACATTCATCAGAACGCATACAACACGTTAACTTCCACCTTAGCTTCAGCATCGTGCATGGCATATTTTGACAAAAATAAAGAGACACTGGTAACGGTTGATGCGAGTCCAGTCGGCATATCAGCAATCCTTTCGCAGAGAAACAAAGGAAAAGACGACGAGAAAGTAGTGGCATATGCGAGTAGAGCATTAACAGAAGTCGAACAAAGATACTCCCAAACCGAGAGAGAGGCGCTGGCTATTATTTGGGGAGTGGAACATTTTCATCTATACCTGTACGGAAACGAATTCGTTCTAATCACAGACCATAAACCACTAGAAGTAATCTATGGCAACAGAAACTCCAAAACATCAGCAAGAATAGAACGTTGGGTGTTACGCTTACAACCTTATGCTTTTCAAGTAAGATACAAGCCAGGAGCTAACAATCCGGCTGATTATCTATCGCGCCACCCAACAGGAAAAAGCTACAAACAGCAGAAAATGACTGAGGAGCACATAAACTTTATTGCTCGCTCCAGTGTTCCGAAAGCACTGACGATAGAGGAAATCGAAGAAGCAACGAACAAGGACAAAACCTTACGAGGAGTTCGGGCAGCTATAAAGCTCAACAAGTGGCACTACGAAGTAGTCAAGCCTTATAAACAAGTAAAAGACGAACTTACTGTGACAACAAAGGGCGTGGTTCTTCGTGGTTCTCGTATAGTGATACCAGAATCGCTACAGCAACGTGCGATTGACATTGCGCACGAAACTCATCTTGGCATTACCAAAACGAAATCATTAATCCGAGAAAAGATTTGGTTTCCGAATATTGACAAAATGGTGCAAGCAACAATCGAGAAGTGCATTCCTTGTCAGGCAGTGGGTAAAGCACCACCACAAGAGCCAATATCAACGACAACAATGCCAAAGGGACCATGGGAAACGATACATTTGGATTTCTACGGACCACTTCCTTCGGGAGAATACCTTCTGGTCGCAATTGATCGCTTTTCCAGATATCCCGAAGTGGAAGTAGTACGCTCGACTTTCTGTGGTCATACCCAAATTAGATCAAATGTTCGCCCGTCATGGCATCCCAACAACTATCAAGACAGACAATGGACCGCCTTTCAATAGTGCAGAATATATAATCGTTATTTGACAGCTCTTGGAATTAAAGATATTGATTCAACACCTAAATGGCCCCAGGGCAATGCAGAAGCGGAAAGATTCATGCAGCCCCTTGGAAAAACGCTACGAACCGCTCACATTGAAAGAAGACCCTGGCAGCAAGAGCTACATCGTTTCTTGTTACAGTACAGGACAACACCACACTCTTCCACGAAAGTTCCACCAGCGGAATTACTATTTAACCGTACAGTGAAAGGAAAGCTTCCAGAATTGAAAAAGCGGAACATTGTTAACAAACACAATATTGCCAAAAAGAATGAAATGGAGAGACAGCGATACAACAAAGAATATGCGAATGAAAAAAGAAACGTAAAAGAGAGTGAAATTAAGATAGGAGACTATGTCTTAGTTCGTCAGGACAAGCAGAACAAATTGACTGCGAATTACAACAAAGTTCCATACGTAGTCACACACAGATCACATTCACAGGTTAAAGCAAGAAGCAAGAACGGACACGTTATCACACGAAATGTGTCTCAGTTTAAACGCATACCAAAACCAAGGGATGATACGGACAGTGATGACGATAATGAGAAAGAACGTCATCAAAAGAGGAACAATACCATCACACTACCAGCAGCAACAAATGTTGGACATCAAGATCAAATACCGACACGACGATCGAGCCGAGTCAGAGGAAAACCTGATAGATTTGGACATTCAGTATATGATTGAATTATGTTTTGTTAAATGTTAATATTGTTTAAAAAAAAAGGGTGATGTAATATACATAACTGCTATTTATAGATAATTAAGCTTGGACAATAGAATTAGAACTGATTGACAGTTAGAGACAGACAATAAGATAGAAAGGGTAGGAGAGCGAGAAAAGGTCAGAGCACATGAAAAGTAATATATATAATATAGAGAAACAAAATATACAGTTGTACAAATCGGAGCAAGGAGTGAGATCATTATACTTACCACACTTAATAATGCCTGTACCTGACGTTTCAATACTAGGTAACTTAGATCTGACTAGATGATCTTTAAGGTTCCTCGGTCTATACAAAAACATAACAATGGTTTTTCAAGGAAAACCTTAAAAAGATCCGATCACATCTCAACTATACCCTGCATTTCCTGCAAGGTGACTTTTGAACAATTAAGTGGCGGATTAAAATCCAGTACCAAACAGACCCTATTGTTTTGACCCTTACACCGATCAGACGCAATTTGATTGTCACTATTTCTAACCCCATTAAATTTTTTCTCAATAACTACGATCATAGCCTCTCTTTTAGATGATTACAACATCAGTCTACCCTCCAAAATGTCTTCCGAACTACAATGAAAATTTTTGTAAATATTCTTGCATAACTTCTGAAGATGAATCAGATCTGATTGATTCACAATAAAGTCATTTCCTGAGTGAATATTTTTTATTATTATTTTTTATGTCCTTTACGATCTTCAATTTCGATTTTGGTTTCATTTTTCTTATTCCAATTCTTTTCAAATCTCTATATGCATGTATAATAAGAGCCGATTTTCCAAGTACTGGAGGTTGCAGTAATTCTGTCACAAGTCAGATGTTTATATAAAATTGCCAGTGAACTAAAATCCTTTTGTGCCTTGAGAACAAGCTGGATGTTTCGTTAAATTTCAAGATTTTGTCCTCTTCAAATATCCTGTGCAATCCTACCACCTACAATTCCGCATGCAAGTGCCTCCGTAGGAAGTTTCAGGGCTCCTCCTACGATGGGGTATCCCTCCCACGCTATTGTGGCAAACTGCCACATCTAGAATACATTTAAAAAACATTTCACTATCACGAAATTTTATTCTAAAACTGCCAGCTATAGCTGGAAATTTAGTGAGGAAAATAAGCAAGGAAATAAATCAATAAGGAAAATAAGTAAAGTTGAGGATAAATATAATAATAAGGCCCTTAAAGATAAATGGGGAAAGTTGAAGTGGTGGCTTTGGCTAAGCATTTTTATCAGTGATTCGAGTAGAGGTCAGCCTCAAATCTTTGACTATGCTTCAACGCTTAGACTGTACAGAAGTGAATAAATGATACGACATGGCACATAGCTCCTACCAAAGGCTGTTTTCCACTTACGCGTTTTTTATACGCACGTACACGCACGTGAAAGTCTAAATCCTTACACATGTTACCTTTGAAAAACCTAAGTGAATAAATGGAAGGAACTTAGTTTTCTGCTTATTTTAGTATGCATTAGTTGACCTAGATGTTAAATAATAAAAATTGAAGAGCATTTAAAATTTTCCGTACGTGTACGTGCGTATAAAAAACGTGGAAAAAAACGCAGCCCCAAACAAAACAAACGCGACAGCTAATTATCTAACTGATAGAGACTAGAATTACAAATTGTAAGTGGAATGCTGGGAGTGAATACACGTAGTGCCTTTATATATTTCTCATTACATGTAGTTACGTGTCCTGGAGACCGTTCAAATATAGCAGTCCGTTGAGCGAACGATATTGCATGGACGTTTATTTCCCGTTATAATGAGTGAGTTTCATCATCATCATCTAGGCCTATTGCGCCAATGAGGCGCACGGGGCCTGAATGAGTGAGTTTACATTAAAACAAAACGTGCCATTTTTTTGTTCAAAGCCGCCAGACAAAGGCGAACCGCAAACCGCGGTTTGACGTTTAGGTTATGGCATTCGACATTTGCGGTCCGCGGTTTTAAACACTGGAAGTGTGTGTCAATTTTGTCTCGTCTCACACGCCAGCCCTAGTGTGCATGTTTAATGTTCATATTTTACTTTCACTGAGCAGGGTGCCGGACTACTGGATGAGTTAGCAAAATAATATTAACATAATCGCTGTTTTCTTTGTTTTAAACAAAGAAATCAAAGGACCGTCTACAACCACGTTTGGCTTCTTTCTTCAGTAATCTTGCAACCCTTTCACTAAGGGTGACTTTCGAGCGCCAATTAACAGTTTTCCACCGAAGTTTTTTCGCCCTATTTTCTGTCTATTTGGGAGAATTTGACCGTAGCGGATTCCTTCAACCGGTGACAATTGAAAAGAAAATCAAGCATTAACTATTCCGTTAACATTTCAGTCTACAGTAAATTTATTGGCACGGCGCGGCTAAAATGGGCACCCGAACCATGGACGACGTCAATCGAACGTTATTTCAGGGGGACCCATTTTCATATATAAAATTATATTCTAACTGAAGCGCTAGTATTTAGCCAGTTTTAACTTACTTTCGGGTATTACGTGTTTACCAGAAATTTATAATTCCTCTTAACGAGTTTAAGACGCCGATCAAAACTACGACGCGGACGTGACATAAAAACTGCTACTAGTATTAATTTGTTTTACCTACGATATGACTTTGTTTATGAAAAGGAGAATATAATTTCCATCCCTGTTAGGAAACTGTGGAAATTGGAGCAATCATGCCTGCATGTCTGATGTCAGCGTCGTAGATAGATTTGGCTTAGCCTCCTCCGCAGGCATCTCTTATGCGTTAATTATATTAGGTTAATAGGCATGGGTTAGCTGCATGTGTCATGGAAGGTGAGGAAAAAATCCTCTATATTTTTTCTCGCTCCCCGACACGGCTAGCCAAAGTCAACCATGCATATTTTTAATACATATAAGAGATGCTTGCGGAGGAGGCTAGGTTTGGCCTATTTATACATTTGACTAAAACTGCAGCGTCATGATCACGTTGCACATCGCATTTTAGGTGGATTGTAGCACTATTTGGTATTCTATCAGTATGCAGCACCCCAGGTGAGAAAGCTAAAATAAGCCAAGATTATGAATGCCTGAAACAGTTTTCATACCATTTTCCAGCTAATTCCTAATTTTCCTATCAGATTATGCGATTAGTCGAGCTTGTTGTTTTGATAATCGAAGTGCAAACACGCGAATTTTGTTTGTGATACTGCGCGATCAAACACTAAAGAAGCGTGCGATGTACTTGAAAATTTCCGCATTTTTTTTTAATGTTCAATATTTGGAAGTGATTTCGCTAAAATGCTTAGCTTCCTTAGCGGACAATAATAGAAGTATTTCCTCAAGTTCTCATTTCCAGAATGATCCCGAAGTTTTTGAATCAGTCATATTAGAAACATGATGAGAATATGTTATTGACTATTCTTAAATATTTAATGTTGCCTCTGAAATTTGCATATTAAGAGCTATACGCTAACAAAGCTTTCTATAGCTATTATCAATAATTCAATATCTCGTCATCATAAATCTATGTTCGAACATGCTGTAAAGCCAATATTTAAATATAAATTCAATCTCAGAAGAATTTCATCCACCTCGTAACTATACTCTCCTTGCATTCGCTATAATCTCTGATGTCCCGGGCTAATGTATTACTCTGGAAAAAGTCTGTCGAATCGACAGGATAGCTGCCTCTTCTGCCTGTCATAATCTTAGAATAGTTTGATATATCTACCATATCATGTCCCGTTGCATCTTTCTCACGGTCCCCGTCGTTTTCCTCAGCCAATTCCAACTGGGATTCCCCTTCTTCGATTTTATCAAGTTTATGCTTATCAAAAACGATATTATCTTGCTTCGGGATTGCTTTAACGCGTAGCATAGGATCTCTCGAATTGCACTTTCGACACTTTGTCTGTCTTGGACTTTGTTTACATCTGGTCACACCACTGGCAGGTCTGGGCCCCGTCAGACCCTCGTGAATGCTGTTTGGGTATGAATTTCTACGAGCCCTATCTTTATGCCGACCGAACCTTGTTCGTAATATTGCTTCGTCGCTTTCTGTAGCCTGAAATCCCTCCAGGTTTTCGATTATAGTCGGTAAGAAACCACATTCTGTCGGATCAGACCGTCTTCTGAAATTTTCGTGGAATGAATCGCTTTCATTAATTAAATTTGTAACATTACACTCGCATTTGTTACTGACAACGTCCACCTGCCTCGTGTATAGTCTCTCCACCATTTTTCCAAATCTGTTGTTGTTGCTTCGCTACAGCTTTAAGGTCCACTCGCATCCGCTTGCATATGTCCACTTGTATATTCTGAATGCCAGACGGCCACGCACATACAAAAAATAAGGAAATAAGATATAGTATGACACCTTGGTTCTGGAAGGTATCAATCAGCAATGTTTCTAAATTTCCTTGTTTCTTGTGATTACGTCCTGTTGCTAGTTTCAGTTCGTCATCCGCTTTCCAGATGGGCTTTCTTGTTGCCAGAGATTTCGGACAATATTCTGAGTGGCAAGATTGACTTCGAACAATAATCAATATCTATTTTTACGTAATACGATAAAGCGCGGTTGGTGGTCGTTGAGGCTTTTAAGTTTGCTTTCGCAATGTGTGTGAGCCAACAGAGCTTTTCAATGAAAGTTAAATAAATAGAAATACAATCTACACGACGCCACAAAATGGCCGAGTATAAGTGTGATTCAAATGGAATAGGAAACGTTCATCAACGAATTTTATGGCTCGCTTATTATATTTGCATAATCATATAGTGACTGTCCGCATTGTCAGTGGAAATTTGAATTGACATTGCTCACATTATTTAACAAGTGACTTTAAACATGCATATTAAACATGTATATATTCATAAGTGAAGTACTAAGGGAAATATTTGAAACATGTGTTTAGCGCTAGGAATTATTTCTAATTGTGCTTCCGAGTTCCATGCTTGGCCTATCAAATCTGGGCCTACAGTAACCTATTCGGTCCAATTATTTTACTATAATAACAATTATTAAATAAGAATGATTTGTATCAGATTTGTCTCATGACTATTGAATACGAGGATATTCACTTCAAGTAAAGCGAGCAGTATTCCTAGGAAATCATTCAAAAATCTTTTACTTTGTCAACTTTGTACTTATGTACTTTGGAATAATACTGTGTACCACTTACCTATCTCTCATTTATAACATAATTCCCATTCCAATACCATGTCTATGAAATATCCGAAAGTGCATACGGTTTCGAAGCGCATGATTAGTTGGTTACCTAGTTACCAGGCCCAATATTTTTGACATATAATCCGCATATTTATATTAATTCGATAAGGCATTATACAGCGCCAATATTTCACACTTGCCACATAAATTTAGCACGAAATATATAATCTTTCTATTTCAGTACTAATCTATTTGATAGCTAATCTTTTTACTTCATAATAATGGTGCAATCGCTAGTGCCAAAGGTATTGTATATTGTCCGTCGACGAAACTTTCACATGCGTTTGCTAATAGCTTACTAATAGCAGTTCTAACTTTGCGTCAGCACACGTAAGTTGACAGGTTTACTTTTTTTACGTCCCCGCGCAGGCTCAATCTCGTTCCCGGAGCTCGCAATCCAGATTGCCGCCATCTTTGAAGATACAGATCCTTATTTGTTTTGAACGTTTGATTCAGAAGTAAAGACACTAGAAATGTCTAGAACTATGTAAAATACCATCATTCGCTAGTTTTTATTAAAATTGAACGAGAAATTCAGTTTCGAACGAGTCAAAAACTAAATTAAAACTTTCTTGCTTTTATTTTCAGTGCGCAGTGCATTCCAGGTTTTATTAGGAAGACCTGCATCATTGCGAGGTTGCTCAGCAGCTCTGACTATTGCTCTGACCACTGACTCTGACTCTTCAGTGAACAAAAAGTACGCATTGTTAGTGGGATATTTTTTTCGCGATAAAATGATTGTAGTCATTTCTATGGCAACTTCACAAGCTAGAAGATTATAACAAGGATTTCAAACTAAACAGTGAACATTTATTGCAAAAATATGGATAGAAAACGGGGCAAAGAAGGTCCAACGTAGTTTCTGGGTTGTATTTGGTCTAATTTCGTTATTATGGCGGCCAGCAATGCGCTGGCAAGCCAAGGATTGCCGCTCGAAAATGGTGGTGCATCATCGGTGAAGAAACAAAATGGGAAATTATCCCGTGTTCATTGCCCAGTTGTCATGCCAAGAAACCCAAAGTTGATCCGTGGTGAACCATTAGAGGAAAAGGTAATATGAGTGTGTCTTTTAGGACACTGACATTTCTTGCTTAATCAAGTATTTGACTTGTCGAGTATTATTAAAATGATTGTGTTCTGACAGTCAGTTTAATAACTATATATATATATATATATATATATATATATATATATATATATATATATATATATATAAAATATATATATATATATATATATATATATATATATAAAATGTAGATCGATGCATGTTCGTACTACAAAACTATACTTTTCTACTGTATATAGAAATGCAGTGCAATTTTGTTTACTTATATTTCATAACCCAACAATGTTTTTACATGAAAACTACAGGCATGATACAAAATTCACTGATAATTATACAAAATTCACTGATAATAATACAATTTCCATCACAATTTAATACAACTCTTCTGATATTATATTGCATGGTTAACAACATCAAAATTAACTTTTTACTGGAAGTGATATTTACAGTTCAGATACAAATATGCAACTATTTCATAGGCATTTCTATCATATTTATATAGGAGTGGGATTCTTAAATGGTTTAATTTCCTATAATGTATAGCTAAGTTGTGTCTTAATTCATATTATATACATTTCAGCAAGCACCCTCGGCATTTCTTGCCGAGATGCAGCTCACAACAGATGAAAAATTAAAACGAACTTGTGAGATGAGGATACCACAAATTATAGAGCTCTTGGACATGTCTGAAACAACACATCAGAAGGTATTTTAATATATTGTAAGAATTTACACAAAATTATGGAACTTAGATCTATTGTAATAAAATGCCTAATAAAATTGGTAAGCCTTATTTATCTTGGTAAGCCTTATTTTTGTCCTGAATTTAATATGTACATCATTTAATACGTACATGTAAATCTTTGACCTATAAATGCCAGTGGCATAATAGCATGGCAGCTAGGGCCAAATAATTACAGTTAGGTATGTAATAATTATGGTAGGCGTGTGAATATTCATATATTCTGTATATGCACCACTCCAATTATCGCATCTAGTTCTCTGCATATTGCATTTATGGATATATTATTATCATTATAGCTATGATAATGTATAAAGGGGTGCATTGATTAGGTTAAGGGGCTGCATGCCCCTTCTTAAAATTCCCTGTCAATGATGAGAATTGGTCAGCAAAGCAATTAAAACAATATGACTTCAAAATCAGTTATCCAATTGTAAATAGTCATAATTTTCATTCATTTGTTAAAGTGGAGGTCAAGTTAGTATATATGTAAATAAATGGTTTGTTATATACATTTTGAACATATAGAATTAAAGTAATTCCGAAAAATGATAGCATAATACAAACTTTATTCAATCTGTATAATTCAAATCAAAAATGATTCATCTTCAGCAGAATATGGTTTACGTTTGTAATATACAGAATAAAATCTGTATATTGCTATATTGTATATTGTCTCTGTATAATATAATCTGTATATTGTATAAAATCTGTATTATGCTATCATTTTTTGGAATTACTTTAATTCTATATGTACTAAAACTAAATCAGCTAGCTGGTAAAAGATTACATTTTGAACCTCATTAACATCTTAAAATACAATATGTCATGTCTGGATGGGTATCTATTACTATTTAGGTTTGCTATACTTTTAACTAGAGGTTAATTGTCTCTATATTAGAGGCGTTCACATTGTTATGAACAGAGCCAGGTGATGTGTTGACTTTAACTATCACTGATCAACACTTCCATTTGTTATTAATGCACTTATATACAACATAATATAATATATCCATCTCCCCATCATGATTTATTAATAAAGTTGCTAATAATAACTATCATTTGGTAGTGTTTCTGTTAATTAATCATTTTTTCTATTTTATTCCACTACATAGTTCACATCATTAGAAATTGATGAACCAATATTCCAACCATTTCCATCCGATATTGTGTTTCAAAACTTTGAACCATATGAGACATATCAAGTTCCATTGAAGCTGAGAAACAATGATAAAGTAAGTGCTGTATTACGAGTTGATTACATAAGATTTTAGCTCCTTAACATTATTTTGAACTCAGGTCAGCTAGGGGTCAATGAATATGTAACATACAATACATTAGATGAAGGAAACATCAATTCACCCCCCCCCCCCACCTGCCTGACTTAAAAATTCTTCCTGAGGTTAGGGCTGGATTGAATATGAATGTTAAAAGAAATAAAGCAGGAATCAATTATAAATGTGGTAGATAAAAATAACAACAACCATGCATATATAAAAATAGACAAAAACACTTCCAGACGTTTTAACCAAGGATTAATAAGAGGGTACTGCACAGTATCATTTATTCTTGAGGATTAGGAAAAAAAGTGCGCAAGGAACAAAACCACTTTTAGAGTTTCGAGTTGAAATCCGTCTGTTGATCCCAGTCACCCATATGCTAATTTTGCGTTATTTCCAGGTCGCTCGCCTAATTAAAGTCACCGAGACAGATTCTCCGTATTTCAAAGTGATCAGCCCTTCAGATGTCGGCCACAAAGTTGCTCCAGGGATGGACAAGGTGTTCATGTTGCAGTTTACCGCTGACCAGAAGAAGGTAGTACAGGAATATTTTCCAGCAGGATTGGAAAGGAACTTTTGTAGACAGACATAGCTTTAAATTATGACATTTACATATTACCTTTGTTTTAGGACTATTTTCATGAGCTGATATGTGTTACAGAAAGAGAGAAATTCATAATCCCTGTAAAAGCTATCGGTGAACGTGCTATAATTGACTTTCCCGATTCAGTGAACTTTGGCAGCTGCCCCGTTAAGGACATGACGACCAAGACCTTGTTTGTGAGAAATATTGGGAAAAGAGAGGCGAAATTTTCACTTTCTTTGAAAAGGTAAAAGAAAGCAACCTCGCGAAGACACGCTGCGCGGCGGGAACTTCCAAAGCAGTAGCGTGGCCAGAACGATAATTGTGGGGGGGGCATATTCATATTTTCGTGATACGCAGGATTAATTTCTTTTCAAATCAATTGTCTTTACAGTCTTTTAAGAATGAGTATATGAATATGAAAGACTTTTTTAGGAGTTCAATGCTAGGGGCACATTGATGCATGTCTGTAAACATTTTTAAAGTCTGTTCACACGATCCAATTTTTTCAGATGCAATCTACTTCTGACGTATGGAATGTAGTCTGTTATGCAGACAGCAGCACTGCATTAAATGGCTTTAGTCTATAAAATTTGATGCCTATAAACATTGCAATAGACTATAAAACATGTATTAAAGTTAATTTGATGCAACAACATTGGATCACGTGAACAGACCTTCAAATAGTAACTATTTAAATATGGGATATATACCCTGCATGCACCGAATATGAACCCTTCTATTATCGGGCGTATCCTGTTACAGAGTGAATTCATTTTATTCTGTAAAGAAATAGGCAGGCCGTTGACAGTATTCTGATCTGTTTTTAGGCCATTTTCCGTTACCCCTAACAAAGGCAGTTTAGCGGTTGGTGAAAGTATGCAGGTTCATGTCGAGTTTAAAGCATTAAAGACCGGAGATTATGAGTGTAACATGGTCTTACATTACGATACAGGTAAAAGCTTGTCAGTAATTCTGTGAATGAATGCAATGGTATATATATTTTTATATATGACTTAGTATAACTTTTATCGTTTTCTAACAGGTGAAGATGTGTACATCACTCTATATGGAGCCGCAGTTGATGTTAATGTCCGATTGGATAAAAGCACTCTAAAATTAGAGAATACGTTTATATCGTGTATATCACAGAGGTGAGGGGTTGATCTTTTTAGTGGTAAAGAATAACAGAAACGTTGTTAGAGTTGAAGAATCATAGAAAAACTGTTCGAGTGTTAATTAAAAGATCACAGAAATGTTGTTCGAGTGTTAAATAGTCACAGAAATGTTGTTAAAGTGAGAAAGAATCACAAAAACGTTGTTAAAAAGTCATAGAAATGTCAGACTGTTAACGAATCACAGAAATGTTGTTCAGTGTTAAATAATCACCTGTTGTTGTTATGTTGTTAGAGTGTTAACGAGTCAAAGAAATGTTGTTAGAGTGTTATAGAATCACAGAAATGTTGTTAAAGTGTGAAAGAATCACAGAAACGTTGTTAAAAAGTCATAGAAATGTCAGACTGTTAACGAATCACAGAAATGTTGTTCAGTGTTAAATAATCACCTGTTGTTGTTATGTTGTTAGAGTGTTAACGAGTCAAAGAAATGTTGTTAGAGTGTTAACGAGTCAAAGAAATGTTGTTAGAGTGTTAACGAGTCAAATAAATGTTGTTAGAGTGTTATAGAATCACGGAAATGTTGTTAGAGTGTTATAGAATCACGGAAATGTTATTAGAGAGGGTTAAAAAACCACGGAAATGATGTTTAAAGTGTGTATCATGTAGTAAAACCTACAATTTCTGCACCCTAGAACTATCCTTATTCACAACAGAAGCGAGCACATTGTAAATTTTCGTTGGACCAGATTTGCAACATTAACAGAAGAACTGCAGCATAAAGAGAGGTCTGTGGTCTTGGTAGTAGTGTGACATTTGCAGCATATAACAACATTCGAAGATTGAGTATCAAGCTTCTCCTAACGCATCAAATTTCACCATTTTTGTGTATGATCTAGCATTCACTTCTGTATAACAGAACATCTACCCGTCCGTCCGTGTGTCTGCCTGCTTCTTTGTCTGTTTGTCTGTAGCTACTCTACAAATTATCTATATTTTCCTATTTTAGGTGCAAGCTGGATCTCAAACGGGAGGAAGAAATGGAAAAAGACGTTTTTCTTATGGAATGTGCGCAAGATGTCACCATACGAGATCAAATGTCGATTCTTCAGAGATCATTTCAGACAAGAGGCCAGGTGGGGAACAGTTATCATACTCGCTGCTGTATTCCTCGGCTCTCTGCTAGACTTTCCGATGTGTCTGCAAAAATATACTGTATTTCGCCTTCCATTGGAAGGCTCGTTCTATCTGGTCCATATTGGTTTTCTCTTGTCATAAGCGTGTTGGGCGTGTGTCTGTATTTAGATTATTATTTGTCTTTTTAAGTACTACATATTTTTCTTTAGACGGTAGATGCAGACAAACTAATTTACAAAGACGATGTTCTTGAAGTTCAACCTAGTGTAAGTTTTGTTTATTTTAATTAAATACCGAAAAAAATTATTGCAGAAAGTGATATATAATATCGCGACAAGGTTGTTCCGTAGTAGACGACAAATGCGAGAGTGCGGCTTTTCAAAGAAGAGACATTTTATAGAGGGCAATTATTAGAGAGGGGACATCTCATAGAGAGGGCATGCAGGTAACTGGAAATGGGTGTGTTAGCTAAGGCATCATGATGATAAGGCATGATGCATGTTACCAAGAATTTTAATGAAGTAACGAATGTTAGGATTTGTTTTCGAACAAACGTTATTGAAAGAAGGTGGTATTTGGTAGAAGGTCAATATTAGTCAATATTGATGTAGGTTCGCATAGAAGATAGTTTATGAGGTCGGGATTTACTATGGCAGTAATACTAGAGTATAGTGGTATTAGGTACAGTGGGTTATGTGAGGTGATAATAGGAAATATTGGAGAGGGCATAAGAAGGGGGGTTGTGAGCGAATATGGTGGATAAGAGAGGATATATAATAATAAGAAACATACATACTCATACAATGTTTAGGCGTAATGTTACAGAGGGTGGCTTATTGCAGAACAAAATGTTGCAATACGCTGTATTACTGTACCTTCATATCTTGCGTCCTATCTTTCACAGGAAGGTGTTATTTGGCCTAATTCTTCGATGGAAATCAATATTGTGTTCACTCCATTGGAGGCACAAAGGTACAGGATAAAACAAATCAGCAGATCTTGCTTTCTATGTGTCAATCCCATCATCTCATTATCGTGTTGCATACGACACCACTGAAATACGACGTCTTGGGAGATCCTGATCATTCTTCTATGACTTAGCGCACCTCGACTACCAGCAGGGAAGGCTTTTAGGGGGGGGGGGGGGTGAGAGGGGTTGTGTAAATCTGGGTGTCAGTTGAAATGTGGGGGATCCTGGTCATTCTTCTATGACTTAGTACAGCACCTCGACTGCCAGCAGGAAAAGATTCGGGTTTGGGGAGAGGGGTGTGAATCTGGGTGTCAGTTGATATGTGGGAAATTCTTGTTATTTTAGTTATGCTCGAACGATGTATTGTGATGTGGCTGGTAGAGAATCTCGTCTACCCCTGCGAATCAGAGGCGAAGGAGTGGGACCACGTGTGATGTTCTCGCTCGACTTTCTCGACATCGGAAATATATTTGTAAACTCAAAACATTCGTATGAGGTTTGTGTTGATGATTTTTTTCAAACAGGAATATTTGCATGCACGTTATCTGAGCAATGTGTGGTAAAGGTTTTTTTTTCTGGGCAGGTTGTGCTTGCGAACAAAGGTGATATCGATGCTGTGTTCTCGTACATTCATTCCCAGTCGATGTTCGGTCCCCTTTTCACATTCTCTCCATCTCAAGGGATCGTCAGGCCCGGAGGATACCAGGCTATCAAGGTTTGTTCAAGCGTTTCAAAGAAGTACGTTTATGAGCATCTTCTCTACTTTACTACGGCAAGAAAGCAAAATGTAACTTCGCTTTTATAGATCGATTTCTGTTCACCAATTCTCGGCAACCTGAATGAAGATTTCTTCTGGGCCATTGAGGGATCACCAGAGAAGCTTGTTTTCAACGTACAGTAAGTTAAAATAATTGACTTTTCAACATATTAAATAATTGACTTTTCAACAGTCAGTTCAAAAAGTTGAAGAAGTCTCACTCCTTGAGATTTGCGTCCGAAGCGCAAGCCAAGTACACAATCACTATGGCGCTTTGTATATCTTGCTCATGCCATCCCAGTGTACATGTGCAGGAACTTTTAGATGGGGTATATAGATCAGTGCACACACCAGGATAGCGTAGAATGGCGTGAAATAACGTGTGCATTTTTATAAATGATATGCATATATATTTAATACAAGGCCTATCGTTTGTGGCACAGGATTAACGGTAGTATAACTCGATTTTTAGGGGTTGTGTGATTGGTCCTACCTTTCATTTTGATGTACCTCGACTGGATTTTGGCGTAATATCTTACGGTGGGTAATTAAACCAACACTATTAAAGTCTTTCAAATTTTTTCTTCCACCGAGACTATGCGATTAGCAAAAGCGTAAAAAAGTTTGATAAATCGACTGCTTTTTCCTTGAAAAAATGGTATTCGAATATCAAACACCTGGAAAACTCCCCACACAAGGTCCTGGAAAACCTCACAAGTACAAAACTATGCTTCCTATGTTAAAAAAGATTGAAAATTTCTAACAATATGAAGAATACTTTACTCACCTTGAACTTCACTGACCTGAATGGCTGCGTCTTGTGAATTTAAAAAGTTATTTATGAAGTTCGCAGCGGTTCAATGGAAATGTTGTTTTTAGGATTTCCCAACAGAATGCATTGCTCGTTGATCAACACTTCTTTGATCCCAATGACATTTACGTTGCGTGTTCCTGCGGATGAAATTGAAGGAATGAACAGCTTCAGCGCAATAACGAGTGATTACTACAGCCAAGAATCACAAGAATGCAGGCGAAGAGAGTTTGAAATAACTCCAGTTACCGCCACTTTGACTCCACAGAGCACCCAAGAAATACAGGTACAAATAATGAGGCCTAACTGCCAACCGGCACCGACGGTTCCGTTGTTTATTACGAATGAGTGAAACTGATGGCCTTTCGAGGATCGAGGGCATTCGTGTAGTTATAATTGCAATGTAATATGAATCTGTCGTTTTCAGATCGACCTGGTATCAATGACTGTGAAAAAGTACGATGTGACATTAGTTGTCGATGTTGAGGGTGTTGGTGAAGAAATAGCTTCGTTGCCTTTGCTTGCAAAGTAAGATTTCTCCACACAGAATACATTCATCGTTTTCAAAATTTCCTGTGAAATTTAGCATATATCAATTATCAACCTAGTTCCCTGACTGCGGGAATGGACCATTTCCCTATTAAAGTAAATGTTGAACTAGCCTCAACTAGGAATATTCATCGGTAGATCTAAAAAGATCAACCCCAACTTGGTACATACAAGTGGGAAGTTTGCATTTCGAGATGGCAGATCGACTTTATGTTGTTTTTAAACCAGGGTAATGTAATATTGAGTTGATAGGCTACTTTCGTCATCCTATAGTTGTGTCGTGCCAGGAATTAACCTGCTTACTCCAGTGTTGGATTTTGGCAAATGTTTTATCAATCATCCGTATGAGATGACAATGGAACTGATGAATGATTCTGATCTTCCTGCAAAATACGAACTTATTGCGCAAGTAAGTTATACCCTCGATACAAATGTGCAGTATAAACTTATGTATACAAAAACAAATTCCGAAAATAGATGAACGTAATGAAAATGAGCCTTAATATTTATATAAATTTTTTAAAAAAATTAAATAAGTTCAACTAAAATCAGCCTAATGATACACCAGATATTTCAAAAGTGACCATATACGATGTTCAAAGTAGTAAAATAATTTATTATTGAATTTACCGTGTCCGATTTCAGTCAATACCTCGTTAATAACACAATAATTTTCATTGTCAATTCTTTTTCACCTACGCCATTCTCATCTAGGTTGCTGAAAACCACAGCAGTGTTTTATTCTCCAGTCCTGAGCCAAAGGTATGCATTTTTGTTCTAATTCTCAGGCCTATATAATGTATGTGAGTATTGTGCTTATTAACCTAATATTTTTAGGGCATCCTTCACCCACGAACGATCAGTAAAGTTCCACTCCAGATAACCGCTGAAAGACTGGAGGAAAGATATACTGTTGCTTATCTCCTGATTCACGGCAGCAATGATCCACCACTGGTAGGTTTTACATTGTTTAATTAACACTAAAAACAACGCCCAATGATAACAATATTTTCGTTTGCACTTTAGGAAGTTGAGATCCGTTGTTTTGGTGAAGGGCCGGTAGTCCATGTCTCTCCTATGGAAATTGACTGGGGTAATATCCCTGTTTTGGCTGATGTTGAAAAATGTTTAACTTTATCAAACGAGTCGCTCATACCAGCTCGCTTCACATGTAACACGGTAAGAGTTTGCTGCCTATAACCGTACAATTTTAACAAGATATATTCCTCGCTGGAGAGGTTGATGGACCAGATACAGTAAGCTGAATTTCCAAGCATAGATAGAAGAAGTACTAGTAGTGGAAGAACAAAACCATTGTTCTTCGACAAAATTCAATGAATGTTGAAAGATGGTTGTATAAATTTTATGAATCCGTGACGATGAAGCTGTAGTGATTCATTCCGTCTATACGTCGCTTTTGGATAATCACTACAATATACAAGTTTTAATGATAAATTTCTATAACTATATGAACAAAAACATACAATGAGTTGCCCATATCAGTTGCTTGGTCTATTCTGCAGCCCTCACAGGAACAGAAAACAGGATACGCTGACATTTCAAGATGTTTTCAAAATGCTTCTTTATCATTTCCAGGCGCGTGACAAGTCATCTTTCTCAGTTCACCCTGCCGAAGGAGTAGTTCCCGCGGAGGAAGACATGAAGATTGTGGTTACGGCGAAAGTTGACGATTGTGTCAGGTATTGAAAAAAAAAACATTTCTTGAAAAAACATAACTCTAACTCTTTGGTGTGTACAATTTCAAGAAAACACACGACACTGATTATTTCTAGTTCTCGGAAACTCCAATGCGTGTTTCTACAACTGTATCGTACTACTAACATTTTGCAGCCAAATCTGGCAATTATACTAATTTCAGTATGCTCTTTTTAGCTGTGGTAATTTATTTCCTTCTTGTTACCTAGATCACAAGTTGGTCTATTATGCAAAATGTCCATTCTTGCTTGTAAACACCTTTAGATTCCAAGATAAAGTGTTGATAAATATTGGCGGAATTCAAGTGCATACAATAAATGTGATGGCCTATGGCATGGGAACGACGATAGTCTCCGATCCTCCTTTGATGCCAACGGTGAACTTTGGTCCGCAGTTCAGTCACAATACCTGTTCTAAGGTGTTTAAGCTGACCAATAATGGCCGCAGATCTCAACAGCTATACTGGATGACCGAAGGTTTCTCCAACTACAAAGCCAAGCTCAAGAAGGAGAGACACAATAAAGAGTTGGATAAAATTACCCAGGTCAATACGCGCGATCCATTTTATATGCGATATTCCGGGTTAAATAAGTACTGTTGAAGTATTTTGTTCATAATCAGTTAAAAGGAAAAAGAAAAAGCGACTCAACTCAGTTGGTTCTCTATAAATTCTAGGATATCCTTAATACTCCATCTTCAGTTGGTCCAGTTTTTAAGCTTACGCCTGAAAGACTGTCCTTAGATCCAGGACAAAGTCAAAAAATCAAAATGGAAGGTTTCTCATTGACGTAAGTACATATAACGCAACCTCGAGTTCACAAATAATTTTTCCTACTATACCTTTCACACTCGTAGAGCTTAAATAGGCATATGTCAACCGGGAAGTGAATGTGATGGTTAAACGTTATAAGATTGTTTTCTGTTGTTCCACGCAGACCTCAGATCGTACGCGAGAAAATGATCTGTCATTCTATCATTGGCAACTCGATTGGAAAAGAAGTGATAATGAGAGTGAATGTCAAGGCGGAATTTATCAGCCCTCTGTTGCAATTTTCAGAAAGAAAAATCAACTTCTGTGTGCTGAAGGTATATTTTCCCCTATTCACCATTCTGATGGTACATAAATTTCGAAGATCCTTCTTGCTCAAATTCTTCCCCTTTTACAATCTAGATTTGTCTTGAGTTGATATTTCTCTTTTTGCTTTCCAATCTATGCTAAACGAAAATATGTCTTCATATAGTATCCTGGTACAAAGTTAGAAAGAAGAACGAAAGAACTGTTGATGGAAAATGTCTCATCGCTTCCTCTCAGCATGAATTTAAGAGTCGAATATCCCTTTCAATTCATGCGTATTGAAGCTGGTTGGGAAAGCCAAAATTCTGATACTTTGGTGAGTATATTTCCTCTCACAGTTCTCCCTGACTTTAGAGTCTGAGGTCAGTAAAATTCCTCGCTGTCCAGTATATGAACGGTCTCAATCACCTATATAAACAATGAACGATGGTACAGATTCTTCTGCCATTGAGAAACACGATTTCTGTCTCATTTAGTGTGAGTTCATGAGTGAACGAGGTTGTCATTTTGGGATCACTTTAACATTGAAAACAAACGGCAAAGTTGCATCTTTCCTTTAAGAATTTCAGTTTGATTTTTCTTCCTTCTCATTCTCTAGGACGTGACCCTGGATGTAAAGAAGAGCATTCCTGTAAGGATCGAATTTGATCCTGGTTTTGAAAACAACGCGTTCTCGAGGACTGCCAAACGTCCGCTGATAGTCACGTACAAAGATCATCCACACGAGGTACAGCGTTCGATTGGGGTTAAATTCCGTCAGGTTGATTCACTACTGCTAAAAAGATTGACCATCTTGTTTCTTCTGTTTTCAAATGTCATTTTTGGAGGCCCAGAATGTTTGGAAAATACCATTCAATATATCTTCCCTGCACTTCGTGACGCTGAAAACTAAAAAAACATCCGAACATGATACTGAGATCCACCTTGCTCCATCTGAATTCCCATGCATGGTCAGCGATGTCTTTTACGGATATTAACAAGTTTTTTCTTCCCTAAGACATGGCTTACTAACGTACAGTACACTCACGAGGGTGACATAGAATAGTAGAACGAGCTTTGCGCAGGCCTAAAAATGGGTTGTCTTCCCTTCCCCAATCTTCTATTCTGTTTATATTGTATTCTCTCAGCCAATATTAATATCTTCCCTGCCTCCTCACCTCACTTGATCCGTGTAGATATCTTCATGTATGGTGCAAGACGTATCATATGCTGTGTATGTTTTTTAGGACTATCTGGAGTTGACTGGTGGTGTTTACTATCCGAATCTTACATTTGAAACTGCCGAGGTAATGAATACCTGTATATATACATGTAGCCTAAATAGAAACTGCCATATAGGAAGGTCTAAAGCGTTTCTATGTTTTAAGCTTTTTAAAACTTTAATAACCTACAACGAGTCACACTGTGTGCGAATGGACTAAATTATGAAGAGCATTTGGTGTTTTTGTCAGGTTGACTTCGGCTGCATTCTCAATGATACAGAAGTGACTCGGAGTGTCCTTGTCACGAACAACAGTCCAATGGATGTGAAATATCACTGGTCGTTTGTTGACAGTGACTTGCGTATCGAGAAAATTGTCACTCTTAATGGTACGTAATGTATACCATATCTTAGGGACAAACCTCCGAGGAACACAACATATTTAAAATGAGAGACTGTCGACTGTCATTCTCAACTTAGCTGTTAGTATTCTGTTCACATGCTTCATATCATGCTTGGGTTTTGAAAGGGTTATGTGGGGGCGGGGGAGGGGGTGTATGCGATAGGATATCTGAGTTGTAAGATGACTTACTAAACAATGAAAATGGTATTTCAGAGCGAGCTGCCGTTGTTGCGGCAGAAGAACAACCTGGACCAGGTGATGAAGATGAAGAAGAGATGGATATCATTCTTCCTGGTGACATGAAAGATGAGAATGATGCTGCTGATTTCGAACCAGAGATTCATGTAACTTCAAGTGATTTGGGAATCCAAGAGGTTTGTGAGGAGTTGAAGATTTATCATGATTTATCACGGCTATATTTACACTTTTGCCTAATTTGCATATCATTTTTCTTCAAACTATACCCATATTTATCAGTCAATACTGTAACTGTCTAACTTAAATTAGTAGGACTAGAACTTTAAGTTGTTTTGCGTCAAAGCCCTTTAGTCTTCATCTCCAGTCTTCTTCTTGAGTGTTCAGCGTTCAAGAGCTCTTTACCCGTTTAATTGGAAGTTGTTACTTATATGGTTATAGAGGTGTTTAAGGAAACATATTTAAAAACATTTGTTTAAAAGCTTTTGTTGTGATGTTTCTTAAATGTAATGTATAGTTTTGTAGTCTCAACCAAAATATTGACTGACTGATATTTTGGTCACTGAGCATTACAACGTGGTCACTCCACTATCTGATTACAAATGAACCGTGTTTCTCTTTTTATTGTCCAGGTGTTCGACATACTGCCGTTATACAGCACGCTGAAGCCCAACGAAAGTCAGCGAATTCAATTTACATTTTACGGTCATTCTGGTGTGCGAGCTAAAGCCATGGCGCGCTGTTCCGTTGACGGTGGTCCAGATTATGATTTGATGTTGGAAGGCAGTGCCTCGCTCGCCAGCTACTTCTTCAATAAGAAGAGTGTAAAATTTGGAAAACAGGTACGTGAAAAAACATGCACTAACTTCGTGTGGTTACACGCAGTATTGGAATTGGAGTATAACTCTGCATTAGAGGTTACATGAAAGGGTCTTAATTATACACACTTCAAATTCAGGAGATAAGCCAGGAACAGTTCATGGAAAAATCAAAGTCAACCATCGGTCCTCCGGCAGGAATCGAACTGACGCTTTTGCGATGCCGGTGCAATGCTCTTTCCACTGAGCACTGAGTTGACTCATTTTTCCAGCAACAGTTCCTGGCTTAAATTTGAAGTGTGTATAGTTCCACTCGAAATTAAGACCCTTTCATGTAACCTCTAGAATTTACCTACATCGAGTGAAGTGCTAAAACTCATAATTGATTAACACTACATTATGTCTATAGTTGAAATTTTTTTGTGCGAATATTCTATTTCATGCATGCAAGTATGGTTTGGTTTACACTGAATTTCAATTTTTTTAATGCATTGTTGGAAATCTCTCTTAACATGTCCTTGTTGTGACCATTGTGTCTATTTTTATTAGCTAAAATTGATACGATGTTCCAAGGCATAAATGCATCAATCAAAATTTTGACGAGGAAAAAAATTATTTTGAAATATACGATTCAAGAAAAACCTTTCAATGTCTTTCGACACCGCAATCCTGAACATTTCCTCCGTATTTTTAGTTGTACGACCAGATGGGAGTGTCTGAAATCATTCTTTATAACTCCGGTAAAGTTGGCCTGGATTTTGTCACAAATCTTGAAGCCACATCAGACGAGAGGCAGCCTGGTAAGATCGCAGTCACTCCATCGCGAGGTCACGTTAAAGCCTTACAGAAGCAGAGTATTGTCATCAAATATATGCCTGGCATTCCAACCAAGTTCAAGAAGAGCTTTACGGTGAGCATTAAGTTCAACCTAATCTAGTTCAATCATCCGAAATGATACACTACCTTTCCTGTCAACTTGTCCCAACGTTCGCTTCCAGTCCAAGAAGTGCAGCTAAAGTGGGTAATTTTTAGCACATAATCTTGTTAGATTCCGAATAAATTATTGTAGTCAGAGCGCCCCCATGATGTTTTTATCTACGTACCTAAATTGTGTTAGAATCTGCCTGAAATATATAGGACTCTCGTGACTAATGTCTGAATCGTCGAGAAGTTTTCTAATTTAACAGTATTATCAAGATTCGCGAATTCCTGTAGAGTATTTGGTACCATTACAGTAGATTGATGACAAATATTCTTGTATGTCCTAAGTTGGTATTACTTGCATTATAGATCCGGGTCGGACATTTCGAACCTGAGAAGATCGACCTTACTGGTGAGGGAGTATTTCCAAGAATCGCCTTGGATCTTCCACGTGACATAGAAAATGAAATCTTCAAGGAATTACTGGAAGTTGCCAAGACGAATTTAACGAATGTTGAAAATATCGACGACGATGACGAAGAAGACGTTTTCATGGATAATTCTGAGGTAAAATCAGCTTCACCCGACCACTGGGTTGAGAACTTTGCTTTATATATAGCCTGGCATGTTTCGCGAGCAAAATTTCTGTTTCTTTTATACCCCGCATTCAGTATCACTTAAAATGCACGCGGCTAATTTGCCTAATATCCCAAATATGAAAAAAGATGGGCTGAATGTGTGTATACCAATGAGGGGACAAGTGAAAGACAATAGACAATGGAAGCAACAAGTGCATGATAATGTAGAAATTTTAGCAGAACAGAAAACAACCTCCGAACTGTTTACCGTGCGGCCTTCAAACGTAATCATGCAGTTCTCCTTTTAAACAAATTTCTATATGACAGACATTCTGGTGAATGCTCAACCCCCTATATCTTTTTCCTTATCGAGAATTCCAAAAGCAAGCTGTTTGAACACTCAGCTTTTTTTACGTATCACGTCCAGTTTTGAAAACAAATTTTTGAAAAATTGAAAAATATTTTCGTATCACACATGAATGCTCACGAGAAAGCTGAGCTAATTGGCTGTCGAATTCTACATCTGTTTTTTTTTTACATCTTTTTTTTTTTACCTTCTAGGAGCGCAACAATGTGATGGACGAACTAATGGAAATTGAGAGACTGCAGGTGATTGACTTTGCTCTGGAACAACGGAATAATGTCAAGAATGGCGTGAATCAGAGCTTCAGCAATAGTAAAAAAGGCGGAACAAAGAAATCGAAACCAAAGTAAGTAAAGAACTCTGTGCAACAGTAGAGGGTGTTTATCGATGGGATATCGAAGAACAGGAATTTTACAGATTCATGTGCTCCAAATATACAAGTTCGCAAACTCAAAGTTCACAAAGCTACAGAGGGCCGTACTCAAGGGGAGAGGAAGGGGGAGGGGGGGGGGGCAGAGTTAGCGTCACCGATCGAGAAACCATTTTCCCGAAACGTTAAAATATCTTTAGAAAATTGTCGTTAGGGGCGGGGATAATCTCATGGTGAAACAAGACCAGTTTACAAGAAATGAACAACTGGTTTAATATTTTGAGATAATCTACCAAACAAATGCGCGTGTATCGGAAGTGTTTTTTGGAAACTATATCGTAATCAACTGACTTCATTTCATGGTTGATATTTCAGACCACAGCTGATAGACTATGTCCTTGACTTTGGTTATGTCGTGTCTGATACTGCTCCAGAATACAGCTTCCACGCCGCCAACTGTGGTTATTTCCCAGCCTCGTTCATGGCAGATAAACAAGCATTACATAATTCTGGCTTTACCATTCACATGGATCGAGTGAAGAACTTGCCTGGATTTCCTGATCCAGAGAGCGTCGCGATCACCGTTGTCTTTGATCCAAAGAATGCCAACATCCCAGAAGGACCATTACGATCTCGCGTGCCTATCAATGTAGGTTCCTTGAGTGATGGGGTTGTAGGATTTCCTGGGGCCGGGGGGGGCTTGGTGTTGCAGGGGTGGGTGTGCACAACCCCCTAGAAAATGTCACATCCCTCCTGAATTTCAAACACCCCTCCCAAAGCAATGTCTAAGAAATCGTTTTGGTCGTTAGCCTTTTGGATGATGGTCTCCTTTTTTTGGTTTTACACACAAAGCAAGAAATGCATCTTTTGTATTTTGCAGATTCTAAATGGTCCAGTTATTGGTATAGTTTTGAAGGCCATCGTCACGATGCCAGATATGGCGCTTTCAACTAATATGTTGGATTTTGGGAATGTTCAGTGTGGTCAGTGTAAGCTGATGACTATGCAACTGTTGAATGATCAACATGTCAGGTATGGGTATTTTGAATTTCCTCTATAAATCGTCTTGGTCAATCAATCAAACAATTTAATAATTAAAGACTCGAAAATCAATAAATATTCATGTATTCAGTAAATAGGCAATCAATAATCGCACCATTTAGAATCAGTAAACAGTTAATAGGTAGTGATTAATTGATTAATTGATTGATTGATCAATCAAGTCATAAACAGCATATAGATGTATAATCACAAATCGTTCAAACGGTTTAAATCAAGATTTATTACCACTACCGACGTATTATGATAAATATATTACTGCAAGTGTATAATGAAAATTTTGGCATTCCAAACTTGTTCGCGTTCTAGGCGTCTCTTCGAACGATTGAACGCCGGTCAGATTTTGAACGCCGGTTAAATTACATTTATTTTATGTATTAATTAGCTGTCAGTGGTCTTCTGAGCCGGCGGAAGGCAAAAAGAAAAAGGTATGCTATTATGTTAAAATATTTTTGCGATCGTCCAAATGTGTATTCTTAAATAAATGCGTATTCTTAAATAAATGCGTAGAAAATAAATTATTATGTTATCACTCTTTTTTATCACTGAAATCTGAAGCAAAATGTGAAAAATTTATTTTCAGGTCGACAAGATAACTCCGTTGCATTTGCGAAAGAAGCTAAAGGCGGAACCATTGCAACCAAAACATTTTGAAATCATGCCACCATTTGGGATTTTAGCTCCTGGTCAGAGAATCAACGTTCAAGTAAAGTTCATGCCCACTGAGGAGGTATTGTATGAATTTCCACGTGGAATCATTGTCTATTCCTTATATTCCTTGAAACACATTTTAATAAAAGGAAATTTACATATACAGCATCTGCTGTCAATTGGGAATACGTTGGTTCATATGAATATATTTCAATTTTATCTCATAGATGACTTATAACCAACGGTTGAAGATCCGTATTGCTCAAACAAAGAACAAACATGTGATAACAGTCCGGGGTGAAGGAAGCGAACCTAAAGTAGAGTTTACTTCGTCTGTTCTGGAGTTTGGTCCAATCCTTCCTCATTCTTTTGGCGACGAGAAAGAAGTCACTATTCAGAATCCTTCGTCTTTTCCAATCGAGATATACTCGCTGGAGTTTGATAAACAATATTTGGAAGAAGAAAAGGTGACTTGATGTTAACATGCCCTATGTCGTCTCGTTTATCTCTGTCGTGTTCTTCTGTAGAAGTTATCTTCTGTCTATTCTGCTTCTCTCTATCATCTCCCCTTTCCATTTGTCTCCTCTCCATTGTCTTTTCTCCATCATGTCCCCATTCATTGTCCCTCCTCTCCATTGTCTTTTCTCCATCATGCCCCCATTCATTTTCTCTCCTCTCTATTGCTTTTTCTCTATCATCTCCCTATTCCATTCTATCTCCTCTCCATTGCCTTTTCTCTATCATGTTCCCATTCCATTTTGTCTCCTTTGCATTTTCTTTCTCATCGTATCTCCTTTGTATCCACCAAATATTACCAGTAAAAAGAACATTTTCTTCACCACAGATCTTGCGTGCTATGAAAGGCTACGATGAATACAATACGATCCTCTTGCCTCCGCGGAACGCTGGCGATCAACTACCCTCGGAACTCTCCGAACACTTTTACGAACAAGAAAAAGTCAAAGAGGAGAATGAGAAGAAGAGGGTTGAAGCGGTGGCTAAAATGTTTGATGAACAGTTGAAGGGCAGTCAGACAGATTTGCAAACTTCGCCTCATTCCGAGGTGTCACATTCTGCCTTTGATGAAGAAACGGCCGTGGAAGATTCGACCAAAATACCGCAAGATACTACCGAGATAACTAAAGGTATTTGCGTTTTGTTGAAGCTCAGCCGAGAATACTTCTCAATCTCGTGTACCCATGCACTTTCGAATAACACACGACGCAGAATTGTGATGATATTTCGACTTTTTTCTAAATTCGTTCCAAATCAATTGGCTTGACAATGACTTGAAAGTAAACTCGAAATTTCCTTAGAACTCTGCGTCATGTGTGTTTTATAACACAAATCTTGAGTTTGCAAGTTGGTGTTATTTGGAGTTTTATATTCGTTTTATATTACGTCAAATTGTCTGCGGTAGTAAATTTTGAATGATTCCAGCTTTCTTAGGACTTTAGTGGTCTTTACTATGTGGTCGCTACTGTGCTTACACAGGCTTTGGCAACCTTGTTCCCAGCCTCTTTGAAGTTCTATGGAAGCACTAAGCGCGCGAGGGTTCTTAGGCCGTGATGTACTTCAAAGAGCCTAGGAACGAGGCTGGGCTTCGATATCGAAACTCATGCGTACACTTGTAGTTCTTGACATATTTATTACTATTTTCCTCCTTTTGCTTCAGAAGATTCAGAGCCTGAGAAGACAGATGTTGGTGAACTTGAGATCACTCCAGTGTCTGCTGCCATCGCCAACTATATTGGTATTGATCTCTCCCCGGAAGGTCGGGCCGCAAGAAACAGACGCGGTATTTCCATTGTGGTGCACGGTGCGCCGTTATCTGGCAAGACTAGCACGGCTATCGCGCTTTCCAAATTATATAATGCTGTTTTAATAAACGTCGATGCTGTTGTCACCGAAGCAATACAACTGGGAGCGACCACTGCAGGTATAATAAAATTATAACATTGCTTTCGGAGTTCAGGGGCCGATTGTATCAAGCCCGTTTAGCTTAAACGATGGATAAGTCAAATTTAAATAACACTCTTACATCTCTCTTGAATGAGTCAACTTGAATATTATGCACTGAATATGTAGTTGTAAACAGTATCTTTGTATTACTTTGCGAAATTGGGCGTTTTTTGCGTGAATAGAGGGGTAATAAGTAATACCATAACACCCGCAGAGATTGGTGTATATCAAGTTTCAACCCGATAATCTAATCACTGGTTAACAATCATCCATTTCTGTATTGCTATCGAAGAGAAAACTATTGAATAACTTTGAAAAGTTCAATTTTTCTTTTGAATACGCATTCTGCAATCTTTTCACAGCTCATCATACACATTTGACAGCTGTGAAATGGCCATTTTGAGGCCTAAAGTATAGTGAGTATTTTCGATTTATTTATCCAGGTATTCGTGCTCGAGAGCTGTGCGCTGCATCTGCAAAGTCAGTTAAAGAAGCTGAGGAAGGCAAAGATAATGCGCTTTCCGGTGCGTTAAGCGTCGAGGCAGTCACCGCTCACACGGCGCAGACATCAGGTCAGGTCGGATTAGCCGGTACCTCGTCCGCTATTGGCGTCCAGTCCTCTATCAAGGAGTCTCGCCGTGCTACAAACTTCTTTGGCCCTAAAGGAAGCCAGGTTGGGAAGAATCAGCAACCCGCGCAACCTTCCCCACCCGCAAGCCCGCAGACGTCGGAACACCCGCCGCGGAGGTTGAGCGTCAGCGCCAGTGTTGCCGGGGAGGATGGAATGTATTCGTGTATTCTGCCCGAAGACTTGTTAGTTGAAATATTGGCTGAGAGAATGCAGGTATGCATGGCTCTGCTTTGACCATTAATTTCCAGTGCGCGCTGAATCATAGGCAGCAAGAATTTTAGTGCGATGTTGGTTAAAATTATTGCAATAATGTACATAGATGTTTCTTATCGGTTTTACCGGAGAAGGATCCTACTTTGATGAGATCTATTTTAAACGATACAGATTTTTTTGTGTGTGTGGGGGGGGGGGGATTTTCAACTAGATAGACTCTTTATAGCTGGCATATTTTCCAATACTTTATCTTGAAAGTTCCTTGCAAATTGCTTCAGATAAAAGAGGTTAGAATAGCGACAGGGGTGCTTACCATGTACCTTGTTGAATCGGAAATACCTCTCCCAAAAACAAATGGTATACAAAGAATTCTATCATAACTTTCCGAAAGAGCCTTGTACTGGAATTTCCGTTTCCCCAAAGTAAATGGTAATCACCCCACGTTGATGGCAGTCATGCACATTGTACATATTCCAACGCATTTCAACACAATTTTGCGCGTAAGTTTATATAAATACAGATTAAGATTTATGATCTTTTTCTCTCGGACTCAATATACTTGTTGTTTTAGGTGAACGATTGTCATCTCGGAATCATCATCGATGGCCTGGACAGCATGTTTACAAGAAACAGCCAAAGCACTGCGTGTTGTGTTTTACGCGCTCTAAACAACAGAAAATATATCTTCTTTGTTACCTTGACTTTGGATCATGCAAAACTGAAAGCTATTGATGAGAGAAAAAAGGAAGAAACGCGTAAGAATATTTTAATCCTTTAGGGGCTGTATACATGAGCCCGCTTAGCTGAGATTCCACGAAGCGTGAGATGACTTTGAGGTATTGAAATAAGTTTTTATGACACCAAACACGCACAATGTTATTGTCGCGGGTGATTACACGATTACCAGGATCGTGTTATATGCTCATTTCAATACCTCAAAAGTCACCGCACGCTTCGTTGAATCTCGGCTAAGCGGAATGATGTAAACAATCGGTCCATATTTGTTGTAGTAACACCTGTAGTGCTGAGCTATAGTTCAACTGAGATCAGTGGTCCTGGACTGGATTTCTAAAATTACGTGTTTGCCTTTCCACTAACATTTGCTAATAGCCTAATTCAGAGGCCTGCATTTGGTAGAAATTTGGTGAAACGAGCTATTTTTATCGTGCAATGACAACACAACGCGACACAAAAGTATTTTCTAGCATTGAGTCGATTGAGTCAAGTTGTTCGTGTCTTTGTAGTTCAAAAAGAACGCGAGAAGGAGGCAGCTGAGAAGAAATGGCTGGAGGAGATGTCTGAAGATGAATACGATGCTTTAAGTGAACAGGAGAAAAGTGATGTTGATAGAAAACGTTTGAATCAGAAGAAAGAGAAGATGAGGAAAGAGGAGGAGGAGAGATTGGAAAAAGAAAGAAAGGAAAAGGAACAACTTGCTTTGTTGGAGGAAAAAAGATTGGAAGAAGAAAGGTAAGGTGACTGTTTAGAGAAATACTCTTTATGCGTATTATAACTGTCCACGCATGATAGGATAGTTTGATTAATAAGTATAGTCTATAAGACTATAGGGACGGACTAATCTGATAAAAGAGTAATTTCTTAGCGGGCGACGATAGGGTAGTCGAGTGACAGAACATTTTGATGGCAAGGTAGTCGGGTGACAGCGTATAGTTTGATGACAGAATAGTCTTATAACTGGGTGGTTTGGTAATAGTCCGATCATTCAGTCCCAATTTAATACTGACCATCACTGAAGGCGTTGCATCTACTCACAAAACTGCGTGTGTACGAGATGTGCTGATCGCAATGAGTTATTTCTTCTCCAAGGGACAAAAAGGGTCGAAGGAAGACGGTTCAACAAGCATCCCAAATGCGGAAAGGCGCACCAGATTCCAAAGACAGCGAGAGGAAGCGAGAAAAAACATCTGACAAAATGTCCGGCACTCGTAGTGTCGCTCAAATTCATGAACATTCTGGTGTTCGAGGTGCTAATGCGCCATCGGCCATCTCAGAGAGATCAGATAGTTGTGATCCACCAGGTATATATGCAATGCTGTATATAAACTGATTGTTAAAACAAATAATTTAAAATTGGTACAAATTCATGTCTTTTGTTCAATTTTATTTGGTAAAAACAACAAAAATTGGTCGTTTTAACCAAGTTTTTAGTTATCTTAATCATTAAAAGGTTCAATAAATGAATCTGAGGTAACCAATTTTAAATTTGTACTGTTTTAACAGCGTCCAATCTTACCTTCTTAACTAAAGTATTAGACTCTTCTTTATTATAAATATCATAAGCCTCTGTCAGTACGAGTATACTAAAATCATGCAGTGACATGTGTTTGGTTGCAAAATTTTGCAAAAATGCAGAGAGTAGTAAGTAGTAACTACGTTCTCATGCTGTGAATGTGTTGTGTAGGAGGTGATGAACGTAAACGACCCAGTGTTATCAAATTGTCCAAGCAACGTCAGGCTTCAGCTCTTGCCACGCATGTGCCGCCTGTGATTGCTGTTGATGATAAAGTTTCAGAAGAAGATGAGAAGGAGAAAGAATTGATTAAAAAGTAAGAATTTTTTGGAAACAATTTTAAGGGTTGTTAACCGTTGAACCCGGTTACCAAGATTCAACGAAGGTATTGAAGAAAGTCTTTTTGAAACAAAACAATCACATGCTATTGTTAGGATGATTACACGACTACCAGAATCGTGTTATTTACTTATTTCAATACCTCAAAGTCCATTTTACGCTTCGTTAAATCTCGGGAACCGGGCTCATGTGAACAGTCCCTAAGGCATAAAATTCGTACTTTAAAAAAAGGTTAATCGCTAGCCTTTCTAGGGCCTGGTTCTTGGTCTGTCCACTTGCAACAAAACCGGATTTTCTTGGAATATTTGCAGGTTTCAAAAGTTCGAGGTTTCTCTACGCGACGTGTCCTCGCTGCTGGAGAACTGGGACAGATCCACGGGGAACGTGGTACGAGTTGACACTCCGAAGTCCGAAACGGAGCCTGAAATTACACAAACTGGATCAAACAAGAAGATGAGGGATAAGAAGAGCGAAAAGGAAAAAGAGAAAGAAAAAGTGCTGAAAGAGGTTTGGCCATGTTTCCATTCCACTATCGTAGTTTTATTTTCATATACTGGTGATTTTGCTGAGATCGTCTTCTTTTGGGAGATGAAAGCGAGTGAATAGCATCAATACTACTTGATCACATCCATCGAAGGAAGAAAATCGCATGTAAAATCGTAGTGAAGACTTGGCTTAACTAATGTTTATTTGCAAAATTACTTCGCTAAGAAACTCATTTAAAAACCCTCTTCAAAGTATTTAGACCATTCTCGTTTTTTTTACAATCGCTCCGTAGAAATATACAATCGCGCCATAGTAAGGCTCATTTCCGTCGTTGCAAGAGAGAGTTAATTTCCATTGTTATTGTTGTGTAATATAGAATATGGCATCTCCACGAGACAGTTTTGTATTTCCGATCAAAGATGAAGTAAAGACTGTGAACAAAGACGGTATTGGTGTTCCTCATGTTATCTTTGAGACCACAGCACCAGGTGAATCGCAGAAAGACAAACTGTTGTCCATGACGACCTTACCTACACCCCAAGAGGTTTGTTTTTAATTAAAAGTGTCCGCTAGCTACTAGCTAGCTTGTTAGTGTGTAGTTGAAAGCGATCAGACCCAATTTCTCTTCTGTTGGAAGAGGTTGGTTTTACTTTTCTTTTAAACTGCTCCATGTTTTTAAAATGTGGAAACTCTTTACAATTATATGATAGGAATGATACAATTTTCTTACTATGAATAACTCTTTTACGCATATACACAATCAAATTTAAACTCTATATTTCGATTCCGAAATATGTAAGGAATTAATAGTTCTTTTATCGATGCAAAGATTTTATTGTCAGTATAGAGGTAACAGATCATTGAGTCAAATTAATATGAAACCAGTCCATCGTATACTTAGGATCATTATGTGATGTTTCCATTTGGAACACCTTCGAGTTAAATAAATCTGAATTCAAACCTTTATAATTATGCCAAGTTTAGGTTTAACACATTGCTGATGAGTGATTCTTTTACCTTTCTGAGGCTCAATGTTTCCCCTTATTTTATTTTAGATCTTGGATGGTCTTGGTCTGGGTCCCCAAGGACCACCTATCCCTCCTCCAGTGACCTTTGCAGTGATCCCCTACCCTGTGAGGCGAAACTCACCCTTTGCATCTGATACTTCTCTTCATTACCTGTTTGTCGCCTCGGGACCAAGCGATCCTAACGTCGCTGTTGAAGAGAAGGCGAAGAAAGCTGATCCCGAAATTGAAAAGGCTGATTCTAGATCAGAGAAGGTATCCATAGTGTATCTTTTATTGAACAGTGACACTTTAAATTCCACCCTGAACAAATTTGAATGAAGATTGTGGCATAGGCCCTCTTCTGCATTCGTCAAAATGATAAAATTGCATGCAACTTATCGTTTAGTCTAAATGGGCCTTTCAATAGACAAAAAACTGTCTATTTTAGGCAGTTGTTACACCACATTTGATGCAACTTGTTTGAAGAGGCGGCCACACTGCTCCCTGCATGGTTATATTACTATGGATATTCGGGCCTAGATTATACGCTAGATTTTGCTCGTGTCAAATGCAATTCAAACAATAGATAATGAGATGATAAGCCTCAATATTGTATCTATCTAAACTAGGCCTAATCAAGTTCTTTCTTCAGGAACATAGTAGTCGAGGTAAAGGTGCTGCAACCAAGATGAGTCGTGAGAAAGACGAGCCGCGGGAAAGTGGCGCGAAATCAAAACGTGACCGAGTATCCAGCAGCGGTAAAACAGCAAGAAGAAGTTCCCTGAGTGCTGCCTCATCTCCACCACCAACACAGGAAGATGGAAGATTAAGGTTTGTTCCCGCGGGGAAGCTAGGGGCTGGGATGTTTATACTATGCAGTCTACGCTATATTACCCACATTTCGGGACCCTTTTTTGTTGGTTATTTTTCATAGTGTTCTTTCTAGCCGTAGCATATTGCATTTTGTTTCGAACGTCGATCTTTTGATGTGCAGAGCATATATACTGTTAATGAGCTAAAGTCTTTCTAAAGACCTTTGTCAATGGCCCGATTTATACTAGAGACGGGTCATCCGTCTAGACGAACTAGGGAAAGCAAAAGATAGTTCGTATTCTAGTTCGTCTGCGTGTATACACGGGCAAACAGACAGGTCAACCGTCAACACGAATTATCCGACGAATTTGAATGAGTAGTTCGTCTTAACGCATCATCCGTCTGGTAGTATCGATACGTGATTGGGACGAACTATGGAAAATTCATTATAAAACGGCTCTTGTGCACTCTTTTTACTACATAAATGATTTCCCAACTCTTTTGCACTTTCTAAACGTGCGATTCTGTTTCGTGTGACATATTCGTCTACATAGTTCGTCTAGATAGTTTGTCTTGCATATTTGTGTTTATACTCAGACGAATGATATCTGTCAGGGATACTCAGACGAATAACCCATCTCTATTCTCTAGTATAAATCGGCCCAATAGGAATCATGCGTGCGCTGTATTTTATACGATATATATTCACCATTGTAAGAAATATTTACTCTCATTTTATTTAGTGGCGAGGGTGCGTCGGCTACGAACGCAATCTTGAGCACACATCGCTGGGTCATACCTGCGAACGGTTCTAGTCTGTTGCGAATAAGATTCAAATCTGAAGATCTCGGTCAATTTGATCAAACGCTGAACTTCGAAATAGTCGGCACGAGACGTCGATATCAAGTGTTCTGTCGTGGAGTTTGTGCCTTTCCTTCGATCAGTCGAGAGCCGCGCATCGTCTTTCAAAACCGCAGGAAGATCAAGAAACGCGAGGAGATCGTCCACAAGAAATTCATCTTGAACAGCGAGACCTACGAATTTGGTCCACTTTTGTGCGGGAAAACCCGCGAGAAATACAAGGAAGGAAAGTACCCAGAAAACATGGAAACTATTACAATCTCGAATACATCACCTCTGCCTGCTGAGGTTTCCTTCTGTTTCCAACATGATAATAACGGAACGACATTCCTTGTGGATCCTCCGAACATGACTTTACCATGTGGTGCTAGCGAGGTAGGCCACCCTTACATTATAGTTGTCTTCGTTTAAGACTGTAAATTGACTGTAGACGATACAGCAACAAATTAACGAATCAAGTATGCTTCAAATACAATCCCAATTTACAATCCCGATATAAAAGTCGAAAAATTTAACGTTCCACAAGCTAATGTACTATATAATTAGAAAATTTTATAATGTATGAAAAGATATATATAAAAATATACATGAAACGCTACTATATATGTAAAGAAATTTAAGAAAAGCCGAGGCCAGATTTACAGTACATATAGCTATAGTGGAAGCAATTTGAACTACTAGATTTCCGCGCCAATATCAGCCTATCGAAACTCTCAAATTTCTACCGAATAAATCCAGGTTTGGCCAGCCCTATAATTATATAGCCTTGTGTTTACCCAACGCTATAGCAAACAAGGTTTAAATATTCATTTACAATCTTCCCCCCCCCCCCGTTTTTAGACACTCACAATGTGGGCTTACCCGAAGACATCTGGATCATTTGAAGACGTATTGGTTTGTTGTGTTCGCGAAAATCCAGAGCCAATATTGTTTAAAATCAGCTGTCATGGCGTGAGACCTGAACTAGAATTGGACAGAAAGCAATTACCGTTTGATCGTGTCCTTTTACACAGGTAAAACGTCCGTGTTATGACAGAAACTTATTTGAACACATTATTCGTAGTATTAATCCCAAATCGTACTCACTATTGCATACCTATACTTTCAAATCTAATTAAGCAGTAACCTATCTTATAAACTTGGCGCTCAGAGTTTAAGGTCCAGTTTTGAAAGAATCCTCATTAAATTACGTGTATTTGAAGGCCGGGAACTCAACGTGTTTCTCTTTTTATTCGACAGGAAAGACACGAAGACTGTGTTTCTTCGTAACAGTACATTACTTCCAGTACAGTGGCGGTTGAATGGTTTAGAAAATCTTGGTGATGACTTCTCTGTTATAACAGATCATGGCGTAATTGAACCGAGATCAGAGTATGGTCTTCAAGTGCATTTCAGAGCCGCCCGGCCAGTCACTGTCAAGAAGGTGATCAGGTTGGAGGTAAGAATCACGGACGTCTTTAGAATTGGTGCTTCGCCTGGCGTTGTTCTAATTTTATTCTCTAGGCTAGAAAAGTCTCTTTTTAGTATGTTGCTAAAATGTGTACACTTACATGTAGGTATCAGACGTTGAACAGATAATGGGTTTAGTTCAAGCTGAGAATATTCAGGTCATTGGAGAAGCTTATGACGTCGCTTTGGACATTAGTTTTCCAAAAGGTACAGTTCACTACTCATTGAACTAGTTCATTACTCAGTGGACCTATTTTAATTGCTTTTATAAATTTATCCCTACGTACTAACCCATAAATCGTATAAAGTTATCCTTGCTTACTAAACTCTAAATCGAGAAGGTTGACAAAAACATGGGTATGACCGGGCCCACTCATTTTTGAAGATTAGATTTTCCCAAGTCAGGTGCCCACTTTCCCTGTCGTGCCTACACCTCTATGCTTCCTGGAGCTGTCTGCACCCTCCGTACCAGATAAGCTTGGATCCTGTACCCCCCTGATTGCAGTTGGTAACCAAAAGATGAACATAACCAAATAGTTAAAATTTTCGAATGAATGCTGTACGCCTTAAATACTATTCGTATAAGCCATATTGCTGGGGTTTAGATAAATGTTATCCGTTAAATTAGACTTTATTTCATGTTTTCTATCACAGGAGCTGATGGCGGTCTTGATTTTGGAGTTTTGAAAGTATTCGACGAATCCAAGCAGTCCATGTCATTAAAGAACAAAGGACGTTATGAGATCAGTTACAATTTTGTATTCGATACGACGAGAAACGCGAATGTCAATGAATTACTCACAATCGTACCTCAGAAAGGCGTTCTGGTTCCTACGGAAAGACCTACACAAGTTGCGGTTATTTTTAGATCACGTTCCGAAGTCTCATTCAAAGACGAGACCATGTTGAAGTGTCAGGTGAGGAAAGTGAATTTGTCGCTTCTTACATGCAAGCGCGGTTACAGTAAGCGCAAATCACCTCTGAGAACAGACCACCGAGATTTCTTTTATCGGGGATTAATGGTGGGTTATGGTAAAGGCCTGTCGATCAAAAGCTGACCTTAAATTGGCGAACGCTGTAAGCCCTCGTATCACCATTTTTTTGTCTATCTGTTGTACATTTGATGCGAAGACGTTTGATGGTGTAAGAATATTCCCAAATGTATCTCTTGGCACACTTTACAACTCAAATCAATGTTCTATGCATTCAATCTATATCGTGAAACATTTGGTTATTCTTTCAAGTTTTACTTTTTTATCTTGATTTTGTTTCATGTAAATTTTAAAATTATACGAATTACCAAAAGTGCATATGTATAGACATAATATCAAAATTCAAAACAGAAGGTTTCATCTCTAATTGCCCGAGATTTTCTTTAAACGTCCGCGAAGTGGTAGTAAAGAATCTGTCATTTTTATTTTTCATATTTATTCCGTTACGTATTTTCCCAGATAATCGAGCCACACATCGGAAGCGCTGGTGAAGTGATTGCCAGTATTCCAGTTAAGATCAGTGTTCGGTCAGTGTACAGTAAGTACACAATCTACCCAATCAGCGATATCAACTTCGGAGCAGCTCTCATAAACACGAAGAAGACGCGAACGTTCACGATCGAGAATAAAGGAGAGTTTGATTTCCGATACACGATTATGAAGATGATCAACGCCTTAGGACGGCAGAAACAGGTTGGACCCAATTTGAAACGAGAGGGGTCTGGGTCGAATCGTTCCCAGCAGCCAACTCAACAACATCAAGGTTCTATAAGCCTTGGCGCTGGAGCGAAACCCAGACGAGCTGATTCGGTCAAAGGGTAAGTTCTATTGGGTTTGTCACTTAATTTAAACAAATCCTAAATTTATTTTAATCCCAAATTTAATCCTAATCTGCATTCATAATCTTGAAATCAGTGCCATCTAATTCAAAGCGTTTTACGTCGTTTTGATCCGTTTGAATAATATGGAAACTTGCCTTGAAATCTTATTGCGATTATACACCCTGACCGTATTTGTTCTCTGACAAGAAAGCTCCCAAATCGACGAAAGATTATAAAGTTCAATTATCCTCCAAATATTGGTTCGTTTTTTAAGCAAATCCAAGGACATTACGTTCGATAATCTCATGAGCAACTTCGATTGGTCAGTTTCAAACTGATTTAAGTATTACACCTTGTTGCATCTAGATGCGCTTCTAACATTGGCGTAACTAGAAAGATAATTGTGAGTGGGGGGAGATTAGTAATCTGTTCAGTTTAGCCAGACGATTTCTTTTATGCCATAGCTTACAATAGAAATCGGTCAGGCAGAATTGAATAATTATTTAAATAAACACCTCCCCCCAATTATTGTTCCAGTTACGCCTCTAGCTGGCAAGGGCAATATCAGACAGTTTATGGATTTACCAACCGTTTGAAAATGGCAAAGATTCAGAAAGTGCCACCCTTTGGGACACACCACTGTGATTTGTAACAATTTTGTTCACCTCATTCCTGGTCGAACTAGATATCTCTTTGCATTTTTACGAGTGAGGCGTCTTCTGTTTTATAGAAGTGAATATTTTGGTGGCGGTGCGCCGAATATCCGCCAACAGATTGGAATGTTTACACTGTACCCTGCCGTTGGTGTTATCAGCCCGGCTGCGTCAATGCAAGTTACCATCGACATGATGGGAGAGAACCCCGGATATTGTGAAGAAGTATTTTTCTGCCCATGCACTCTATTACACGATTGTGTCAAAATTGTATATCTAATAATAATGATCTCCCATCTTCCAGCTTTTAGCTATCGAAATCACAGACAGACAACCATCTGATAATCCTCATGGTATTCCCTACAAACTGATTGGCGAAGCGGCCATCCCAGGCATCAGTGTGATCAGTCCAGAATATATTGGATCAGTATTTGAAGAGCATCGTATTGTGCAGAGTCTCAGTCGTTTTCAGTTCCAATCTGCTGAATTAGGCAGCGGTACCGGCGTGTACGGTGAACAAGAGAATAAGTTTATGTTCTTTAATTCAATCGTTGGAAGGAAAAGTTCTGCGAGGTTTAAGATCACCAATCCAAACAAGGTGAGGCACCTCAAGAATTTTTAGTAGGTGTTCAGTATAGTTTAGTAATATGAATTATTGCCAGTGATCAAATAATGCCCAGTAATGTGCAGTGATGTCCAGTCTAGTCCAGTGATGTACAGTGATAAATAGTGATGTACAGTGGTAAATAGTGATGAACAGTGATAAATAGTGATGTACAGTGATAAATAGTGATGTACAGTGATAAATAGTGATGTACAGTAATAAAATAGTGATGTACAGTGATAAATAGTGATGTACAGTGATAAATAGTGATTTACAGTGATAAATAGTGATGTACAGTGATATGATATGATTGACAGATATGTGCAAGGGTATTCAGCAATATGCGGGAATGTGCAGAGATGGGCAAGATACCCAATAATATACATGCAGTTATATGCAATGATATTTATTGATATGTATTGATATACACTCATGTGCAATGATAAGTAGGGATGTACAGTGATATGCAAGTGATGTGTGTATTAATGTACAATGATGTACAACGATGTTCAATATTGTACTATTATGTTGGTTTATGTTAGATCGCATAGCGTAATAGTGTTTAAATTATATTTAACATTCTCATCCCATTTGCTTTCCATGTTCAGATATCCTGCGATATTATGATCACAGTGAAACCCACGTCAAGCAAAGCATCCGCAAAATGGCACGATGTCTACGAAGTTAGTCCAAGCCGAGCGTGTATTGGAAGATATGGCAGTCTGTACGTCACCGTAACGTTCACACCCCCCGCCATGCAAGTTTACTCCGCAATATTTGAAGCTGCGGTTGACGGAATGACGGGGGTGGTGTCACGGTACCGTAGCCTCACGTTTGATATTCAAGGCGATGGAAATTTGCCTAGAGTCAGCATACAACGACCTGCAACCCGCAACAAATCAGGCAACCTGATTATGCTGTTCAAACCGCTCCTGTTGGGTAGAGCGCAAGTGCTACCCTTGGTCCTTACGAACGATGGAAATTTAGATGCTGATGTCAAGATGACGCTAACGGACCCCGAAAAGTCGTTCTCCATAACACGTACCAGTCTCTCGCAGGACGACGAAGTACCGAAAGACGATATCCTACCAAAACAGATCACTCCAAATGACATATTATTCCGACTTCCGACCACGAAGTCTATAGAGTTCGCAGTCCAGTGTAAACCAACCCTAACTGACAAGGTCATCGGGGAAATCAGATTTTCTGTGCGCGATAATCCGTATGAGGAGAATGCTCTGCAGTTGATGGGTGAAGGTTACAAGGAAGATGTCACTATTGATAATATTATAAACGGTACGAAAGATACCATCGACAGCGCCGCAGAGCGAAGTGGTAAGCATGAGATATTATGAAATAATCAGGGGCCGGTTGTTCGAAAGGCGTTCAGCTCAAACGGTGGATAAGCCAAAGTTAAAAATACTCTCATACATCTTGTGAATGACTGAACCTGCATTTTATGGATTAAATATGTACTTTGATTGAGAATTAAGCTATTTACATCGAAATATTTCAGCTCATTTGTCCAATAAAGAGATCTTTTTGTTTTCCATTTTGAACTTATTCGCCGTTTAAGCTAAACAATCGGCCCCAGAACAAGGACCATACAGAGGTTTAGGACAGCTTTGTTGTTGTTTATTCTCATATCAAACGCAAATAACCATAGGCCTCGAAAATGCCAAATAGATGAATTTCTTAATTTCTTCCCTCCGAAGTTATAACTAAGAAAATAATGTTGTGAACTTATTACTCAAATCTTCTTAACATTGTAATGTCAATTTTGTTTTCATTTTTGTATCCTTTGGAATTGTATTTCCTTTTATTCGCTCAACTTTAGGTATCGATTCCGGAAAAGACGTTATTCACTTGTTTGGTTGATAAAAAATGCCTCAAAACCGATCAAAAAATTATTATTTACTAGTAATATAACACTCAAACAATATATTTCTGCCTAATTGTAGCCTCCGTAACGCAGGCTTTTTTCATTGCCTTTACAATTACAGATTTAAAAAATTGCATCTTCATCTTAATCTTAATTCCATTGTTTTTTCAGATGGAAACCAAGTCTTCTTTGGTGACTGTTCTATCAGTGTTGCGAAGAAAGTTTCATTTACACTGACCAACCATTTGGAACACGATGCAGTGCGATTTAGCTGGTCCCCCGCGGAAGGTCTTACATTTACACCTTGCATTGGACACCTTCTCGCGAACTGTGCCAAAGACATCTCCGTTTCATTCACCTCCGACAAGCCAATCACATTAGATAATGTTCCCGTCAACTGTAAAGTTAGCAAGATAAAGCTGGCAGAGGACAGCAAGAAAGTAAGATGTTGTTGTTTTTTGTTACGATACGCCAGTTTTCCTGTATTTGTCTTCGTTTTCGAGATATTACCATCTAGATTTTAAGACGGGAGTTGTGCATGACAACTCTGTTACCCTCTATAAATCTGTTATAAACCCTACGGTTCTGCGTTTGGCCTATTCTGTTATTAAACGTGAACTATCTTTTCAAACAATCAGACCTTAGTTATTTGTTGTTTCTGTGGCATCAGTTTTGCATCAATTCAGACTAGTGGAAGAGTTAGGCAGATGTAAAAATGAAGATAAATTTGAATGCAGATTTCTTGAATCACCCCAAAATACTACTGAAATTCAACCGAACCGGTCTGGCCGTTTTTACCGTATAAAGGAAAGCGCCGTAATATTAAGGTTAAGAATCGCAGAAGGGAACATGTCACAACTTTGAAGTTACATCACAAATATGATTACATGATTTTACCGTTTTAAGGCTGTGGACTGGGACGACCGAATGCGAACGGTGAAGTGGATTGACGTAAACGGTCGTACGACAACGCGCGAGGAAGTGCTGTCTTCAGGAGGCCAGAAAGCGACGTCTGAAGTTGGCAAAGAAAGAGCCACGAAGAGGAAAATATACGAAACGGAAACAGAGCCAGCTCATACGGTTATCGATCCAGATCAACCCAGGATCTTATCACTCGGAGTAAGCGCTAAAGTCGATTACGCCACCTGTGAATGCCCCGTGAACTTGGTTCATTTTAAGGATACGCTCATGTTTCAAACACGAATTTACAGGTATGATTTGGAGGGTATTAATATGTTCAAAGTATACCTAATTCACTTGCATAATAGACCAACTTACGAAAAAGCTAAAAAGAGCATACCACAGCTAAAAAGATCATACCGAAATTTTTATAATTCGCAAGTACTGCTGTAGTACGGTAAATATAGCCATGGGAAGTAGGCAATTTTGTATACTTGTAGTACGTGCAGAAGTGTGTAACTAAATTACTTAGCTTCTTGCAACTTCGCATGGCTATATCTTCGATACTTTACAATATTTCGCAGCCAAACTTGGCAATTTTACTAAGTTCGGAAATTCTTTTTTCAGCCTGAATCAGAAGTTGGTCTATTGTGCAAGTGATCTATTCGCCAAGAGTGAAATAGACAAAAACGGCCTTATTCTAGATAAACAACTACTGCGGCAATCCATACAAATATTAACTAGGTTGAACAGGAAAATGAACTGTCTGATAGTGCTAGAAAACACTCACGTATTGTTACGTACTGTGTTTGTTTCTGATTTAGCTTCGACCTTTCCAATACATCCCCAGTCGGTCTTGATTATGCATTGGAAGGGATTGAAGATGCAAGTCAGTCATCGCTGAATGAACACCATCCTCCCGTCAGAACAAGCAGTCAATCGTCGGGTCTTGTCCAGGTAGGCTTTGTTCAATAATAGGTAATTTTAGCATTAGTGGAAACTGTCAATACAATATTTTAGCGCTCAGTTTGTTCTAGCCGACGATGAACTTTTAGCTTCACACATATTTTTGTAATACTAGGATGCGACATTCCCTTGTTCTCGACCAACAACGGCTATGGAGGTGGTGTTCGAAACTGGAAGCATAAGCAGCTGTCTTTTGTCGGATAGTTTGCCATTCACGGTAGAGCCAAGTCACGGTCGTATCCCTCCCGGCGAGTCTGTTCCTATCACCGTCAGATTTGCACCTTGCGATATCACGGAGTACCAAGGACTTCTCAAATTTACGTGAGTATTTCAAAGGAAGATTCCTTGTAGGAACTGGTTCGTGTTCTAAGTTCAGGTTCCAACCTGGGATGACCGTAGAAAAAGTTTAATATTTCCATTAGGAACCTGTTGTACGATGTATGATCTTATCAACCAGTACAAAAATGCATGAAAAGTAATAAAATTGAAGATATCGAGCCAACAAGAATAACAAGAAACAATATTTTAAGAACGGGAAGATTCAATTCAAAATGTTACCAAAACACGAGAAATTTCAGAGCGATTGAAAAATTTACTATTCGGTGCATAGCGCTATCCGGCCTTCGTAAAATCCGACCCGGTACCATAACAGGAAGCCTTTCTAGGCTTTTTTTCGTAGTCATGTTATTTACTATCTATTTTTTCAGAATTCCCAATCTCCATCCAGACTCCGAAGTTCCTGAGGTCAAGTTGAAAGGGCGAAGTCTACTCCCATATTGTCATTTCGAGCTTGAAGAATCTGATTACATCACTGGTGGGCGACGGAATCCCGAATTACCTGGTCCCTGGGGGGCACCCCCTGGTACTATGCTTAATCCCAACACGAAGGTCATCGAATTCCAATCATGTGGTGTCAAAGTAAAAGTGACAAGGTAGGGTGTATCACCTGTGCACCAGGTTATACATATCAGGAACAACAAGGGGGAATTTCGTTTTAGTTTGCGAGTTTGTTTACATTTTCAGTAAGCCAATCAGAATTAATAAATTTTGACAAAAAATACAATATATAGCATTTTACATGAAGTGTTAAAATTTTGCTCTTCGCCACTTGACGCCTGTATTCTAAAAGCTCACTCACACTCAAACTCATTGAGTGGGAGATCTCAATCTTCCATGAAACTTTCCCATGACGGTATTTTCAGTCAAACCTGAGCTTTATTTTCAATGTTTTACCTAAAATCTTTTCATTGACTAAAAAAGAACTTACAAGGGTCCAAACGTATCCGGGTTCGTTGCGTTTTCAAAAGTTTCCACTCTGGAGAGCGTTTTCGCCGGATACTTGTGGTCAGGGTCTAAAATATAACCGAAAACGCCTTGACGTTTCGACCTGCGGCCTTTTTCAGAAATAATATATAGTTTCAGAACTAATTCTCTTGACGAGACCCTTGAGACGAAGCATTTGTCACGTTAGTACGTGACAAATGTTTCGTCTTAAGGGTCTCGTCAAGAGAATTAGTTCTGAAACTATATCTTATTTATTATTCTATTCACTAATGTACCTGTTTCATAAGAAATTGTCCGAAGATGCGGCCACGCTTTTCATCCACAGCCTCATATCGGAAATGATTGTGTTTGTTGTTTTCACAGAGAATTTTTCATCGTTAATCCAACCGATATGGATCTAAACTTCGTGTGGACGCGAGAGGATCCCTCTGATGGCCGCGGTGGTCAAGCAAACCTCACGTGTACACCGAAAGAAGGACTCATTGAAAGCGGCAAGAAGATTCAGATGAAGTTCGAGTATATCTCAAACAACCTCGAATTAACCGAATCGTTCTGGCGGTTCTTCATTCAGGAACATAACATTTCGCTTCCATTCCTATTGGTTGGACATACCACTGAACCCAATGTATCGCTGGATAGATCACACTTTAATTTCCGTGAAATACTCGTCGGTAAGATTGTGATTATCATATTTCTATTGTGATTATCATAATTCTTTTTTCAAGCTCATTTGCACCATTTGCAAAAAACCAGCTGCGATTCAGCCAAAAAGAGGGGAATTATAAGTTACCTTTTTCTTTACCGTTTAGTGTACTTTAATTAAATAATAATGTAATTCAATGTAATTGGATTGTATTTCAATAGTTTTTGTTTTATAATGCACCACCGCGTTTAGATCATCTCGAAACTCGGAAAACTTAAACGTTTTACTAAACTTACAATTCTATTCCAGTTGTCTTAGAGTTCTTTGGTCTTATTGAGAAGTTTTGAATTTTAATTTCTTTCTTAATTTTACCGAACACATTTAGGTTTCCCAGCAGAGCAAACTGTGTATCTGGTGAACGAGGAAGAAAAGGCGTTTAATTTCTCGTTTGATGAAGATTCCTGCCACGCAGACGCCCATGCGGCTCGATTGTTTGTCGAACCCATGTCTGGCTCCATTCCTGCAAAATCCAGGTATATCATCTCCAATGAATGAAAATATTGTTTTATTGCTCATTTCTCCTGCTTCTACCAACAATATGCACCGTCCCCTTCACCCTAAAAAACGACGGTGCCTTATAGGCCTATTTCAGACCAACTTTTCGTGGGCCGAATCGAATGCAAATCACCTTAGCTTAGAAAGCTTAATAACATTAGGTTCGGCACATGAAAAGTTCGTCGTCTGAAACGGGTCTTATATTAATTGGTGCAAATCTCCCACGATGAATCTTTAATTGTCTATGCAATACCTCAGTCACCCAGTGGCGTAACTAAATCGATAGTTGGGGGAGGTATGAATAATATTCATACATACAGTTCTGCCTGACGGATTTCTTTTGTAAGTGCAATAGCTTTTAAAATAGAAATCCGTCGGGCAGAACTGGATATATGAATATTCACCCTCCCCCCCGCAAATTATCGTTCTAGTTCCGCCATTGCAGTCACCCTGTCAAAAATCTACGTTTAAGGACTAACTCTTTCTTTCTCTTACCACAGACTTCCATTAGCACTGCGTTTCACGCCTGCAGCTCAGAAAGAGATTAACTTCAACGTTGTGTGTAAGGTAAAGAAGAAGACGGTGCCGTTGACGCTGAACGTTAAAGCCGAAGGATTCGCCGTGAATGCTTGTTTGATTTGCGAAGATTCCGCTGGAGAAAAAATAGAATTAACTTCATCAGGTTCCAACAGAATACAGTTTGGTGAGGTGTGTATAATAGGGAGTGGCTGAATTGCTAGATTATACCCTAATTTTAACCGTCTGCAAAGGATTTAAAGGCTTCGGGGAGATTCATTTTGATTTGAGAAAGGTTACATTCACAAATGAATCGTATAAAGTTGCCTTGTGAAACCTCAATTACAATTCTAGGAAAAACAACATTGATTTTTTTGTATGAATGTCTCAAAAGTGACATGTTATGGCCATTTTGACTGATTTCAACACCTTATTTTAACAGTATTTCTTATGTTTCTATTTGTCGCATTTATTTGTCGCATCTATCTATTTTTTTCTGTTTTTAGATCGAAATTAACGAGAGAGCACTACGTCAACTGTTCGTTATTAATTCTGGGAAATTCAACTTTGATTTCACTTGGATCTTAGACAACAAAAGCAAGTTGAAGCATAAAAATAACAAGCCCGTGGTTTCTATCGGTCCACAAAAAGGCTCTGTTCCGTGTAACTCGCGCAAGAGATGCATGCTTACATTTTGTCCACCTGGAAAGTATACTTTAAAAGAGTGTACACTTATATTGAAGGTGAGATTTCCAGTGTATGTCAAGTAAGGTATAATGTATACATATGTTATATCCTATACAGTATAGAATGTGGTATTGTATATGATATAGTATATGGTATTTTATGTGGCATGGCATTGCATGGTAAGGTATGGCATGATATCGCATGGCATGGCTCAACTTCGTTCCCAGGGTCTTCTGTGTTCATGGCGCGCATGGCATTGCATGTTATGGTGTGGTGTGCTGTGTTATGGTGTCGTATGGTTGTTTTGTTGTATTCTACATCGTCAAAAACATTGTTTTTCTTGCCTGTAGATAACAAATGGACCAACTTACAACATTGAGATCACTGGCAGCGGCATTCGTCCATCTCTAAAATTCTCTTTCAACCGTTTCGACTTTGGCCCATGTTTTCTCTACCGTGCTGGTATTGCACCACAGAAGACCACTTTGGTCCTTACCAATGAAGACAACAAAGACATCAAGTAATTATTATTTTATTTAAGGTACTCAGGTTTAGGGAAATGAATGCATCTCCGGAGCAAAGCAATCTCCACCTTTTTTTTCTAAATCATCTGATTTTCAAGTATACTGGTAAACACTGATTATAACTGTATCATTTTAGTGTTCAATGCAAGTACGAGAATACGGCTTTCCTTGAAGTGCAGTCACAGCCATCAGTATTACCATCTGGGGAAAGTACCGATGTCAACATCTTGTTCTATCCCAGAGAATGTAAACGCTATCATGAAGTAATCCCCTTTGAAATCAACGGCCTGTCTTTGATGTCGGTTGATGTACTTGGACTAGGGACAGAAATTAAGGTAATCTTGCTTATTTTAACAATTTTCAATTGGATATATTCAAAGTAATAACAAAAATGGCTGGTAATCTTTTGGCATCAGAATTTAATTGTTAAATATTTAGTACAGATAGTTGTTCAGAACAATGTGTGAAAAAAAATTAACTTAATGTTTGAAGAATTGAAGTACATTTTGTTACAAAATTATGTTTATAAAATTACAAAATTATGTCACAAATTTTACCATCAGGTGGATGTCTGCAACCCGGATGATCGTAAAGTCAACTTTGGCGCCCTTCGTGTTGGCCAGTCAGCGGAACGTGTTGTGAAACTGCGTAACAACAGTGCAGCGGCAATCACATTTTCGTTGGTCATTACTCCGTCTTTACCGGTCCTTCAACAGTCTTCCGTCCTTTCTGTCTCTCCTTCATCAGATATCACGTTAGAGCCGAATGGTGGTTCATGCAACGTTCACGTGATGTTCTCGCCAACAACAAGAATTCCACAGTTTACTGAAGAGGTAGACTCGTTACCCTGCATATTTTTTAAGATCTTTGATAATCCCTGATGTAGTCATATTCATTTCAATTGCCCCGCTAAAGCAACTTCTAATATGATTCAAAAAAAATTCTAGATTGAAATATTGTATGATATATTAAAATATTGTAAATATTGAACTATCGATATTAAAATTTGTAAAATTTTGTAGATTACTAAGGCAGGAACTCGCAGGCAGTTTTTGCATGTTTGCAGTGTGCAAACGGTCGTTTCAATCTAATAATATATGTGTATTTGATAGACACATCCTTCTTTTGCTACAGGTGATGTTGGAATGTGCAGGTTTGTGTCAAACCGTGTTCCTAGTCTCTGGCTTGTGTCAGGCAGTGGACATTAAGCTGGATACAACCTCGGTTCCATTTGGTGCAGTCGTTATCGGAAGTCAAAGTACTCGTGTCGTGGTCATGCAGAATCTTGGCGATATTGGTGCGAGGTTTTCATGGAAAATGAACGAGTTTAGTTCGGATTTCTTAGTCGAACCAGTCAAGGGTTACTCCTCACCCGGCACAGAAGTCTCGTTTCAGCTGACATTCTCCCCTCAGAAAGTTAGCCAAGATATACGAAGTGAGGTAGGGCTATATATAGTAGTTGTTCTCATACGGCATTCTAGGAGAGTGAGATGGGTACCGCAGTACAATACCCAGAACATTCTATTTATAATGATTTGTAGCCAGGTCGGCATGGGGTAGCTCTGTACTTTGAACTTCTCGCTGTAGGAACTAATCCGAACCCCACTCTCTCTGAACATGGCGCTACACAGAGTACTTAAGTATCCCGTTATGCGTTTCTGTTGACTGTTATAAACCACCATGCAGCATTGTCATATTAAAGGGTTTAAACAATTCACCCTTGAACAATCAACAAAGTTAACATTTTTTGACCGTGATTTATTGAAATATTCTGCATCTTTATAGGTGAGCTGTTATATTGAAGGTGACAGCCCATTGAAATTAGTGCTGACTGGAAGCTGCGTTGTTCAAACTCCGGTTAAAGAGGTACGCTTAATCTGAAAAGTTCTGCAAATACATACATACTAAGTACTACATCATGTCAGAACGCTCTGACAGTAAAAATAAGGTCGATCAAAGCAATGTTCCCTTCTATAATGATACATTGCAGCGTGTTGAAGGTTTTCGCACTGTAAGGCTGAGCTCACGCTGTCAAGTTATTTATGATCACAGTTGGAACTTGCAAACAACAAATCCTAAGTTTTAAAAGATTTGTTGAAAATACTGAAGGGAACTGTAACAATAGTTAACACTTAGTTATTTCATCCTAATATTCAGTACAAAATTTTTAAAACTGTGGATTTAACAACGCAAAATTGCAACTGTGATCACACAAACTTTGATAGTGTAAAGCGGGCCTAAGAATCAAGCCACATTAGGATTAAATTTCTTTGCTGCAAGAATAATAAAAGGTAGTATAATAAGTGAATTTAGGCCTGTTTCAGACGTGGAACTTTTCATTTGCCGAATCGAATGCAAATGATCTCAAACAAAGCCTTCAGCTCATCTACATTAGGTTCGGCACATGAAAAGTTGGACGTCTAAACCTGGCCTAGGTTTGCAACAAAAATCTTCTGTTTTTTACAGGTCCTTCATTTTTCAACGCACGTTCGAACACGTGAAATGCGAAGTATTGTGTTAAACAATCGCACTAACTTGCTCTGGCAATTACGTCCTAAAATCGACGGTGCTTTTTGGTCAGGTCCCGATGTGATTGTTGTTCAACCGTTACAAAGTAAAAATTATGAGTTGACGTATAGACCGCTGGTCATGACGAGCGAAGGAAAGAGGCACCAGGTATATATGCAAAAAATGATCCGATAGATCCGAAACATATTTCCATAGTAAGCATAGGCAACGCCTTAGCAAATTTGCAATCAATCTTAGAAAATGTGTCTTTAGCTATTTGCTTCACAATCGTATTTCAATTTATGTGGTTTTGTGGACTTTACAGTGCATAGACCAAAAGGTCTGCGCAAAAGCAACAGTCGGCCATGAAGATTGTATTTTGTTCAACAGGGTTCCGTATTCTTTCCCCTTCCTGATGGAAATGGCTTGTTGTACAACGTTACTGGAGTTTCTGAAGCGCCCAAAGCCATCAGCAATATCAGCCGTGATGTGCCGTGTAAAACCAACTACACAGAATTATTGAATGTTAACAATTGGTTGAAGAAACCTCAAAGGTAATTTTTGAATTTCTGACCCCTTTTCAAACGTCCTGCTTCTCAAACACATAAATAGCAATACACACATAAACAGAATTTCAACACAAAATCTAAATATTTCGTGTTTTGGTTACATATCTACCTTATTGCAACCTCAGACCAACATTGGATGCACTATTTTGCAATCTTATTTCACTTTTGTACTTTGTAATTGCAGCGTTCATGTTAATTACTGTTTGTGATCAAATATTGTTATTGTTATTCTTTTGTTCTGTTCGTGTTTAAATACTGTTATTGTTATGCACTATTGTTGTTTAGATACCCATACAGATCGCCCGTCGTATTTTAACTAGTACTTAATGCTTGAATACTATAACTGGTCACTAACGCAATTGGCTCACGCTGTGTTAGTGTTCCTGGCTCGTTTTCTTGTTTATCTTCAATCAACGACTAAACAGTTAAATAAATCAATGAATACTTTAAAATACGATAATGCATTTTAACTGATTATTTTATCGTTTGCATTTTCTCTCATGCATTTAGCTTGTGTATATTTGCCCTCATCTCTACTCTGTTTATCCAGCAAGAGATGTTTTATCCAATCAGATCTCTTTTATAGATTCCGTGTTGTTTTTGAGATGCTAAAACCTGACAAACTTGATGGCTCAACGACATTGAAAGGCCTTCAATACATCGATGTTCCTGGACAGATGAAGAAAGATTATAAAATTGATTTCTATGCTCACAAGGAAGGAACGTTTAGCGCCAAGGCAAGTTTCTTTTGTGACTCACATCAATTTCATATCGTGTATAAAAGCATCAAGTTCTCGTTCGTGATTTGGTATGTTGTGTCGTATTTGGTAGTATAAAGCATGCATGAATCAACGCAATGAATCAATGTGCACGGGCATCATTATGCAAAGACCATGAACGAAACTAGAGATATACCTATAACAAGGGGGGATTTCGTTTTAGATCAATCAACAAGTTTGTTGACATTTTCAGTAACCCAATCAGAATACATAAATTTTTACTACTTCCGGTGAAATTGTGCATTATTTACCATTTTACGTGAAGTAATTAAAATGTAGACATTCTGATTGGCTTTGCCCATTCAGGCGATTATTGCAGATAAGTATATTACATGTTTCACAATTGTATAGGTGATCTTCAAAAATGAGCAGACATCAGAGTATCTCTTCTATTACGTAACATTCAAAGCTACTCCACCAGGCATCATATCAACTATTGATCTAACGACACCCGTGAGGCAGTCAGCATCTCATGTTGTGAGTCTGTATAATCCATTAACTGCTCAAGTCAGCTTCTCCACAGCCGCAACCTTGTCAGACATTCTCCTCCCGCCAAATTTCACTGTTCCGCCACAGTCAGAGGTAAGAATGAAAAAACTTGTTTGTCCTTTTGTTTAATGGAAAAACTAACGCTCGGAACCGACGTTTCGATGACATCTTGCCATCATTGTCAAGGACAGGACAACTTATGGAAATTTACATTAAGTTATAAACACATAAGCAAAACAATAGTCTATTATTCTAGATCTTTCAAGTGAATATAATAATTTCAAGTAAATACTTTAGCACGTATCGAGTCTGATTGAACGTAAAGTGATGGCTTGTGTTTCTTATATAGCAGCATTTCCCTTGACACTTTTTTTTTCTTCTTCCACACTTCTTCCACTCAAAATTGGACTAGATGTCGCTATAAGCCTAGGTTATATTTTAAATCACGGTTATCTTTCATACATTTTCGCGTGGAAATTCATTTTAAAAAATACAAAGAACTTCGCTTCTCATGCTGTCTTTTCTCCACAGGGATCTTTTACATTCGACTATCTGCCATTAAAATCTGGCGAGGTGACAGGTCGCCTCACGCTATCAAGCTCTGACCTGGGATTCTATCAATACGACCTGAATTTGACGGCAACGCCCGCAGGTCCTGAAAATCAGGTACACTTCCGTACGTATCTTGGTTTGACACAGAATCAAACATGTCGTTTCATCAACTTCTGTAAATCCCGCGTCGAGTATGTCTGTAAGGTAAGATGTTCTTTTTATGTATTAGCTGACCGTCCTCCCCTGAATCAATTTTACCCAGTTACCCATTGGAAATGATTTGACAAATATTTTATATTCGCACAGCCGGTGTTCTGTGACAAGTAAAAACAAGAATTAAACTTGCATGCTGGTTGTTCAAAGAACTAAAATTAATTTAAAACGTTTTTGTTGTTGTGGCTTACATCAAATTCTGCGTACGTACGCGCCTAGAATTCTGTGTGCGTTTGTGTGTGTTGACTTCAAAGATTGTTTGGTACTATAGTTTGGCATCATATTTCTTGGGATATCCCCATTTTACATGTTGTACAGAAATACAATATGTTTTGTAGCGTTAGGACCTTAAAGGAGACTTTCGCGGGCGTTACTTTTTTGCGCTAAACTTTTGAACTGATTTATTTTAAAAAACAATTAAAGGTTGCAGAATCACTAAATGATTTTATTATGCGGTCTAATCTGATTCGTTATTGTGATTCATTTAGACTAGATCAAAACGAATTAATGTGAATGATTCTTCTTTAACTAAAAGTATTTGAGAGCTAGTTAATACCCACTTTGTGTTAATCATGAGCAGTTTAGAACTGCACGACTTACTCTTTCTGCATGGTAAATATTTCGATCACTCTTCGTTTATTTTGTAAGGTTGACAACCCCGACTTCCATGTTGAACGTTCGATAACAGCCGCTTCGGCATCCAGTGGTGGCACTGAGGTCAGTGTCGAGGTGACATACGAACCCAGTTGCCTTGGCAACTCTCGCGCCACTTTGCTGGTGACGTCACCGATGGGTGGCGACTACACGTTTCCGTTATACGGTTACGCCGCCCCGCCAAAACCTCAGGGACCGTACACCATCAAGGCCGGTTCGAGTACGTCGATTCCTTTCAAGAACGTCTTCTCCCAGGCCACACAATTCACGTTTCATGTCGATAACCCAGTCTTCACAGTCAAACCAACTGAGACTATTCGGGCAAAAAAATTACACAATGTCGTCGTCACCTTCGATGGTAACCAGGGAAACGCAAAGACAACCCGCATGGGTCGGTTAGTCATTGCTTCAGCCTCTAGCGCTAGTCTCTCCCACAACATTGAGTGGGTTTATTATCTTAAAGGTATAACCCCATAAACTCTTTGCTCTTTGAGAAAAACTTTAAACTGTATTTATTTTATCTTTGATCTTGTATATTTCTGTATATTTTACTATTTCCGTTTTCTTACTGTTATGATGCAAAAAAGCGCTGTTATTAACACCTGCTTATATTGTTCTTAAATATATGCATTCAGTAGGTTAAATATAATTTTAAGACACATTTTTATGAAGGTTTCCCGCATATTTCTTTTGAAAAGCGTCGAAACTGTTGTTACTTCGAGAGCTGAACTGTAAGATGAAGATGAGATAGGTTTTAACCCTCCTCGTTGGGTTCTCTCAGTTTTCGTTTTTTAATTTAATCGTACTTCCCCAATGACAAGAAATTACAAGTGCTTATAAATATTGAGAGAATACAAAATTACAATTTACACTGAAAAGTAATACGATGAAACTAAACGACTAAAACCTTTCATTTCTAATCCAAACACACGATTCTGAACTTATTATAGTGATCTTGCTAAAAAAATAACCGATCATCGTTTGTGCTCTGTGTAAGTTCTATTGTTTGTAAGTTTTTTTGTTTCACGACCCTCTCCCTCACTGAATCAGCTGTATCTCATTCTGCATTTTTTCGTTCGAAATTCGCAAATTGTTTCGTCTCACTTCTTTCTTGCTCTCTGACCAGGTTTGAGCGATCACTGAAGCTGTTTTTTTATATTTTCTTTGAAAAGCGTCGAAAATTTTCATACTTCAAGGGCAGAAGATGAAATAATATAGCTTCAACGCTCGTTCGGTTTTCCTAATTTTCGTTTTTTAATTTAATCGTACTTTCCCAAAGACAACAACTTACAAGTGTTTATAAATATAAAGAGAAGAATACAAAATTACAATTTACACTGAAAGGTAATACGATGAAACTAAACCACTAAAACCTTTCATTTTTAACCCAAACACACGATTCTGAACTTATTATAGTAATCTTGTTAAGAAAGATATAACCGATCATCATTTGTGCCTTCTGTAAGTTTTATTGTTTGTAAGTTTTATTGTTTACGAAACCTCCCTCGCTCAATAAGCTGTATGTAGCTCATTATGCATCTTTTCGTTCGAAATTCGCAAATCATTTTGTCTGCGCCTTCCTGGCTCTTTGACCAGGTTTGAACGATCACTGAAGCTATTTTATTGCGATGAATTTTACGATGTGAACATCTGATTCAAAGTAATAGTTCAGGAGAACAGCTGTGTTCAGTTCATTATATACTTTAATATATGTGTGTTAATAAAATTCTCTTACGTACTTATGGCCGTTATTCATATGCTAATTTTTAGTTTTTCAAAAATTTAGAACATATCAGTTTTCCGTCATTTGTCCTTCAACACAGGTGTATATATTCAGTCAAAACCTCGAAGTAACGTATACGTGCTATACTCCCTTGTTCACTGATATTCAACGACAATCAAAAATGACTAACAACACAATTCCTGTTCCAGTTGCCAGCAGTGTTCTCATCTTTTCAGTTGTTTTCAAATTTATCGCGATGATTATTGGAGTATTGGGAAATGTCACAGTTATAATATACACAATTTTGTTGTGTAAAGAAAAGACAGCGACATCTTACTTGATAGCAAACTTGGCATTAGCGGATCTTCTCGTGTGTTTAACATTTTATCCACTATGGATCATCGAGTTTATTCAGACTTTATTAAACATTGAAAGTGATCAGGACTTGTTTTGTAAGTTAAGTCGTTCAACCAGCCCATCTTTGCTGTTTGCTTCAGTGGCTACAATTCTCGCAATTACTGTTGATCGTTATTTATATATCGTGAAACCTCTGAAATATCCTCTGATTGTGACACGTCGACGAGTGTTCCTGAATATTTCTGGAATCTGGTTAACTGCTTGTTGTGTCTACGCTGTATTTTATGTTAACCTTCAGAGTTTTGACAAAAGAATCAGAAGTCTTTGCTACCTAGTTGACAGCATTGCTTACTCTACACAAATTCTTCTTTTCTATATTCCTGTTACGTTGATTTTCCTTTTGAATTTCCTAATTTTAAGTGTGTCTCGAAAACAACGCAGACGAATCTTTGATCAATCCATAGTCGCAGGCATCAGCAACCACAACGAACATCCAGGCAGTGTGGGAGTTGTACTTCGTCTATTTCAGGCGTTTGCAGAAGCGAAAACATTTTCTATTGTCATTACAGTGTTGGCGATATGTTGCTTTTTACCAACGGTTATCGGGAAGGTGTTACACTACTCTTGTAGTTATCCCTGTGGGCAGATTTGGTACGTGATTGTTCAGTACGAGCTTTTTGGGATGAACTCGATCGTGAATGCTTTCATCTACGGATTGAGGCACATCAAATACAGAAAAGCTTATGGACAAATTATTTTTGAAACTCTAGACTGTAATAATTATTATTGTTGTTAGTGATGGAATAAAGTATATGGATTTTTTTTTCAAATTCTGTGCAACTGCATGTAGCGTCCAGTTAACTGGAAAATAGGTCACATTTGAAAATTGTATATATAATCTAAAATTTTTCTACATCTTAATACAGTTCATATAGTTAATAATCATACTTTTATTATGACCATTGCTTTACTATTGATTTCTGGCGCTTGAAATAAAATTTAACTTTTTTCCATTATGGTGGTAACGCTGGTTTACTGTTTCATGCCAATCTAACTTTTTGATTAAATTTAAGCAATCATTATTAAAATTATACACCTTCTCTGGGCCCCTTATTTCTGTATCCCTCATTTTCACATGCCAAAAAAAATTTGAAATGCCAATCCTTGTTTAAATAATTAAACTTTTTTGATGAAATATAAACAATCCTAATTAAAATTACCGCACTCCTGAACATCGGCGTCATTTGTTGGGCCCTTTGTTTCTTTTTGTCCCTCATTTTGACTGACAATTCTGGAAACATACATCGAAATTGAATTGAACCTGTAGAAGAGAAAAATAAATGTTGATATAATCTACCATTTTCAATTTCATGCATGGCTGCTCCAAAACAAAAACGGTTTAAGAACGCCTATGGAGTGGATTAACGCACGGATGGATGAAAGGATGGATGGATGAAAGGATGGATGGGACGGGCTTACGGGCGCAAGGACGGACAGACAGACATACTCTTTTCATTCAACGCCTTGTCTTGCTAAATAGAGTACGAGAGAATAGAGTCTTCTGTTGCTTCGAGAATAATTATCCTTTTGTTTCGACTCAGAGAACTTATTAAGAATGTGCCGTGGATCGTTGGTCCTATCAAAAAGATGGTCGCAATTACTTCTCTTTTGAAAAGCATCGATAAAATTTTGAAACTTATAGAGGGCTGATCTCTGAAGTGTAAGATGAAAATAAAATACATCTCTTCACGCTTCTTCCTAAATTTTTTTTTTAATTAAACCCCACTTTCACAATGACATGAAATTTACAATTGCTTGTAAATATTGAGAGCAGATAACATTATTACAGTTTACATTGTAAAGTGATAAATTTTGTTTAATTAACTGGTTCCAATGTCACTGCGCAGCTGTAATTTGACAGAAGTCAGTTCCAAAATGAATCATTAAAATTAATAATCTAAATCATAAATCTTGCATGTTCCCTTCGAGAGGTAAAATACATTTTATTCATGCGAGAGATTGTAAAACTGTAGTCAAATGCGCACAAGAAAACTTGCACTTGCTGCACAAGAAAATTGTCGTTGTTAAGTTGTAAGTTCGCAGCAAATTCTGTGACGTAAGAACCGGCACAGGCGGGGGAAACGTGCACCCCCCACCCCCAAAGATTCTAAATAGATTTTAAAATCTGAAATCGTTTTGTAGAGCATGAATGTAAACCAAATAAATCACACTAATCATGTCCTTGCAGTTATGGCAATCAAACCGTCCCTATACATATTTTAGCTGCCCTTTTTATTAACCAAAAGTACCCTGGAAGCTGGCGCCCCCCAATCTCTCGATGCTCCCTACGCCCGTTTAAAAGCATCAGTGTTTTTTTACTCACCCTGTATACAGGTGATTCAATCAAGGTTGTCTATTATATTCATCAAGGGCGAATTTTTAATCAGCGCATTTAGTGACAATTTCGGTCAACAATGCATAGATTCAGATGAAATATGCATGTATAGTAGGTTGAGTCGATTAAAGGCTATCTGCAACTGATTGTTGCCAATTGAGCAAAAAACTTGTGTCTCTATACCACTTCCTCGTTCAGATTTCTCATAGCGAAGATCAATATATAAGCTTTAAGTTTTTGTTCTTTCATGCAAGGGCCGAGAAATATTCAGATAAAATTTGTCTGTATGAGCAGGTGGAGGAGGTGTTCGACGCAATCTTGACGGATGATCCGCGTGTTTGCTTTTATTAATTAAAAAAATACACAATTTTTTCTTGAAAACATTTAGAAACTTCCGTTTTGTCATCATTTCATTTCGTTTTATAATATTTTCACTTTCACAGTTTTGACAATAGAATCACAAGACTTTGCTAGGTTGCTGACAGTATCTATTACTCTAAAGAAATTCTTCTTCTCTATATTCCTGTTACTTTAACTTTCGTTTTGAATTTCCTAATTTTAAGTGTGTCTCGAAAACAACGCAGACAAATCTTTGATGAATCCATGGTCGCAGGCATCAGCAACCACAAGGAAAATTCAGGCAGTATGAGAGTTGTACTTCGTCTATTTCAGGCGTTTGCAGAAGCAAAAACATTTTCTATTGTTATTACAGTGTTGGCGATCTGTTGCTTTTTACCAGCATGCAGTTATTGGGATCGTGTTAGACGGCTTTTATAGTGTTTCCTGCCAACAGATTTGGTTCGTAGTTGTTCAGTACGAGCTTTTTGGGATAAAATCGATTGTGAATGCTTTCATCTACGGAATATCAAATAGGCATATCAAATACAGAAAAGCTTATGGACAAGTTCTTTTTAAAACTCTTGACTGTAATTATTGTTGTTGTTAGTGATGGGAAAACGTACATATAGATTTTCTGTTCAAATTTTGTGCAACTGCATGCAACGTGTTGACGGGTGT